AAGCGATCAAAAAAAAAAAAAGAAATCAAGTGACCGCAAGCTATTGAATACTTGTGTATCTATGTATACATACATATATACATATATACGTTTATATACACATACATGTGTATGTATATGTAAACAAAGCATGTGACGGGGAAAAGTGCATATTGTTGCTAATGTTATGGTTGTTGTTGTTGCTTTTTTTTGCGTCACAGATGTCATTTAAGCGACATCAAAACTAAACCTTATACAAACAGCTACAACAAATTAAGTTCTACACACACACAAACACACATTTCCCATCCTAATTCGTGTTTTCTTTGAATGTATTGCAAGAAAAAGAGTGAATTTATATTATTGATCAGCTTCAAATTTATATTTATAATTGCAATTAAAAAATTTCATTTTTAACTTTTCGGATTAGAGACAATTTGTCAATTCATTTATTTACAGGCTGCACTTTTTCAGGGAGATACATACATCTCTGTATCAGTATCTGTGCAACAGTTGCTGTTGCGGCCTCTGTTAATGCTCTGTTGTGATTGCGCTGTAGCAACAACCTGCGTTGCCAACTGCCTCACAGTGCATTAGTCATTTACTTTGCCGGGTCGGCCGTCAATGAACAAATTATTTGTATATAGTATATGTATCTATGTACATATATTATTTTTAATTACCTTGAAATGCAAAATATGTACATCAAGCAAGCGAGAGGGATATGAAAAAAAAATCACACACTTGTCGCAACAATCAATTGCACAATTAGTCATTTCTTCAATTAATAATTTACTATTTTTAAACGTCGTTGTTGCTATTGCTGTTATTGCTGTGGTGGCGTCGCCGCCGGTTTGGTGATGAGCTCAGTTTTGAGCAATTTTAAGTTATTATCAACGGCAAACACACACACACATACAAACAGAGACTAACTATGTGCCTATTAACAATATGTTGAGATTTATGGCAGTTGTATTTTTTTTTTCAATCTTTTTTATCGCATTTTTTGTTACACCTTGAACTTTGCGGCAATACAATTAAGAAGAGGCACAAAAGTTCCAAGTTCGCATACATACACACACATATATATACATAAACGCACAGCACGTCACAAGCGACAAGGTGAGGCGCACACACACACACATCCACAAATAAATAACAATTATTAATTAAAATGCAAAAATATGCAAGCAAAAAATTAAAAGGGGTACTACGATTGAAAAATCTGCTACGTGTCCACTCGCAGCTTTCTGGCCAACTGAAAAATCTATTGAGAACAATTTTGCAACAGAAGAGGGCAACATTTTTGAACAAAATAGGCGCGAAACGTGTGTTCGTGCTGTTATGTTAAATTACATTCAATGTAACGGTAAGTGATGAGTTCGGCTTAAAAGCGGTGACAACAGCTTCCAGCTTTAACACATGTTAAAGTACACTAAAAAAAGTTCTGGTTTTGAACAGGGTTTATTTTAAAAATAAGCGTTCTTTAAAATAATGTTTAAAAAAAATCAGAAAGTACCATGTGCATACATTCAATTCTATTTTATTCACTCCCCAAAGCATTCATATTGTTCCATCGCCCAAAAATGTAAATTTTTTGGCTCTGTTCTATAATTTTCCGAGTTCAAGAAAAATATTTTTTAAAATTAACAAATTAAATTAAAATTTCTGGTATTTTTCTGGATGTAGATAACAGCAACAGCGATGCGGCCACCGAACAGACAAACGTGAGTTTTCATTCAACAGAAGGCTTGAATGAGACACAATATTTTTACTGAAAAGAGCCAAAGCTGATCCCAATATTTAGCCGCTTTTTTCTGCTTTCAAAATCTGTGCATGAAATGAATTGCAAGTATTAATTATGTGCACGTTATATGGATTTATTTGGCAACCTGTTGGATACTTTTGGCATTTCTCTCCGATTCCATGCTAATAACAACAACAAGCAACAAAGTATTTAGAACTGCTCTGCGCGACGAATTTATGCAAATGCAAAATCAATGAAGCGTTGCCAGGCCACGAAGATTAACTCATCAATTCGTTTTTAGAATTCAATACATTCGACCGGACCGACTAACGTGCGAATAAGTTTCGGGTTTTGAGGTTGAAAATCTCTCGATGGGGTCTCTATATTTGTGTGTACCTGAAGGTCACAGTTGACAAACAGTTCTAGTACAGTGAACAATCGTTGCCGAGTTGCGCTTTTGATTATAAACAATTTTTGATTGCAATCTAAACGATATTTTCTTAGAAATAGACACATCACTTTTTAATTATTTACCGCATAAAATAGGAATGAACTTGATAAACAGAAAATGTGCATCTTAAAATAAACAGGATATACATTTTTGATGGCGCCACAAACTGATAGGAAACAAATCTTTTAGATAGAAGAAGAATTATCGCACACCAGGTAACACTATGTGGGATCATTAGGGAGTCCTAAAAAGATCCAAGCTTGTAGTACATTATTGTGACTGATGATGAAATGTATTGTTTTCAAAGTGATCCTGAATCGAAGCGCATAATGTCGAATGGAAGCGTCCATATGAGTCAAAAGTTTTAATGTTTTGCAGCGTTTGGTGCATTATCATCGCCATATTCGAATATACCCGAATATCGTGAAGAATGATGTTGACTTGCGACCGATTATCAGCATTACTATGTATTTTATTTGTTGATTTAATTTTTTTTTATTCCCACAATCATATAAGCCTTATTTGTGAAAGGCAACCACACATTTTGAAAAGTTATATAATAAATTCAATCTCTTTCTTCGGTTAAAATGGTAAATTTTTTGAATTTGGCAAAACTAGATGTGCATATCATTCAAATGTTGTGGACCTTATTTTCAAAATCATAGTTATCTGATAATCGCTCGTAATATTTTAATCTTATCGATAAAGCAAGAAACACATACAAATGCTAGAAATAGAAATAGAAGATAACTTGAATGTTGCCTTTAGGCACTATCGACTGTACTTGTTATTGGACTGCAACAGGTGGCTGTGGACTTGGGCGCGGCATTTATCGTCGCCGTCGTCATCATCAGCAACATCAACATCATCATTATGATGAATATTGGGGGGGAAAAAATTAACGACTTTTGCGGCGAAAATTTACATACATAGACAAATTGAAAGGCAAGCATAAAGTGAAGAGAGGCTGCCATACCAGAGACGGACGGATAGACAGACAAACGTACATACATACATACATAAATATATAAAAGAAAGCTGGCGGAATTTTAGCAATGCGGTCGCCAGCTGCCTTTTGTTGACCAAGTCAGCTAGCCAGCTAGCCAAACAGGCTGACAGACGACAACAACACTAACACAACATTAGACAACAACGGGCGAGCTTTCAGTGACCAAAACTCTATCTGGAGAGCCCACATTGGCACTTGACGCCACAACTTAAGAGCACATGATCGCAAACACACACACAAACACCTACAAGCAGCGAAGAAAAAAAGTGTTTATTTAAGCTATGACTGTTCAAATGAAAGAAGATTGTTGTTGTTGTTGGCCATTTAAACAATGCTACAAATAAACTCGTACTTTTCAAAATGGGTATTGAACAATAAAATAAAAAGCGAGTTTAAATGCATTTAAACACGCGCGCTTCAAGCGCATTGCATGACTCCAGTAGCCGCAGCAGCAGCAGCAGCAGCAACAACAACAATAACAGTAACAACAATAAGAGTATAAGCATGTCGACTTCAACAGCACAGCAGAGCACAGCAGAGCAGAGCAACTTCAATGGCAGCAGCAAGAAGTCAGCGTGCAAGGCTATTTGTTTGTTAGTGTGTTAAAATGCAATTAAATGCCATAATAATTATTGGGCATTTAAAAATAATAATGAGTATGGAGATGATTATTTGTTAGCTCATGTGTATATTAAATGCGTTTGTGTGTACTTTTGTTTAAACAATTTTTGCACATAAAACGCAAACCAGTTGGCAACGCAACAAGCAGCCAAAGCAAAGAGAAAGAGAGAGATCGAGAGAGTGCGAGAGCGAGGCTGGCATCATTTTTGTATGGTGTTTTGTTGCATGGAAAAGTAGTAGAAATAGTACATAGTAGTAGTCGCAGTATTCTGGTACTAGATGCATTTCAACTACTTACATACATATTTATGCATGTACATCTATAGGTATATTTTTATTATTGCCGTATTCGTTGGTTTATTTGTTTGTCAGCTTGGCTTGCTAAACAAGTCGCATCGTCATTACTGCTTTTGAGTATAAGCACAAAAACCAACAGCAACACTGACCAATCGCGCTCAAACAACAAGGGTATTCCTGATTGCTGCTTAAGATTTGATTTTTATTGTGGCGATCAGCTGTTCACAACCGTTCCATAAAAAGCCTGCAATGTGACCCACAAAGCTGCGGCAAATACGGGCACACAAATAGTTAAGACAAAATCAGCTCAGAAGCAAATGTTTCTTGCTGAAGATAATTCGTCATTTAGTTCTTTGCATTTGTTGATATTAAATTGATTCAAAAAATGCAATGTTATATTTTAATTTGCAATATTTCATTTAGCCACCAGTGAGCTATTCAATAAAATAAAATCGTAAACACAATTTCAAATTCCATTTTGAAAATCAAGTCTTAAACAGCAATCAGGAATACCCTTAATGATGTCTCTCTGTGATGTCCATTGCGCCGCCGCTTTAGATGGCTGCGCTGCCGGCGGCGCTGCCTGCCACTGCCTTGTTGCTTGTCTTTCAACTTGTTTATGAGTCTGGAAACCTGCTGCAACTCTTTGGCTTTGGCTGTTGATGTTGTTGTCGTTTTTGTTGTTGTTAACCACACATTTGCTATTACTATACACGTTCCTGTTGTTGTTGTTGTTGTGATTATTGTTGCCAAGATTTACTTGTCGCTAGTATGTTGTTGTTTTTTCTAACGCTTTTAGAAAGTATGTCAATTTAGAAAAGCCATTGACTGGCACACACAGACACACACTCGCACACAAAATATAAACTTAAATTTGTAAATTTTAAAATACGAACCGAAGAGTTATTCTTGTTATTTTTGTTGCACTATATTTAAAATACACTGCACATTTAACATAAACAAAACAAAAATAATAAACAATTTCTTTTTAGACACACATTGAAATTGAAACGTTCAGTCGTTTGTCATTTGCAGGAAAAAAAAATTAAAATTTCGCGAACGCGCCGTCGCGTCTAACTGAATGAGCTGTTTCTGTTAACTGTTTCTGTTAACTTGTTGCGGCTGCTGCGACGATAACTTTGGATATACTGACTGACTGTGCGGCGGCGTTGAGGCTTTTTTTTGGACCGTCGGCTGCTGCTTGCGACTTGAGGCTGGTTAGCTGCTGGTTAGCTGCTTGTTCAGACGCGTAAGCGAGTTTGCTGCTGACTAAATGGCAAAATTTTATAACAGCGTCAGTTGTGCTCGAACATCGTTGTACATATGGCAAAAAAAAAGTCAGAGCAGAGCAACACAGCGCAGCGACGTCAAAGCTTAACGGCAGCAACGACACACATGTATGCACATATATGAATGTGTACGTGTGTATTAGAGATGGGCACGGGCTGTATTTTTGTTCGTGGCACCGCGTATCAGTGTTTCATACTCCGATCTCGAGAAAACACTAAAATTCAACTAACAAACAACCTTCAATTGGGGACCTCTGTAAAATATTCTAAAAACTGTTATGTGCTCGTTCATCAAAGTCTGTAGATGGGCACTTCTAAATATTTATAAGTCTACTGTATTTAATTTGTTAAAAAAATTGTGTGCCTAATTGATTGTTTTTGAAAAATTCTGTACAATCGATCTTATGCAAAATAATTCACTGAAGAATTTAATCAACATTTTGATCTTTTGCAGCACTTTTATAGGTTTCTGCTTGGTAAAAGGTTCACGGGCGTCTTTTTTGTGTGTATAAGGCCGGCCACTGCCCATCTCTAGTGTGTATGCATGAACATAGCTCCCAAATGCCCCAACGGCTTAGGCGCGCGTAACAGACCGAATGATTACGAGAGAGTGAGAGCGAGTACAAGAGAGAGAGAGAGAGAGAGAGAGGAGCGCGCAAGTAAAGACAGTTAACAGAGTTGTTGTTGTTCTGCGTTTCAAGATAGCACAGGAAATAATAATATCACACACACACAACACTCACACACACACACGCAAGCGGCTTTTTGTGATATGAGCTCCCAAAGCATATCAATATCAGACGTTAGCGACGCCGCTGTTGGCATCGCTGCCGCTTCTGCCGCTGCTACTGAAGCTTGAGCGCTCGGGCGTGCCGGGCTAAAACCAAAACGTTTGCAACTGCCAACTGCCTTGGAATGCGAGTTGAAGTGACAAACAAGATGGCCGGCCGTTGTGTGAGCAAATAGCTTACTATTTTTGTTGTTATTATTGTTATTATTATTCCTGTTGTTACTGAGCGGGCGGCTTTCTGACTCACTACAAATGCAAACAGCAGCAGCGGCAGCAACAACAAATTTGCATGCACAGCTGCGTTATCCAATTGAAGGCAATTGCAAAGCAACAACACAACTCACAAATACACACATATGTGTGTACATAGATACAATTGTAGAAAACAAGAAAAGAATATAACATTTACAGCTGGTGTTTAAAAGATCGCAATGGCGTTGATTAATGAATATCACCAAAATGTTGCCGCCACTTACGTACATACATAACTAAATATTTACAGTGATGAGCTATCAGTATTGTTAACAGTGTAGGAGAGAGAGAGAGAGAGAGCTCAAGAGAAACAGAATGATCGTATTGGAGATTAGTATAAGTTTTCAAAAATTTGTTTCTTTGCAATTCGGTTTTCAAATAAATTTGTCGAGATCGTTACATGATAAATTTTCTCATATTTCTCAAATTTTATCGCTTAAGTCAAACCCTATTGGTCCTTAGTCGTCCCTACCAGAACGTTTTGTAGTAATAACATTTCAGCTATGATTTTGTTTGCGATTTAAGAACCCATACATTTTCTATTAAAATTGTAGGCATCAGTAAAAATAAAATAATAATGGAATATTGTTCCATTTCATTTTGTATTCGGTCCAACGATGTTAGACTATATGGTTTTGAAAACTTAAAAAAACACTGTTTTAGAGTAACTTTTCGATTCGAATCGTGTTTAAAATAACAAGATTAGCTGCCTCTGGGATCCTGTACATATTCAACAACTATGTTTATAAGCTATTGAGGTATTTATATGTGTACCTGTTACAGAGTACTAAAAATTCAATGCCTAGACGCATAGTTGTGGAAACCAGATAGCGAATAAACGTATTAGCTATTCTATAACTGGTATGAAGGTGCGCTAGAACTTTGGAGAGCCACCTACAAGGCACGATCATAACCTAAATTAAAACATTACGTAGGCGCTGCTGCCAACGCCAATAACGATACCGCTAACACCGTCAAGGTGAGGGAGCGGGCAAAATATGTACGATAGTTTATCAATTTTCTAGTTGATAAAAAGAAAAAACATAGTGTAAAAAAATGTCGCAAAAAGGGGGGGAAACTGCCACGCAACACGAGCCAAATAAATAGAAAAATATATTATCATTTGAGGCTTTCGATCGTAAATAAAATTCCAGCAATTGAAAACATCTGGCAGGAAAAGGTGGAAGCTTAGCCCGTGAATGGGAGTCAAGCAAAGGCTAAAAAGCAACTATAGAAAATCAATAAATTTAAAAAAAAATAATATTTCCAGAAAATGGAATTATTCCCAATGTACTTTTCATAAGAGCATATTTATAAACTCATTAGAAAAATACTGAAGTTTTTTAAATTAAAAGACGTCTGATTGATGAATCCATTTCGTTTTTATTTACAGCTAAAACGAATTGTCCTCACTTATCTATTAATCATAACATTAAAGAGGCGTGTCACGTCCCCATGATTCACGATATTAGAGTTAGCTTTGTTTTTTTATTTACTTTGTGAATGAAAATAAATTTGCATAATGTTCGCATTAACCAGCAGCGCAGTCGCCGACGACGTCGCGGTCGGAGTCGCTGCTCTTTCACTTTCGAAAAAAGAAAGAAACAACATTTCATTTCAGTGCGAGTAAAAGTAAAAGCATCCAATCAACATTGTAGTTGCTGTGCCTGTGGATGGTGGAGATGGTGTAAGAGACACCCTGCTATATCTTCCAGTTTTTTTCAATTGTCGCATAACTAAAAATGGAACTCGGATAGATTAGATAAAAAAGACGCCCGCATGGGGCGATCGTGAGAAATGGTGGCAATGTGGCGCTTATGAATGATTTTGTAAGAATCGAAAGGGGTGGTGGATAGGCAAGAAGGGGAAGGGTGGGTCACACACTTGCTACCCTGCGGTTTGACCCACTAAGTAGAGACGCCAATGATGTCGCCGCCGACGCCGCGACGTCTGCGGCTGAGTCACAGTCGACGTCGCCAAGATCGTGTCAAGTCTCGACTTTTACTTGCCGTTTATAAATTCATACACACACACACAAATGCACATTAACAGACGCAGACGACGCCGCTGCATTTTGTGAGCGTCACTGTTAAGTGGGTGAAGGGCGGCCCGTTCTCATTATTTTCTTTCAATTTTTCTGCAGCTGATAAAAAGCAATAAGAACATTTAAGGCGTTGTCAATTTTAATTTTTCTTTACTGTTACTGGCTGCATTTTATTTCATTTTCTGTTTAAACTTACACTTATTTTAATTGTTTATTATATGATCTCTAGCCATATTTCTTCATCTTCTCTTTTAACAGTGTTGTTACGCTGGCAGCACTGTGCGAGCGAGGTGGCATACTGTAATTATTACAGTATTAAAGTGCGAGCGAGAGCTCAACAATTTTGGTGGTGGTTTTTTGCGAGATCTAAAATTGAGAGCATAACTCCTCTCAATGCGTGAAAACTGGTTTTGGAAAACAACACAACGACGACACCGCGATCCCTCTTCCGCTGCGGACGCCAACGTCAACATCGCGGCACTGCGAATTGGCAGAAAAAAATGTTAAAATCACAGCAAAAAGAGAAACACACGAACTGTCGATGCTGGGATGCTCAGTTGAGAGGAACACAACACAAGAGAGGCAGAGAGAGAGTTGCATAAACAAATGAGAGCGAGAACATTCGAAGGCTTTTTTCAAGTTATTAAGTAAATTACAAATTTCAACAATTAACTTGATGATAAATCAAACAATGAATGAATACGTGTGAGCGCACACACACACACACACATGCACAGGCAAAGAGAGCGCACAGCATGTAAACAATAAAAATCACCTGCCTCATGCAATTGCGTCTCACTGTGTGTGTGTGTGTGTGCATGTGTGCTTGCATTGTTGCCTACTTAGCGCATTTTGGTCAGTGTATTGTTGGCCAATGTCAAATGCCACTAACTCTGTGGCATGGTCATGAAAATGGAGATAAAAAGAAACTCAAAGTGGACCTTAACGTGGCAGCTGCGAAAGGTTAGCGTGCACCGTGGTATGAATAAAGAACTAGGATATTTTCAGATAGCTCTAGTTTATTGTTAGAAAGAATAGAAACTGTTTTTTTTATGGTTTTAAAAGAACGTGCCATTTAAATAATACAGCAGTAGAATTAAACATGTTACTTCAGATCGGTTAAGTTTATAAATTCAACCTCAGAATTAAGAAGCACTCATAGCTAAGCTTAAAATTGAACTCCTTTTAAGCTTACATATGTTCAGTTAAGTAATATACATACATTGTTGTGCCCAAAATAATAATAAAAGAATATGATTTAGGATATTGTTTGGTAGTCGGATAAAGAACCTACAACCATAAGTTTTTGTTTTGCTTAACGTTGCTATGAATAAACAAAAATTCCACAGCAACTATAAATAGGTTCGAGTTTTAAATCATTAGTGTTTGAATGAAGGCTTGCGGTTTTAGTGAGTTGGCTTGTTTTGTTGTTTTGTTGCTGCTTGCGCATCTATCTATCTGTAGCTTTTTCACACATAATGCGAGCTCTACAGGTACTACAAATACAAAACACCGTTACAAATGCTTGGGAATTTCAAGCCGCACAACCAGTTGACAGCAGCTGAGGAGCAGAAGCGACCGCGACAGCAAGAACTAATGCTGACAAATCAGAAATCAGAATCACAAAACACAAAAACCAGAACAGAACTTAACTGAATAGAACCGAGGCAGGCACAAACGGCGAATCAAAGCCGCTTGCTAATGCCGTTCAATAAAATCATCTAACAGCATGGCAAAAAGCGGGCCAACAGGCGACGCCGACCGATCCGAGACCTGCATACTATATTGACGACATAAACTCGCATAATTCAAAATGAAGTTGAAGTGAAAAAGGCAGAAGCACAGTGGTGCATTAAATAGGTTTTCGTTGATAACTCCCACAATATGTTAAGCAGAGAATTTACTATAGAATACTTTAAGTTTCTCTCACAATTAATAGTATAAACCATTTCCTTGGTCAGGTTAATTTTTTAACCAATTTTTTCTAAGCTTGATAAAAGTATGTATTGGAGTTCAAAGAAGTTGGCTGAAGTGAAAACAAGGCATTAAAACTAGTACTATATAACTTAAATTCACGCAAACGCTTTTCAAACCCAATAGTTCAATAGTTTTTCGGAATACAAAGCATTTACCAATTTTCGGTTCTGCATAATTTGATCGAACTCGGAACCAAAATATTTTTTGGGGGGATTTTTTAAATAGGGTTCTAAAAATAAAACTCGTTTTTCGACCGATTGTTTTTTTTTATCTCCACGAGGGAGCCGCAACAAAACGTTTCTAACTGGAAAAATGCGCATTAATGCTAATGAGATAATTTTGTTGCTGGTTTGTTACCAACGTTGTTTCTATTGTTGTTGTTGTTTCTAGGGTTGACTTGAAGTTAGAGCTCTGCACTGGTTAGTGAAATATGCGACACATGGGCAGACATTTGATAAAGACGGAAGTGAGCAAGTTGCAACGACAAAGACAAAGGAAAACGCAACAGAAAAACAGTAACACAATACACAAAACCCACAACAACAAAAGTATATGTGTGTGTATATATTTAGGTGTGTGCGAGTGTGTGTGTGTGTGTGTGTGTGTGAGAGAGGGCCACTTGGGAAAAACTTGACTTGCTTTGCCTGCCAAGTGGGCAGTGTCGTTGCCGTCTCTACTGGAAAAACGGTGGTTGTGGCTGCTGCTGCTGTGGCAGCGATTTTCACACGCTTTTTTACCTTCTACAAAAAGGAAAATTAAGAATGACAACAACACAAACCTAGCCGGCGGCCAGAAGCCGCATAGTTGTGATTTATGGCAGCTGCAGACAAAACAAAATATTCCGCACATTAGCAATCAAGCCCGCCTCAACGTGCCCGTCATTTTCTCCCTTCCACAGCCTGTCTCTCGCTCCCGCTCGCTCTTTGTTCACTCTCTGAAAACTTAAAGACAGCGACGACCAAAGCTGCCGCGATTCAAAATTAACTGACTTTTTGGCGTGCGACATGTGCGCTTGCATATATGTATGTATGCGTGAGTGTGGGTTACAGGCTACCCAGTCGAGTAGAGTGTGGTAGAGTGTGTTCGCCAAAAATAAATTCTCAGCCAAATCGCACTCTCCACAGTCATACAAATAAGCGATTAAAGAATACCCACCCAGCGAGAGTGGATTTGTTTAACGCTTTAACGCCGAGCGAATACATTTACCAAAAAGAAAAATATATATATAATAATATTTTAACTGAAATGCAAAAATATTTTTTTAATCATGAGACATTGAATGTTATCTTATTACAAATTTTTTATTTTGTAAAATATACTTTTTTAAAACAACTAAGAATCAACCTCGCAAGAATCTAAAAAAAATAATTTATAATAGGAATTTTTTTTCTAACTATAATTGGTATATTGTTTATTATAATAGTCTTTAAATAAGGAAGGACGCTCATGTGATTGCAAGCGAAGGAACATCTCATCATTTCAGTCTAATTTCAAAATATTGAACAGCAACTTTTGTTGCAGTGCATGAAACTCCGACTGAGTGTGTGCAATTTGATTAAAACGGCAACACTGTGTCAAAATGTGTGTGCGCGCTCACTCACACCAATAAACAAGCATCGTTTCAATTGCAGCTGCTCCTGTTGCTCCTCCTATTGTTGTTGTAGTAGTAAGCGAATTAAATTACTTATGACATGTGTTCAGCAAAAATTGTTTTAAAACTTGAGCATTTGCAACGCTAAAAAATGTCGACGCAGCGTCGTTGAGCAGGCCCGGTTAATGACTCACTCAAACCACTTTAAGTCGCTGACGCTCTTAAGCACACACACACTTGCACACACATAGAGCACACCGGTATTTCAACATTGCGTTACACACTCATTTCGTTTGTTCATTCTTACTTGCTTTCTTTCATCCACTTCGTTTTTATTGCTGCATGATCACTCCAGGCAAGCAAAATAATATAAAAAAAGCAAACTGAAGAGAATTGGGCAGAAAAAAAACTCACCTGCAATTTTCAATTGTTACCGGCGCAAAAATATATTTTGCTTGGAAATTGTTGCACCACAAATAACAACAAAAACAATTTCGCGACGCTGCTTGCTTTTGTTGTTTTAGCCTTCCAACTAGCTACCAACAAAGTTCCACACAAAAGAATTAAAAAAAAATTATTTATGCTGTTCAACGTCGCGGCGAAAGCACAAAAAATTACTTCGTTGTGTCGTCGTCGTTGAGGCACACGAACACGAATAAAAAAATACCACAGCAACGGCCGGCAACAGCGAGAAACGGCTACGCTTGTGTTGGAGCGTGTGCGTGTATGAGTGGCGGCTTGTTGCGCTTTTTTGACTTTGCACTTTATATGCAACGGAATTCAAACTTACAACTTGATGATTGCTCCGATGCTTATTTTATATTTATATATTTTATTTGTTGGTGCCAAAAAACGTTATAGTTCTTTGTTGCTAACAAATGAAAAAACGCATAAAAAATAAACGAAACAAAACTAGAATGGGGATGTAAAAGAGCAACCAACAATGATGGCATCGATAATTTTTGTGGGATGCCGGCCTATATCGATACACAAAGCCAGCTGCTGCCGTGCACCCAGTCCACGTATAGCGGGCGCTGCCACCTATTAGTGTTCGTAAATATGAAAATTGCAAAGGGCTGATAAGCTTTTGCTAATAAGAACCGTTGCGGACTTGTATTTTTAAAAGATGGTGTTGAAGTACTGGAATTAGTTACCAACTTGTTCGTCGTTTTTATTTTAGATTGCTTATGGGGAATTCTATGTATAAATGTAAATATGTACATATCTTATATTTATTACAGCGATTTTTATATTTATGCTGTGACTTATATGGCTAAAAATATAAACTCTTATTAGGCAAAACACCACTTTATTTTTTTGAATAATGTAGCTTAAGTTTTTAAGAGCAATATGTGACTTCGATTTATATGTTTACTTGTATATTTAAGTTGGGCATTAAATAATTCCATAATGAAGGAAAGGTGCATGTGTGGTAGTCATTGGATGATGTTCTGGTCGAAAGTATATTGTAATTTTAAAAAGTGGCATACAAATAAATTCATTCCTTAATACAACAAAAAGTGATAAGATATATCTAAATATACATATGAATGTATACATCAAATTCAAATTACGTGGCAAACCAACAAATGCCTTGTTGCTATTTTGACGAAGGTTTCAATACATACAGCTGTTTCAAATGGTATTTTCTAGAAAGTCTTATCGATAGCGATAATTAAATTTTCGATAAGCGACATCTACCGGCCACTGTCAAATCAACACGTCAACGATTTCTTCTTCTTTCCTTAAACATCTGAACGGCGGCTATTCCCAATTGTAAAGAAATATTTTTTTATATTTCATACAATTATTGAAATAAAACGTTTGAGACTACGCCGCACATTTGACCGCATCATCAAAAAGCAGCGCTTAAACAAAGCGATTAATATTAATCGACACGTAAGTACATAACTAATAATTAACGGCACTTGCTCGCGCTCGCCCACCAGCTGCTTGCGTTGCAAAAAAAACGGCGTTTAATAAAAAAGAAACAGCGAACCTGAACTGTATTTAGCAAAGCGTGGTAATATAATTTTCGTCTCGTAGCGCAGACAACAAACAAAATGTTGGCAAATCAATGCCGCTGGCGGTCCTTCAATGCCGGCTGCCTGGGCCTGAGTCTGACGTTGTATTTCATCTTTGTGGTCGGTTTCATGAACATGCAGAGCGCGAATGCCGCTGCAGTCATGTCCGTGGACTTGGGCACTGAATGGATGAAAGTCGGGGTTGTGTCGCCTGGCGTTCCTATGGAGATTGCCTTAAATCGCGAATCGAAACGCAAGACACCGGCGATTCTCGCCTTTCGAGATGGAATGCGGACTTTTGGAGAGGATGCGCAGACTATTGGCATACGTGAGCCATCGGCGGCCTACGGCTATCTGCTTGATCTGCTGGGCAAGACAATTGATAATCCAATTGTCGACTTATACAGGTGATTGATTTAAACCAATTTGAACATATTTATTGCGCATGTGTGTGTTGTATATTTGTTTGTTGTTGCTGATAATGTTGTTGCTGCTGTGAAAGCTGGTCAAAGCGAAGCGTGTTCTTGGCCACGTCACGCTTAGCCTGGCCAAGTTGTAATTGTTGTTTACATTAAACTGAATTGCTTTATTTGCTAATACACTTTCTAATTTCTATATAGAAAACGTTTTCCGTACTACGACATTGTTGGAGATCTAAAACGAAATACGGTGGTCTTTAAACGTGGCGATGACGAAACGTTTTCGGTGGAGGAGCTCATTGCTCAAATGCTTGTAAAGGCCAAAGAGTTCGCTCAGGAATCCACCCAGCAGCCGATTGCGGAGTGTGTGTTGACCGTTCCCGGCTATTTCGGGCAGGCGGAGCGTGAAGCTCTGTTAGCTGCAGCCCAATTGGCTAATCTGAAGGTGCTCCAGCTGATCAACGACTATGCAGCCGTTGCTCTCAACTATGGTGTATTCCACCGTGGCGAGATCAATGAGACTGCCCAATACTTTTTGTTCTACGATATGGGCGCTTACAAGACCTCGGCGGCTGTGGTCAGCTATCAGTTGGTGAAGGACAAGCAAACGAAAGAAACAAATCCGGTGGTGCAGGTCTTAGGCGTGGGCTTCGATCGCACTTTAGGTGGCTTGGAGATTCAATTGCGTTTGCGCGATTATCTGGCCGATGAGTTCAATGCACTGAAAAAGACAAAGACTGATGTGAAGAGCAGTCCACGAGCGCTTGCCAAATTATTTAAGGAGGCCGGACGTCTGAAGAATGTGCTGTCAGCCAATAACGATCACTATGCCCAAATCGAGAACCTCATTGAGGATAACGACTTCAAGCTGCAGGTGACGCGCGAAAAGCTCGAAGAATTGTGCGCCGATCTGTGGCCACGCGCCACCAAACCACTAGAGCAGGCACTCGCTTCTTCCAATCTCTCACTGGATGTGATCAATCAGGTGATACTGTTTGGCGGTGGCACACGTGTTCCCCGTGTCCAGGAGACTATCAAGGCACTCATCAAGCAGGAGCTGGGCAAGAATCTGAATGCCGATGAGTCGGCCACAATGGGTGCTGTGTATAAGGCAGCTGATTTGTCCGCCGGCTTCAAAGTAAAGAAGTTTGTAGTTAAGGATGCCGTTCTTTATCCCTTGCAAGTGGCCTTCGAGCGTGATCCTGGCGATGGTGCCGCTGTGAAGCATGTAAAGCGCTCGCTCTTCGCCCTAATGAATCCCTATCCTCAGAAGAAAGTCATCACATTCAATAAGCACACTGACGACTTTGAATTCTTTGTCAACTATGGCGACTTGGAGCGTTACACGCCCGAGGAAGTGGCGGCTATTGGCAGTCTGAACATCACACGAGTCGAACTGAAGCAGGTCAAGGAATTGCTGGAGAAATCCAAGAAGGAGTCTGTAGACAACAAGGGCATCAAAGCTTACTTCTATCTCGACGATTCTGGAATCTTCCGCTGCACGGGCGTAGAATATGTCTACGATAAGCAAAAGCTGGTAGAGGAAGGCGACGAGGACAGCACTCTAGCTAAGCTGGGCAGCACCATCAGCAAGCTCTTCACCAAAGATGGAGAGAAGGCTAGCGACAATGCGGATGCATCCAAAAAGGATCAAGATCAGGAACAGGAAGAGCAGGCCACTGGTGACGATGGCAGCAAGTCAGAGAGCAGCAAACGCCAGGCGTCTGATGCTGAGGAGCAAGCACAGAACAAACCTGACGAGTCCAAACCGGAAACTGAAAAGAATAAGGAGAAGGAGAAGAATGAGACCATCAAGCTTGTGACTATAAAAACGCCTGTGGTGCACAGCACTCACCTGCAATTTGCTCCCCCGCTCTCCGGTGCCGCTTACGACAGTTCGCAGGTCAAACTGCAGGCCATCAACAAGGCAGAGGAGCATCGCGTTCGTCTGGAGTCCGCCTTCAATGCCCTTGAGTCGCACATCATTGAAGTGCAGCAGAAATTGGATGAGGAGCAATATGGCAGCTGTGCCACTGACGCTGAGAAGGAGAAACTACTGAGCGAGTGCAGCACCCTATCCGAATGGCTCTACGAGGACCATGAGAATCCCGTGCCCGAACTATATGAGGATAAGTTGACGCAACTAAAGAAATTGTCGAATGTATTTCTCGCTCGTCACTGGGAGCACGAGGAGCGTCCCGAGGCCATTAAGGCGCTCAAGGGTATGATCGATGGAGCTGACAAGTTCCTGCTTACTGCACGCAATCTTACCAAGGACATCAACCCGGACAAGGATGTCTTCACTCAAGTCGAAATCGATACGCTGATCAAAGTCATAAGCGAGACAAATGAGTGGGTCGAGACGGAGAAAGCTGCCCAAAACAAACTGAAGCGTAATGCCGAGGTTCGTCTAACCGTCAAGGATATAACGGAGAAGATGGCGCTGCTTGATCGCGAAGTTAAATATCTGGTCAACAAGATCAAGATCTGGAAACCGAAGGCGAAGCCCGCCGACAAGGAGAAGACCAAAGAGACTGAAAAGGACGGCAGTGGAGACCAGCACGGTTCCGCGGACAAGGAGGAGCCTGCCCAGGCAGAGCCTCCTAGCACCGACCAGGAACATTCCGAAGAGGCCACAGAAACGCCCTCACCAGATGTCGATGACAAGACACCCCATGGTGAACTCTAAACTGATCTGATCATCATGACATAGACATCAGTGCCTGGAAGCTTTCTACCGAGTTTCTAGCAAAGTAACGATGATGGGGAGCTGGAGAAGAAGGTGAAGCAGGAGCAGTTGTTGCGAACGCAGTGCGTGGAAAGCTATATAGGATAGGAAAAAGGAGGTCAGGTTTTTTGTAGTATTTTTTGGGGCGGGGCTGCGACGTCACTGCAATTTATGTTGATGATATTTGATGAGGAACAAGTTTTTGAAGCGTGATAATCAATGGATGATAATACCGGGGGGCGTTCGCTTGTTATGAATAGAGGGGGGAATATGGGGTAGGGGGCTCTGATCTGTATTTCTTGAAGCCCTCCGCGCACACGCATCACGTTAAAACCTTTTCTTCTAATTAGCTAAAAGCGGGGTTAATTATACTATGTTAATTTAAATAAATTACAAACAACATAAAGAAATTTAATGAAGTAAATTCAATTTCCATTCCGTCGGCCCTTTTAATTATTTTTTTATTCATTCGAGATACAGAATGTATGCCTATGATATATTATCTGCATTACACTTAGAACTTACTCTATAAATTAAGACTTGAAACTACCACATACCCCAACCCCGTAATATGAATATCTAACTCTACATGTATACATACTATATTTCTGTAAACATATTTATGTATGTATGTACCCAAAAAACGTACCGCGCATTTACAGGAAAGACAAGCTCAAAAAATAAAAACTATTCACGGAAAATAACTCGTTGTTTATATACATATGAATGTACATACTATATGTATAGTATATTCATATTAAAATGTTTTTTATTATTAAAGTTGTGGGGAATAATATCGGAACCCATATATTGAGTTAAAATAATAACCGAAATTGTTTATCTATAAAAAGGGTAAGACAAAAATCATACTATGTTGTCATCTTAAAGGCAGTTTTTTAAAGTGGCATACAATTTTAAGTGATTCGAAGTCGTTGATATCGATATTACAAAATTGCACTTGCAATATCGAATAGGTGTAACAGTATTTATTAAGCTATGCTCCTCTTGACATAATTTCTATGGAAATCTAAAATACATATAATTGCGTTTATATACATATTAAAAAACGGAAATATATATTTACTGTCACCTGTCAATAAATACACTTGCCCATGCAGTATGCATATCGATACCATCGATATGCAGTGTGACATTTTAATGCTTATAGTTTACGGGCACACTTGTTTTAGAAGAAGCAGAAATCTCGTCCGACTATCTGTAGAATAAAAAAATTATTCGTGCATTAATTAATAATATTATACCGTTACGGCAACGATAATTTATTCGCGCGTGTTTATAAAATATCGAAAAACTATATTAAATTCCCAACAGAGGAACAATAACAAAAAAAACTTAAAAAATAAAACCATAAAAAAGTTACACGGCTGCTGCAACAAGAAAATATGGCGAATTGCTGCATATTTGCATGCGCTTAATATATTTGTCAATCATAGGTAAATGTAAAGGCACTGCACTCATTTTTACTTTTGCATTATTTGTAAGTGTGAGTTTGGTTTGTTCGAGTCGTAATGGGAGAAAAAAAGTAATAGAAAACATTGAGCAATTGATTTTGCTAGACGGTCGGAAAATGAACACCAACAATGCAATGGCAGTGTGTGCGTGTGTGTTTATTTATATGTATGTATATGTGAGCTTCACGCATTAACCAGCCATTGGAAGTTTACAATAACGGCAAACTGTAAAAAAAATTAGTACTCATATCTCTGGCCTGCATGCGAATAATATTTTTTCGTATGTTTTCTGTCGATAGGACCATCACCGATATGCGATAACTCTCATATTTCGATTGCACAATTTTTGTCGATGATATATATATATGTACTTGTCCGAGTTGCTCCGTTTTTTTTTCTTCAGTAAAATTTCGCAGCTTCAAGTCGACGGATGATGACGCGTTTAGTGAAGGTGCCACAAAGCGGGCGTGCGTGTGTTACTCCGTTTCTTTTTTCGTGTGTGAGTGTTTGCTGTTTCTGTTGTTGTTTTTTTCCTTTTTTTTGCACAATTTTCTTCGCACTTTTTTCTGCTTTTTGGCTACATTTAGAACTTTGAAAGTGCCATCAAGTATGCGAACGAGTTCAGGCCTGTGTGTGTTTGTGTTTATATGTACATACATATGTGTGTTCATGTGTGTCTCTGTTTTGTGTGCACGTATATGCCTGTTAAAATGCAAACAAAGGAGTTCTTCATCTCATTGGAATAGGATGGTTGAAAGAATTTAAATAAACTAAAGCCCAATTGAGCGTGTCAGGATAGAATCTCAGCTTTCATCTTCTTTCCAAACACGTAGCCGCTCCAATTCTATGAATCACGGCCATAAGATGAAAAAAATATTTTATCGGACAATAATATTCAGAGTCTGGGTCTGCGACAAAACAGTAGCGCACACTCGCAAAATTGTATAAGCCGAGTGCCATATGTATGAATGTGTGTGTAAGTGAACGCGGCTGTCTACGTGCCAGTGTAACCGTATGTATATATAAATATATATGTGTATGCAATGCTGAAAACGAAAAGAAAAAGGTTATGCCATGATATGGACGTTTTCCGCTGCGTTGCCATCCGATGCCAGACCGTCCAGCAGCTGGTAGACAAAATTTTGGCTCACAGCTGCCATACTCATGAGTCTCCACTCCACTGCCGCTACCACGGCAACTACCCGTGGGCTCCACATTGGAGCTGCACATTGAGTTGAAGCTCTTGTAAACCTTTCATTTGTCCATTGCTTTCTATCTTCAACTTGATGTGAAGATGTGCCATACATAGAAGGACAAGTTCAAATGTATTTATACAAACCATACTATATAGCGCTTTATCTACATATTTATATATGCATACATAGGCAATTCGTTTTAACTTTGTTGCTGGCTGTTGCTTATTAATCAGTTAATTGTCAGCTGTAGCTTTATGGGCACATATAGGAAAGCTATTTGAACAGACCTTTTGATTCTATTTTGTTACATATAATTGTATATGAGTTGTGCGAGATTAGTTTACAAAAAGTGCATTGTTTTCGTTTCCATAGCAAATAAATGCATCTTTTTTTTTTATTAAAGCGAACTTTACTGGCATGGCACAGTGCAAGCGCTCCATTCCTAATCAGAGGCATACAAATTCCAAAGATAACTCGCAAAATATGATCGTACCATTTGTAATCAACCCGATAGTTGATTTACAATTTATTATTTGGCTGGTCACCTTATTCATTTTATTCCATTTAACAATCAAAGTATTCAAGTTTCAACATGTGACCCTTTCGTTTCATTTGTACACATATTTTAAATATTCGTTCCGTCCACTGATTTCGACGATATGTGATAGATTAGACTATTAAATCAAAAATCACCGCATTTTGACCACTGTGTGTTGCTTTTGGGCTTGGGTTGGTCCGCTTGACCAGCAAGCAAGCGAGCAGCACCTCTCCAGGCTTACAGGCTTCTTCTTCTTTGATTTCTTTGTGCAATGCATACACACACATACATACAAAGGTTTGTCTGCGTTTACGTATGTGTGTATTACCGAGCTGTTTCAATTCCTCTTTGGCATTTTCTTCAGCCATAATTTGTCGTTTTTTTTTTTTTAAATTGTCAGCAGCCGCCCGTCAACCTTTGAATTTTCTGTCAACAAAATGCATATATTATATATAGATTGCGCTTCAGTTAAGTACTTTCAATTCTAATAGTATTTCACACGACATTATTCAAATTTATGTTTATTTTTTTTTAAATAAACTTGTGTATTAGTATACAAAACATTAGGCTTTACTTTGTATCAAAACGTGAAAAGTATAATAAAAAATGTAAAGTCTACAAGTTAGAGTTGCAATTATTCGTGGAAATTGATTAGCAAAAAAAATAAATTCGTGAAGTTCGTTCGAGTTGGCTAAACAAAAACAGTTAACGAATTTGTGAAAACGGATACACGACGGAAACAAGAGAGAGTTCCACTTTAATAAAGAGACAGGCGGCCGGCGGAGAGGAGAGGAATTTCAGTTTATTTTCTCAATTTTCGATGAGCTCAAACAAATTTGTTTTCTATTTATTTAATCTTAGCAAGTAATATCAGTATTTTTTTTTCGAATTGATAGCGTGCGTGGGTGAATGAGTGAAAACTGAAACCATTTGTGATTGTGTGACTCAAGCTTAAAAACATATACAAACATACATACATATGTATGTAAATGCGTGTGAGATGCTGTTTGTTGTTGGTTTTCATTATACCCTAAACCCGAAGGCTGAAAGAATGCATACTAGAAAGTCTAGACGTCAAATGAAAAACAGGCAAGAGTCGTAGCAGACAGCTCCATGTTATACGTACATATGTATATGATCAGCTGAGACGAATCGATATATACAGCATGTACATACATATGTAAAAACATAAAAACACCGAGAACTTCTGAACCATAAAACACAGCAAGGACACCAGAATGGTTTTACACTTGTGCAGACTCAGTTTATTACAAACCATACTATTTGTTAATAAAAATTTATATTATATAACTCCCATAGAGCCGATCGGTACAAGCCAAAGGGTGTTAGTGTTTTACGATATCTTAGCCGAAATTGGTTATATTGAGGAGTACAGGGTAGTCGTTTTTGTTTCGGTTTTGTGATTTGCGCATAAAATGTATTTCGATAATTTATTTTGCCATTTACTTCTTTTTCGGATCTAGCATTTTAAGTGATACGTATATGAGGAAAAGGACATCGTTAAAAAACAGACAAAACAACTAAAGTTGCGATATTGTATTAGAAAAACAATCAACAACAAAAAAGGAAAAAAAGAAAAACACCGTTGACACGGAGAGCCAAGAAACCCTTCACGCCGAAGAGAAAGAAGGGAGGCGTAGGCGTGCATGCTGCTGCCTCTGGAGGAGAGTGCGAGAGTGAGTGCATGAGGTGTGTTTGTGTGTGTGGCTCAATAGTGTTGTGTAGTGCAGTGAAGCGACCGAGAACGGTTCGTGCAGAGAGGAGAAAAGAAAAGCCAGAAACAAATAACACAACACACACAACTAAATTCTGGCAGTGCTGCCATTTATAATCTACCTCCATAAACAACAACAATAATAATAATACACACATAAGCAAATCGTATATAAGAGCAATAACTACAACAAAAAACAAAAACAACTCGCCAAGTGAAAAGTGTGGGAAAACGCCATCAATCGTCGATAAACAGACAGCGGACTTGCGCGCACTAAGAGGAAGAAATATAAAAACGAATAAAGACGTCGCAAAAAAAAATCAGAACTGCAATAACAAACAAAGAGGACAGCCGCCACTGAAGTGTGCGTGCGTGAGTACGTGATAGTGCGTGTCTGTCTGGGTCTGGTATCGTCGTCGTAAGCTGCCGTACTCATCGGTAGCTGCGCAAGCCTCACCATTCTGGGTGCGGTGACGTTTGTGCCAACGGCAACGAGATCGAGCTATAGCTCGACATTGTTGCTGCATCAACAACAACAAGGAGAACAGAGGAGACATCACAAACAATAACGACTACAACGACTACATCATCTCTACATACATCGTATATCATCAATATCATTTGATGCATTAATCTTCACCAACACTACAAACAGTAACAATATTAGCAACAGTGACAACGATATATAAAAAACGCCAAAAGCGTTTGATAACCAACCATTGCCTTGCCCGCCAATATGGCGTGCCTTAACACCTTAAAGCTAGAAATCAAAACTCTGGAGAAAATCTTTCCGAAAAATCATGATCGCTTTCAGATACTCAATTCCAGCGTGGATGAGCTACTCTGCAGATTTATCGATAAGAATGGCAAACGTTATGATATTCATGCAAACATAACGGTAAGTCGGAGTAAAATATTTAATTTATATTTTTAAAATTCAACCACCATTATTTACGGAAAAGTACATTTATTCTGCACTCGAAATCCTAGTTAAAGTATTGATATTCACCTTTTTTGTTATGGTGCTCTTCTTCGTAGCTGTAGAGTAAAAGATGTGATCACCCAAAATAAATTGGTTCGTGAAAAAATACATCGTCATACTATCATCAGCCACATTTCAAAACAACCTACCTAACTATACAAGTATATTAGGAACAATCTGCTCGTTTTTCATTTATATACAAAAAATATGTATCATATGCATATGTAAGTAGTCAGGTATGCCGGAGCTCAGCATTTTTTATTTGTTTCCACCCCCCTCTATGCATTTGGCTTTAACAAAAGAATTACTTCTGCGCATTTACTTTTGAACAACCATGTTGCAATAGATGACCTAAAAGTGCTTTGTGTCGGTTTTCAAGCCTCAATAACAGCAGACACAACAGATTTTCTGCTTCTTGTCGCATCCTTTACAGAGCTAATCTGCTCACATGAAATAATTTGAGACCTTTTGGGATCACTTGATATCACTCTTTTCACCCATATTCTTTAAATGGAAAGTGTGCTTTTGTCTTTCGATCTTCATTATTCTTTGATTTGCTAGCTGGTTGGTGCAGTAAATGATGACAGAGTTTTATTATCTTATAAAACAAATTCGCGTCCACGAAAAAGAATAATTCTTCTGTATATGTTGAATATTTGAAACTTTTTGTACTCTGACATTTTTCTGATAATTTTTACCAATCGTTTCAACTTATTTCTGATACTAAACTCTATTTTTTTTAAAGCAACAATTCAATATATTTGCTGGATTGTCTTTTTCAGTTCATCATTCATTTACCTTTCGGCTTGCCTTGAGTTTGTCTCTTTTGTTGTAGTTAAGTTCTCTGTTGAATGCACATGTTCTGATGCTCTTTATATGGATTTTATTGTTGCTTAAATTATATTTATTTACAGCGTGGTTCAATAATTTATAATTCATTGCACTCCGCCAGCTGGCAAGTGGCCGCCAACTTGCTCTGCCACCTTGTGAGCTGTTTCCTCCTCTCTTTCTTTCGCTACCCCCGACTTTATCATTCCCGGGCTATGTACGGTTTGGTTCAATGATCTAATTAAAGGTTACAATTTCGTTGTCATCGTCGTCGCCACTACGTCATACTATATATCCATACGTATGCAAAATGATAATAAGAATAAAAAAAAGAATAGCATTTTGAGTTGAGAATGCGTATAAGAAACCCTTGGGGTACAAATAGAAATCCAGTTTTTGGACCAGACATAACTTCTTTGATTGTATTAATTCTTCAGGGATGGCTATGAATATATATATGAAAATAGGAACAGGTTTAAAAAAAATAACTGAATAATCCACTTGCTTTACTGATTATTGTTTGTTGAATAGATCTAAACCCCATGAAAATGTTAAGATAATATATATCAATGTATTATAACATTAAAAAATATGTGTAGTTCTAACTCCCGTAATCTGCACTATTTTAGGAAACTTATCCATCATCTCCGCCAGTTTGGTTTGCTGAAAGCGAGGAGACGAGCGTTACAAATGCCGTGCAAATACTTAGTAATACAAATGGGCGCGATAATCACGTGATTAATCAGGTAAGCATTCATTTTATCAGCATATGTGTATGTGCATACTTATTGATGAAATATAATTATTCTATTGACGCGCTAGGTTGGCATATTGCTACGCGAACTATGCCGTTTGCACAATGTACCACTGCCACCCGATCTAGATAATTTGACCCTGCCGCTGCATACGCCGCCACCCTCTGCGTCGCCACTGCGTTGCGAACGGACTGGGGGACCGCATGGCAACGAGGAAACCGATTCGGATCAAGAAGAAATCGAAGATCCGATTGGAGAGAGCGAACAGGAGAGCGAAGGCGATGAGGATTTGCCATTGGAAATGGACGATGTTCGGAGTACAAATAAAGTAATTATTGAATACTCGTAAAATTTCTCCTCTCATTATTCCGAAATTTAATTTTTGTTAATTTATAGAAAGATGATATGGAAGTGGAACATTTAGCGACTTTAGAAAGACTGCGTCAAAGTCAAAGACAAGACTATTTAAAAGTAAGCATTGAAATACAATTTTTACAGTATTCCACCATCATGATCATTTATTATTATTTTCCTTGAAATTTTAGGGTTCCGTTTCTGGTTCCGTACAGGCAACCGACCGCCTGATGAAAGAACTACGTGATATTTATCGTTCAGACGCATTCAAAAAGAATATGTATTCGATTGAACTCGTCAATGACTCTATCTATGAATGGAACATACGCCTCAAGTCTGTGGATCCCGACAGTCCACTTCATAGTGATTTGTTAATGCTCAAAGAGAAGGAGGGCAAGGATAGTATATTATTGAACATATTGTTCAAAGAGACTTATCCGTTTGAGCCACCATTTGTGCGTGTCGTGCATCCAATCATCTCAGGTATGCTAAGAAATATATACACCTAATTCTGTTTTTACACGGTAGATTGGTTCCAGAAACAACCGTGTAAAAAAAATACTTGATCATATGCAAAAATAGGTGATTGGTTCCTTATCTCTAAAGAAAAATATATAATATTTTTAATTTTCAAACCGTGTTATATCAAAATCGCGTAAAAACAGAATTAGGTGTATACATATAATATTAAAGATATTAATTAATTTAAAAAAAAGAGCGGAATGCTTTATACTTAACGTGGAAATAGTAGAAACCTTCCTATTTGCGACAATGTGGAATTAAATAACACTCATTGGCTCTCTCCTACACAAAAGTAGATGTAAGCTAGAAATATTACAATTGAGTAAAGGTCGTAATTGCTAAAAATCAAGATCTATTGTATGATGAATGAATCGGCATATTGTTTTCCTTAAAAGTGGGAGCAAAATAAAATAGAAAGAGTAGAAATTCAGAGATCTTTAGAGATTAACGATAGGCAACACATTGTACAATAGAGGGGTTTAGTTGAATGATAAAAAATGATTGAACTGCAGGGGTCTATCGCCACATTTCTCTTTAGTAATTATAACTAATTATATTTTGTTCTTTTTCAGGTGGCTACGTGCTCATTGGTGGCGCCATTTGCATGGAGCTGTTGACCAAGCAGGGCTGGAGTTCCGCCTATACCGTTGAGGCCGTGATTATGCAAATTGCTGCGACACTAGTCAAAGGCAAAGCGCGCATACAGTTTGGTGCTACCAAGGTGGGTGCTGTGCGTATTTCCAAAGCTCGTCTCACTTCCTTAGACTATTTGTTAATCGCTACATTTTTTCTTCATAGGCATTGGCACAGAGTCAGTATAGCTTAGCAAGGGCCCAGCAGAGCTTCAAATCTTTGGTGCAAATTCACGAGAAGAATGGTAAGTACAAATAATCTATTCAGAAAGATCAAAAGATTTAATTTTTTCATATTCATTTGAACAGGCTGGTTTACACCGCCCAAGGAAGACGGTTAAGTTCAGGGTTGGCCATGGATGACAGCAGTAGTAGAAACAACAACAGCAACAGCACTACTAATCCACACACACTATATATACATACACACACACACACACCCATGGAGAAGAGGATCGACGGTGGCATTATTGAGGCGATTATAACTCGATCTTATATCAAATGCAATTTTCCAATGGGCTCTCGCAACTTTTCAACATCAGCAGGAAAAATGTCAACAGGACGCAACGGCAGATCGTTAATGTTCCTCGACACATGCACACATAGAAATATATATATACATATATATATATATATATATATATATATATATATATATATATATATATATATATATATATATATATATATATATATATATATATATATACATATGTTCAGAAGTTTTATGTTTCATTACACACCATGTTTCGGAAAGTGCACGACAAGTGATGAAATTGTAAATTTTTGTGGGGCTCATTTTACGATTGTATGCCGTGTGAAATTATGTAATGAGGTATTACATATGTATGTATAGACATATATATATGTATATCTATACATATATAGAAATCTATAGGTATATGTATGCTCTGCAGTTATTATTTAAAAATGTAAAAAGCAAAAGCCGAATGCTTTCTTGTGCTATTGTGTTGTCTCTCTTATACCCACTTACTTACATATGTATGTTTCAGTTGTACATTAAGCTAAAGAGTAACTGTGTCCGGATGTGTGTTTGTGCGCGTGTGTGCGTGTTTGTCGTGCCAAATGGAGAGAGCGACGGAATGCGGCAGCCCTCTTACATATCTTCTTTCGCTGCTGTCTTTGCACATTACATATGTACATATGTGTTTGTGTATATATTATAGCGTTGCGTGCTTATGTTTGTTTTTAAACGAGTCCTCCCCTCCCCTGCTGTTATTCAATTTAATTTTGTACAGTTCAATTATATGCCGGGGCAACTTTTTTGTGGGACCGCCATTGAGATGACAAGGATTGTGGAGATTGTGCGAAAAATGATGATGATGTTGCCAATGGCAGCGATAATGTCAAGTTACCAGAGTGTAAAGGCAATATATAAATATATATAAAGTGTATGTAAATGTTTGTATGGTAATTGTAAATGTAATGCAGGCGAAATTTTCCTCAAGAAAAAGGCATCTAATCTGCTACACCCACACATACCCATACAACAACGCCCACACCACACACAACCTCCTAAAAAACAATAACAGAATATAAATAAAGAAAACCCCAAGAATACAAAAGCCTAATTGTAATTATTTAAGTCCACCTAATCATAAACATACATATTTTTAAGTTTACATTTGTAATTTTATTTTTCTTTTAAGCCTAAGTATATTATATATATATAAATATATTAATACATGAAAAGAAAGATTTAAAATAAATCAAGAATATAGCGTTAGCCTAAAAGCAACACGATATGAGCGATCGTCAACATATAAGCCGTGAACCGAATACGCGCAAGCGTCAGCAGAGAGAGAAAATCTAATGTAAATTCGTCTTTCCAAATAATCGTAATCATAATAAATAATGATAATAATAGTAAACAGAAAACGAAACGAAAATTAGCAAAACGCATATACAGAAATAAAAACAGCAACAATCTTATTGTTACTATTACATAGTTCAGTTTTTTTTATTATTATTTTTATTGAAGCGAGAAAAATTTATTGTACATTTACATTGGCAAATTCTCATTTTAAGAGTATGTATTTAAGTAATATATACACATATAAATTATGAGAATATATTATTAAAAATTTAATAATAAATATAAACAGCATTGTGGTAACTGAAGATTGCAATTTCATTTAACCAGACATCGCTTTTATAATCTTTAAAGCAACTGTGGACACTTGGTGTGTGGCTTTTTGGTTGTTTTAAGCTATGATTGGTGTTATAGTAATTATTTGAACCATCCTATCTCCTATTCAATCTTGACGTTGCTTGAGGTCGATAATTGAAGTTGATTTCGGAAATTCATCTATTATTTGTCTTCAATCTTTTTTAAAACATTTACTTTGGATATAAGCTGAGATGCCCAAATTGGATCTATCTATGTATATACGTTGTGATTGAAACCGAGAATGCTTGATATTAAATCTTGACGTGATTTTTTCATCGTTTTATTTTGAACTATGTATTTACATTTATTGGGACTAACTTTATACTTAAAGAAATAATTTAAAACCGCAATTATAAGTGACCGTCGTTTGGATTACAGATGAACCAATTATTTGCAGTTGTATACAAAGCTTATATCCTTATCATTCCACCAAGACGACATATTTTTCCGCTGCCTTTGAGGGTTGTATGCGAGGCGGCTTTGCCTCTACAAAGGACGATCGATGAGCCTTTTCGCCACTGTCAAGGGAGGCCCCAATGAACATATCCAAAACGCCTTTCAGCTCAAGCAGTTGTTTCGTCAGTTTTATTTCATTCTCCATAAAACCGGACAAGCGTTCAAAGGCTTTCTTTAGTTTTTTGCTATGCGTCAACACATTGTGTTCATAGACGTCCAGCATAATGGAGGCGGCATTAAGGAGCGTCCGCATAAAGCGTATATCACCGATGTTGTAGCCTACGAATTTAATGAATCGTATTAGTTTCGCTTCCGGCTGATCCGTAAGTGCCTGAGCCAAGCCATCGCGATGAAGAAGCTCATTTATGACCGCCACAACAACCTCCGGATTATATCTGACTTTTAGCGAATCGAAAGCTGAGTCCAGCGCTTTTTTATACGCATATACCCGCAGATGTACATCGAAACTCTTTAATTGGGGTCCCGTTTCTCTTTCCCTGATGAAATGGTCGACGGACAGATCGGAACCCGGTTTAATCCGGGTTTTCTGCTTCTGTTTTCTATGTTCTCTATAGGTTGACCTAATTTTCCTGAGATGGCTGGGATGGCTGTGCACAATCATTCTTTTGATGGATACAAGACCATCTACCATGCCAACTACCACAGCCTGATCCTTTTCGGCCACACCTAAGCTGACTACAGCATTTGAATATGTCAGTGTGTGTACGGTCTTGTAGGTACTGACATCGTAGATCTTCACATGACGATCCAAGCCGCCGGAGAGCAGACGGCGACCATCCGATCCTAGGCGGAGACACGTTACGGTTTTATGATGCTGGGACATTTGTGTCAACAGGCGGCAGCCGTTGAGCATATCCCACACCTTCACCTGTGTGCCACCAGCGGTGATGATGATGGAACCATTTGGTAGAAAGAGCATCGATTCCACCGGACTGCCATGATCCAAAGTTTGTACAACATCCGATTCGGATCGGGTGTCGTAAATATTGATTTTGCCATCATAGCCACCAGAGGCGAACATATTTGCCGCCTGGGGATGCATGACACCGGCGCGGACATAATCATTATGTGCATCCTCATAGGTGCGCACACACTTCTCATTGGCCACATCCCAGAGACGTACAGATCTGTCGTCTGCAAAGCTCGCTATTTGTAGCTTGTCGGCGTTAAATAAAGTTCTATGGACTGGCGCCGTGTGACCCTTGAAGAGACGCAAGATGTTGCGAGTGTTTATGTCGAAGAGCTTCACGTGTCCCTCCTCGTCCCCAGCGACCACTAAACGTCCATCTTGACGAAATGTTGCGCCATAGGCGGTCTTTTGAAATCGGGACAGATTCTTCACCACCAGCTTGGTTACCAGATTATACACCTGTACGCGCACTGAACATGTCAGCACAAAGTTATCCGGATCGGCGGGACTGAAGTCTACATAGTCTATACTGCTGTGCTCCTTAAGCAGCTCCGGTTTCTATATACAAAGTACACAGTATGTTATGAATTGTGTTGGAATACGGCTTAGTAGTTGTACTTACTGCCAAACGATTCCAGTATACTGTGTCGGGTGTGACCGCCTGAGCCTTTCGTTTGTACTTTTGTATATCAATTGGTTCGAAGGCCGTCATCTTGGCTCAGTTTTACCCTCCTTATTATTGCGCACGTGGGAATCTCGCCATAGAGCTGCAAAATGAATCGATGCAGAATCGATTTAATCGATGTTTAGCATTTTTGTTAAGCATCGATTTTATTTGTTGAGAATCGATTAATCGTGTAAATTTAAATGAACACATTTGTTTCAAGGTGACGCTGAGTGGCTAAGCGGTAAAAGTAAGTAAAATTAATAATTGCCAAATAAATCAAAACATTACATTTTCTTTTATATTTTTGATTATATTGGTGTGTTGGTGGCTTGGAGAAGAGGAGGGAAACGGATAAATGGATAAATTTTTGAAATCAGGTAAGAATTTATGCCTCATTTAGTTAAGCAGTGAGGGGCACTCCGACATGTGACATATGTATGTATGTATGCATGATTTTTGTTTTCTGTGCACATAAACGCAGCTTAGTTTTAATTAATTATTGCATTATTGTATGTGTACTATTTACATTGATATATTTTTGTATGTAAACCCTTTAGCGGCACAACTATTTACATTTTTTATTTAATTTTGGTTTTTAGGTAATATCAAGGAAGTTGACGAGTCCGTGGAGCACAGTGGCAAGCGTAAGGGAAGGCAAAAGTCCGACATTTGGAATTTTTTTACAAGGCTGCCAGGGGGAAACTCTGCAAAATGCAAAACTTGTGGTTTGGATTATAGAACAGGTGGAAACACAACAATCTTGTTTAATCATCTATTGCGGGCTCATACGACTTTGTCCCATGAGTCGAAGCCTGTGGTGACCATAAAAACTTTCTTCAGTTCAAACAATTATTATGAAAACAATTCCGCGCATAAAAAGGAGCTTGACAAAGCATTAACCCGCATGATTGCCATCGATATGCAACCATTTCGCATTGTTGAAGATCGTGGATTTCGTGATTTCGTTTATTACCTTAATCCAAGGTATATATTGCCCAGTAGGACAACTTTGAGAAACGTGCATCTACAAAATATGTACAACGAAATGAAAGAAAAACTTGTTCTGATTCTCAATAACGTAGAATACTGTGCCGTGACAACGGATAGTTGGACATCGCGGGCGAATGAATTTTATGTCACAGTTACTTGCCATTTCATAGACAAGAACTTTGTATTAAGAGAAGCTGTTTTATCAACGAACAAACTTGATATTGATACCGATCACACAAGTAATAACATAGCTGACTCTTTGCGTGCAGTACTGTTGGATTGGAATATTTTATATAAAACTTCTACTATTGTTACGGACAATGCAGCAAATATGATAAAAGCTTGTGAAATTCTGAAGAAAAGGCATTTGCCATGCTTAACCCAAACCTTGTAATTCAGGATGTATTGGCAAGCGGATTGTCACCTTTTTTAAAAGCAGTTCTATTGCATATGCAAAATTAAAAGCCGCTCAAAATGATGAAAACCCCCTTAGCCTAATACAGGAAGTACCCACGAGATGGAACAGCTCATTCAAGATGATGGAAAGAATTATAAAATTAAACAGTAACATTTCTTCTGTGCTTCTTAGTACTTTAAAAGCACCTCATCCATTGACTGCGGATGACATAAATATAATGAAGGACTTAGTTTGCTTGTTTATGCCGTTTGACAGTGCAACCACCCGGATCTCTTCGAGCAGCACAGTTACAATTTCCGAAATAATTCCGACTACAGTTGATCTATACCATCGCTTACACAATGCAAAACTGGCACTTAAGACAGCGGAAGGAATAAAAACCTACAACTCTTTGATAGATGGAGTTAATCGTCGCCTTGCACCTTTTGAAAATCGAAGCGTAGCTCAACTTGCAACGATTTTTGAACCAAGATTTAAAAAAGAAGGGTTCGGTTGTTCTTCCACCGCCGACGCAGCAGGTTTTTTGTTGCAAAATGAAATTGCAGCTTGTAGTTCATACGGAAATCCGACTCCCGACATCGAAGAGCCACCAACACATCCTGATTATCCAAGCACTAAAACATCGCAAATTTATGCATTTGTGCAGGACAAAATAGCACAAAAACAATCAAGAACCCCGCAAGCAGATGGTATAATATTAGTGAGACAATACTTAGAAAAACCTCACGAGTTGCAGGGCACACCACCATTGGAATACTGGAAGGTAATACTTGTGGCATCTAAAAAACTTAACTGCTAATTATATTTTTGCAAATTTCAGACACATGTGCATGAAATGCAACACTTTCAAAATTGCATCTTTAAGTATTTGTGCATTCCAGCATGCTCCACTGCGTCTGAACGCATGTTCAGTAAGGCGGGATGCATCCTCTCTGACAGACGCGCCGCTTTAAAACCGTTTATTGTAGACCAGTTGCTGTTTACAAACAAAAACCAATGGCTAAATGAATAAAATTGATCTTATTAAAAATAAAATTTAATTTTTCTTCCTTAACGATTAATCGATTTTATTTTTGAAAAAATCGCGATTAATCGTAAAAGATCGATGCTGCCAACATCGATTATTTTGCAGCTCTATCTCGCCAAGCCAAACGGTGCTATGCCATGTTGTTAGAGATGTAACAATAGTGATAGTGTTAGCTGCAATGGTGGTATCGAATCCACCGATACCGCAGACCCAATGCTCTGGCAACGCCGCTGCTGCTCAGAACACATGTTAGAGCAATAACAAGAGCACAAAAACAACAGAAGCAACGGCAACAACAACAGCAGCTCATATGCTTTAAACAATTTTATAAACCATTTGAATTCGTGCAACTCTTTGCAAATTTGTGCTCCACACGCATTAATAAATTTAGAACAATTGAAGTCGCGTGTGTGCGTGGGTTTGTTGGCTATAGCTACGGCGTCTGCATCCCAACAAAAACAGTTCTAGTTCTGCAGCTTCCATTGTCAACATCAACATCATCATCAACATCTGGGCAATCTACATAGAACATCATCATTATCGTCTGTTTCGCTTTTAATTGAAATTTATTTATTTATTGTCGTTGTGCTTGGCATTTGCTGCTCTCGCATTTCACTGGTAGATCCGCGCCTAGCTTTTCGAATGAGGCTGCGTCCGGCGGCGACTGCTACAACAAAAATAATAACAGCAGCAACAACAACAACAACGCTTCCCTGTACCCCTGTACCGCAAATATTTTAATTAAGCCTATGTAGCTGGTTGGTTGGTTTGGTGTCTGCCTCTGGCTCGATGAAAACGCACAAAACATGGCGCACCGCTTCGAAAAAGAAAATGTTAATTGAAAGCAATAAATGTGCGCTACGAACTATAATTTATTCCTAATATAGCCAAATAAAACGCAAACAATCAATTGGTGGCGCGCAAATTGAATGCCGAGCACTACTGAGCATCTGGTCAGTCCAAAGAAACAGCAAGCAAGCGAACAACAACCCAATATGGAGGCCCTCGATATAAACGTGGACTTCAACAATGAGAAGAATGTGCTATGCGAGAAAATCATACGAGACATAAACGCAGTGTTTCTCAAGGATGCAGACCTGTAAGTTATAACAAATGAGAATCAGCAATTCCCATCTCCTAATTATTTATTGTTCTGCCTGCAGATCTTCTTTCGAGATCATACAGAAAGAGACGAACTGCAATAAGTCGCCGGTGGTGCATGTTGAGCACAATTTGGGGCTGGAGTCGTGGTGTGCCCAACATGTTTACGATCATGCGCATCGCACCCTCATATCGCATCGCCGACAGTCTTTGCAGCAACAAATGCGCACACTCCAACAACAACAACAGAGCGATGCACTCGCCAAGTACCTGAACGTCGCGCTACTGATAAATCCTGATGTGACTACCTTCTGGCACATACGACGTCAGTTGGTCCAAAAGAATCGGCTGAGCATTAACAAAGAGCTGCAATTCTCCGCACTGGTGCTCTCCATAAAGCCAAAGTCCAATGAGGCATTCGCCTATCGTCGTTGGCTCTATTCCTTTCAAAGTAAGTCAAGAATCTTTCGTTAGAGATGGTTACAATTATTTTGTAATTGATATTTCTTTTAATAGGCGCTGATGCCATTGATTGGCCCAACGAGATCAGCATTTGCGAACGTTCCGCCGATCGTTGCGCCTGCAACTATCATGCCTGGTCGCATCGTCAATGGGTGCTGCAGAATGCCCCCTGTCTGCTGCAATCGGAGCTAATGCGCACCGAGAAGTTCATTCGAAAGCACATCAGTGACTATAGCAGCTATCATTATCGTCAGGTGGTGTTGTCGCGCGCTTACGAGCTCTGCTTCTATATGCCCAGCAGCGGTCAGACAGATGATCAAACACAATTGGATGATTTGCGGGAACTCTTCGCCCACTACGATCTGCGCTGGTCGGAGCTGAGCGATGAGGAGGCTATGGTGCAACTCCTGTTGCCCGATTTAAACCGTAGCAGCATAAGCGCCCAGCGTTTGCGCTCCTTTCTCTATTGCTGCAACATTGCCGCCCACGACATGCGGCTGTGCGTCGAGCAGCGAGCCCTTTACGGACCGAGAGATTGCTTTGAACTGCATCGCCGTGCCTCGCTCAAGTTTATTGTGGAGCAGTGTGTGCGTCTAATGACAGGTCTAGCCAATGGCGTCTATCTGCCACAAGCAAGCGCAACGCAATCCCTTGAGTTTCAATCCCAGCTGCGCAAATTTGATTACGCATCTCATCCGTTTCTGTCGGCCGTACGACGAGTCGAATCCGAGCTGGGGGACAAGCATCAGCGCTGGTGTAATCTCCACCTGCACTTTGGCTATGAGGAGCGCCGCGTGTAGATGAACGTCTAATGTATTCATGAAATGAAGACAATGTTTAAAAACGCTTCAATGGGCAATCCTAATTAATCAGTTAATAGGTTTTTCCCAAAGAATGTATTTTTATTCAATCAAATCATCCCTTATCTACCTTGTCTCTTTAGTTGGTTATGTTAACAAGAAATCGGAAACAAACACAAGCCTGTGTCTGGGCTTTAAGTTGAAAGCCAAGTTCAAAGCTCATTCTATAATTTTAAACTGGACAACTAAGTAACTAAATCTATATGTTTAATTTTTCCTTATGCATTTTTTTATGAAAAAACAAATTCCGTGATTTTTATAAAAATATCTTTTGGAAGTTTCCGTATGAACGTATTTTCTACTATCTGCATTTAAAATGCCGCCTCAGGCACTTGTCAAATGACGATTTTGAAATTAATAAATATTTTAGTTATATGCTTACACAGAGCTATGTTTGTATTGTTCTCTACAATGCAATATTGCATACTACTTATATACATACATATATACGCAATCTCTGTACCTACACTCACCAACACACACTCATACATATACATGCATGTAATTACAATTATGTAAGCATATATGTACAAAGATCCTTCGACAGTATAGCTAATACATACTATGACACAGTCAATGCTCTAAAAATTTGGTCTTGCTGAGAGCAAAAATAAACAGAATCGCAGTAAAAGTTGGTTAACCAAAACACAATCACTTTGAATTAAAAGTTTAAAAAACAAAACCTGTACAAATGGCATTGCTTTTGTTTAAGAAACCCCCCAATGAACTCTCATTAAAGTTTGTTACAAATTAGTGGCTTGCATTTTTATTTCCACAGTCTATGGTTCCTTAAATATTTACAGTGAAAACTCCCTTGGCCGGACACTTACGGTCGGCCAATTTTTGTCCGCCCAAGGGGAGTGTTCGCTTAAGGGGATACTTAATGTTTAAGGAAAAATGTTCGCCGAAGAGAGTGTCCGGATAAAAGAGGTGTCCATTAAGGGTGTTTCCACTGTATTAACTTTTTTTGGGACTTTCAATCTCTATGGATAATATTATCGTCTCCCACAAATAGAGAGTTGCGAGTCTCTTCTATTGCTGTTGATTTCAAAAAACAATATTTATAGTACATACTTCAATTATTGTAGGCCTTATTAACTCTTTAATTGTTGATTATTATCTGATTATTATTCGAATTTCAAAATAACATGTTTTTCAATTATCTTGCATTGAAATATTTGTGCCGGCGCGCTACGAAAACTACAAATATGTATAACCTAGGGTTCTAGAAAACTTGAAACGCAACTGGGTTGAAATTCAAGTTGATATGGAAAAAAGGTCAATAGAGTTGATAGAGTTATCGGTACAAGCGATTCTTTGATTTTGAAATAGGGTGATTAGAAAAACTGGAGTATCTAAGGCAATGGTTTGCGGGTCTACAATGTGTTAAAAGAATGCCTTTCGATATAATAATATGAAAATAAAAATTGATATTGTTTGAATTGATCTTAGCCCTTTTTATGGATGAAAACAAAGAAGAGAACTATGTAAGTTATTAAAATAATGAGAGTAATACTAGTATACTGGTTCTGCGTATGAATAAACAAGCCTACAAGTATAATACGTTTGGTGACCTTGGCTGTTACGGTAAAAAGCTCTCGATGTTTATACGGATGGACGAACATACCCCTATATCGATTCGATCATATACATGTACATATATATGTATAAATCTGTCTGTTACATACATACGGCGTTCAGCTTTCTTGTATACCCTTTCACCTTATAGGTAAGGCATAGGGGGTACAAATTGGAGATATACTGTATACAAAATTATAAAATACTATATTTCGCCTTAAATGAATACAAACATATTTATTATAATTTGAAAAATAGTTTGAGTCTTATTGTACATTTTAAAGGTACTCCCTGGATGGTCATTTTGGATGCTCTGCTAGCGGTTTGCTTGTAACTGCTGATTGTTGCTGCTGCCTTTGTTGGAGGTGATGGTGGTGGTTGTGGTGGGCAGGATGTTGGTGGTTGTGATTGTGGTGTGGCTGCTGGCAACAATATCAACCACTGCGCATGTGTCAGCTGACAGCAGCAGCAATAGCAGTAGCAGTGGCAGTGGCAGCGGCAGCAGCCTCAGCTGGGCAAGAGAGTGGGAGGCGGCAGAGACGCGTTGGGCGCAACGAGATGACAACAGGCCGTAAAGTGCGTGAAAAGTGGCAGCGACGGAAGCAGAGGAAGCTGTGCCAGCAGTAGCAACAGCAACAGCAGAAGCAGCAGAAGCGAGCTGAGCAGCCTTTGCTGTTCAGTGTGTTTTTGGAGCAGCTTGTGAGAGGCTGGGCGCGCTTTGACGGAATCAACGAAGACGCAGAAGCAGTAAAAGAAAATAAATGACGACGACGACAACAACGACAACGGCGCTACATGGGAATGAATGGCCATCAAATTAGCTGCACAATTTGACCAACTGTGCAAAGTTTTCTAATAGTCTATTATAAACAATTGCGCTGATTTTCTGCAAAAGTCAACGAAAAGCGTACGTACTTATCTATAAGTGAGTGCGTAAATCTCTTCTTGTGTACATGTTTTGTGTATGTGTGTGTGTGTGTGTGTGTGTTTTTGTGAGTTAATAATGCATATAAAGTGAAGAAAGCAGCTCGAAGCTAAAAAATAACTGCGCATACAGACAACAACAACAACAACAACTCGACAAGGTTGATACAAACATATATACATATATATGTATATATCTGCATATATATATATATATATATATATATATATATTTGTGTGTGTGGGTGTGTTGTGCGTTTCAAGCATTGTTTGGTTTTTAAAATATTCATTTTCCGTTTGTGTTCCCTCATTTCATTTAAGCCATTGTTTGTTGCCTTGGCTCGTTATATACGCACAGTTATGCATAAATGTTTACGTGCATGTGTGTGTGTCTACGCCTTAATGTGCCTCTGTGTGTGTGTGTGTGAATTTTGTCTGTCTACTAAATGCTGGCTGGCTGGCATAAATTGAATATCATAGCATACTTTTCAGCGCTGGGCGTGGAAATCGTGCAATTACGCCTCGAATGCTTTCAGCCTTGCCTTCTTGTTTTTGTTGTTGCTGTTGCTGCTGCTACTGCTGCTGCTTATGATGTTTATGTGATATGTGTATGAGTGTGTATATGTTTGCCTAAGCACGCGGCCCGCTGTTGCAGGCTACGAAGGTCGCAAACATTTTCTTTTTCTATATATATTTGTGTTTGAGATTTGTAAATCCATCGATATATATGTAAATATATGTATATATGTGGGACAGGAAATTGTCGTTCTGCATCTGTGTGAGAATTTAAAACAGACGGGCAAGTCGGACAGTAAAATAAATGGCAACACTTTTTATATAACCTGGCCAGCGAAATTTTTATGACAGGTGAATTGCCATACAAATAAACATGCATAATTCATACATACATACAAGTATGTACATACATACACATATATCATCTGTATATATGTATGCACACACATACATGTATATGCACATAAATGTATTAGCACAAACACAAAAACGCCTTCAACTTTGGGTCACGCGCATCACACACGCATTGGTAAGCATAGAAAATAGGAATGCTTTGCAATGCTTGAGCAGGCGCTCGATGTGTCTGTGTGTGTGTGTGTGTGTGTGTGTGTGTGTAGTTTCAAATGGACACACCTGATGATATTATACACATTACATACACAGTTAATGTATCCACAAGTACATACAGTCGAACCTCCTAAGCTTAAAATCTTAAGAAGAGATTATACAAAGCGCTTTCTTAAAACAAAATGTGTTTAATTGAAAAAATGATTTCAGTTGCTTTTATCAAATTTATATAAATGGAAACGTAAATGTTACTTTATTGAAAGTCTTAAGTTTCTGAAAAATCTGCAACGTCTGCTTCATTGCAATTTTAACAGAACATGCACTATTTTTAGTGGGAAGGTTGATTGCAGATGTAGTCCTGGCTCCAAAGTAATGGCAAAATGAAATCGATTCGAACGTGACAAAATATGACTTTTCTGTGGAAATGCTCGTATATATAGTACTATATACCTTCTTCTTTTCAAAAACAATCTGTTGAATGTTAAAATATATTAAATATATCGGATTTTTTGGAAAGCAACTTCTGACTCTCATAGACGATTTAATCATTTAAATGATTTAATCAAAACTGAACCTAATTTAATCGTATTAATTTGTACGATTAAGTAGAAAACACAGCCCTCCTCCTCAAACTTTATGCAATGCACTAACTCAAAGCTAAAGAATCAATTTTGTTCAATATAAAAATTAGTGTCTAGGTCATCGCTAACGAATTTGTGGTGGAAAATCACAATACGAGTAATATAATATATAATATAATATAAAATATAAGTAGTAATATTATTTCCTCCCCCCACCAATATAGCAGTTCCTCACGCAAATGAAATGTTTGTCCTTTTTCTCTGGGAAAGTTACAATTATGTAATTGGTTTGAATTCGAAGAAGTCTCTTCATTTCATTTATAGCTAACCTAGAGTTAAAACTATGAACTAACATAGTGTATTTACAAATATTTTGCAAGAGTATTTTGTACATTTTTATTTATTATATATTTCGTGCATTTTTTGTGGAGTATATGGTTAGTTTTTAAGTTGTCTATTGTTAGGTTTGAGACGATTTCTATAAGGTTACATTTGGGAAGCTAAGTGAAACAATGGACATATAATGTTGGCTTTAAAATTTTATGCATGCCAGACTAAGGTTTGGTTCAGTCTTGATAGTTATTCCTATATTTTGAATATTGTTTTTATACCAATTAGAACAATGGTTGTAGTTTTGAAAAGCTATATTATTATTATAATTATTATAATGACTGTTGTTTGTAATGATAAGAGGGGACTTGTAGCCTATTCGGCATTTTTATAGGAAAGCTCATTGCCTTTTTATGCGTATGTGGCTTGATATCCATATAGATCAGCCTTAAATAGATTATAGTTGAGATAAATCGGCTTAAACTATTTCAGCATTTCTATAAAAATGTATTCTTTACATAGATTTCAATATTTTTAAAATTAATTGTTCAAATTGCGACTGAGAAACAAATTGACGCCCAATTATAGATGATTGTGAAAATGAAGAAAGTTGCAGCTATTGAGGCTAAGCTGTACTTATATCTACAGCATTTATTTGTGTGACCCATGTGGACAACAAATGGCAAAGTTGCCGTGTGCACGGCTCCATGATTGGGACATGTGAGGTGGGCGTGGTAGGAGGAGGCGGTGGTGGAGGAGAGTCTATTTGGGGTTGGGGCTGGAGCGGTGGCTAGGGATGTGGGGGTTTGGTAATTTGGCATGCGAGCTGACGCGTGACTGTGCAGCCATTTGAGCATGCGAGGCCCACACACACACACACACACAGAGATGTATTTATCTATATATGTATGTGGGAACATGAATGAAATGATGTGAAATATGAGTTTATTGTGGGTGCGTTTGTACGTGTGTGTGCTCATGCATAAACTCGAAGGATCTTGGCTACGCCTCGAGCAGTTTCCATGTAGGTAAATAGCTTGAAAGCAGAAAGAACAAAGGACACACACATACACACGCTTATGTGTATATATGTATAGTATATACATATGTATAAATCTGTATACAAACGTTGATTGCATTTATTCATGACTCAGCGCAAAAATAGCTAAAAGTTTAAATGTGCTGCGTCAGTGATTTTTTGCAGTTCATTACGATAATGCCGTCAAGAAATTAATACTAATAATAAGCATAAAAATGCAATAGTGTGGAAATCAATGCCAGGTAGTTATCCTTCTCTATATCACGCCACATAGATTCTATTTATAATGTTATAAATAGTAAAATGAAATCGGTAAGAATATAAAAAGAATACAATTCCATATTCACACTCGTATTCACTATGCACTTAATTCATGAGATATATATCATATATCATTACGATAATGCTCGCAAGAAATTAATACTAATAATCGAAGGTAGGTAGTTTTCCTTCTCTTAATACATACATCGCATACAATATATTTATAATGTTATAAATAATAAAGCAAAGCCAGAAAGAATATAAAAAGGCAATCGAATCAAGAATACAGTTCCATATTCACGCTCGTATTCACTACGCACTTAACGCTTAAGATATATACATAAATACATACATACGTATGTACATATGTACATTTTTCCAATTAGATTGGGTTAATCCGGTGGCAGCCACGTACAGACGAAAGTTCGTGTTGCCGGGTTTTGGAAATCAGTTTGGAAAGCGCTTTATTGATCCATCAGCATCCTGCTGTGGCTAGAAAACAGCAGCAGTGTCCTGGCAGGCGATTTTGCCACCTCCTTCAGTGAGGCAAGCCTATATGTGTTGAGGTATTTCGCCTTGATGGCTGTGAGTGCTGGACAGTGGCAAAGGAAGTGTTCGCTCCTTGCATTTCCTCCATCTGTGGTCTGTTGTGATGTCAAGCTACTTGGCATGGGCGGCTGTGTGTCCGCATTACTTTCTTTGGAGTTGGTTGTTTAGCGTTATGTAGAGCGCTTCTAAAGAGATTAGTATATATTTTGTGTTTGCATGGACTAGGTCTGCTACTTCTCCTGCCAAAGTCGCTGCCATTTCGTTGCCGTAAATTTCCTGCTGCTGGCTGGTAATCAAATAGATATGCACCGCTTTTCAGCAAATTATGGACGCCGGCAATGAGTTTATACTTGTCACTGTCTGGCTGCCCACAAAAATATGAATACGCTCTTTTGTAGCAGGTAGTTTCAGAGCCACTTCCTGTCTCTTCTTTATGGTGAATACTTACTTCCGCTTGAAAGATATGGCAGTAGTCAGGCAACTTATAAGAGTATATATGATTCAGGATTTGCGCAGTTGCCAATCAAATAAAAGTCTTAAGGGAAATGTTAAATGAAGTATTAATTTTCAAATGAGAAAAGACTAATACATTCAATCATATATTTACGATATTCACGCCCTTTAAGAAACAGGTAGATAGCTTCAACCAACTGATTAAACGACACCCAGATCCAGACAGCTTATTACAAAGTCTCATTATTTTATATATGTATGTAACTGTCATAGGCTTCAAACGGTTTTAATATCTCTGTGAGTATTTCTGCTTAGAAGATATCTTTACAGAAATAAGCATTGTGCCATTTAAAATTCTGAAGTATTTATGAATTCAAAATCGATCATCTTTATGATATACGAGAATGTAGCTGCTATGTACTTGCATATTGCTGGCAAAGAGTTTACATATTTTAGTTGAAAGTGTTATAGCGGGACACTTGATTTATTTCTATATCGTCATCGTTTCCACACTTTACTTAATTGGCAACTGTTGCCCTTATTTTTGAGCTCTAATTGAAAACTATACGGACTCGTAATGGAAAAGGGATTTGGAATCGGGTCATGACCTGCTTATGCATTGAAGCTCACTTGACAATTGTTTTATTCTATTTTCAGATACATTGGCAGCCAGAGAGAAGAACTAAGTGAATCATTAACCAACTGGAAAGTCCCACTTGAAAATGCGTGCATTGACTGGGCTGGCTCTGTCGCTGCCCCAGCCTCAGCCTCAGGCGGTGCTGGCGCTGCCAACAATTGGTGACGGGCATTGAACCCGTTAAGTCGCACATATAAGGATTAGCATGCATATGCAAGGATGCAGACGATGGCGGTAACCATGGCGACGGCAACAGCAACACCAGCAACAACAGCAACAGCAACAACAGCAACAGCAACAACAACAACAACGACCACAATGACTAAAGCATTATCAATATAAATGACGCTGGATTCGCAGAATCGCTGCAGCAAGTTTTATTTTGAGAGAGATGACGGCCGCACTTCCATTTCCGGAGTGCCTTGAACTCTCAACCGTTATTTGTCGCGGCAAAAGCAACAACTACAACAGCAAAAACTGCACTTTAAGTGCACATATGTGTGTGTGTGTGCAGTGGAAACAGCGCCAATAAAAAAAGAGAGCAGCAACATACCAACACACACACAAGCACCATTACTATTCGGGACGAAGGTTTCCAGTGGAGCGTGCAATTGGCTGTGGCAATTGAGATAAGCAGCAAGCAGCTGCTGCTACCAACTAATACAAATAGACAACACTAACACGCCCGCACGCACTCACATACATACATACATACTAAAGCACCAGAGGCGTATATATCAAGTATTTAATATGGGCAGCCTTCCTAATCTGCACGAGCTGGAGGAGGCGGAACGCAAACGCGAGAAGAGGCGGGAGTACGAGCTGCTGTTGGAGCAGCGTGCGCGCGATACAAGTCGGGAGCGGGAACGGCTGTCTATGTTTGCGCAGCAGCGCAAGGTGAGTGCAATTTAAAAAAAAATGATCAATATTGCTATCAGTGAAAGAAATACGGATCGAGTTGTATTTTGGTAGTTTCATAAATATCAGAGCGATACATTTCTTTCTAACACTTGATTGTTTTTGTGTTTAATAAAATTAATAATATGTTAACTGACAAGTATGTATTGATAAAGTCAATAACGACTCTATAGAAGGCAGATCATCAGTTAGCTTTTAAAAACGACTTTTATGCAATAGCATCGATATACAAGCGATATACGATGCTAAGCATATGCCTACATTTGATTGGAGCCGTTAGATATATCGATGCATCTGACAATGTGCATATCGATAGCACAGTTCTGAATAAATGAACAAGAAAAGGAGAATAGTCACGTTATAAATAGGACGCAAGTGAAAATGCTAATATGTATGTATATTCAATGTTGATTTTAGTTGGTCCTTTGAAAAAACATAATTAGCATAATAATCAGTTACGGCAATCCCCCATTACCAACTTATCAATATATTTTTCGGTTACAGACAACGTATTTATCCATCTTACATCGCCGTTCTTTATGTTTGTATAAAGGTCATTTGTCGTTTTATATATGTATTTATGTATGTATGTATGTACATGCATACTTGGCAGATACTGAATTAATTTCGATATATTTGCTTAATGTTCGGCAACTTTATTGGCAAGATTTTAAATTAACGATACAGCCTGTTAAACTACGCCTCTTCTAATCCGATTTCTTAACTACTCTCTTGCAGCAATCCTCCTACAATGCATATATCATGGCGGGCTTGGGCATCGGTGGCGGCTCCTTGAGTCTTACTGCCACAGCTTCGACTGGCACAAATTCCGCAGCAGGAAATGGAAATGGCACTACCGACACTGGCAACAGCAATGGAACTGCCGCTGCTATCAGTGTCTTCTCCAAGGTCGCACCACCAATAGGCAACACGGCTACCACAACGCTCAGCGGGTTCGCAATGTTGGGCCTGGCAGCCAAGAAGCATTCACACACGCATCCATTTCATCAGCATTCGCATCAACACCAACATCATCAGCATCATCGTCACTCGCTGACAACGCGGCACCGTGTATTGCGCACCCGTAGCTCCACTGGTGCCCAGAACGTTTGGGATGAGCAGATGATGGAGGTAAGTTGGGGGAGTGGTTGGGCTGGGGCTGGAGCTAGGGCTGGGAATTGGTGAGTGGGCGGCATTCAGAGCTCATCATTTAAACAGCAGCAGAGAGTGTTGCGCGTCGTTTATTATGCAAGCATAAAAGGGGTCCCCTGATGCCCCAGAAGGACAGGATAGCTGGACCAAGTTAAGTATTTATTTATAGAAATTGTTTTGCTCGCAATGCAAATTGTCATTGCCATTGCGACTGCCGTTGGCCGGCATCCATTCAATGTGTCGACGCTTAACTGGAAATATCTGAGTAACAAGAGGCTTACGAGTTCCTTTTATACTTGAACATAAAGCCAAGATTAATTGGATGGGCGTGTGCGCGCTGCGATAGTTACCTCAAAGAAAACTTGGCCTTCAGCAGGAGGGCAGTTGACATTTATAAATTTCTTATGAACATTGCAAAAGTTGCCAATGAAACCATACCAGTAGCTATATACATACAAATATACATACATATTATATATCATAGCAACGTAAATGAGAATTTCCGTAACTGTGTAATGCGCAGTTTTTATTGATGGCTTTTAAAATATGAATACAAAACGGCTGAGTTAAGACCGCTTCATTGAACTTGAATAAGAGATAAAAGATATGTACATTAAGTTAAAGAGCCAAGATATTTGCTTAAGCCGATACACCACTGTGACACACGCTTAGAATTTCCTTTATCACCATTAGTGGGTATAAATGGAACATATATTCTTTGATTATATCCTAAATTTCGCATTAGCCACCTACATCTAAATTTTCTATAACTAACAAAAACTAAAAGCACCTTAAAGCTGTTGAGCTCTGCAGTATGGTTGAAACATTTGATATAGTGTAAAAGACAAATCTACAAGTGAGCATTCTAGTCAATTTTTTTCTCTATATCAGATTTAAGATTGACTCATACTTGTATAGTACTACTACACAAGGTAGATTTCAGAAAACGGAAGCGCGAACATTATTTAACGAAATTTAACTTTACTATAAAAATCCTGAAAGCAAGCGTAAATGGTCTATAATTGTTCGTTCTATTCTATTCCCTGAATGTATGATTTGATAGCTAATCTTTGAACATAAATTTTTCTATCAATGTATAATATGGTAGCCAAGATACCTAAATCTAGTACTTATTAGCATTCTATAGGTTTTCTAAAGTTTGTCGGATTATCAATGGTTTGGTATTATAAGGGGAACACATAATCTTTTTCTGCTTAACAATTTGTATTATAATTTTGGTTTTATTCCTTTATGATTTCAGCACTTGAGCGCCTATTCTCCTATATCGACGCGTTCGCATCGCATAAATCCTGTCTCCTCGTACCAGGTACAGGCCGCTCTGGCCGCATCACGTCGTCGGGAGTCTATCAATAGTTCGATCGGTGCTACCTCAATACGGCGTCTGATTTCGTTGAACAGCCGAAATTGCCGTCATAAGGTCCCCGCCCATGTGCGGCAGAAGGCCTGGAGGCACTTCAGCTGTCTGACCATTGCCCATGGGCTGATGAGTGCGGTGCTGTTGCCAGTACTGGCCCTACAGGGATCTAATTCTGTGTGGCATCATAGGGAGCAGTGGCTACCCGTTGGCCCGAGCATTGGATCGTTGCTGTTGAGCGTCCTCTTTTTGCTGGCTGCCGGAACCAGTCTTGTGGTGGTGCGACTTATTCGCCGGTATGACTATACATCGCTGCTGGCCGCCAGCTATTTAGCAATAAGCTTCTTCCTGGTCTCGCATTTCTACACCTCAATTTTTACCCTACTGCCCGCATATATGCTGCTGGGCCTCTCGCTGGGCATCGCAACCAGCTGCAAAGTGGCGCTTATTGTACACTTTGGCGGCAAGCTGAGCTGTTCCCAGCACGAGTGCACGATGAGCGCTGCCCAGCCGGTAGATGGAGTGCTGTACGATGAGCACAAGATGTTCTGCAATCGGGATCAGAAGGTGCGACGTTTGGCGCGCTGGTTTCGTGTCTCGCAAGATTTGGGATTAATATTGGGGGCCCTGGTGGCATCCTTAGTTCTCGTTTGTACCGCCCGGGACTGGAACTGCTTCGAGAGTGGTGGCCTAACGGCTTATGCGACGAATAATGAAACTGCGGCACAGATATGGCCGCGCCTGGAGGATTACTATAACCGAAATGAGCATGGGGAGCGCATCTGCGGTGCAGACATGTGCCCACTCCGACGTTCCCAAATGCCCAGCAGCGTTGCTATTGTTAGCAGCTTCAATGGCAGCATTTCCAATAGCAGCTCTAGTGTCATCTATAGTCCATCTAGCAGATCAATTTACGCGTCCTTCATCGAAAGCAGCGGACGCACGGGAGCCAACTCCCTAATCGGCATCTACTTGTTCCTCTCATTGGGCTCCCTAGTGCTCACCTTGGCTATTGGAAAGATTCAGGCTACGTTTCGACAGGAGCGCGTCAAGGATGTGGCGGACACTTTGTTATATGCCGGACCTCTTGCCTACTTTGTGGGAACCGAACAGGCCTATATGCTGGGCGACTTTTTGCGGGTAAGTGTCTCTGGGTTAGTGTTTAGTTAAGAAATTTAACAATTCTATCAATCAATGCGTATTGCCGTTATATTACACGCATTCTAATTATTTACCAAATCAAGTATTACGAAATGGGGAATGAGATTTTTAAAATAGAACCTTTGCGCTTGAATTCCACAAAACTTAAGCCTTTATGATATTTAATTTGAACTCCTGTTCACAAAATACGGCACAGAATTTGTATAAAAGTGAGTGAAAATGTTAATACTGAGATGGTCGGTTTCTTTGCAGAAACCACCCTGGTGAGTTTTTATGTGTTGATTTTTTTGGTCGATACTTTAAAGTTTAAACTGTTCGGCTAGCCAAGGGGTTTTATTCAATATGGATGACATTATTTGTATTCATTTATCAAATGGTCGCAAGGCTACCACAACTATTTAATGTCCTAAGATTAAATTGCATATATCCGTTAAAAAATCGATTAAGGTACACAGCTAAATTCGTGCGAGTAGCCATGCACAACAACCGTTTTTTTTTTAAATACCACATGACTGTGGGGAGCCAGTTTCACGCAAACATTTGACAGCACTAGAACACCGAATCGATTTTGTCGTTAACCAACACTGTAGTTAATCTAATGTTTCTGACGAACAATCACAATATTTAACTAGAAAAGCTGATTTCAATCGCATTTATATAAATCCCTATTATATGGACAACTGTTGTGGCGGTCAGGTGCAAAGTGAAAGCATCTACAACATGCTGCAGGCTCTAGTCGACTCCAAAGTGATCAACGTGCAGTTGTTTACGATTGCTGTGGGAATTTTCTTTATGGTGCTGCTATGGAGGCGCTCAAGGAAATACTCGCCCCTCGTTTAGTGTTTAATTAGCCTATATTTAAATGTAATGTACGCAGTTTAGTTTAGCAATAATAACCCCTTTATGGAAATGTGCTGGCTAATGTTTTATTTGTTCTTAGAGTGTAGCACTGTGACGTCATCGAAAATACTGACCAAATGTGTGAAGGTTGATTTAGGCACGAACTGGTTTCGCCTTTGTTTCGATTCAGTTTAGTAACGGATTTATATAATTTGTACAAAAGCCCAAGAAATTCTTGCTTTATTTTGAACAATTATTATGTTACAAAATTTGAGGTCTATGATTTTATGGGATGTCGATTATGGGTAATGGCAGTGCGCATTTTTATGTATAATCTTGTATGTATGTATGAATTGGAAAATTTGTTCCGATTTCGATTGCTTAGTAATATTTTTACTTTCGCAGGCCTTTGTCTCTTGCTCGCTGGGCATTAGCATGGTTGCTGGCGCTCTTATAGGAATGGGCCTCATGCAACTTATCGTGTCCTGCACCCTTAGCATGCTCCTTCGCCATACCAAACGGATTGTGGTAATATGTGAGTATCTGTATACTAACCCAATGTTTCTTCTTTTTACCAGATACACTGTTACCCTACTCTTTATAGTGGCCGGCTTCTTCTTTCATTCCTGCTTGTTGCTGGCTCTGTCCAGTTGGAAACCCTCAAGCGATGATAGCGCCCTCTTCTATGTTATAGCCGCCTCGTGGGGAGCATGCAATGGCATGTGGGAGACACTGCTACTCGCTCTGGTCACCCTGAACCATGTGAACCAAGTGACCGAGGTGACGGCATCCTTGCAGGCTCTTCGTTTTCTTGGCCTGGGCGTCACGTTTGCCGCCCACGGATTTCTATGCGAGTCGGCCAAGATTATAGCACTGGTCATACTACTTGTCATCAGTGTACCGCCATATGCGATGCTAGAAATACGTCTGGAGGCTCAGCGCAAGGCGACGCTCATCAGTTTATGACGCAACTTCTTCAGTTAGTCACGAAGAAGGGGCACTGTGGCACGCACACACACCATGTGAGTGTTTCGTCACAGGGCTCTCAACTTTGATCTATCAATGGACTAAAGCATTGTTCGGACAAACTGGACATTACGGCATGCAGCCCGTCATTATTCCCGAAGAAGGAGAAAGCTAAAATGCTACTGCTGGATTTCTGGTGTCCAGCTTGGGGGCTCCGGAGCTCGCCCAACTGCAAAACTTTTTAAGCCATGGCCATTTACATATTTTATACTGTCTGGAGACTTTTGTTGAAATGAAATCTAAATTTTTAGAGCTTAAAAATTGGCACAGAAATATGTCGTGGTAAAATCATTACTAGACCTAAGCCTAGAACTGTTCTTAGGATTAAACGATATATGTCTATGTATATATTGTCTAAATAGTCACCTACATACATAAATATATATACACATATATACATATAGATATTTAGCATTTGCCAGTGCCAGTAATGTTGTTCCAAAGAAAGAGACAAAGACATGTGTCTCCCTTTTAGCCTATCCCAAATGCTCTCGGGCCGATACGTGGTCTAAATAGTGTGCATACAGTCTAAAACATATGCGTTTCTATTAAAAAAATCGGACCAAAACACAAAGCCAATAAGGGTCGTAAATAAGAATTTAGCTCTGAAAGATCATATCGTGAAATTTGTGGACAGTAGACGCGCGCCCATTTAGACCATGTAGTAGCCACAGCTATTAATAAATGCGAACAGTTCCCCTCCCAATTAGCATATTTTATAATAATTTAGAAGTGCATAAAAATAATTTGTATTATGTATGTACGATGATATAAATATATGCATACATATTATAATTATATACATACATATATATACATACATGATGGAACGGTCCCATGCTGTGCCACAAGGCCTTAGCTTATACACTTCGATTTTGTGCCAAAATATGTCTGTTTATACGTGTATCGAGAATCACAGCACTACTCTCTGAACTGATGTGAGCATAAGTATTCAGTTACAATATATATATCTTCTAAGTACATACTTAACATCATGTGTTAAGTACCTTAGTGTTAAATGTCTAGGCGCATTTACTATTAGAGGTAAAGAACTAACAACTTGTCTAATTTCTAAAGCAAAATAATCCGATTGGTCAATTTTAACTCGTATACATATGTACTATATATATCGTATACAAGTCATGCAAAATCGTTTAGCCTAATGGGTAGTTAAATGGAATTTAAAACACATGCACATATATGTATATTTAATAACAAATTTCGTTTGCCATCCATTAAGTTTACTGCATAATCTAATATGTATTGTGAAACAAAAACATAAACAAATAGTCTACGTATAGCCATGTACTACGTATTGTCTTTGTAGAAGCTACAGGTTCAGAGATAAAAAAAAATAAAATGAAAATGGTGTCTTAAGCTAACTAAACCTTTGATTGTTTAGCAAATAATCCTAATTGTGCGCTAAAGCCACTTTGTATAGTTGTTTCTGTGAAAGTTCCAGTTCAACTCCAGTTATTGCCAAAGCGATAAATTCACACAAATAATATTTAAATAAAAAGAATTGTTGATGACGAGGTGAAATCCTAAAATCTAAGAACGATGTTAACATTTTATGCAGTTATGAACAACATTTTTAACATTTTGTAACTTTACAATGGACACAACAAGTAAACAAACTAACAATACATTTTCAATCTTCGGCTATGCCGAAGCATTTGATGAACGGAATTTCGAACTCAAGAGTTTTGAAAACCAAAAATTTTTTTTTTTTTTGTGTGGAGATAATGAAACTACTGATGAAAATTAAAGAGAATTTTGTTAAAAACAAAGTGATACAACTAAGAATAAATGTAAAACAGAAGAAATAAATCAAATTATAGAAAGTTAAATATATACATACATATACATACTATAAAAGACCTACAACAATGCGAGGGCGAAGGCGGCATGTAGGCACAAAATAAAATTATGAATGTATTAAGTGTACAAGATCAATAAAGAAACAATAAATATATCGCGGAAGAACGGACGTGAGGATATAAATGATTTGATTGGCTGCCATACTCATTTCAAATATCGAAGGAAACGGGCTCTTGCTATCTCAAAACAGTTGTAATGTCTAAGGAATCAATGTTATTTGAAGAGCAACAGTCGGCCGGAAATCGAACTTTCACATGCTCCTTTATTGATGAGATCGCAATCTTCTGCTTCCGGGCAAATAATTTAATATCGACTTGCAAATTGCGGGTGCTGTTCTATAGTATATAATTATGGTTCAATCGGTGGACTTGTTGCAGCTCATTAAACACATGCCATTAGCTGTGTAGGTGCAAAAATGACAATCTTATCGGACTGATAATAATTTCTTAATAATATGTACAAATATATGTAACAGACGAGGAAGTGTTAGTTAGGAGTTGACAAACAGGATGGGAAAATGGTACCATATCGATTACATAGGAGCATAAAGTTATTAGATATCCATTATACTGAAGCCAAAACGTACCATTTTACATAACTGCCAAAGTATATATGTCGAACTTGTGGGATTTTCTTTTCCTAAATGGTTTAGTGTACCGGCGGCTATTACTTTCTCTAAAGTTATCCTATCATGATAAACATAGCACCAGAACATGGAAAAGTCAGTAAAACACAAACTTAACCTGCCTAGGGCTTAGAAGTATCTGAATACCAAGTTTGGTTATTCTAGCTCTTATAGTTTTCGTGATCCTTGCGTTCATACAGACGGACTTGGCTCGATTAAATAAATGGCTTAGAACGACTCACTATTTCTAGTTTTGAGAAAATATAAGCTGACTAACTAGCTTGCTAGCTGGCAGGGCTAGAGCTTTTTCAAAAGCTCATATTGTAAGCAGACTATGGAACCGCAGTCGTAACCGCAACGCTTCTGGGGCCGAAGTATTTTCAACTCGTATGAGCGCATAGCCCGTGATCAGAGCGTATTGTCGTCTTTCTCTCTAATAACAGTTCTAATCAAGCATGTTCGGCACGCCTCAGCGCCCCCCCAATCTAAAGATAAAAGCGACTGAGCGTTATTTCAATTATCCGTAGCGTTCAAGTGTAAAACTATGCTCTACGTATACCTCTCCGTGTGGCTGAGCGTGGACAAGCTTTGGCATTATCACTTCGTAGGTAGTGAGGTCTAGAACGTGGGACGTGCGTAGCGGACGTTGTAGTGTGGCCTTTTCGGGGTTTCTATTCTGTGGCCACAACAAATATACATAAATAAAGAGAAATCGCAGTCAACCGACACGAGTATACTATAAGCATATAGTTTATTTGCTAAGAAAGCGTCGCAGTTATTTTGCCAATCAACAAATATGGCCAAAACAAATAGTGACGACGCTGATATAAGCCAAAAGTTGCAGGAATTGCAGAGCTGGTTCGAAACAAATCCAAATCTTCCGGAAAATATCGGTAAGGCGACTGTATACTATATAGACTCTATATTTCCGTGCTAATCCGAACAATTGACTGAAGCCCATTATCACGCAATTGGCGCGAAACGCGATAGTTGTTAATTAAGTATTATTAACCGTAATTGGCCTTGTTCTAGGCCAGAAGATAACAATCGTCTTCAAGTGACAGCTTTAATTCATAAAGTTGGATAGATGATCAGCACTATTTATGACATGATTCACGTTCAATGCGAATAAGCCGCCCAACTGATAACCCTATCTATCTATCGCACATGCATTGTACATATGTATTCTTAGCTCATATAAGTATAGAAAATGTACTTAAAATTTTCTATCCTAGATAAATGTATTTAGTGCTACGGGGCACAAACTATCAACTTATCTTTCAAGCTATCAGTTTCGAAACCCTGCTTTGTGTAGGAAAAATAAGCAACAAAAGCAGCATAGATTAGTTTGCTCATCAATCAAATAAGTAGTTTCCACATTGTTGTGCAGAATCGATTATAGGGAGAAACCAGTTAATGTATTTATTTATAATTTTGTACTCTGTACCCGGGAGGGGTAAAAATTGTATATTTGATTTGTGCAAATACGTGCAACAGGCAAACAGAGGCGAGAGGACCGTCTGTCCGACTGTATGAACGCCTGTTTTTCGCAAGCGACTGATTCCACATTGACCAAACTTGGTATATAGACTCTTTTAGTACCCGGACAAAATAAGTTTATTTTACTTTTCTAATTATTCATACACACACAACATTTTTCGAGTTATTTGCCAGATCCAATCAAATCAGATACCATTACTAGATGTACTTCAACCTTCTATGTATTTATGTGTGAATGCATGCGAACTCTTTTCAGAGCCCATAGTTTTAAAGCGGTTTCTAAAGTGCATGTTTTACGATGTTGAACAGACCAAAGGCATTATAGAACTTAACTATAGTATGCGCAACGGGAATCCAAAATTATTTCTAGAGCGCAACATGGAGGACGAAATGACTGCCAAAGCCCTGCGGGCATCGTAAGTTGACAGAGAACTATTTAAGTTCTACCAAACAATACAAATATTCAGCGGCATTATCGTTTCAGAGACCTACTGATTATGCCTGGCGTAACACCGGAACGCCACAAACTAATTCTCTTTCGCATGACCGATCTAGATCCCAGTTCGGTTTGTAATGAAACCTCACAAGCGGATGCCAATAATTATTTAGAGTTATGTCTCATAATTTTAGAGAAACTCTGTGGAGGAAAGCAAAATTTTTTTTATGATGGCTGATGCTCGTTTCACCATGCCCGACACATTGCAAGGGAAAGAGTCCGAATCCAGTGAGGGGAACACCTTCGATGATGCAGAAATTGCCGATGGGGACGTACAAATAGTCGATATTAATGGCTATACGATGAGGCACATGGCACGTGTCTCCGTTTTCATAATGCGGGTATACATGAAGTTCTTACAGGAGGCCTACCCATCTAGACTTCGCGCCATGCATATGATCAATTGCCCTCCGTTCTTAGATCGCATGGTGACCATTATGAAGCCTTTCATTCGGGAAGAAGTCTATGAAATGGTGCAGTGCGAACATAAAGTTCTCTATAGCAATAGCAATAACTTATAGTTGTATATACCCACTAGATTCATTTCCATTACGAAGGTCTGGACAGCCTGTATGAGTGCGTTCCTCGTGAAATGTTACCCGAAGAGTACGGCGGAAATGCTGGTACCATAGCTGAAATCAAAGAGCATTGGCTACAGACTTTAAGGGAGAAGAGGTGAGCTACAACATCTCGTAAATCGTATCAATATTTCAGGCCCATTCTTTGGCTAACTCTATTTGAATGCGGTTTCAAATTTTCACAGCATACGCGTACATCCTAATATTTATTTTGGGAAATCTTTGTTGTGAAAATCTTTTAGAGCTGACTATAATTCGAATTTTGATAGTCCCTCGATGCTATATACTCATAAATTGTCAGCATGAGGAGACGAATAGATAGAGTCATGTCCGTCCGTATGAACAACGGGAACTGTTGAACTATAACATCAAGGGACACCAAACTTTGTATAGAGACTTGTCTTATCAATATGGAGGACAAGTTTGTAATAACAAACCATATATTATTTTATTAGTGTTAACAACGTTTCTATCATAAGCAAAGTTTACAATTATGATTTTTCTATCGCACTTGTTTAAAGTCGGTCAACAAAATATATCATAAAACTGCCATAGTAATGAATTAAAAATGCTTAGCCTTACATTACGTGTAGGTTGGGGATGAGTTCTTGGATAGTATTCGCTTATGATAACTCAAGAATCTTTTAAACTGAAGTTGTATTTGGAAGGACTACAGTCATTGAATAAAATTTATTATTTTTATATACTTACCCCTACATCTCTTGTGTATTATAGTGGATATCTAAGCGATGAGAAATACTGGAAAGTCGTTAGTCAAAACAAAAGTCGTTGGTCGTGGTTTTGAATTCTGAAACAGGAACGAAATGATCTATGGGAGCTCCATGTACAAAAAAGATGCCGGAAATGTAGCTACATACATACCTATATACAAGGATACACTGATAATTCGGGATGTTAAATAAAAGACCCAAAATATATGAATTTATCTAGCAATATTTTACAATTTCTTTGTTAAGCGTATATTCGAGAGTTGTATGTTTTTTTTTTTTAATTATAAAGTACGGTTTACTATTTGTAAGCTTTATATTTATTTGTGTATTTAATACATGCATATGTATGTTTGCACTCGTATGTGTATGTGATGGAAATCGATCTACAATTTACTTTGGCATCCAGCAATAAAAATGTTTATAAATCAAAAAGTTTGCTGTACTTTTTATTTCAACGCCGGACATACTCGAATACACGTGTGTATATTTCATTTAAAAACTTGCATTGCTCAGTAATCTAGAAAAATAAATGAGAAACATTTTTCGAGGTACGAGTACACGTGAAGAGTTGTGTCCAAATTTAGCGTCATAGAAGATTCCAAGATGTGGCACTTACTGGGACAACTCTCGGACTTCTTAGCCCCACACAGCGATCTCTTGAAGCATATTGCCGTTATCCTTACTTGCATACAACTCGCCGCCGGACTTCGTGCTGTCTACGAAGTGAAGATCAATCAGAGCAGCGATATATACGAGCCTGAAGGCTTTCTGGGTGCCCTCATATTGACGGCTCTAGGTCTGCGGATGGCCACACTAAACGGGGATGTGACGATGGTACGGATTAATAGTACAGGACTGGTATTGAATGTGACATTTATGGCGCTCTTCTATTGGTACGCCTCGCCGGCGAAAAAGATGCTCATACGTCGCAAATTATATATAGTGGCCTTCCTGATAGCCGCCTTTGTGGGATACTCCTTGTTTGAGGATCCAGAGGCCATTAGGTTTCGTCTGACCATCATTATGACGACCACACTACTGACTGTTGTTCTGCTGCCGCTGCTGAAAATCGGAGAGGATTGGGAGAGACAGAATGTGCGATTCTCGAATCTTTTGTGCGGCACACTTGTCACTGTGGCCTGGACCCTCTATTCATTGGCTATTAGGAACCTCTCGCTGATTTATCAAAACCTTTTGCTGCTAATACTGGATCTACTCGAAATCCTACTCTTCTTTGTCTATCGTCGCAGGAACATGTTTCCCGCCTCTGCCTCCGCCTCCGTTTCCGCCTCCGCTTCCTCTACCGATGTGGTGGCCGTCCGGAGTGTTTCCACAAATGTCTCCTTGGCCATCTGCGCCCGCTGTCGCTCATCGACCCATTAACCCTAAATGGTTGTTCTTATTTAACATACACTAAGGTTGTTCTTTAAAACTGTCTCTGTTTGATCCCCAAGTACAAAATTCTCAGCTTATACCTTTTTTTTAATCTTGTTTAGTTTGTTTATTATAAAATAAAATTATGTTTCAATTCTTTGGGCTAACATTATACAAATAAATAAAATATAACAACGTAACATATGTTGACGAAGTTTCAAAATAGTCTTCTCTGTAATCACAAAATTTGGTAACTTAAATCTGACTTCAGTCCAATTTTTTGATTTAATGAAAAAAAAAAAACAACACATTAAAAAATGTTCGTCGTCGATTCGACGAAGGACAACCATCTAGGGTTAAATATATAATTAGGCGTCACATCAGAACAATAATGGGCTAATGTTGACCATTTAGTGTAAGATTAGTCTAGTGCCTGCCCATAACAGGTAACTGCGCAGCAAGCAGCGTACAATGGGATACTCAGTGTATATTTTTTGAATAATCAATCAATAGATATTGCTGTCTCCATAAAACTAGTATTTTGACTGCGTCTTTAGAGATATAGCTCAAAGAAATTGAGACTAAAAGTGGAGCCGAAAGCGAATATCTCAATAGTATTTCGAAATTAAAGCAATATTGATATATCCTTTTTGCATCAATGTTCGAATGCGGAAATGGAAATAATAAGCTTAGTTTAATGAGAAAATTGGCTTCTGTTTCCACTCAAGCAAAAGCGTTAGAATTGAAACCGAATAGTTCAATCGCTTTTCGGAAACTAGAAAAGCTAGCAATTTGAATTAGTTACATCGAATTCGGAAACAGAAATATGTATGTATTTGAAATGTAAAGTAATTTTATAATTTAATCAATTGCAAAAAGGAATTTTAAATACCGAAATCTCCAGTTTAAAACACTGTTCAGTTTTTAAGAGCTGTTCTATTAGCACAAATGATAGGCACGCTTTTTGTTTAAAATATGCGAATTCTGCACACGATCGGGCGATTAGGATGTTTGTAGAAACACAGTAATTGTACGAGAATTCCGCCTATATATACGTACATATACAACCTTTGAGCGGACAATACGAAACGTCAACCAAAAATGAAAAAAATAGCAATTATAAAATTATTAATGCCGTGCCCAAAAACTGTTGTTCACAATGGCAATAAATAATTTGAATAAAATAGCCAAAGCGCCAATCAGTTGGCTACCAGGCTTCAAGCACAACAGTTGCGAGAATCAGAAACTGCTGTGCTCCTCAGTCTATCTATCAGTTTAGTGTTTTTATTGGGTTTAAGCTTAAAAATGTCGAGCGAAGCCGAAATTCAAATGAGACTCGATGAACTGAACGCGTGGTTTCGACAGAACGAGAAACTGCCACAGGAAATTGGTAAGGGAATACGGAAAGGCAAGAAACTTACATTTAAATCCTAGCCTAATGATGCACTAGCAATGAAATAACAACTGTTTGCCCGCTCCCGCCGCCTCGTTGCCTGACCTATCACACATGAAAGAGGCGCTTAATGAGGTCGTTAGTAAGCAAGCGCGTCGCTTTGCCAATTTTGTTGGTTATAGCCATGCGGCTATGCCCGTTACGTCATAGACGTCATAGTCAGCTCCCACGTCACGTAAACAAAACGCGCTGGCAACAACGCATTACGAGTAATTCGCATACAAAATTCTAAATCCACAGACCGTCTGCTCTTGCGTCGCTTCTATCAGTGCATGTTCGGGAATGTGGAGGACACCAAGAAGCTCATTGAGGTAAATTATACGCTGCGCAATAAACATCCACATCTGTTCATCAAGCGTGATCCATTGGACGAGGACAGCCGCCGGACATTTGAATATGCGTAAGAAGCTGTGGCGTGCAAAGATATATACAAACATGGAAAGTATAATCCAATTAATGTTTATCTATATGTTTAGAGATATATTGCCGTTGCCGGGTCTGACACCGGATAAGTGCAAGGTGTCGCTTTATCGCTTTAGGGACACTCAGCCCTCTAAGGTACGCAGACAGAGGAATCACCCTGAAATGGAGCTATAAACGCTTGTTAATTGTATTTTCATTTAGATGCATCATACGGAGGATACACGCGCCTTTTTCATGGTTACCGATTGTCGCTTCATTACGGCCGACGATAGCGCCAGGCCCGATGTGCTTTCTGAGGGTGAGATACAGATTTTCGACATGATGGGTACAACAATGGGCCACATAGGACGGCTGACCATTTCTACGCTGCGTGCCTATGTTAAGTTCCTGCAGTTGGCGTTTCCGGTTCGCCTCAAGGCGATTCACATGGTCAACTGTCCCAGTGTTCTGGACACCATAATAAGAATGGTGAAGCCCTTTATCAGCGATGAAGTTTACAGATTGGTACGAAGCAGGGTTATAATTTTAAATATGTATGCATTATGGGCTTACTTTTCCTTATCTTCCAGATACGTTTTCACACTGGCCCTATAGACACGCTCTACGAGTTTGTGCCACGGGAGATGTTGCCCGAGGAGTACGGCGGCAACAATGGAGCCCTAGCAGATCTTCGAACACAGACACATAAAGTTTTGGTTGAGCATCGGTAGGACTGAGTCCTGTTTTGACAAAAATTATAAATAAAATTCTAACGATTTGCATGTATTTCAGCGATTATCTAATGGGTCAACAAAATTGGCATGTCGAGAAGGCTCAAAAGCGCAGTATGCTGTCATGGAAGCCCCTCAGATAGGATTAAGGCAATTGTTGCATTTTGATTTACTCGCTTTTTGTTTTGTTTGTTTATATCGCTTACATACAAACTTAATTTAAATATATGCATTTCAGTGCAAATAAAAATTATGTTAAATTGGCAAAAATCGGGTTGTAGTTTCATATGCTTTTTTATTAAAAGCCACATTTAGCACAATTTAATAAATAACACTAATAATAGCATTTATATAAATGAATTCTATGAATTGGGTCCAAGTCCAGCTTGGTAAACAAATCTTGTTAACGGCTTTTTGATGCTCATGCAGTGCTATCGGATATATTTTTATCGATAAGAGCTTGTGGACCAACAGGCATGTGGCAAAATTGTATCGATTACTCAGTTGTTTGAGTACACTATACCGGTGCTATTTGACGCATCGCTAATTGCGGCTGTTTATTATTAAGTAGTGCTAGGTTTTTGTTTTATTTGTATTAATACGAGTTAAAAGCAGAGCAGACACAAATTAACTCACCATGGACAGACCACAGAAAATGCCCAAGGTGGCGAAGGTATGTGAAAATGCAACCGGTCTACAAGTTTTTAAAACTGTAAACGTTTCATTTCCAGGTGAAGAATAAAGCACCGGCTGAGGTGCAAATTACGGCGGAACAATTGCTGCGTGAAGCTAAGGAGCGCGATCTTGAGATATTGCCACCGCCACCCAAACAAAAAATCTCCGATCCAGCCGAGTTAGCGGACTATCAGCAACGCAAGCGTAAGACGTTTGAGGACAACTTGCGAAAGAATCGCATGGTCGTTAGTCATTGGATAAAGTACGCACAATGGGAGGAGCAGCAGCAGGAGATTCAGCGAGCGCGATCCATATGGGAACGCGCATTGGACAACGAGCATCGCAACATTACCATCTGGCTGAAGTATGCCGAAATGGAGATGAAGAACAAGCAGGTAAATCATGCGCGTAATCTCTGGGATCGGGCTGTCACCATTATGCCGCGTGTCAATCAATTTTGGTACAAATACACCTATATGGAGGAGATGCTAGAGAATGTGGCCGGTGCTAGGCAAGTCTTCGAACGCTGGATGGAGTGGCAGCCCGAGGAGCAAGCCTGGCAAACATACGTTAACTTTGAGCTGCGCTACAAAGAAATCGATCGTGCACGAGAGGTATACGAAAGATTTGTGTACGTACATCCCGATGTCAAGAACTGGATTAAGTTTGCACGCTTCGAGGAGACGCACGGCTTCATACATGGATCACGTCGTGTCTACGAACGTGCCGTTGAGTTTTTTGGTGACGACTATATCGAGGCGCGTCTGTTCATTGCCTTTGCCCGTTTCGAAGAAGGTCAAAAGGAGCACGATCGAGCGCGCACCATATACAAATATGCGCTGGACCATCTGCCCAAGGAGTGCACACAGGAACTCTTTAAAGCATACACCATACACGAGAAGAAATATGGCGATCGTGCTGGTATCGAAGATGTAATTGTGTCCAAGCGGAAGTATCAGTATGAGCAGGAGGTGGCCGCCAATCCGACCAATTATGATGCCTGGTTCGATTACCTGCGTCTTATCGAAGCCGAGGGCGATAAAGATGTAATTCGTGAGACCTACGAACGCGCCATAGCAAATATGCCACCGGCCAACGAAAAGAACTATTGGCGTCGCTACATCTATCTGTGGATCAACTATGCCCTCTATGAAGAACTCGAAGCTGAGGATCTTGAGCGCACCAGACAAGTGTACAAGACCTGCCTGGAACTAATGCCCCACAAACAATTTACGTTCAGCAAGATCTGGTTGCTGTATGCGCAGTTCGAGATACGCTGCAAGGATCTGCAACGTGCACGCAAAACTCTCGGCTTGGCCATCGGTACATGTCCCCGCGACAAGATTTTCCGTGGATACATTGACCTAGAGATCCAACTGCGCGAGTTCGAACGCTGCCGCCTACTCTACGAGAAGTTTCTTGAATTTGGTCCCGAGAATTGCGTCACGTGGATGAAGTTTGCTGAGCTGGAGAACCTACTCGGCGACACAGAGCGTGCCAGAGCTATTTTCGAGCTGGCAGTGCAGCAGCCACGTTTGGACATGCCCGAGCTGCTGTGGAAGGCGTACATAGACTTTGAGGTGTCGCTGGGAGAGATGGAGCTGGCCCGTCAGCTCTATGAGCGTCTGCTCGAGCGTACGCATCATGTAAAGGTGTGGATGTCTTTTGCCAAGTTTGAAATGGGTCTCAATCATGGCGAGGAAGATGCCGAGCTGAGCATGCGCTTGGCTCGTCGCGTCTATGAGCGCGCCAACGACAGGCTGCGTCAGTTGGGCGACAAGGAATCGCGTGTGCTTCTGCTTGAGGCCTGGCGTGACTTTGAGCGTGAGGCGAACGATGCGGAAGCGCTCCAAAAGGTGCTGGACAAGATGCCGCGACGCATTAAGAAACGCCAGAAGATCGTCTCCGATGATGGCGTTGAGGAAGGCTGGGAGGAGGTCTTCGATTACATATTCCCCGAGGATGAGATGGCGCGTCCAAACCTGAAATTGTTGGCTGCGGCCAAGATGTGGAAAAAGCAAAAGGACACCACCGACGAAGAAACGCCAGTGGCAGAAGCTCCAACGGAATGAAACTCCATGATACCCTACCGACCAGTTCTGATTATAACAATTAAATGTGTAAAATAAATTTCAGCTTTGCATTAGTTTTTTTCAAATGGATATTATGGACTATTTTTGGGTTCTCCTCTCCGATTCTCATAGGTAGTGACTAATCAGAGCCATTGTAGAAAATGTGCATTTAATAGTAACATTTTTTAATAAAGAAATTATTGATTATTTGTGAGCTCTCCTCCGCGCTTCTCATAGGTAGCAGCGCATTTAATTGTATATTTTTGTTTAAATTTCGGACACTTTTCCATCGCTTCAACGAAAAATATGATTTCAAATAAATTTTACAATACATAAAAACAAATAGGCCTATTTCTGGGTCATTTATTAATTTAAATTAGGCCTTGTTTTATTTTAGCTAAAATCTGTAGATTAATTTTTGGATTTTTTATTTAGATTCAACGTGTACGTAACAGCAAAGTGAAAGCTGAATAAGTAATCCTTAAGACCTGAGATTGTTAAAGTGCTTTAGCTAGGATTTGCAAATATGAATGGAATTACCTGAACAAAGGTTTCCAGCGTGAGCGATATGTAGTTCCCGGCAAAGATCACAGTTGGCCGTTGGGCGCGAATAAGCGTTATTAATAGATTGCTCTTGAACTGTGGCAATTGCTCCAACCAGTTGCAGCCATAGAAAGAGTCCAGGAGCGCCTCGCTTTGTGTTCGCAAGCGTTCACCAAAGAGGCATATAATGAATACCTCTAGGGTGACGGACAAAAAGAAAACGAGCGAAAGCATCATGGCTGACAGGTCATTAGAGTCGGCGACATATAGAAAATGCATTGCCACGGTGCATTGTACGGTGCCGGAACAAATGAATTGTGCCATGCAAGCAGTGGACAGTATTTTCTGGATGATCTCGTGCAGCTTGAGGACACAATTGAAATCATCGATGCAGTTGCGCAAATCATTGTAGACGGAGATGCGCCAGCTCTCATAGTTAACGGCCGTGGGGCGCACTGCCGGATAGCCAATGCGTCGTACGCGCAGCTCCAAGGCGCGCATGTGACCGGTCAGTATGCCGAGATAGGCCGGTGGATAGGAGTCGTTGGCACAATCCTGCGCAGCCTGGACAATAAGGCCAATCAGCTGGTACACATAGATGGCCACGTAGGCGACATCCGATCGATGCCAGTCAATGCCAAACCAGGCTGGATACAAAAGCTCTCGCTGCTTGGCAAAGGCCACCCGCAAACAGCTCAGAATGGTGCCTATGATGAAGATGCCGGCAAAGATGCGAAAGCCAGTGCGTGAGGTTGCAACGGCCCGCCGAAGCACCTCCAATTCCTTGGGATTGTTTACCTGAATAGCTCGCCTATCTAAACGTTGCAGAAGTCTCTTAATCTGCTTCAACTCTTGGCGTACAAGGAACACATTGATGAACTTCAGATTTGCCGCAATGTCCGTTATGGTGATGGTAAGATTCTCGAATAAGGCCTGCAGATTGTGGGCGAAGAAGAGCTGAATTACCAGCGTGAGGGGAAAGAGCAATGTGACCAGGGTATTAATGACAATCGAATAGATGATAAAGAGTCCACTTGAGAAGCTCTTCGGCCGGAGCAAGCCTGTCAATTGCCACACGCGCCAGTGATAAGCCACCGCACTATGCGTGTCCAGCGATTGGTAATCCAATACCGTCTTGTCCATAATGTCGATTCACATTTTGCGTTACACCCAGAAGGCTGCGCCTTTTATGGCAATTCGCTTGAGAATTGCATTGGAGAGCACTTAACTTCTGACCATTATGCATTATTAGACAATCGTTTGTTATTTTGTATTTACCAAAAGTTTTTAATCGTTTCCCCCGTCCTTGAACACTTACATATGGTGTCGGTGTTGCCTGAAATTGTCCCAATTTGAGGAATAACAAGAAAACAACACAAGTTTCTAATTCGCAATATATATTATATATATATATATATATATGTATATATATTTGTCTTTATTTTGGAAAACATTTAATTTAATTAAGGTTCCAAGCAAGCGAAAAATGTGATGGTAACTAGAATACTAGAATGTGATATTGTGAAGGAACTTGTGTGTGGTATGCGTATGTGATATGAAAGCGATTCATTGTTGCGGGGCCGTAAAAACTGAAAAGTCAGAGTCATCGAGGAAATCAATAGTCCTTTCCATATTTTCCTAATAAAAATTAAAAACAAATAACAAGATCAAGCCTGGCCCAAAACTTGCCCAAAAAAAAAACAGATTTAACTTAAACTTAAGGAAGAGGCATATAACGAAATAAAATCGGCCGGAATTTGAATCGTTTTTTTTTTTTTCAATTGTTATACAAACCTTAAGCACAGGACTCAAAGGCGGTCTAAAACTATCCGCCGCCTCTGCGTAGGCATACGTATTGATCATCTTAGCAGTGACTTTCCGTTGTGATCCTATTTTTTTGTCCCCAAATATTATAATTAAATTTACCAATTTCTTTAAGAAAACACCACAGCCTTAATGGTATTGGCACACACACAATATTATTATTATTATTAGATAGACTGGAAGAGTCGTCCACTTATCTGAAGTTCCTTTTTAAAAAAAGAAGTTGCCCGCGCTTCGGACCATCTGTTTGGTATAAAAGCGACATAGGAACAATCGGTCGAAAATATTAGTGTTTTTAAGACATCCTCTAAGTAGCAAATATAAGATAGTTAACCCATTTGATCATTGTAGGAAACATCTTCGCTACAAAAATCTGATTTGAGACAAATAGTGGCAATTAATAGTATTTGCTTCAAATTGTTTTTGTTTGTTTTTCTAAAAAGTTGATCTGAAAATATAAGCTGAAGGCTCAAAGTTAGCTATGTGTGTAAAATATATGTATGTATATAAAGTACGGTGGTGATAGCTGGGCCGTAGTGCCGTAGTTCAAAATATATGTGTTCAAGCAGATATATTTCGGCATGTTGCACATTAAACGCTCTGAAATTTAATTAATGAACCATTCTGGATTCTTTTTAATAATTGCATATAAGTATTGTATTTGCATTAGTTGATTGATTGATATATATATAAATATAAATAGGTTTATATATATTTATATATATATATATATATACTCGTATTGAATTATGATGCGTATGTATGTACATAGGGTTATTTGATATACCTTTTAAAGCAACTTGTAAAGCTCTGTTTCCACTGACCTGGAAATGTCAGGCTAGATCGGTTAGTGCCTTTTTCTTTAATTTTTAATTCTCGTTTCCAGTGCAGTGGAAATAGAGCTTAGGTAGGTATGGTGTGGGGAAAAACTCAAAATCAAATCGTTGATGCACACAAGTGACAAAGAAATTTAAGGGCTAGACATTACCTTAATTCGTAATTTTTAAGAATTAATTTAAAAATACAATTAAGAAAAGGATCTCCTTTACTTGTTGACTCTTTACAAAGTGTAATTTTAGAATTGGGAAAATATTGTTAAATCATTTACAAAGGATTTCAAATTCACTAAATTAGGTTTGTTTTCTTGTTTGTTGTTTTTTGTTTTTACTTTAAATTAAAACGGTTGGCAAAAAGCACAGAGAAATCAAATATTTCTAGTTACAAGCTATTGTTCTTTTGTAATTGTAGTAGCAAAGCACATGAAATTCAAACAAACAATGGATACAAAAGTAGTACGCACGTAACATTACAATCAATTTACTTTGGCGTTACGTAACGTTCAGTTATTTTACTGTAAATTAGATTGCTGCTTTAACTGAGAATTAACATTAACGTTGCTGAGCCTTCAATTGAACAAAGAGATAAACATTTTATAGTACATTTAACACCAATAGGTTCCAGTTCTGGTCACTCATTGATGAAATTGAAATGTTACAATTGCATTAGCTTTACATTTTAATTAAATTTAAGCTCAGATCTCTCAGTCACAAAAGTTGTAACAAATGTATGATGTTATTTTCATTATTCATTTTCAATAGTTCTGAGAGAGATAAAGAGAGAGAGAGAGAGATAGAGTTGAATATGTTCTGCCTGTGCTCAAAAGTTGTATTTAACTATAGTTCTGTTCATCCTTGTTTTTATTTCTGAGTTGAGATGATTTGATTTGATTACTTCTTGATTAAGCTGCTTATGAATTATACAGCCAGCGATTGTATATAAATTCTATATGGAGTTTGAATGCCCTCCTAATTTTCAGCCTTGTTCTGTTGCTGCTGCTTGGCTTTTGTATTTAAATCGGTTTTAATTGTTTTTGGAATTGTTGCATCTTTTGTATTTCCGACCTTTGCGGCGGCGTTCTGATTTGAATTTGCATTTTTGTCTTTGTCTTTGGCATCCTGGAAAAGAAAAGTTGCCAACGATTTTACAAATACGATTTCATTAGATAGATTCTATTAAATTTCAGATTAAATAATTTGAATTGTTGTTGTTGTTGTTGCTGCTATTGTAACTATTGCTGCTATAGTTTTTGTCGAAATTATGAATCATTTGTTCGTTATATTTATCAATTTATTGCAGCACACAAAATAACATTTCCCATCGCACATTCATAATTATATGTACATACATACATAAATATACATACATATGTATATATTTTTCTATGTATATCGAATGAAATATATGTATATAATATACAGCTGAGCATATGAATAGACTGATTGATAGATAGGGGTGGTGGGGGAAAATGAGATTTTATGTGCAGCATTTAATTGCAAATTCAAAACAATATTCTCGACTTATCTGACTTGGGACAAATATTCTCAATTTGTATGGAGATTGGACACAAATCGAGGGCATACATACATACATACATAATCGTATATGTGCACCTAACCATTATGCGAAAACGGAGAGGCAAACAAAAGTAAAAAAAAAAAAAACAAAAAAAAAAATCATAAATAAGGTAAACAAAAACTAAAAACTATTACTGAAATGGCAGAAGTCAAACGTACTAGCTGAAAATATTGAGTGGGTGGGTGCATATATGTGTGGAATTTGAAGGTCATGAGCGGAGTGTGTGAGGCCCGATTGGTATGATATTTGTTATGAAATTTGTATGGTAATTATAATACAAAGAGGAGCCGTCCACCATATAGCATAAGCAGCGCCCCTCCACTCCCCTTTGATTGATTAGTAGCGAAAGCATGCATGTTAGCTCCATATAAATAAAGAAATGTTGAGAAAATATAACTTACCTTGGCCATAACGGAAGCGGCTTCCTGCTTCAAATACTCCTCACGGGCCGCCTCATACAAGGACACAAACTTGTCGCGCTGCACCTTGAACTGAGCGAAAAGCTCATCATCTTTGTGACCTTGCAAGCGTTTTTCTATATCGGTTTTTATCGCATGCTCGGCACGGATTTCATCAGTTACCCATGGCTTGTCAATGGGATACTGATTGACCAAGTTTTTAAGCGTTTTGATGGTGCTTTTGCCTTTGACGGCCTGCTTTACCAGTTTGGCATTGGGTTTCTTGATTTTTCCGCCATTTGTGTTGCCATTCATGTGCATAACGCCCATATTGCCGGGCCCGCCCATATTGAATGGTGGTGGTCCATTCAGAGGCATGCCGCGCGGCGGCATTCGCGGCCCAATTCCCATCCCAATGTGTGGTCCCATCATCGGTGGCATTGGACCGGGACCAGGACCGGCACCGCGTCCGTTACGCCGCATGAAGTGCGGCATTGGACCGCCACCGCCCATCGGTGGCATGGGTCCTCGCATGGACGGCATCTGTGGTTGAAAGGGCATCGGTGGAAATGGTGGCATTGGGCCACCACCGTGTGGTCCCATCGGACCCATGCCCATAGGAGACATCATGTTGCGTCCGCCGCGATTCGGTGGTCCTCCCATTTGTACTCTATTAAAGCCGCCGCCGCCACCACTTCCGCCTCCATTAAAACGATTGGGTGGCTGGAAACGCTGTTTTGGTTGCCAATTATTACCGACACCGCCATTCATGTTCATGGAGCCGCCTTTGTTGCCTCCATTTCCGCCTCCATACTGAGCATTGAAGTGCTGCTGCAGCTGTTTTCCCTTCGGCGACTTTCCTTTCAGTTGCTTCTTCTTGTTTTGCAAACCATCGCCTGCAGATGTGTTCTGTGTTGACTGTTGTTGCTGTTGCACGTTTGTCGGTGGTGTGGGTTTGTTGAAATCTATGTATAATGGATCACTCGGCATCTGGCTGGAAGAATACATCATTTGATTGCCTCCTCTCATTTGATTGCCTCCGCCAAGTTGATTGCCCACCATTCCCATTCCCATCTGGGGTCGAAATGGTTTTTTGTATGGCGCTATTGCAGCACGCACGCTTTGGGAGCGTTGTTGTTGCATTGCCCGGTTTTGTTGAAAATTGTTTCTCGAGACCATTTTGTTGAAACGGCTTGTCCGCTGTCTTACTTTTAGTATTGAGAGAACTAGCAGTTACTATCACCCTTAACAATTACGTTTGTACACTTGTATAACGAGAAAACATTGAAATTCTATATAATACACATATTTTTGTTACGATATCTAGGCCGTAAGTTAGCAAAGGTGCGAACTAGAAGAGCGGGAAGAAGAAAATAGCAAGCCCACACGTCAGGCTTTAAATGAACACCAAAAATATATTTAAATCTGCACTTACTTTCTATCTTATACGTAGATGATATCCAAGGTACCCAATTTTGGGTTTTACCATAGACACATTAACAAAAATGGATTAAAAAGGAATAAACTGCAAATTTTGACGAACGAAACTACGTTTACTTCTTCTCTCTGGAGTTGCCAGCCTGCAAAAGGGGGGATATCGATGCTCCAGCATCGATATACTGTATGCAGCTTATCGATATTATGATTTCATTCGATTTCCGCATTCACTTTTTGTTGCACGTGCGAAAGCATTTAAACCTTATTCTTGAGAGGTAAACATACAAATTTGTTTACCGAAACATGGGCAAGAAAGTGTACAATGCGAAGGCGCGGCAAAATCCGCAAACTATTGTGGACAATTCAGCCATAAAAAATGTAGGTAACACAAGCTCCTGAATGGGCTTACAATTAATATACGATTCCATGTTTCCAGATCCAGATTGAAGTGGACGTTGTGGCTGGCGGGAGTGGAATTGGTGGGGGCTATGATGAAGCCAACGCCTTGGTTTTACCTTCACAAAAGCGAGCGACCAAAATCAAGGTTGAGAAAAGGCAGAATGTAAAGATCTTGACGAAAAAGCAACGTAAACATCTTCAGGGTATTGTTGATAAGAAAAAGAAGAAAGAGGGTGTAAGTATATTATATCATTGATTTAATTCCATAGAACTATGTATAAGGAACCGTTTAAATTTTTAATAGCGTGCCAAACTATTGGATGACTTGGCTGCCGTGCAAATTCCCGAAGCGGAGCTCCAACAATACACATCAATCAGCACAGTGCAAACAGTTGGTCTGAAGCGACTACAAACGTTGGATGAATACTTGTCCAGGAAAAAGGAGAAGCAGTTGCAAGTGCAGCAGCTGTCGACCAGTGGCAGACGTGTGAATGCCATCAAAGGTGCAGCCAAGCGGAAGCTGCTTACGGAAGAGCAAGACGAATTTGACTCTAAGCGTAAAAATCCGAATGTTGTTGGCATAGATGACGATGAGGACGATGATGATGATGATGACGACACGAGTGAGAGTAGCGATGCTGAAAGCGGAAGCAATAAAGCAGAAACAGAAGCGAAAGCAGACGTTGTTGCACATACCTCGACAGATGCTGGAAAGGAAACAATCGCCCCACAGCCACCCCAAGTGAAAAAATTGAAGCCGAAGACAGCGGCTAAGCAAGGGATTCTGGCACCTGCCCATAAAACAATCTATGTGCCCGTACATCGTACCGACGAGGTGCAAGCAGCACGCCACAAACTTCCCATTCTCGCCGAGGAGCAACAAGTAATGGAGGCCATAAACGAGAATCCTATTGTGATTGTGGCTGGAGAGACGGGCTCAGGCAAGACAACACAAATCCCCCAATTTCTCTATGAAGCTGGCTATGCGAGCAACAAGATGATTGGCATAACAGAGCCACGACGAGTGGCCGCTATTGCCATGTCAAAACGTGTGGCATACGAAATGAATCTCTCCGCCAATGAGGTGTCTTATCTCATTCGCTTCGAGGGGAATGTGACGCCAGCGACACGCATCAAATTCATGACTGATGGTGTCCTGCTCAAGGAGATCGAGAGTGACTTTATGCTGAACAAATATTCGGTCATCATACTGGATGAGGCGCATGAGCGTAGTGTCTACACAGACATATTGGTCGGCCTCTTGTCCCGAATAGTTCCGTTGCGTCACAAGCGCGGCAGTCCGCTAAAGTTGATTGTCATGTCTGCCACCTTGCGTGTCAGTGACTTCACCGAGAATGCACGTCTCTTCAAGGTGCCGCCACCTGTGCTGAAGGTTGAGGCTCGACAATTTCCCGTGACCATACATTTCCAAAAGCACACGCCTGACGATTACCTGGCCGAGGCGTATCGCAAGACTGCCAAGATTCATTCACAACTGCCCGAAGGTGGCATTCTAATATTTGTCACCGGTCAGTTAGAAGTGAACCAGTTGGTGCGTAAGCTGCGACGCTCGTTCCCCTATAATGCGGAGACTGCAAAACAAACGGCAAAAACGCCACTGGCTAAGGAAGTCCCCGAAACATCAACCGCCAGCAATGCGGACAATACGGAGGATGCTTTGGAACAGGAGTTCGACATGAAGCGTGTGATAAGAAACATTCGAAAGACGAAGAAGAAGTTCCTTTCTCAAATCTCCCTGCCCAAAATAAATCTGGACGATTATAAGTTGCCAGGTGATGACACGGAAGCAGACATGTATGAGCAAGCGCTTGGGTCAGAGCGCGACTCGCAGGCTGGATCAGATCTAGACGATGCGAGCGATGCGGATGACGCCGATGGTCTGGGCTCTGCTCTCGATGAAGCAGTTTCTAGCGCATCGAGGCAACCTATGTGGGTGCTTCCACTCTACTCGCTGCTCTCGTCAGAGAAGCAAAATCGCATCTTCCAGCCAGTACCAGAGGGCTGTCGACTGTGTGTGGTCAGCACGAATGTGGCCGAAACGTCGCTTACAATACCGCACATCAAATATGTCGTTGACAGTGGTCGTCAAAAGACACGTCTCTATGACAAGATCACAGGTGTGAGCGCTTTTGTAGTTACCTACACGTCCAAGGCATCGGCCGATCAGCGAGCAGGTCGTGCCGGTCGCGTCAGTGCCGGCCATTGCTATCGTCTCTACTCCAGTGCCGTGTACAATGATCTCTTCGAGGACTTTGCGATGCCCGATATACAGCAGAAGCCAGTGGATGATCTAATGTTGCAAATGCGTTGCATGGGTATTGATAGGGTTGTGCATTTTCCTTTCCCATCACCACCGGATCAAGTACAGCTGCAGGCTGCCGAACATCGTCTTACAGTGCTAGGCGCCCTGGAGGCGAGGAGCGCAACTGAAGAAGCACAAAGCAGCAGTAGTGGCGACGGCAAAGATTTGCCTCCAGCAATCACACAACTTGGTCGCGTAATCTCGCGATTTCCCGTTGCTCCACGCTTTGGCAAAATGCTGGCACTGTCGCATCAGCAGCAACTCCTGCCCTACACCATCTGTCTGGTGGCCGCGCTTTCGGTGCAGGAGGTGCTGATTGAGATTGGTGTGCAGCGCGACGAGGATGTGGCCCCTACAGCCAACAAGTTTCACGAGAAACGCCGGAGCTGGGCGGCCAGTGGAAACTATCAACTATTAGGTGATCCCATGGTGCTGCTCCGAGCGGTGGGCGCTGCCGAATACGCCGGCTCTCAAGGCAAACTGGCCAGCTTTTGTGAGACCAATGGTCTGCGTCAGAAGGCCATCAGTGAGGTGCGTAAGCTGCGAGTGCAGCTCACCAACGAGATCAACTTAAACGTCAGCGGTGCAAACGTGTGTGTGGATCCTGAACTAAAGCCGCCTACGGATGCGCAGGCACGCTTCTTGCGACAGATTCTGCTCGCTGGTATGGGCGATCATGTGGCACGAAAGGTCCCGCTTAACGAAATCGCCGATAAAGACGAGCGTCGACGTCTTAAGTATGCCTATAACTGTGCCGATATGGTGGAGCCGGCCTTTCTGCATGCCTCGTCGGTGCTGAAGCAAAAGGTGCCCGAATGGATTATCTATCAGGACGCCTACGAACTGCAGAACGGGGACTCCAGCAAGATGTTCATACGTGGCATCACAGCCATCGAGCCTGAGTGGCTGCTTCTTTATGTGCCCCTGCTCTGCAATATACGCGATGTGCGTGAGGATCCCGCGCCACGTTACAAACCATCGGAGGGCAAAATCTATTGCTATGTGGACGCCACTTTTGGCAAGGCTGCCTGGGATCTCCCATTATCAGAGGTGGAGATTCCGCCCAGTGAGAAGGCTTGCTGGTAAGTGAACTGATCATCACTCTTCATTTAGTTTCAACTTAAAAAGCTTATTTATTCTCTTCTAGTTACTTTGCCATGTTTCTGCTGGAGGGTAGTGTTTGCCCCAAACTGGCCGAATTCAAGCCCAAGCTGAAGTCCACACCCGGCTCCATGATCAAGAGCTGGTCGAACATGAATGACAAGGTGTTGCGTTTCAAACGGGCACTGATCAGTAAAAAGATTCAAACGCGCCAAGCCCTGCAGGCTGCATGGGAAAGAGACTCCAACTGTACGTGTGAAAATAATCCTAAAAAAAAACGAAAAACCCTATAATGAGACCTTTCTTATTTGCAGTTCTGCTAGAAGAGTACCAAAATTTACTGTACGATGTGGCGCTAAGCGAGTTAACGCCCATTTGGCCACCAGCTGTAGCCGAAGCTGCGACGTGAGTTGATCGAGAAAACTTCTCTTCCACTGGAGACTCAATTTGTGTACATAAAATTATAGTTTTTAAATTGTGTTATATGTTTATTAGCTTGGAATAAATTTGATGATGTAAGAAGATAGAATCAAAGCTCTCCTCTGTAATCACTTACTGCACAAGGCATGTCTTTCAAACTACTATAGCCAGCCATTTATTTGAAAGGGTTATTTTGTATTTGTCGATGGTCGTGTGCAAGAAAATTGTTGGCCATACTCGTTTTTTGTGCCGTCACAAGATTTCTTAGCAAATTCAATGGATGATATCTATTGTGTTGCAGATAGATGTTAAGAATTTTGCATAGCTATGTAAGGTATTTGATTCAAAAAGGGTCCTTGGCTTTTGTCGAGTTCGTATCTGTGTCCGATTCTGTGCCTTTTTGTGAGGTCGTCAATTGCCATCTTGGTACAAATTTCACAATTAAGTTTAAGAAATTTTAGTTTGTCAATTCACTGTCTAGTTTGCACGCACATTTTTAAAAATTAAACGCGCTATATTTAATTTGTATAACAAGTTTCGTTTTATTTTGTTTTATTGTAATTGTTATATTTCATAAATATTACATATTTGTTTAATTAAAATGAAACGAAATACAAAAAATTTGGAGTGGGGAATAAAATTGTTGTTAACAGCTAATTTTCGATAGTTGTTCCGTTTGAAATTTTTCCTTTAAACATATAACTACTCATGTTTTACAATTATTTAAAGTTTCGTTAGTTGTTGCTGCTTGTCTTTGCTATATTATTGTTAATATAATTACTTTTTTACAGGTGTATTTGTGTGTGGGTGTGTGTGTTTGAGATTGGCTAGGTGTGTTTCAAACAGCATACAGCGCAGATCGGATATAATGTACTAGTAGTTAGTTATAGTTATATTACTTATATACACAAAATGCCATGCCCTGCAACAGTGGTGGCAGAAATTGTGAGCTTTGTACACGCAGCAAAAATATGTACCTATATTGTATGCATAACATGAATTATTATATGTACTTATTAATTGTTTGCTATTATCAATTGCGGGCCGGGCCGTTAGCAAACTTTGTTCGTCTGATAAATGTGAATATATATATATATTTGCATATAACTATATGTATATGCCATTTCATTATATGGTAAATATGTATTTATGTGTGTATTTATATATTTGCAGTGTGTTTGTCTTGTAGTATATGGTTTGATTTCTTTCTTTGCTGATTGCTATATACAATTCTTTGTTGGTTTGTTTTTACAATTAGTTTTGAATTTGTTTAAAGTGCATGCCTATGTGTGTATGTATATACTATATTTCATTATTATACACTCTATTATAACATGATGATTTTTGTGTTTTTCGTTTTTGTTTTCAAATTCTCTGATTTGTTGTTGTTTGACACTTGCAGTTAGTTTGTAATTTGCTGTTCATTTGTTTTATTCTCGTTCTATTATGTGTATACTATAGTTAATTTATAGAGTACAATTGTACGCTAGATGGCCATATATGTATTTATGTATGAGCAGTTGTGTGTGACACACACACACACACACACATCTGCACATACATTAGTGTACATATATGTACATTTCGATTTTTACATATAAACGTGTGTAGAAAAAATCAGTCTAATTTATTAAGGCAACGCGAGAGCTTTACATTCCATCATCATCTTTATCATCGATGATCATCGTCTTCGTCAGCATCATCGTCTTTATAATTGTAATTATCATCGTTGATCAGCAACTTTACTTAACTTTCAATTGTTTGTTTGTTTGTCTCTTATCATTTAAATTCATTTAAATTTTATAATGTTAGTTGTACGGTTACATACATAGTTACATAATTTATTGATAGTATTTTTAAACATTAACAATAGTTTTGGTATGCTTTGTGTTTCGTTTTTGTTTGTTTGTTTGTTTGTTTTGCTTTGTTAGTTTAAATTAATTTTTATAAATTCCTTGTTAAATTGTGAATGAATCTATTGGCTAGGGAAGAAGTATAAAGGACAAATATTTTGTTTTCTCTCTTTTCATTTTCCTTTTTTAAATTAATAATTTAAATTACATATTTTGGATGTACATTCCTTGTTTCAGCTTCTTTGTCTGTTACTAGTTTTAATTTTACATTTATTTATACACTACACATATACATACATATAAATATATATTTATATATATAATATGTGTTATATATTTGCGCTCTTTTTCTCCTTTGTTATACATGAGTACAAGCCATAAATTTGTTAAATACTAAAAAAAATTGAATCTGTATTGTATTTTCGATAGCTTTCCATTTCTCCTCTTGTATATTTGTTGTATTTTATGCATATTAGCTAAATATATTTTTCTTGTATATATTTTTTTTATACATATATATCAATCAATAATTTTTATCTACATTTACATACAGATGTCTAATTATATTTTGTTGTTAGTGAAAAAGCTAATCAAACCGTTATACATTATATTCAAGTATGTATGTATGTTCGAATATGTTTGAGTTTTTTTTTTTTAAAGCGCGCCTATATAACAGAATTTATGTATATACAAACATTTATAAAACATGCGCAGTGGGTTTTAACTTTTAACTTATACAGAAAAAAAAAACATATTAATGATTTAATTTAAAAAAAATAGTAAGCTTGTGGGCAAGGTAGGAAGATGTTGTTTGGATTTATATGTCTATATATATGCATCTGTTGGGTTAGTAGAGTGGGGAATTATTAATTGGAATTACGTTATAGACACACACAGCCCGGAAATTGGAAATATTTGTGGGCTATCTTACCTTCAAAAGCGAAAGCATGGAAAAAGTCGTGAATCTTAAATATGATATTCAAGCTTAGATGTGTGTATGTATGTGTGTGTGTTTGTTGGTGTGGCTGGCAAACAAATGCAGTTGCTAGTTTTTTTCTCTTTGCCTAGATATGGGACCAATCATTACTAAACTGTAGTTCCATTTTCATGATCATGCTCTTCAGTTCGGGACTCGTTCGTTGTTTGTTCATCGCTTGGCGGCACGGCAGTGGAAGCTGATGTGGATCCCGAATCCTGTGACTCAGTTGGCTCTGACAATGTTTGCTCGTCAGGTTGTTTCACTTCCTGCTCCTCGACGGGCTCCAACTCGATGGCATCAGAAATGACAACGCCGGGAATGGCCACCGCCACGGACAGCGACTCCGTCTCGGAGGTGCCAGCCAGTTCAACCTCCTTTATGGACATGGCATCTACATCAGATTTTTCTTCCTCCACTTCTGTCTTAACTTCTGACGTGGTCACAGCTTCCAATTCAATCGTCCTAATTTGCTCATCTGGCTGCTGCTGTGTCGCTATCGCCTCCTCGGTCGCTGCGTCCGGGTCTGTCTGTAGCGCAGCTTCAATTTCCGCTTCGAACAGCATGCCATTGGCCTCCTGCAGGCGTCTGCTCTCATCGAGCTGCGACAGCAGTTCCGGCGGTATCTCGCCCGTGAAGTCGAAACCCTCGAAGGCATCCGCTGAAGCTGTACCCGCTGCCTGCTTCTTTTTGTCTGCAATCAATTTCCACATGTTGAGCAGCGTATTGAAGGATGGGCACAATCCACGTGAAGTTGTCGCCACCGTTGCCGCCGCCGCCGCATCCTCCTCCTCATCTTCAGAGCTGCTGCTACTCACTGCCTGTATTTTGGGTTTGTGCAGTTTGCTGGACTTGCTACTGCTGCCAATTATGGGCGTAAGGCCTGCGAGCTTCAGTTGCATGTTGTACTCATGGAAGTCACGCTGGATGGAGCTGCGCCTGGAAATGACCATCTCCTCGCAGCTGCCCATGATTTGATTGTATTCGCGAAGTCCCAGCTCTTCGACAGGCACATAGTGCTCGCCGATCTCGACAAGGTAGACACAACGATTAATGTGCGAGCGAAAACGGGCATCGGTGTGGTTAGGAACCCAGCAGTGCACCACGTGTCCGACCATGCCGGCACTGGGCTCCCAGTCCTTCCAGGAGAGGCGACCGCCATTGGAACGCATGCGTTCGCTCGGCCATACAACGGCGTCAATGATGTCTAGACAATCGTAGATCTGCAGGAAAGGACAAAAACATTAGCTTGAAAGAAACTGTGGTAGGTTTGTGGTTCACTTACGCCTGTGTCATCAACAATAATGACCTTTTTGAAAATTTCAATGCGCGGCTTGCGCGGCACACTCGTGGACAACACCGTGCTGTCGCTGACCAGAGCGGCAGCTGTCAAACAAATGGGTCCCTTAGTCTTGCGCGGATAGTCGCCCGGTGTGGTGATGATATTACCGATGCCTAGGCTGCCGGAGGAGGAAGAGAGTTTCGTGAATCGTGGACTGCTTGTGTAGCTTAGCTCGCCAACGGGCTCGTTCTCAGTGAGCTCCGCTCCGAGTACCTCTTTAGTTAACACTTCTGAGCCGGCACCCGAACTAGCACCACCACCAACAGCAACACCACCACTGGCAATGGGCAATGTGGCGCGTCGTTCATGATCTCGTCCTCGTGTTGTTGTTGCCTGCAGCTGATTGTTTCGACCACGTGGTCCGCTGCTGCTGGCACGCACCGAGCCCGAGGCCACATCTCTCAGAGCTTCGCCGCGTTCCTGATCCCTCTCGCGGTTCAGCAGACCAGCTATTAGGGTGGTGGAGGTGGGCTTGACGGGCATGACGGCTAAGCCTCCGCGCACGACCGCCAAACTGTCACTCACATAGCTACCACCTAAATTTCCGGCTATGCCCGCCACATTCCCGGACCGCACGCCATAATAGCTGTTGACGGTGAGCGTATTGTAGAGTGGCGCCGAAATGAACACAGGAGCCAGATCCCCAGATTCGCCACCAGCACTGCTACCCGTTCCTGCTACTGCAACACAACCACCGCCAGCACCCCCCATACTGCCTGTGCCGGTGCCGACACCACTGCCGCCGCTGCCGAAATTGCAGGCCCCCAGCTGCATGGAGGCCTCCATGGCCGATCCTGAGCTGCAGCCCTGACGACAGCGTTCGCGGATTCGATGCCACCAGTCCAGCACTGTTTGTCTGATCGTCTCCAGCGTTATGGCGCCACCAATCACCTGGCACAGTTGGGTGTTTGTGTCTGCATACGAGGTAGTCAGCGGGGACACATAGATGGGATAGCCAATGGGTTGGTCACAGCTGGAATTGATGATGTTACGCAGCGCCTGCTTGGCATTCTGAATGCTGCCCCTTTCCGGATTTCGGTTTCGCAGATAGATGAGCTCCTGCTGCTGGCCCGCCCACAGACCACGCACGCACTCCCTATTCAGCTTGATGACCCGAAAGCTTAGGAAGCGCTTGGTCAAACGTATGATACGATACTCATCGGAGCCATCCTCCATGACATGGCGCAGCGCCAACAGATTGGGGGCGCCTCGCAACACCGCACTGCGCCACACGGGATCTGCCTCATGCGAGATTACCAGCTCCTTGGAGCTGGAATCAATGGCATCGTACAGTGCATGAGGATCGAGAAACTCATCCGGATTGGTGATGTGATCCTGCTGAAGTTTGAGGGCCATTTTCACGGCAGGTGCAACCACTGCATGCAACAATTCCATGTCAGCAAAAACCCATTCATCCCGTGGCGAGGTGATACGGAAATCCCCCTTAAATAGAGCATGCAGTCCATGCAGAAAGAATTCCACACCCGTCAGCGAACTATGGGATGCGGTGGCCAAAGAGCGGCGGGCCAACAGACCGAGCGCTAGGCAGAGGGAGACCAATGGCGCATCCTTTGCCACACTGGCCGCCTTTACCTTCTGTGCGGGCTTTTCGCGTCCAGCTGGCGGTTGTGCTGTTACCGTCGCCGTCGCTGCTGCCAAGGCGGCTTCGTTCGCAGCCAACGATGCTGCCGCCGCTGCTGCTGCTGCGCAGGAAGATGTCGTCGTTAGCCGCCCATCGGCACGTGGGGAGTCCTCCTTAAGCAGTTGCTTGACCGTCGTCTTGGACAGTTTAACAAACACGTTTTGCTCCATGTAAGTCACATAACCACCGAGTCCGGGCGCACTCTCTGATGTCTGCCGCGAGATGTTGGCAAAGGATTGGGAGCTGCTCATGTGCTCGGCAGAGGAATCATTTGCCACACCATTCACTGTGCTGCTGCCGCTCATGGTGGCGCTTTTTTGTGGCCGTGCCGATCGTAGTTGTTGCTGAGACTGCGACTTGGCGTGGGGTGTGCTGCTGGCCCCGTGGGTGGACAGATTGGGAGTGCTCTTCGAATCGTTATAGGCACCACCAGTGGCTCCTGCGCTGCTAGCCGCTGGCACATTGTTGCTTGCCATGCCGGATGCTGTGAAATTCCCTGCCTGAGCACTCGTTGTTGTCGTCGTCGCAGCGGCTGTTGTTGTTGATGTTGCTGCTGTTGTTGTTGCTGTGGCAGCTGCTGTTGTTGTTGCTGTTGCCCCGGCAACGCCTACTCCTGATCCCGCAGCTGGTGTAGCTGGCGCTGTCTCTTTGGCGTTCTGACTCTCCTTACGCTTGTCCACACAATAATTAATCCACTTGAGGTACACATAACAGAAGCTGGAGCGCGTTATTCCCACAGCCCGAAAGTCAAAATCCTCATCCAGATTGAAATTGAAAATGGGATCCAGATCTACAAATTGACGGCTCAATGTGTGCTGCAAGGCGTCCTGGATGGGACCCGGTGCCAACCATTGCTCCAGCTTCGGGTTCTTCACAACATAATAGATGATGCTCTGCATCGGAAAAGAGAAACGTTCTAAATTAAAATGTTCGGGAAATGATTCTTGCAAGAAAAGTTTCTTTATAAATTGATTGCCTATTTATTATTTAAGAATGTTGTTGATACAAGAAGTTGTAAATTATTGGAACTAATTTGGGTTTCAAGTTCAAGTGAAAAACCGCCATGAGGCTCTATTCATTGATATATGTATTTTGATTTGAACAGACTAGTAAGACACGAAGGATACGGATCTATTTGGATGTTGTATACATTATGCGCGTTAGCTAATGATGTGTAATATTGTGGTAGTATTACACCACTATTGTGAGTGTTTTCCTCACAATACTATATATGTATGTCCAAAACTCACCTTTATGTAGTATGTAATGAGCACCTTTCGATACTCAAATACCTGCAGTGTAGCACTGGCCAGATTATCTGATATGGAGTAGCCCTCGATCACATACTGAGCAGCGACCACCTGCCAGGCGAGCCAGCGTGTGGAGAACATAGCATTGGCACTAAGCATACGCGGCAAATGTCCTGGATCGCAGCAACAACAACCATCATTGTCCTCCACGTCCTCGGTGATGGCTTCGACCTCGCGCTGTTGGCAGTAAGTGCCCCTAAACTCCAGACCGCGCATCTGAAATGTGCAAAGTCCATTGCCCAGCTCTATGATGTGTACCAGACAGTTCAAAGCGTCCGAAGCGAGCACTAAAATAGAGAAATTCATAAAACTAGAGACGGGAAAGAGAAGAATAGTTTTCAATAGTTACCAAAACAATCGCCCTGATTCACGTTGCCCCAACGGCCCATTAGGAGATCGCCGCACAGGGAATGCTGCAATGAGCGCGTGAGGTGCTCATAGAAAATACTATTCAGGTTATTATCATCGGCGCCTAAATCGCGTTCCAATTGAGAGCTTAGACGTGTATTGGAGTGATCGATACGACGTGTGTTGTAGTCACGCTCCCAGAACTTAATGGGACGCACATATGAGGTGAGGAAAATGGCACTCCCCAGAAAGGGATTCAAAGGTGTGGAGAGCACAGCTGAAATGGCTGCCTGCAGAAAAAGCATGGCGGAGTGAGGGACACTGAAGGGCTGCGCAAAGGCATGAAAAGCTGAACCCCAAGTGATCTGCCAGGGCGCAATGTATGTGACGATAAATTGTAGCTACAAATGAAGATGAATTGTATAATTTAAATATATATACATATACAAATAACGGGACTTACTTTCAAGAGAAAATCGCAGCATTTGCGAAAGGCGAGCGATACGAAGAAATAATCTATGATGAATGTTTCCGTCGCCGTCGAAAAGTCGCGACGAAAAAGCAGAACAGTGAATATGACGATCAAGTATTGGTTCGTTGGATCCGAATAGGCATTGCGCACAACTAAAAGCGAGACAGAATGAAAGAGAGAAATGAGAAAGAGAGACAGAGTTATAAACAAGGAAGATGGAAATATTGGGAAGCTCATCAGGCTCTTCACAGTGTTTTCAAATGATAATGATTCAGTTCTTGGATAAATTTACCCAATATAGAATACAATACTGTAGATCACATCTTAGAGGATTGAAGAGCCCAGTGCTTGACTACTTACATTTCAGCGCGCAGACAGCCACGATGAGTGTTCCCCAAGGCACGCCAAATTTGTCCGCAATCGCCTGCGAGTCAGCGGTCAGTGATGATATTGCCAGGAGTGGGAAGAGGACGTTCCGCTCCAGAACACACAGATATATGTACACCTTCTCGAACCACATGATTTGGGGTGCATTCAGTACCTCGAACTGCCCAAACTCCTTTTGACGTAGTAGCGGTCGTGCGAAGCACAGCCAAGGCATGTGTTTTCGCATCTGAGGCACGGCATAGTGCAACAGGACTCCCAGGACGCCAATAAATGCGTACAGCACAACATTCAGATCGGGCTGAAGCACTGTGAAGACCGTGCTACAGTGGAGACCTAGAACGCAGACGGCCAGCAGCGTCATCACCACAAAATCGTTCTTGAGGCGTGTATTAATCGTCGCTTGAAGTTTCCGGGGCAAGGGATCGGGCAGTTCGCTGCTCTCATTGGCATTGGGATCACCATCACCGTCGGCCGTCGTATGCTCGACACTGAGGACGCCTGCAGGCGTGGCATCTGTGGCTGTGCCACCGCCCGCTGTTAGGGTGGACATGTCACCAGGATTGGTGGTGGATGAGCTGGAGATTTTGTCGTCGGTGTCGTGGGAAAGCAGCTCATTGGCAGTTTTCGTTTCTGTGCCGGTAATGATGGCGCCTGCAACGGCAGTCGTTGTAGCTGTAGTCGCAGCCGCATCATTTCCAGCATCGGTAGCGGCAGTGTTCTCATGACTGGGCGTTTCCACTGACTTGGCATCTTGCTCCTGGGCTGCAACTCTGCGTCCCAATGCTCCCGCTTCTGCTTCTTCTTGTTGCTCATCCCCTTGCAGAAAATCGGAGGTTTCGTTGTTCGCTTGGGTTTCGGCCGCTCCAATCGAAGCAAAGGAACTAGAAGCGGTAATAGCGCGCTTGCTGCTCGATATTGTCTTTGCTAGAGTTTGGCTGCTGCCCAATGAGGAGGCCTTCGACTTGCAGTGCTTGTGCTCCAGCTGCGTTTGGGGGTCGTCCTCCTGTATGGCCAGTTTCTCGAGCGAGCTAAGCTCAATGTGCTCATTACTGTTCGCTGTCGAGCTTATCACATGCTCCTGCCTCTCCTTTCCGCTGGCATGTGTCTGCTGCTCCATTGACTCGCTCTGCTGCTGTTGCTTGGAGCCAGCCTTGAGTGTGCTCGTGGCCAGTTGTTGCCCATTTTGACTAGCCGAATTGGCGCTCAGCTCCTCGTCATCGTCCCGATATGTGCTGACAATGCAAGTCTTGATCAGCCGCCATATATGACTGAAATCGCTGGCCGATCTTGACAAATGATAGCCCAATGGTATGAGCATGGCACAGAAGATCGAGAAGAGTATGTATTGTGTTCCACGATGCTCATCTAGCGCTGCATAGAGAGGACCATAGAGCAGCATAACAGCCAACAGCGATCGCAACAGGCATAGAAAGGAGCCTGCAAAGGTAGCAAAAGGATGTTGAACACCCACAACATATCGCATACATTTCATCATTCGATAGGTAAGTATATTACATATGCTTTTCAAATGGTGCACCATCTAGTTCTATATATAAATATGGTATTTCTATAATCAGTTTTGCTTTAGATTCATACTAATTTCATAAAAAATCGGCTTTCTCTCAAGTGTACGCTCTTTCTTTAAAGGTTTATTTTGAAGACCTCTATACGAAGGAATTGTCACCATGAAATATACATAATTAACTGGCTTTAAACAATATAATCCTTTACAATTCTATTTTGTATCTGCCATGTGAATACGACTTGTGGACTTACCCAGAAGACTGCTGGCGGCATTGCCGCCAAAGACATGCATATCCAGCTGCTCCAGCAGGTACATCAGAAACGTATTGATCTGCGGGCACAGGCCCACGGAGAAGATGAGAGGGAAGCAGAGTAATATATGGTAGGTGGCTTGCAGCAGCAGACTGACAACATCAGCGGGCGCGTACCGCAGACCGAAGAAGACAAAGTCCTTGGGCGGATCCTGCGCATATTCGCTGTCGAGACGCTTGAGTAACAGCAGCAGGCCAGCGCACAAACTAAAGTAGATGGCGCGCGAATAAGCGACCGTCTTATTGAAACCATGAACCGGCGAAGCGGCGTCCGGCTGCACGCTCTTCACCAGCGAATATTGCGCGCCCGCGATCACAGCACAGAAGAGGAACGCGCACAGATCCTTGTAGTAATTGTGCTGCAGGATGGCTGAGCCCAGGAACGCGACCAGTGTACAGAGTGCGCAGGCGAGCAGCACATGCAGCCAGTGTAAGTCGCGATCGAAAAGGGCCAGCAGCTCGAGTCGGTCCATAGCAATCTTGAATTCGTGCTCGTGACCGCACCACTTGAAGCGATATTTGTAGAAGCTCTTGGGCACAGCCGGCTTCTCAGCCGACAGCAGGCAAGCGGGTCGCCAGTAGTCGCAGTAGGGTCCGAAATGTCCGTCAACATTCAGCATTGGTACTCCGGCATTGCTGCCCGGCTGACTGGCCTGATTGCTTGCATTAGTGCCAGGCCCATCGCCAGCACCTGTCAGGCTGCTGCTGGCAGCCTCAATGTGTTGCTGTTGTTGTTGCTGATGGTGCTGGTGCAGTGCCTCCAGTGTGCTAGACATGCTGCGCCCGGCATTACGCTCGTTGCATATCACTTTGATCAGGCCCTGCACAGAGAGGTTCCCACCGCCACTACCAGCAGCACTACCGCCCCCGCCGGTGGCACGCGAATTGAGTGCCGAGTTGGAAGACATAAGCATGCCCAGCGTTGGCGCTTGCGAGGCGGCACTGGCGCTGGCGGACACCGTGCTCGTCGTCATCTGCGATGCACTGTGTACGCTGCTGTCCGCTGTTGGCTCCGATAACTGCTTGGCATCTAGTCGGAGTTTGTCCCGCGACAGAGCGCGCTCGATGTGCACCAAATTCTCCACAGCCGGACAGGTGCCTTGGAGCGCCTGTATAGCGTCCTGATAGAACTGGAAGTGCGCATTGGACATATTTGGGGGCACAATGTTCGGATTGGCTGGTATGGGCGTCCCATCTGTGGAAATTCCCGCAATGGGACGACCGCGGTCATCAACCGCCCCTCCATGCATCAGCCACAGCATTTTGTGAATGTCAGCGGTAAGGCTTTCAGTGAGGCTGATGCTGTGCGTCGAATTCGATGAGGAAGAGGTGCGCGACGCACTGGGCATCATCTTGGATGGCTTGGTGCTTACCAACGCAAACTCATTGGACGCATCCTGTTGTTGTACTGTCCAGCGGCTTGTCGCGTAATCCTGAGCTAGTCGTGAAGCACCTCCAGATCCGGAGCCACCGCGTCTACGATGCAGCTGACTGCCTGAACTGCTGCCATTGCCTAGCTCATCCACTTCGCGGTACTTCACCACTTTAGGTATGGCGCCAAGACTCTTGGTGGCCGTTTTTGAGGTGCTGGGCTGCTCCTCGTCGGGACCGACTACCACGACCTGTTGACCCTGAGGCTCGATGCCGGCCAATAGTTGATCTTTGGAGCTGGCACTGACCTGTTCGCAATCGCTGGACGGACAACCAGAGTCCGCTTCGCTGCGTATGAGTTGACTGCGTCCGCCAGCTGCTGCCGGCGTTGGCTGCATACCTTTGCCTACGCCCTGTGTGCCTTGGATCTCCTCTCGCAGCAACTTATCGGCGGCCACTTCACGTGCCGTCTGCTGCTGACGATTGCGTTCGCTCAGCAGCGGTGAACGCGATCCGGTATTGTTGTCCGTCTCTTCGTCATCGTCATCCACCAGAAATGTGGCGTTCCGTTGCTCTGATACGGTGGCGTTACCAACCTTGCTGGATATGTCGCAGCTCTTAAGCACGTCGTGCAACTGATGGTTCGTATGCTGTATCGCGTTGAGCATGTGCTCCAGGTTGCCGTCAAAGTCTTTGAATACATCGTCATCGTCGTCGGCCAGTATGCCACCCACATCCGATTCGGCACTGTGGTGCGTCCGACTGCAGCCGAGGGCTCGGGTGCGTCGCCGCATTGGTACATCGTCCAACTCATCGTCGTCATCGTCGGCGACATGTACTTCGCATGGCGACATTTTGGGGCCTTCACCAATAGTAGCGCTTGGCTTCTCATCACCTGCTGCTCTGTCCAGCTCGTCGTGCGTCATGTCCAGCGATGTTTTCTCATCTGAGTGCTCTACAATAGGATACACGGGTGGCTCGATGAGCGCCGTTGTAGAGCCGCAGGCGCTGGATGTTCCAAAAATCAGACTACTGCATGTACTGCCCGCCTCCGTATAGCTCTGATCTGACAGACGCGGATAAAGATTCAAATGCTGATTCCGCACTAGGCTTTTGCTGGGCGGAGGCAACGGATTGCGTAGCTGCTGCTGCCCGCTAATGGCCTCGACGCTGTTCGGATGTGGACTCAGATTCGAGACACTAGGTTGCGGGCAAAGCACTTCGAGGGCGGCGCTTTTGATGCGACGCACACCACCTGCCTGATGACCACCCGCAAGCAGGGCAGACTTAAAAGCCTGCGAGCTGTGCTTGTGGTAGCTGGTGGCATTGGAATGTCGACGTCTCTTCATGCCGCCGCCACCGCTGCCACCGCCTACACCACTGGCGGCGCTACTTGCATTGTTGTTATTGGAGGTGGTACCAGACTCGGCTTGTGAGTTTCCTGCTTCCAGCCTGCCGCTGCCAGAGCTTGGCGCTGTTACAGACAGCTGCAGAGCCGACATTGTGCTGGTGGGATCCTTGCGTATGATGGTGCCACTGAGATGGTGATGCAGGTGGTGGTGGTGCGGCACACGAAATTGCTGTTGATGTGGATATTGTTGCTTCTGGTTTTCCAGTTGCTCAATGCCCAGATCTGATTTGGTATAGCTATCATCTTCCAGGTACACATCAGAAGATGAATCTAAAGGAGAACATAAATCATTCATCTATCTGGGCTTCGTAGGTGTTTCGTAGGCTTACCCAATATCCAGGATTGAAGCGCTCGAGAACAAGCGTCTTCATCAACGCCTGAGTTGCGACCCAAACCCAGTTCCATATCCTCTACAGTTCCATATGCGCCAATGCTGAACACACCTCTGGGACTTGGGCGCATCTGATCGCGGTAGGTATGATGATGATGCATTGGCTGAAAGAGCCCACGATTCTGGTGCTTTAGGCGCTCATCGTGCGTTTCAGAGCTGCGATGTCGCTGTAGGCGGGACACACGTGAGCCTGAACCGGACCCTGATATGGGCGCCACTACCACAATGGAGGAGGAATTAGAGCCGGGACCGGGCTCGACGGCATTTGCAGATGGTGGTGTATTTGATGTCGTGGCGATGAAATGTTGCGGTGCATTTGACGTGCGATTTTGCGAGCTGCTGTTCGTACCACTCTTTGCTGGCGGCACATTGTGCACTTGGGAGTGCAGAAACGTCTCGTTACGTACCTGAGCTCCTCCACTCAAAGCCATGGCGATCGTATCCGATTGATTTCGCATCAATTTAGACGCATCCGTCGATGCTGCGGCAGCGGCAGCAGCAGAAGCTGCGTCTAGGCTGCTCTGTCGCTCCAGACGTTGGCGGTGACGTCGACTAATTACTTCGGAGTACTTGCGTGACAGGTGTCCGGTTCGTCCATGAGTGGTCGAAGTCGTTGGCACTACAATGTTGCTATCGCCTCCGCTGCTGCCACCATCTGCGCTGCCCGCACTACTTCCACCGCCTTCGACCAGCTCCGGATAGACAGACAAATATCTGCTAAACATGTCGGCGGATATATTGCTGCTGTTTGCTGCTCCGCTGGTTCCTGCGCTGGCCGAGCGAATAGACTTGCTGACACTTGCCGAGCCTGCTAGCGATTGCTGATCCTGCTGGCTTCCACCGGAGAACACGGAGGGCGCATAGAACATAAGCTCTATGGACTCGGAGCTGTTTTTGCGATGCACGTCTACTTTGAGATCTGCAAGGAATTATCTTGAATTGTCTGGTGGAAAGAAAGCTCTAAGGAAGGAAACTTACCAATGATGCTGTTCCCATTGTCAATAGACATGATACTGTTTTCTTCGCTGGCCTCATTGATGGCCTGTTCAACGGACATACGTGAGCCGCCGGCACCCATAACTTTCATCTCAATTCCGCCTTCGTCATCGCTACAATATGGTACAGACATGTTCGTGACTTTTATTGCCTTTATCTTTTTGTTCTTACCGTGGTTCCGTCTCCTTAGTAACCTTAAAGAATTGACTCTTCAGATTCACTTCGGACATGGTCTGTGCGCGATCGTAGAGGCGATGCAGGGCTAGATTGATCAGTTTCACTAGCAATATGGTGCAGCTGGTCAGCACGCAATAAACGCACCATGTTAGCCACGTGCTCGGAAAGTACTTTAAGCGAAAAATGAAAAAATGTTTGTTACATCTTAATATATTATAATAATTAAATGGGAAGTGAAATGCCGATGCCAATGCCTTACCAAGTACGCGACAAATGGTGAGCAGAGCAAGTAGAGCCATAGATAGAGATGCACCACATTGCAGAAGACACCCTGATGCGGATCATAAAAATAGCCGCCGGTCAGTGAGGCCCACACGCCTTGGCGCAGTATCTCCAAGGTCTGTGAACCCATGGTGGCCTATCCAGCATTGCTATTGCACCCCCGTCCAACAACGAGAGGAAGCAGCAGCGATGGCGAACAGCAGTAGCAGTTGTAGGGGTGCAGCTAATGCTGCAACCTAATCCAATGGCTGAGTGATTGAAATGACGGCGCCGAAGTCGATGCTAGCTGTAATGTTGCTGCTGGTCCGACCGTCGCCGTGGACTTTGTTTATTAGCTGTAATTATAACGCTAGCTTCAAATTTACCCTGAGCTACTTGGAATTTCGTTTATTTATGTTTCGGTGAATAAGTTGGAGTGTGGGTGAGCAAAACAAACGACGAGGGCCATATGCGGTGGGCGGACGTTTGTTCGGTCGAGGCGCAGGGCAGGAAAGTGCAATTGTGTGATTGTGTTGTTGCCTTGGAGAAAGCGAATGCGAATCGAAATTTAAAAACGGCGAGTGCGACAGGCGGGCAGGAGGAGCGTAGCGGACGAAAGGCAGACAGCCTGGTAGGCCGAATAGTCAACCACGAAGCGTTGCTAGCGGAATAGGTGCTGGAATTTGCAAGTGTAATGCAAATTTCATGCACTTCGCGTTTGCGTTTTAAATTCACATCGATTGTTGCCCCCGTCGTCGTTGTTGTCGTGGATGCGCCGCAATTTAAACGATTTCTCTGTGTTTTGGCAATTGGTTGCGTTTGCAAAATTAACACCACTATATGCTGCCCGGTTTGTCATTATCATATCAGGACATGATCGGCCAATGAAACTTTTCTTTATTATACTTTTTCTTATTATTAATTCTTTTTGCAAAGTATCGCACACTCACTCCCTTTGCTCGTTCATATGTCTTTTCTTTTATTTTGCCTTCTGCTTCTTCTTCCGCATTGCCAACGAGTAATTCATCGTCGCTATGCGAAGTTATCGCACAGGCTACCTCGACCAATGTTATCGATTGCGCGGAGTCAACAACTAATTAATTTCAAATGGAAATTCAAAATAGACCGTTCAGGTGGGATACTTTGTTAGATATCACTTTAAAGACCTGTTTATACCTATAAAATATATTTTCACCAGTGTAAATTCCAGATATCTTACTTATAACAATAGAATTACAATTATTAAAAAAAAGTAATAAAAAAAATATTACCACCAAGCTACATACTCGTATATCTGAAGAAAAAACCCACTTATAGCTACAAAATCACAAAGTCAAAAGCAGATTTAACCACAGAGCTCTCGGCCAGGTTTTTGGTTTAAGGTAGATCAGTCTAAGTCAGCGTCGTTGGCGCCACACTCAGTGCATGCCTGGCATAGTCAGCGCTCCTCGCTGCCACTCCCATCGCCATGGCCGCCGATGAAGTCATCCTTGTGCTCATAATTGTGATGGTGATGAATGTGCTCCTCCTCCTGCTCGATCTCCTGTACGGGATGGTGGTGCTCGTGCTTGTCGTGATGATGTATGTGCTCCTTTGTGGTCTGAATTTGTATGGGACGATGCTCCTCGTGAATGATTTTCTTCTCCTCCTTCAGGACAATCGGCTTGTGGTGGTGATGTATATGCTTGATCACAGTGTGAATGTGTTTCTCGATCTTTTTGTGTACAGGCACGTGTATGACGATCTTCTTTTTCTTCTGGTGACTACTGCTGTAATTATTGATAGTGAATATATAGTTTTTTATTATAACAATTCAAAACGTACCCGGCATTTGTCTCCTGCACACATACGAAGAGAAACACTAACACGATGGCGATCGAGAGCCTGAGCAACTGCGTGTGGAAAAAAGATATTGTCAGCAACAATTTGTTTTAAGAGAATATCGAAAAAGTTTTTTAATATTTTCACAATTTTCGCAATGATCAAAGCATTATTACACTGAACATACTTATAATATAATAGTCGTACACTAGATATAATTTATTATTTTCTGTCATCTCACCACACTTCGATTGTCCATATTGATAATTGGACGAGGCGATGAAAATTGAAAAAAAAAGACTTGGCTAGTGGGCCTGCTAGGTTGATGGCTCGAGCTGAAATGATTGCTGGCACAGTGCAGCCAAATATTTTTATATGACGAAGCCCATAATCACAACACACTAGGCTGGAATGTACAATTTTCTTTCTTGTTTCGCTTTTTGAGGTATGCGAATGCGACGGCGCGTTTCGCGTTTGCTCGCCCGATTTGCTTCCGTACGAGTCGGGAGCGCACGCGCCGCTCCAAAACCTACAATTTGTAATGCATGTGTATATTGTACATACATCTAAATACTTGTATTTGTATGTGTGGGTATTTTATAATGCCTCCTAAAATAAGGAGTCGCAGCAGAAATCAAATCAATTCGGTATCATCTTTGTCTGCTTGTGGGTGTTTTGTTGCGTTCCCAGGTTTCTTTCGTTAACTGTATTATCACGATCGTGTAGCACCCTACATACTATATAAGCTGTTTTGGTTCATCCATCATGTCAATAAATTTGCCTACTGATGCTAGAATATATAGGCTGTGCCTCGAAAAATGAACGTTTTAATAACGTTTTTCTGTTGCTGATTTTAACTTTAATTTAAATCATATTTTGTAGTTTGCGGGGCCATAGTTTTAAAATGTAATTCTATTTTTTTAAAACCCACATTTTAATCATAAAAGATACATATACATACATATGTATCTATGGGATCGTTGAGTTTGCAGTCTGGATGTGTAGTAGACATTGACGAACAGAAGAAGCGCAGTGCATTCAGTTTTCATGGCGCTTATTAAAAAATATACAAAAATTTTTGTTTTGTTTCCGTTGTATTTTTCTTTTTGTTACATAGTATGAACTTCTTTTTCGCACAGACGGAAGACACGGGAGCTTGCACAACACTCAGTCAATGGAAATAAGCTAAGGTGTGTGAGGTATGTATTTAATATATTGAAATGCCTTCAGTATGAGTTGGTATAGGCATAATATAGTCTTCAATATTGGTATTGTATGTGTATAAGGCACGTAACAGTATGTAACTTGTTAAAACATAGCCAGGCATACAAAACCATGCAATTCACAAATGCACTTTCAGGTTTGTATGTGGAATTGTATTTTATGTTGCTTTCGAGTGTTATGAATGTGCATTTATTTAGTATTATCGCACATAAATTTCATAATGACACACAATGGCCAATTATTTGGTAATGGCTCTTGCTTAACACAACTTACAGCAGCCATTCATTGATGTATGAAAATCGATCAAAATGTATACATACATACATTCTAGAGATACATATGTATGACATACATACATATACTGATCATGAGCTTTGACGAAGGAGCCGTTACGAATTATTTTTGTAAAGGGCATCCATACACAAATAACATTTGAGTGAATAACGCGTCAAAAACACAGCAATGAAAAAACAACAACAAGAACAGAACAATACTCTCATGCTACCCTGTAGTACTAAAAGGGTCAGCTGGCGCTTAGAGTCTGCGGTTTCCTTGGTTACTGGTCGACTCAAAAGTTATAGCAATTTTATAGCAGTTCGATTCCGAAAAGTGGTCTCAAAAAGGTTCCGATTTGCTAATAAAAGCTTTAATTCGAACAGACAAAAAATAAACGTACAAATGCAAAATTAAAACGCAGCCAATGTAATAATAATAATTTCGTTCATATATGTGACACTGGTGATCGGACGACCCTTTGGTATCTACCGTCGACCGGCTAAACCAAAAACAATCCTAAATAAAATAAAATATATTTGATAGGGTTTTTGGACGGTAGCCTACTCCCAAAAAGAGATTGATAAAAGTTCTGACGAGAGACTGACGCCCGTTACTACAGGGGCAGAACAATATACTCACATTTAAGCACACACACACTCATGAACATACATATATGTATTTGCTGATTGGGGGAACAAGAGAACAACAAACGAACGGCTGCCAGCACGTTGGAGTTGAGCGCCACAGAAGTGATGGAGAGCATGTAGAAGAAGAAGAATAAGATAGGCACGTAGCGTACAGTGTTGTCGGTCGGCAAGGTAGATTGTGCCCCCCAATCTTTTATTTGTTAGTATTTAAAGAACAGTCGGGCAAGCAAGTTGGGCGCTTTTGAACGTTAAAAAGCGGACGGCAAGAGGAAAGCGTATTATAAAGTAAATAACGGCAGTATTATTTTATATTCAATTTGTTTTTTTTTTTAATTTTTTCTTCCGTCTACCACATATACATATACTACATATGTATATGCACATACATTTGTATATATTGTTGATTTAAATTGTTTGAACTGCCTAATAACTCATTAATGTTTTACTACAAAAAGCAAGCAACAAATTATGCATTTGTTAGACAGCTGTGTTTGTGTTGCGGCTGATATTCGTATCTGTGAGCCAATTGTTGCTGCTGTTGAACAAATCTGTGTACGTGTGTACGTTTGTGCGTGTGGGTTGGCTGATTGGCTCTGTTGCTGTGGCTGTGATTAATGCGTATGAAGAAATGGCAAAAGCTAAAACCCAATGCCGATAAAAGCAAAGTTCATATACATACATACAAATGTACCTACATATGTATCTATGTATATACATACATATGCCTGTGTAAACAAGAAATATGCAACAATAACAATTATTGAAGCATGTGAACATCACTAAAGAACAAATTTAATACAAAGTAAACTCAAATGAGCATTGTACGAGAGAAGCGCGAAGACGTCTAAAATTTGCTGTGCCGTCTGCCCTAAATGTGTACACACCGACTACATATACATACATACATATGTATACATATGTCTGTAAAGCTATGTTTGTATTTCTGTGCACACAGCAGCTAAGAAATTTGGTACTTTCGAAGTTTTTCTTAATTTTTTTGTGTAATGTATTTTATGATCAGCGGGCTTGAAGCGCGTGCGCCACCGCATGTGAGAAAGAGAGAGTTGTGAATGTGTGTGCATGCATTTGGTTGTGTGTGTATGAGTGATGCGTTGGCGTACAAGTGTGTTTGTGTTTGTGTGTGTGTGTGTATTTTGTTGTGTATTTAGATATGTGCATATATACATACATATGTATTTGCATGAATGAGGGAGCCAGGCAAAGGGTGCTTACGTTCTATATATGTATGTATTGTATGAATATTGTCAGATCTCGCCCATTTGTGCCTCAAATTGCGCCCCATTTGTGGCACTTTGGTGCACGCGGCACCGTTAATTCTGATGCAGAACTTTTAACTAATAAATTTATGCACATATGTATGTATGTCTGTACATACATATGCATGTGTGTGTCAGGCACATGTGCGTGTGGGTTGGCTGCCGTTTTTATTTCATGATTTCATTTTCCTCTTTATACTCTGTACATGAAATGTACAAGAGTATATTAGGTTTGCGGGAGCTGAAAAATGTAACAGGCAGAAGGAGGCGTGGCAGACCCCACAAAGTATATATATTCTTGATCAGCATGACGAGACGAGTCGATCTAGCCCTGTCTGTCTGTCTGTCTGTCCGTCTGTCCGTCTGTCCGTCCGTATGAACACCTGGATCTCAGAGACTATAAGAGATAGAGACACCAAATTTTGCACGAAGATGCGTTATGTGTGTATTCTATACGAGTTTGTTTTATTTTTTTGATTTTCCCCCCCACTTCCCCCCTATGGGGGTTTTCCCGATTTTCCATTCGTATAATCGCCTATATCTCGGAGACTATAAGACCTAGGAACACCAAATTTTAGTCCCAGATGCCTTATGTGAATACGCAGAAAATGTATATTTTGGAATTCCCCTCCCTCCCCCCTCTACCCCGCAAATCGTAACTCCCGTAATTCTTGGAATTTCGAACTAAAATTTTGGAAATACCCCCAGTTAGTTATTATGTGTCCGTATGCCAAATTTCATTATTATAGACCGATTTAACAAGAAGTTATAGCCATAAATATATTTGCTGATGCAGCGCTGCCCGCGGCTGTTGTTGATGTTGCTGTTTGGTTGACTGACGAATTGATGCGCATAGGCATACATACACTCACACAGACGCAATTGCTATGTAAATGTGCAATTATACACCCTTTACGTGAGTTCGAATACCGAGAGAGGTAAAATCGATCAAATTTTTTTTTTATTTTCTTAATTTTTTTTATTTTCTATAATTATTGTAAACATATGTACAGAGTATTTAAAAGTCGGGACACCCGACTTTAGCTTTTTTACTTGTTTATGTTTTTTATTGTTTGTTTGCTATGCATTCAACGCAATCAATTAGCAAATGATTGACTGCTTCACTGATCGATGCTGCTGTAGAATTCATATAACTGGCGCATTCCTTTTTATTTGTGGTGTTGTGGTGGGGAGTCGGACAGTGAAATATAAGGGATTGTTATTATTATTTATTTTATTGGGTGAGACACTCTTTCAAAACCGCAATTTGTAATCTCATTCCTTGTTGAGTCAATTGTGTGTGTTATTTAATTTGCTTTAACCCACCATCGAGTGTGTGTGTGAATGCGTCATCATTGCATTTTTGGAGCTTCGCGCTTTCTTATTATTTATTTACTTCCAAGCAACTGCTTTTACTTAACGACGAAGTTGTTCCACGAACTGCACTATTTAGTACAGAGTTATTCACCAAGTTTAGGTAATTGTTTACTTAATCTGGCTATAAGCTTTAAATATTTGAAGAACTTTAGTGTGAAAAATGATGTTCGTAGTCTTATAAAAGATAAGAATATGAAAGAATTTAGGGCATTATAAGGAATTATAGCTATTGTCTAACAGGTTCTAAAAATACCTCAAGTTTTGTACAATATACATTTACATATTGTTATTTATTCTTTGCAGTAGTTACTAATTATTTAAATTCTGATGGAGAACACTATTTATTTATTTGGTGATAAATGCAACGAATGTTCCTTTCACCGTGCTGTCAAATCCCGAAATTTGGGACAATTTATGGTTTCTATTTATGAAACTGCCATTTTAAATTGTGCGTAGTAGAGCTTGCTTATAGGACAGTCTTTGTATTAGCTAATGTAGCACTATTAAATTGAAATTTGAGCCATTATCGACCCTTTAACCTTAATATTATATTGAAAAATATGAATTAGGCAAAAAAACTTTTAAATTATACATCCTTGATAAAAAGTTGCGACAAATTTGTGTTTAAAGTATCAGCATTGTGTCCAGTCCTTTAATTTCAGCAACAACCCTAAAAATTTCGGAAAATTTTATTTTGTTGATTGTATATTTACTAAATAATAATACATTTTCTAACGCATATCATTTTTTAAATAATACCAAATATCCAATTCTACACAATACAACTTGTTTAGAGGTAACTGCAGGTCTTCTCCAACTCGTATGGAAATGTGGATTGATGTTCTCACATATTCTTCTATCAACAGCATCATCATCATTGTCATCATCAATGTCGTTATCATTATTGTGTTTGTCAACTTTCATGGAAGAATTTCTGTCATTCCAACCTGTTTTTGTGTTTGTTTGTATATCAATTTTTGTGTGTATATGCATGTGTATATTCGTCTATTAGTTGCAACAGCTTTTGTAACCATAAATGGCGCACAAAATAGTCAGCAGTCAATAAACTTCAACCCACACGAAGCCTTGCAGTATATATTTTTATATACTATAGTTATACATATACACATTTTTTTTTGTTAATAATTTTTGTTTCTGTCAGAGAGTATCGGGTATATCATTCCATAGCAAGCTAATACCATAAGTGGCATTCCATTCAAAGCAAACGCATTCACAATTATTTGCACAGACATGCAGGCATTTATTAATTATTTTCTACAGATGTCGATAAAAGTATTTCTGCCATATACCATATATATGTATGTATGTTGGTCTTATAATGCTGAAAGAGTTTTTTTTATTGATCTAAAATGGTTGATGAGCAAAGTATTTAAATGGCACAAAAGAATTTAATTAAATTCAAGTAGAACTTTGAAATTTTGCAGAGAATATAATTTTTAGCTCTAATATATTTTATAGGTAGTTATGATTTATAATTGGTAATGTATCAAGGTTTGGTTACATTTAAGCGTTCGATCGGAAAGACTACTGGTAAAGATTGTGTTGTTGACGGTAATGTTGGAATTTGTTCAAATTGATGATTCAGCTAAGCCAGAAAAGCATGAGTATTGAGTGCTAATGTGCCACATTCAAGGAAATCGGAATGGGAATTTCGTCATTTTAAAGCAGCCCTCGCAACAAGCAATCCAATTACTTACTATATATAGCCTAATGTTAAACGCTTTTACGCTGATTACCACCTTGCTTTATGGTATTGAAAGGTATTGAAAGACTGGTGCATGTGCACGTGTTTTTAGCACATCTTCCGGCATTCGAGTCCCTCCCTACCTATTAACTAACTGACCTCCACCCACAAACACATTTTAAAAATAGTTGCCCCACTAGGGGTGTCCAATGTCTTTTAGTTTGGATTTTGTTTTCCACTTTCAAATGAAAAATCATTGTCCATTATTTAAGCCTTGTTTTTCCTTTCTATTTATTGGTGTCGTTATTGTTTTTGTGTCGCGCCCGGGCCGACACGGAAGGGTGCGGAAATGTCTACCGTTGTCGTATCAATAGTGTGCCAGTTTTGTTGTGTCTGGCCATACCCATTAAGTGAGTAAGATACTGAGCGTGTATGTTTGTCTCTGGGTTTGTGCCCAGCTATGACCTCACAATATGCGTCATCGTTAATAAAGCGAATTGCCAACAAGAGAACATATGAAATTGATTATAAAGGCGACACGAATTGGCGGCAACAATCGAGCGGTTTAGTTGTTGGCGACAGATTCGAACAAATTCGTTGCTCTATCCTCCCAAGAGTTGTTTCTTTCACCTCATACTGTGCGAGATGTCTTACTACCACGAGCCGTCGAGATAGATATACTATAGTCACATCAAGTTTACTGAGATATGATATAAATGCGTTATCTGGCCCATGAACAATCCCTGTTATCACGCAACTCCACCTCTTGAGCACGTAACTGGAACAAAAAGATAACAAGAAACCTTCAACTGAGAGATTTCGAAAATAAAACTTAAGTCAAAGATCTTTGCTCTTTCCCGAAACTGAACACTAAAGTAAAAATTTCTTTCTTCTATCTTACAGATTACCACTTAATTGGCTAAGCAGAAAAGGAAACGGAACTACGTTTGGGAACAGTCGACACCACCAGCTAAAAAAATGCCCGTCTTTCACACAAAAACCATTGAGAGCATATTAGATCCTGTCGCACAGCAGGTAAGATGAGGCCAGGGGTCTAGCATCCTTCTTGCGAGCCTATTCAGTGTATTTACTATACATACATACATCTGTACTATATGTCTCTCATAGCTTTAACCATTAACCAAATTGGCGCCGAAAAAGGTAAAGTGAAGTTGCATCATCTCCATAGTTTAGAGAACTTGTCTGATTGGAAGTTAGATTTGAATATTAGATTAGAGCTATAGAATGATTTTAGCATTGCAATGTATGTATATTTGTATTTGTGTACGGAGATTTAGAAATAAAGAAAAAAGTTGAAAAAGCTAAACTTAAAGCCTATGAAAGTTTTTAGGTACGGGTTTGTTTCGTTTTAGCTTGATTTTCTGGTAGATTTACTTGATTTAAACTTAAGAAATATATATGTATATGTATATCTTATTATTTACGCATATTCTCTTGAGATAATTCAATCTTCAATTCTCGAAACCGTAATGATGCTGTAAATGTGATCGCGCTATTCCCAGTTCTTTATAAGACTTAATATGTATTTAGGCTTCCATTTCAGATATTTCATAACGATATAGTAAGATATTTTTGCACCTGACCGAACTACAGCCAAACTACAAACATATGTATGTATATAGATTTGTGTAACACATGTGTATGTATGTACATATGTATTTGGATATAATATATGTACGACATACATATGTATGTACATACAAGTATATGTATCTATTTAGGTGTATTTCCATCACAGGCAAATATAATTCTAGAGATTTGTTGTAGTTAGTGCTGTTTTTGTTGTTGTTTTTATTTCTGTTGTTTTTGTTGCTCCTGGTGTTACTTAACTTGTCTTCTGGGTCTAAAAATAAATGAGGTAGAATAAATGTTCATCTGCCAACCTGAGGACAAACAAAAAAAATTTAAATTTAATAACGCAACAAATAAAAATGAAAAGAAAATGTGTGTATATACAAAGAAGAAAAACAAACGCAGCCGAAAACAAAACAGAATATATAGTTAAATTGAGAGAGTGACAGAGAGAGCGAGTGAGAGGGTTATTGAGTGAGTGAGAGAGAGAGAGAGAGGTAACAGAAAGGTATGGGAGAGTCAACGCGAGAGAGTGACTTTTGGCAGTGATTCAAAAATAGCAACATAAATTAAAAACAAAAACAACAAAAAACATTTAAAGCATGAAATCATAGAAGAAGCGAAACGGAAAATTGAAGCTGTGAGTATGTGTGTGTGTGTGTGTTTTGGGTGGTTGCATGGCCACATGTGGAACACGTAAAGCTGCGACGATCAACGACCACATGTAGATAGCAGAAACACACACACACACATATATACACGTTTATAGCATAAAATATGTACATACATGTACATATGTATGTATGTATATATACACATATAAGAGGCAGGGAGCCGAGAAAAGTGTAGGTGGTGGTGGTGATGCGGATGAGTGAAGATTTGAAAATTGTGCCAAATTGAAAAGCCAACGTATTAGTCATCCGCCGGCGTGCTCATCAACAGACAAATCTTTGGGGGGACTACGTTGGATGGGTAGGGTAGAAGGGTAGAAGGGGTTGCGAACAAGAGGCAAACAAATGAATTAAAAATGATCATTCAACACATCAATCAACACATTGATACGAACATATATGCACATACTTGTACGTCTATACCTTTGTACATAGTATGTATGTATGTTTGTACGGATGGTTGGGTATAGCTCCATAGGTAAATATAGACTGTGGGTCATTAAATTGGTCTCAAAACGAAATTGCGATGGAAATGGAAATGTCTGTGTCAGCCATAGGGGGCTGTGTCTGTGCCGTTGTGCTGTGCTGATGACGTTGAGCGTCAAATTAATTACATAATTAATCCATTCAGAATAGCAAATAGCAAATAGCCCCCATGAAAAGGCGCACACTTGTCCAAAGCAAATCAAACAAATCCAACACTATTTGTTGTGACCGGCATGACAATAAGCCGTCAATGTCAACAATGAATGAATGAATAAATCAAGTAATAAAGCAATTGATCGCCGGTAGTAGCAATAAAGTGAAAGGCAGTTGCATTTATAGTAGACACAGTAGACATCGTAGTAGAATAAAATGTTGGAATGATGCCATTAATAGTTAAACTATAAATATCTTCCATAGGAAGCTAATGTCTTAATGATCGATTTGACTGGTTTTATAAACATTTCAAAAAATTATTTTTAGAAAATCGTTTGAAAACTTAGCTCGATTTATTCAAATACGATGAATCTTTTTTGTTTAATAGATTTTCAATCCGATTCATTTTTAGATTTGTTTTCTTATTGTACACGAGGAAAAATTCAATATCTCTTGGTCATTTACTTGGCCATTTATATAAAATATGTCAGTACATATGTATGTTTCGAATTTCGAACTATTAGGGTCAACAATATAATAATTTGGTTTGTTATCTAAAAAATGTTTCAGTTCCCCTTCGTAATTCTCACACATTACACTTAAATAATATTCAATATTTATTTATATTTATTCAACAATTGTCCGAATATTGTCATCAATGCAGAAAGAACTGGGTTCGAAATCGTGAGTTTTTTGGCTTGACTTGGACTATTTTCTTGATTGGTTGAGGCTGCACAGACACAGACTCTGTGCTCTTCGCCCTGCTGCCTCTGTTCATGTTTAAAAATAGCGCCAAATACAAGCAACTTGCCAACTAATCCGGCTATGGACCAGATGTGGCCGCCAATGCCGACCATGGTTTGTTTATTCAAGTCCAAGTGCCATGTGGCCGAGCCCACGCTTAGTGAGGTGGTCGACGACGTCAACATCTATACTTATATCAATAGATATGTCCAATTGTGTCTTGATGTGTGGGTGGGTGCGAGTGTTTGTTAGAGAGGTAGAGAAGTGCGAATTTGGTGTATGATGCCAGGTGCCGTTTGAGACGCTTTTGATGATAAATAACGTACTAATGCTCTGGTTTGATTGCCGCAGGTATCTCGCTTGGTTATACTACATGAGGAGGCGGAGGATGGCAACGCCATGCCCGACCTCAGTCGGCCGGTCCAGGTGGTATCGGCCGCGGTGGCCAATTTGATAAAAGTGGGCCGTGAAACTATCAACAGCTCGGACGACAAGATCCTCAAGCAGGATATGCCCTCAGCATTGCATCGCGTCGAGACTGCCTCGCAGTTGCTCGAGGAGGCTTCCGATATGTTGCGAGCCGATCCCTATTCGGGACCTGCGCGCAAGAAGCTGATTGAGGGAAGCCGCGGCATACTGCAAGGCACCTCGTCGCTGTTGCTCTGCTTTGATGAGAGCGAGGTGCGCAAGATCATACAGGAGTGCAAGCGTGTGCTGGACTATCTGGCCGTGGCAGAGGTCATCAATACCATGGAGGAATTGGTGCAATTTCTCAAGGATCTATCACCTTGCCTGAGCAAAGTCTCCCGCGAAGTGAGCGCTCGAGAGAAGGAGTTGACGCATCAGGTGCATAGCGAGATTTTGGTACGCTGTCTGGAGCAGGTGAAGACCCTGGCACCCATACTTATTTGCAGCATGAAGGTCTACATACACATTGTGGAGCAGCAGGGCAAGGGCGCTGAGGAGGCGGCCGAGAATCGTAACTACCTTGCTGCTCGCATGAGCGATGAGATCCAGGAGATCATACGCGTCCTACAGCTGACAACCTACGATGAAGACACTAGCGAGCTGGACAACCTGACGGTGCTGAAGAAGCTCAGCAATGCTATCAACAACAAAATGGAGCTGGCCAATGAATGGCTTAGCAATCCCTATGCCCTGCGTGGTGGAGTTGGTGAGAAGGCTCTGCGGCAGGTCATTGATAATGCCAACGAGATTTCGGAGCGCTGTCTACCCCAGGACTCCTATCCCATACGGAAACTGGCCGACGAGATTACCGCATTGACCAACGGGCTCTGTGAGCTACGCCAGGAAGGTAAGGGCAACTCCCCGCAAGCGGAGTCGCTGGCTCGCGGCATTCGCGAACGTCTTGGCGAGTTGCAGGGACTCGTCCGCAAGGCTGTCGTTGGTGTGGACAAGGCGGGTGTCCAGCAGACCGCGCACACTATCCAAGGACGACTCGAACAAGCAGTCAAGTGGTTGCAGCATCCGGAGATCAACGACGGTGGTCTGGGTGAGCGGGCAATCAATCTGATCGTAGAGGAGGGACGCAAGGTGGCCGAAGGCTGTCCGGGTCATCAGAAGGCTGAGATCATGCAGTTGTGCGATGAGGTGGAGCGTCTAAAGCGTCAGGCAGCAGGCACAGGACCCGCCGCCAAGGAAGCAGCTAAGCAGCTGACGCAGAAGCTTTACGAGCTCAAGGCTGCCATTCAAAATGCTTTGGTCAATCGCATCGTGCAGGACTTCATGGACGTGAGCACACCCCTGAAGCAGTTCACCGAGGCGGTCATGCTGCCTGAGGGCACACCCGGCCGTGAACAGAACTTCAATCAAAAGTCTGCCAACCTACAGGCGTTCAGTGATCGTGCATCCAAGACATCCCGCATGGTGGCCGCTGGTGGTGCATGCGGCAACAAGAAGATTGCCGAGATTCTGCTCTCCTCGGCCGCCCAGGTGGATTCTCTGACGCCACAGCTAATAAATGCGGGTCGCATTCGCATGAACTATCCAGCCAGTAAGGCGGCCGATGAGCATTTGCAGAACCTCAAGCAACAATACGCCGACACAGTGTTGCGCATGCGCACCCTTTGCGATCAGGCCACAGATCCCGCTGACTTCATTAAGACCTCTGAGGAGCACATGCAGGTGTATGCCAAGCTCTGTGAGGATGCAATCCATGCTCGTCAGCCCCAGAAGATGGTGGACAATACCTCGAATATTGCGCGTCTAATTAATCGTGTCTTATTGGTGGCCAAACAGGAGGCAGATAACTCCGAGGATCCTGTATTTACGGAACGTCTGAATGCGGCAGCCAATCGCTTGGAGCGCTCGTTGCCTGCCATGGTAGGCGATGCTAAGCTGGTGGCCACCAATATTGCGGATCCCGCGGCCGCTGCGGCCTGGAAGAGCTCATTCCAGCGTCTGCTGGGTGATGTGCGTGAGGTGCGCGATGCAATTGCACCACCGGCACCACCACCACTGCCCACATCACTGCCACCACCAATACCCGAGCTTAGCGCTCTCCATCTATCCAACCAGAATGGTAAGGCCAATATTTAATCTTTAGTCTTTTTTCGATATTTAACGAAAAAAAGGATTAGTTCTTATTGAAATATTTTCTTAATTTCTTTTTAGCTGAGCGAGCGCCGCCTAGACCGCCACTACCACGTGAGGGTCTTGCACCCGTTCGTCCCCCGCCACCAGAAACAGATGATGAGGATGAGGGCGTTTTCCGAACCATGCCGCATGCCAATCAACCCATCTTGGTAAGCCCTCATATATTAGCTAATTAATAAGTGAGGTATTAAGTGCCACTCTCAATTACCTACAGATCGCTGCCCGAGGTCTACACCAGGAGGTGCGTCAATGGTCCTCCAAGGACAACGAAATCATTGCCGCTGCCAAGCGTATGGCCATTCTGATGGCACGTCTCAGCGAGTTAGTGCTCTCAGACTCTCGCGGCAGCAAGCGTGAGCTGATCGCCACGGCCAAGAAGATCGCAGAGGCCTCTGAGGATGTGACGCGTTTGGCCAAGGAATTGGCACGCCAGTGCACCGATCGTCGCATACGCACCAACCTGCTGCAGGTATGCGAGCGTATACCCACCATTGGAACACAGCTGAAGATCCTGTCCACGGTCAAGGCCACCATGTTGGGTGCACAGGGCTCCGACGAGGATCGCGAGGCCACCGAAATGCTGGTGGGAAATGCCCAGAACCTTATGCAAAGTGTAAGTTGAACGAATACGTAATATAAAAACGTAAAAGAGGGTGTAACATTCTCCTATGAACTATAAGTGTATAAGTGACTTACAAGCTACGGTCAGACATGCAAAAAGTTTGCACACAAATGTGTTTTTATTGAAGATGGGCTTCAAAAAGATAATCCCAAAATATTATTCGTATTGGATTTTAAAAAGGCTAACATTCTCATCATGACATGACGGTGCAATTTAACAAAGCTGTGTGCAAATTATTTGCCAATCTGACCAACCGCTTAGTGTCTTCCATTCAAGTAGAATAAATACAGATTCGGGGTTCTTTATTCTGTTCTTCTGCATCGTAAAAGAGATTTCTAATTGCATTCTACGTTTTATCTTTCGTAGGTGAAGGAAACTGTGCGTGCTGCCGAGGGTGCCAGCATCAAGATTCGATCGGATCAGACAAGCAATCGCCTGCAATGGGTGCGCCGCCAGCCCTGGTACCAGTACTAAGCCGATGCTATGATGTACCACTATTTTCGTGTAACATAAACTATCTAATATTAAACGCGATGGACGTCGAAGGTGCTTGCCGGGGCGTCCATGTTAAAGTTATCTTAATATTAATAATTCTTCGATGTTTTCCACCTAAATAAGTGCCTTGGATTATTTATTATGTGCCTCGAAACAAATCGCCTATTGTCTTCTCGTCTGCTCTTCCTGTCTATGTGTTTCTTCCTTTTTGTAACTACAACGAATTATTTTTTTTACATTTTATTTTATAAAAGTAATGTTAAGCGTGCAATAAATATCTGTACATACAAGTGAATCAAAACAAAACGAAAGCATTGAGGGTAGAGAAATGCGGCAATTAAGTTTTCTGAAATTTAATGATGTTTTTCTTTAAATATTGTAAATAAATCCAGAGAAAATATGTATAAAAATCATTTCTTTGGCAACGACAACGGAAACTGAATGTTCGATTGTTTAAGTAAAGGAAAAAGTTATATAAATACACTTTATGTACACTAACAAAAGCATTTACGATTGTTGCACGCAGCCTTCGCTGCTGCCTGCTCCCCCATACCCCGCACCAAGCACCCGCGCCATGCCTCGAGTGCCCTGCCCACAGCCAACGCTTGACTGGAAATTGTTAATTGATATTTAATGAGATGCGAATATATTTTCTGCCTTTTTACTATTGTACCAATGTACGATTATTATGTAGTAGTATTTACTAACTAAGCATAAAGCAATGTGTGTCATGTTCAAATAACTGAAATAAAATAATAAATTTGAAATGTTATAATTACATGAATCTGATTTAGAGCAATTACTATTTGACATCATTTCTAGACCCATCATTCGACAGGTTAAGGGGTATGCTAGAAAGTTGAAAATATAAGCAACAAACAGATATCTATATAATCAGCATGACAAGACGAATGACATGGTCGTTCATTTGTCCGTTCGTCCATAATAATGCAAAGATTCAAGAGAATCGGCTCATTATAGTAATATTATATGGGTCCCATCAAACGATCAGTTCTGAAATGAATCTTAGTAACTTAGCAGATATTAGTGACTTAGCAGATATTAGTAACTAAATTTGTTAGTAACTAAATTTGGTATTTATGAGCTTACTAGCAGGTCTTCCCCGTCTTTGATGGGCTCAGTATTTTTGCTTATAACTTTATTTACAATATGCCATTTCCCTTCCGACACTCTCTAAAGTTTTTAAAGGAACTGCCAGTAACAAATTACTTTGGTACGTTCCGAAAGCTAGGGCATATAATACAATATGTATGTACATACTATGACCGTACACCTACGATGTACATGCATACATATGTATGTATATTGTACGTACATTTCTGAAAAATAAAAATTCTAATATTTTCAAATTAAATTCTGAAATTTCTGATAAACTAAATAAAAATATTGTGGGCGCCTTCCTCTGCGATTCTCATACCAAGTACCTGGGCGCTGGTAAATCGAGAATTAAATTGTGAAATTTCTAAAATATTAAATAATAAATTTATGTGTATGTATGTACATTATTATATAATGAAAATTTATAAAAACATTACGCAGTTTGTTTTGTATTCTTTCTTAGAGTAAATAACACTGTAACAGGAAACTTGTGTCCAAATTTCAGCTTCTTAACGCTTACCATTTGGGATTTGCTTTGATTGCACATACTAACATACATACATATGTACATATATACATTCCTACATATGTACAAACAATAGTTTTCGTATTCCAAATTTCAACAACAATCCATGCCCCAATGAAAACATAATAAAGTCCCAATGAAAAAGAGGGTTTAAAAATGCAGCTCCATCATACAAACTATTTTATATATATATTTGTAGAGATAATCTGGGGTTTTATTCGGAATAATTGGAACAACGAAGTTTATTTTAGTTGAATGGCTAGAGTGGGGAACTTTTCCCACTTATAGAGGATATTCAATAGCGCGCTGGCACGACTTAAAATTTTACTCGCTTTTCGTGGCTATTGTTGAATTGAGTTCCCCAACGTATAAGGGTTTGGAACGCGTATGTTTAAAAATCCAGCCTGGAAGACACAAAATATGTCAAAAAAATTTCTCCCGGTAAGAAATAATTTAAAATTGATACACTAAATATTTCATAAATCAATTCTCGATAGCTTGTGTAAATGGAGTTTTTTAATGGCTGGGTACATTAAATAAAATAAACTGCTGAGAATATTCGAATCTGTGATAAAAGTACTTTAACCATATAAAAATGTAATATGAATCCATTTATGTAAAGCCAAAAGGGGAATAAAAGTAAGGTACGAATAAAAAGCCTTAGAAGTGTACTTAAACCGCAATGGCATCGAACAAACTTCTCAAGGGCAGTTTTATAAATGTCGGCCCTTTATTAATTCACCGTTCACAGACGAAGGCATGCAATTTAAAATTGATTCACCATATTTGTTTTGTGACGAAAGAATTTGATAAAGTTTCTTACCAAAACTGCCTTTTCAAATAAAATATTCAACAAACAAACAAAAAATAGTACTAAAAGCAAAAAGGTTACATTGAAATGTCAAGAAAACTAGTGTGTGGGAATCGCTTTGGAAAATAAATAAATAAAATAATGTAATTAATATAGGTTAGCATAGTAAATGCTTTGTGTATATACAATAAATAAGACTTAAATTGTGCAAATCTTAAAACAAGCACTCCACTCATGAGGAAACACATTTTAAAGGAAATGATTAAAAAACCGTAGCATGCTTTTGGGCTGCGCTGAAATTCAAACTGGCAGTTGATTCGGAAATCCTAAGCGAAAGTATCTTTGGTATTGTGAATAAATGATTGCCTTTTTCTTCTTTTCTTCTTTATTGTAAGTCGATCAACTTCCATAATCTGTAGAATTAGTGTTCAGTCAAAAGTTACCGAAGAATGAATGTATTTCGTTTCGTTTAATTTCTTGTTCGTTGTAAAATAATAATTTTTAAAACGCCCCCGGCACACATCTGTTTAATTATGCATAATTTATGTGTTTGAAGCAGTAATAGTAGATTGCAACAGTTTAGCAAACAAGACGGAAAGTTCCCGAAATAAACTGAATTGAATGCCGGAATTGACGCGCTGTTCGATTTATCAAGTGAGACTGCATTAAGATAAGTTCTTTGAATAGGCTTCTTTTTATGTTGCGTTGGTTGAAAATAGGGGCTATTAAATGTATAGATATATGTATATTAAAATGTATTTTGATGTTTAATAGTTTGGTTTGCGGCAACGTATCAAAGGCCGATTAAAAGCTGCGGCTCCAGCAGCTGGCACTGCCAAGAAAATAGGCAAACGGCTAAAATTAGATACCCCACACTCCATGCGGTAGATACGAGTATATCAAAACAAACGAAAAAATGATTCGCAGCAGAGCGAGAAAGGTGTAGAAGAGGTGTGTGGATAAAAATTCGTACATATGTAAGAATGTAGAGCGGAGATACAGATGCAGCAGCCATAGATACGATACTGAAAGTGGTCGCATGCCCCACACCCTGCTGGCCAATGAGCAATGGCCGCGCTTCCGTGCCTGATGGTGTGAAAATATCGAATGGTGAGCGCGCCCCAGTTGCGTTTCGATTATCAGCGCCGCCGGCGGCCGAGTAGAGCGAACAGAGTGGCAAAAGAAGAAGCAGAAGAATCAACAGCACCTCCAACACCACCACTACCAACTGAGTTAACGTATCCAACAACCATTACGCAAAGGCCTCACTCCACAGAAAGACAACCACTATCCAAGCGCCATGTCGCAGGGAGTGCAGCAAATGTCCATTTCGGCGTCCACGCAGGAGCTGGCCGAGCTCATCGATGTGCATTTGGGTGAGCTGCGTCCAGAGTCGCCAGCCTGGCGTGTGTCCGATTCGCCCATTTCGGGCCGCGGAATCTTCGCGGTGCGCGACATCGTCAAGGGGGAGGAGTTGTTTCGGGAGCACACATTGCTTGTGGGCCCGACAGCGCATCGGTCCACAAATCTGCGCACCTGCACGCTCTGCTATCGTCTAGTACCAGGCGAAGACGATACGGATGCCATGTGTCCTGCTGGCTGCGGCCTGCCCGTCTGTCCGGAGTGCGCCGTCTCCGAGCGACATGCCAATGAGTGCAAGCTCTTTCGCAAGTGGGAGCCCAAGGAGTTGGGCCATATTGAGCCACGGGCTCTTCGCATCCTCAGTGTCGTTCGCTGCTTTTTCCTCAATGAAGCGCAACGTCGCCTCCTCTATGCCATGCAGGCCAATGCAGACAAGTACTATATGAAGGAGGTGGAGCGCGCCGCTGGCTGTTTCGAGCACTTTCCGCACGAACAAGATATGCTGGACTACTTCTACCGCACGATATGCGCATTCAACACAAACGCTTTCGAGAGTCGCAGTCGGGTTGAAGGACACGAGGTGCTGGTGCGTGCGCTCTTCCCGCTGGCCGGTCTCCTGAATCATCAGTGCACACCCAATGCCAGTCATCACTTCGAGGACGCAGAAACCATTGTGGTAACAGCAGCAGAGCGGATACCGCAAGGCGCCGAGATCACCATGTCCTACACCAAGGTCCTGTGGTCGACGCTGGCTCGCAAAATGTTCCTTGGCATGACCAAGCACTTCATGTGCCACTGTCCGCGCTGCGAGGATCCCACAGTGAGTATCCAACACACCCCACACATCCCTCAGCCCCAACATCCAATCTCTGAATCGGTCCATGCGATCGCTCGGCCATATCGCTTGCATCGATCGATGAGGCCGATGAGGGCGCGTGCCATATAAATAGATCGGCATCGGGCCACTGAGCCAACAACAAAATCAACGCAATGTATATATTTGTGCTTATAAAACGGGCTAAATGCAGTTGCCCGATGTGGCGAGCCCACTGATATACCTAAATATGCTTTAGAGTACAGTCAAGCTTTTGAAATTGTAATCAAAACACCAATTTTTATAAACAGACCGCATGGTGTGTCCTTCCAACATTCTCTAACATCCTACACTAATCATAAATGAGTTGTTTGTACGTCAACAAAAACTTTTAAAAGAATTACAGCTAAAAGAATACTTAGTAGAATTGAAAAGAACGCAAATAATTAAATTGGATTGCTTGAAGTAAATTATTTTTCAACGGTAAGTAATTTAAGAAGAGATTTCAAGACTCTTGTTTAAAACACGTCTATTGTTTTTTTTTTTTTTTGCCTATTCTAGTCCTGAATAAAATATATTCGAAATATTCCCTTAAAATCACTTGATTTACACACAAAAGTTTCAATTGATTACCTTCCCAACTAATTTTTGAGTCTGTTCTGTTCTCAGTAACTATATAAGCATGAGCTACGAAAAGGTTTCTCATCCATCGTAAAAGAACTTATTAGATTTAAGCAACAAATTTGTGTTTATTTTGTTATCATAATTATTGATAGTGAAGAACATTTGGCATATTCTTCCAGTCCTCAGGGACCACTTTCTGTTAGATGATGAATATTTCAATGTAGTCGAAATCATAATAAGTGAATAGCAAGAGGAGCTGCGAACGGCATTACTTATTGTTTGACAGACAAACATACTGAATAATTGCAAAGAGCGTTTAACCTAGGGAGGTTCTATTGTGCTACAATCGACCCACGCGCTTGTTAATATGCGAATATCCACTCAGAAGTTAAGTGAGTGTCTCTGTTCTTTCCGCTGCGAACGTCGAATGCACAATTCATTTCTCGTTCCCTCCATTTCTGAATGAATGTGAGTGTGGGCGATGAATGAGGAAATCTAGACACATATAGTACATACATACTATGTACATATGTATGAGCGAATGCTCTTCGCTGCAGATATTTAATCTGCTTTTTCGAATTGCGCGGGCTAGCTTTAAAGTACATGAAAAGTATTAATGCTTATGAGTAAATATGTTGAATGGAATAAAGCTGTCAAATATAATTTAAAAAATCGCATATTTCCTGAATGTTTTAATAGCATTATTATAAGTAGTATTTAAATATAAACACGTACCGCAGTTACCGTAGTTATTTCTAATGTTTATCTCTATTTAAAGGGCCTTTTGAATTTGTTTTCTTAGCTGCTTTGTTGTCGAAATAATTGGAAATTAAACTCTCGTTAAATTCTAGGCCAAATCGGTCGATTTATTGAAGAGTATGCAACAGAAGAAGGGGCGTATCATGCTATAGGTGTGTACATATACAAGTATAATCAGCTTGACGAAACGAATTGATATGGACTTGTCCATTCGACCATTCACTGTGGTATTTTTGGCAGAAATTCAAAAAAAATGTTTTCAAAGCATCGCTCCATTAACCATCGCTACTTAAACGTTTTAATTGTTTTTTATAAACTCTTCCAATCTATCAGTACTACAGTTTTTAACTCTAAATAGGTGTACCACTACTTTAATAAAGGCAATGCTGATTAAAGGACATTTTTAGTTAAACAGTTTTACTTTTATTAAATTGTTGATTATAATTTGAAAGTGAAAGTAAAACAAACAAGTTAAAAACAAAACGTTTGTAAATAAAGCGGTCGGAATTTGTTTAGCTCTGTTATCTTGTTTGAAAAATAAATATGCACGATGCTCCATAACTGAAGCTTAAATGGGTATATATACGAGAATTCTGTTATTTCATTTGAAAAAAGCAAACAAAAGGCAAATGAAATAAATGAAAACGCTGCGAGTTAATAAACCCAAGGGTTCGTCTGTTTGTTCGGATAAGCACTGTGCCCTTTGCAAATACTTAGTTCTTATTTATAGACGTGGTTAAAAGCGAACACAGCCTTACAACAGTCTCAGCCTCTTGGCAAAGAGTTGGAGCACAAAGGAACAGTCGCTAGCTGCCAATTTTCATTTAATTAATTACCTAGTTAATTAGTGACTATATAAACCACGTCTTCTGTGCAATTATGCATAATAAATATTGTAGGAGAACAGCATAAAGCATTGTCAGCACTTGAACATTCTATTCAACTGGCTTTTATTGGTCTCTTACGTTTTGTGTTTGAATTGAAATGAAACTGCACGCAAATACTTTTCCCAAGAGTGTATACTAATGCATATATAGTATATAGTATATAGTATATAGTATATAGTATATGCATTGAATATTATTCTCCTTTTCCATTTGAAATCGATGCAATCTACACACCTATTATGCCATTCAGAGAACAACAAGCAATGTTCCGCATACTGATTGCGGTTCTGTTTCTGATTGTGCGGCTCATAAATTTTCTACAGTTTCTATAGGATTCATATTTTGGCACTTAGGTGGGTCTGCCTAATGGATCTCAGATCTCTGCAGCAGTGCATTGCACAGTGGGCCAAGAGCTGGTGAAATTTCGCGAAATGCCGGCAATTGCAGCCACAATTATAAATCCGTTTTGGGCAATATGCCAAATAGTGGCTAATGGAGGCCTAAATTGGTTCAAGTACAGCGAAGTCGCACATTTGCAACGCTAGAGGGCGTTTTCCTGAATAATATTGAAACTATTTAGGCAGTCAGAAAATAAATTCCATGTCCAAAGCATACAAATACTTATGCATGTATGTGTTTATTCGCATACATGCGAATATATACATATATAAATACATACATACATATGTATGTATACAAGTTTTGAGAATTAAATCTGAAATAGAAATGCCAGCAACCACAATATCAACATAACAACAACAACAGCAATAAAAACGCAACAACAATAAAAGAAATGAAAATAAAATGAAAAATATGAGCGTTAGCATGAGCGATATAGATTTTGAAAATTTAGACGTGTTTTTAATTCAAAATATATAGTATAGACGCAGCATTTACGAGTATAGTACTTATTTATTTTCAAATATAATTTGATTGGCCATTTGGCCGATGCCGAGGAGTGGCAAAATAGTTTTGGCCAACGGATTTTTAATGCACACATGTCGCGTGGGTTACGGGTTAGCCAATTTATATTGGCATGACAACGGCTGTACACGCGTCGTATACGCAATGTGCGTGCCTAACAAAGGGCGGCAAGGCAACAAACAAAGCCCATGGGCGTGGCCGTGACCGCTTAAGCCTGCGAGTGTGGCTCATGCAATGGGACAAGGCAATGACAATGACATTGTCTCCACAGCCACAGCCATCGTCATCGCCTTCGCCATCGCCATCGCCAACGCTGTCATCGCGTGCCAGTCACGTGGCAGACAGAAAGCAAAGCTGCACATACGAGTATATTGCGCATACGCCCCATGTGCGTTCAACGTTGCTGCAGTAATAGACAATGATTGTTGTTGCTGCCGTTAGCTCCCATTTCTATTCCCACTCCTGATGATGCCATGCCATTTCGTTGACACGCAAGTTGATGGCTTAATTTACGAGAAAGGAACACGCATTTGCGAGTAAAACAAAAAACAGAATAAACAACAAGAAATCGGTAACGAACTCATATGGGATCCCAAACATTATATGCGTTCAAATTAATATTCGGTTATATATATGAGCGTACAGTGAAAGCCACACTTTAAGCGACGCCCATTATCAGGGGTGTTTAATTAAGACTACTTACTGTTCTTAACATATTGAACTTTAAAGAACAATTTAATGAACAGAAAAGATTTTCAGCAACTTTGAAGTTTTAGGAGTTTCCGATTCTCATTTACGACTGGAGCTTCAATAATTGAATATCCGGACAGCCATCTCTTGCAACTACCACGAATGCCTCTCTACAACATTTTTAACGCTGTTTTCTAAAGCAAGCTTCAATGTTTATACACTGTACTCAAAGGGAAAAAGGGTATACTAGCTTTGTGCGAATGTAAAAGCTATTGTAAAAAGCTATTGCCGTCTGTCTGTCCGTATGAACGAAAGGATCTCGGAAAGTATAGAAGCTAGAATTACAAAAGTTGGGGCCTAAATTTTCCTAAGGACCAATTTGTTTTTGCTTTTTCTGATGCAACCCCCAACTCCCCCGCTATTAGTGATTTTTCATAGCTCCCGTAATTCTTGGAATTTCGAACTCAAATTTGGCAATTACATCCAGTTTGTGATTATATATTCGTATGTAATGTTTCATTACGATCGGTCAATTCTGAAACCATTTTTTCTTATTTAATTTAATTGAAATAATTTATTGAATTAATTTAATTTTTCATAATCAATTATTAAACATTTTTATTTTATTGTTTTCTTTTTTTGTGTTGAGCCCGCTCGACTCTAGCATTCCCTCTTGTTTCATTTTTGTGAAATGTCTGTCTTTATGTTGTTGTCTTCAGAGACTTCACTGTACTTGTGCACATGCATGTATGCATGAGTTGAGCTCACATTGCAGCCACAAAAGTCCGACAGACAAGCGCAGGCCTCTGCGGTTGGTTGTCATACGAAACGCTGAAATGCTGTCGAGTGCTCGTTGCCAGGTCTTAGGTTGAGGGGCTTGGATCGGCTCGGAGTGTCGGAGGTGGGGGTCGGTCGGTCCAGCAACCGCATCGTTATGTGAGGGTGGAGCGCGGGGGGTGGGGTGGGAGATGGGGGGCACTGAGGGAGAGGACATCGGTATCGAGTGAAGCCGCACAACGACGGCCTTTGGCTTGGACTGTGATTCTTGGCAGCTAGTATTTATAAGCAGCGCTGCTCATAATTGTAGCTGTTTGGCGTAGAACTGTTGTTGTTGTTGCTGCTGTTGCTGCTGTTGTTACTGTTGTGGCGCTCTTTTGGGTGCGGCGCGCAAATTGAAATGACAAATCGAAAATGAGCAGGAAACGGAAAATAGAGGAGGTGGCGATGTCAAAACATGCCATGCTGGCGCTTGCCTGAGTCGTCAACACGCCATGGCCATGTTTCTCATGCGTAACGGTCGCTATGTTGTTGTTGTTGTAGTGGTTGCCATTGTTGCTGTTGTTGCCGTTGTTGCTGTGTGGCTGTTATGTCTTCAGCGAGACGTATCGAATCCAATTGAATGCAACAGAAAATTGAATAAGTCAAAAGCAAAAGCGGCTTTTGTGATGGCTGAGTGTATATGTGCGTGCTTTTGTGCTTTAGTCTGTGTATGTGGGTGTGTGGTAGAGTGTGGTGTGTGTGTGTGTGTGTGGGCGTTGTTGTCAACCAACCAACTAACCAACCAAGCAACCATGCAATAAACGAACATAACAACAACAATAACAAACAAAAAGCAACAAGGCAGCAAACACAGCAGCTGACTGCCCTCATCGTCTCTGTTGCGGCAGTTCTGTTCTGGCAGTTCTGGCCAGCCCAGTAACACCTACAAGCATTGTCGACACAGTGGAACCACGTCTATTCAATACTGTAGGCGTTTTTTAAATGTTCATTTCTGAGCCAACGGCCTTGTTTATTTAAATATTCGCAGGTACTTTTAATATTATCAGAAGACCAAATTCGTGAATCATTTGCAATCTACGAATATTAATAATGTTCAGTTTATTTTCCAGAGTTGCGTAGATTTTTTTTATTTATGGTAACCTAAAACAATAGCTATTTAATGCCAGATATCAATCAATAAAATATCAATAAATGAACAGAAAATAGAGCCTAGTTTAGTCAATTGAAAGAAATCTAAAATTTGTTGGAACTAACATGAACATTTTTGTTGTAATTTTGGAGCTTCAATGAACAAAAAAAGTTAACAGTAATTTGTAGTCCATAATCTCTTCGAATAGTACAATGATGTAAGTTTCATTTTTTCAAAAATCTAAGCATAATAAGAATAACTTTTCTGATTCATTTGTACAGGTAAGCTTTTCTATAATAAGGATACATTTATAATATATCGACTATAGACGTACAGAAAGGGGTTACTTAATAGGTTTGAAGGAAAATTCGAGTCACCGCAGCTTAAGAGAACTTGAACACATAATATATAATAATATTGATATTTGATAATATTCCAAATGCAGGCGTTAAGTTATTTGATAAGAGACTATACACATCGGATAGAGGATATACATTTCGCTTCAAAATGTCTCGAAACGCAACCGTATGTGGATCGTTATAGTTATTTTTAATTATTGTTAATTTTTAGTATTTTTTATTATTATTCGAACTATTATTACTATCAATATTATAATTATTAATATTATTAGTAATATTACTTGTATTATTATCTTACTAATGCACTCAAATATCAATTGAATATAAACAGTTACCCAATTATTTTGTGAATATTCGAACCTGTTCGCTTCCACTGTGCCTTATCGTCGTGCAAACCGATTTGTAACTGTGTATGAGTGACGCCCGAGGACGACAACGTCGACAACGACGGCGGCAGCGTTGGCAGTGACGGCGGTGATGGCAGCAGCAGAAACGACGGCGCTAGTGGCGGGCGCGTTAAACCTGCTGCCAACGTCAACGCTTCGCGCCCCTTGGAAAATCATATTTCTTGTCTCTAATTTGTGTGTTCTATTCTGTGTACGTGTGTGTGTGTGTGTGTGTTTTTTTTTTTTTTTGCTTTGCTACTCGACGCGCCCGCCGCATACGATTCTCGCCGTATGAGGGCGCCAGCATCGTCGCACGCAGGCCACTCACTTGACTAGCTGGCTGGCTGGTTGGCTGGTTGGCTGGCTGGCTGGTTGGCACTCAGAAAACACAAATGTGCGCCGTGTCGTGTTGGTTGGTCGCCTGTCTCGAGTACCTTAGCCTAGCTCGCCCGTCGTCGGTGCCGTCGCTCGTTTAGAGATCCTGTGGGACTGCACGCTTAATAGCCCTAAATGGCCAGCACGGCCAATATGTTGGCCCACATGGCTCCGAACAATACCACGCCCGAAGAACTGGCGCGCCTCATAGACGTCCATTTAGGCGATCTGCGCGAGCCGTCACCCAATTGGACGCTGGCCGTCTCCCCGGTGTCCGGACGCGGGGTCTTTGCCACACGGCACATTGCTGCCGGCGAGCTGATCTTTAGGGAGCGTGCGCTCGTTGTTGGACCGACGGCCCGCAAAGGTTCCCCGATGAACACCTGCGTCTGCTGCCATCGTCTGCTGCCGGTGCAACAGTTTCTATGCCCCCATCGCTGCACACTGCCAGTGTGTCCGGGCTGCGCGGAGTCTCCGGCTCATCGCGATGAGTGCGCACACTTTCAACGGTGGCAGCCAAAGGATCTGGATGTCACAGAAGAGCAGCCCCAGCCCCAGCCCCAACAGCCTACGGAGTCTGTGAATCCGCTCTCCCTGCGCATTTTGACAGCAGTACGAGTATTCTATTTAAGCCCGGAACAGCGTGCTCTGGTGGACGCCATGCAGGCGAATGCGGAACGTGGCTATCGCCAGGAGATCATTAAGGCCGCACAGTGCTTTCGCAAATTTCCCACCACGGATCGTGCCTTCATGGATCAGCTGTTTCGTATTGTAGGCGTACTCAATACGAACGCCTTCGAGGCACCTTGTCGAGTGGGCGAGCACGAGACTCTGCTCCGTGGTCTCTTCCCCTTGACCGCCATCATGAATCACGAGTGCACACCCAATGCCAGCCACTATTTCGATAACGGGCGACTGGCGGTGGTGCGGGCGGCTCGCGATATTCCCGAGGGTGCCGAGATCACCACCACCTACACAAAAATTCTGTGGAGCAATCTCACCCGTGGCATTTTCCTTAAGATGACCAAGCACTTTATGTGCGACTGTGCGCGCTGCAACGACAATACTGTGAGTAGGAACCCTGGAATGCACCCCCTCTGCCCTGACCCCACCACCCCCTACCTACTACCAGAAGTCGTAGTTGGCCCCGTTCCGGCCTCCGGCAACAAATCGTCTGTTGAACATAATTGTGCCGTTTCTGCCCTCATCGGGCTGCGTGTCTGTGCTGCGCCGGAACGGACCGCAGCGCGCCGGCAATTTGCATAAATTTTTAATAAGCAGGAGTCGCTCCCTATAGTGAACTCAGTTGGAGTATACCAACAGTTGGAGAAAGCGATGATTTAGAAATGTTTAAAACGCAAAAGTGTTGCGAAGCTATTACGATCCATTCTCAAAAAGCTAATGCGTTAGCTTTCACTTGGCGCTAAAAAATCTATCTACCTTGAAAAGATTTTCAAGCTAGGTTTTTCGATTAGATAATCGAATTATGTGTCTCCTAAACCATAATATAATAACCGTATCTTTGCATACTTCTTATAAATTCAAAACAATATTTTAGAACTATGCTCGAAGTTGAATAGAAACTTAGGTTCAGGAGATGAAATGAGATCAGGCCTGAATGTTACCTTTCGCTTTTTCCAAAAATAGTTCAAAATGTTTTAATACTAACGACCCGTTGGTTTTGGAAACATAACTTGAGTGGAATAGGAACCATTCGTGTTTTTTCTAGATAAGACTAAGAAGTATACAAATTTGGAAATGAAACAAAAGAAGATTATAATCAATGACATGCAGTTTTTCAAAAACGATCTGATCCACGATAATATTTCAAAATTAGTTTTGGGCGAGAGAAAAGGTAGCTGCACTTAATTTGGAAGGGGCTTAGATTCCATTTCATAACCTTGCCTATGATTGTTTGTGTTGTTTGTGGTTTATTATTATATTGAATTATCAACGAAAAGTCAAGAAATATAATTTTTTCGTTTTTTGATTGAAGCAGAACTTAAGTTTAAGTGTTTGTTTTTAAAAATTCTGACCATATAAACAGGCAGAAAAAAACTTAACAGATCCCATGCTTAACTATAACATATTCGTATATGATGCCAGGACTGTCCCTCTGTCCGTATGATAACAGCAATAACTTTTGTGAGAAAATATTCCATTTATGAGTTCTAGGGCCTCAACAAAGTCAATATCATATATCATTCATAGGAATGAATTACAGTTATAATGATAATTAAATATCTAATAATTTGTTAAATTAAAGCCGACTGGCATTTGATTTGCTGTTGCTATTTCTAACAGGATTTTGATTTTAAATTTTTTTTGCCAATTTTGATTTTGGATTTGGAACATTCTTGTGATGTTTTTTCACATGAGGATGTCAATTTTAGATTTGCGAGTTACATTTCTGGAATAAATGGAAAATGGTGTATGTTATATCGAGTGCTCGCTGTATTGAATAGTTGTACTGTTCCAAGCCAAACTGTCTTGCTGGTGTTGCTGCTGTATGGGTTTAAAAATATATATTCTGTTCGGACCCACTTTCGGGGTAAAGTTCAGGTCAGCCCTGGCGACCTTCATAGCCTTTGACGGCATTTCAAGTGCAATCCCCAGAACTTTACATGCATCGTGGTGCTTTGGGGTTCGATCGATGCCGGACACATGGCCGGGTCGCGTACTCAATGCTCTGCAGAGATGGAGAGACAACTGGAGGGACATACAGTATAATGTGGTGGAGGGGAGAGAAAGGGGCAGAGAGCGGTAGAGTGTCGCGGTCGTGGTTCTGGTTGTGGCCCTGGTATGCCTAGACATAAAGCAACTATTGGAATTTCTAAAATGTATTTCAAGAATTGTCTTTGACAGGCCGCAAGTGTGTGTAGTGTTGTGTGAGAGTATGTGTGTGTGTGTGTGTGTGTGTGTGTGTGTGTGTGTGTGCGTGTGTGAGTTTGTATCTATAGCTCATATGCTTATAGCTGGCTGGCTGCTCAGTTGCCGTTCTATCTCGAGGATTAGATGAATAATGGGTATTTTTCATGCCAGCGTCAGAAGAGCAACATTGACGCTAACGCCGGCAACCGGCGAGACAGTCGCGTCCAAGTCGACACACGCGTTTGTGGCATTTGGCAGCAGAACAAGGCAGAGAAAGAGCAAGAGAGACAGGGACAGAGACAGAGAAAGAGACAGCGAGAGAGAAAGAAATTCACTTAATTAGATTAGTTGTATGATTTTTGCATGAACTTGCCATGCGAGCTCATTAGGGTGACATCGCGGGCGGAATATTGTGGGCCAAGAGGGCGGCAGCGGCAGCGGCAGTGACGGAGTCGACTGGCCTGAATATGAGATGCCGAGGCAAAAGGTGTTCGACGTCAGGCAAAAGCAAAAGTGAAAGCAAATTACAGAGTAATTACATTGAGAAAATATTTATAAAGCCGCCAGTCTGGTATGTAGTACATCATGAAAATGTTTATTCTAGTTGCCAACTAACCATGCAACAGGTTTTGTGAAATGACTAGAAAATTTAGAAGACGTGCCGTCGTAGACGTCATCGACAATGTGTAGGCTAGGGTCATTATACCTATTCTAGTCTTTGGGATTCTAGTTCCCAATACTGCAGGTTACAATTATTTATCGTAGCAATTGTTTTGGTTTTTCAAATATTTCCCAAGTACATATGAATATTTTAATTTGTGCAGATATTTAAGTGGCTTCGAATTAATAGGTTTGGCTTTTATTTTGTATTTCCTTGTAAATTCCTATTTTTTTTGCAAAAATTGCCCCTAGAACTTGACAAGGATTTGTCGACTTAATGCATAAGTAGCACTGCAATCCGACAAATTGCTTTGCCATATCTCGCTCTCTACTTTACTTTAATTTTTGCTATAATTGCATTCTTGTGAAACTCTCCAATTCTTTCTTTATACAAAACAGTGCTTTTTTGATGGGAAATATTAACACTTTCCCAATTCAAATGGCAATAATAAAAACATCAATTATAATATTCTTATTTACTGTACATACAAATGTGAGAAATATATGCTCCTATATACTACTATATAGAGAAATTAACCAGTAGTACATAGCTTGTGCAGCAACATATTTATTACTTTTAAGACAATCCAAGTAATAAAAAGAACTCTAGTGCATCATAGAAAAATTCGAATGACGTCATAAGATTTAAGGCATCACTTGGCAAGAATTGTCAAGAAATTAACAAACGAAAATTAGAGTCTTGCCTCACTGACGATCAGTGGGATCAGGCAACTGCATTGCCTTCAACTTTATGGTATCTGATATTATAGTCCCCATAATTAAATTCTTTATTCTTACTTTTCGCTTCCCATTTTCACAGGAGAACGGTACATATCTGTCGGCGCTGTTTTGTCGCGAACAGGGCTGCAAGGGTATCGTTATTCCTGTGCAGACGAAGACGCTGCAGCCAGACTGGCGTTGCCTGAGCTGCGAGAATGTGTTTCCGCACGCGAAGATGGCGCGGTATCAGGACTTTGCACTCAACACCATCAACAATCGGATAAACTCGAGTAGCGTCCCGGATATGATCCATTTCATCAACGAGCTCTGTCCGCGCTTCTGTCCACCATCCAACTATGTACTGATCGAGGCCAAGTTGAATGTCATCTGGCGGATGACGAGATTTGGGGCTCCTGAATATACAGAAGAGGAGTTGGTGCACAGGGATCGCTATCGTGAAGATATATTGGCCATATTGCATAAGTTGGGTGCGGGGGAGTGTACGTTAAAGAAGCTCATAACCGAGGAAATACAGTGAGAGATGGCCAGCCTAGTCTATATTTGTCTGCTCGTACTCGTATGTCTAACTACCTGTCTATCTACCTGTTTCTGTGTATGTGATCTACGTCTCTAAGAAGCTAAAAACCTAGGTTTGGACTAACACCTAAAACTTCATAAAGATAAATGGATAATTAAAATTTCTATTCATAGCGACTAATTGAATTTTTTCTAATGTTTCTAATTTATGTTTTTGTATGCTTTATATAGCGATTGTGCGTGAGAGTACATGCGTGTTCTAACTTTTGGGCAGTTTTCCCAGTTCTATTGTTGTAGCTAGGAAAAAGTGCAGATGTATTTGTTTTTTTTTTGTATGTACCTAAGAAATATTATAGAAATAAAAGAACACAAGAACCATGTAACAAATTTGTCGTTGTTTTTTTTTTTTTGGCTTATATTCAGCCCAGGAACTTGCATTGTTGCCCATTAAGCTGACATGTGCCTGGCAGAGCTGTCATGGAAAGCAGCGGAAGCGACGGCTATGCCAAGTCTCATGCCTTGGCAACTAATGGACTATATATGTATGTATGTGGTATACATATATCCATCTGAATGAGTGTCTGCTAACGTGACTGACCAACATACACTTCTCTCGTTTGCAGAAATCATTCATTTGAAACGAGAGAAGATAATTTATAAACTTGTTAAAAACTTGTAAAATTAATAATGCGCCTACTTACAATAGAAGAATAGACGAATGAATTCAATTAAGCAGGCGGCACTTAAATGAGGCAAGCAGTCCATTTTAACGCAAAATTTAACAATGTCTTGTTACAGTGAAATACATTGTAAGAAAAAAAGTAAATAAATAAACTCGTGTTGTGTAGGGACTAGAAGAGTCTACCTTACGAGTTTGGTTTATGTAGCCTCAGCCGTTTCCCAAATCCAGGCGGTCATACAGACGGACGGACGGACGGACGGACGGAGAGACTTGTTCAGATGGCCAGGCTGATTAAAAAAATATATGCTCTATAGAGTCGAAAATGCTTCCTTCACACTTAGTAAATTCGCTAAGCACTGTATTCCATACTTTAAGAGATTCCTTGTGCGAAAGTTCTTCATATCGCAGCATCTACACTGGAGTGTGGGAGTATAGGTTTCGGAAATTTCAAGATTAGAATTTGAATAAATTAAAGATAATGTGAAAAATTGAAAAAAAAAAATTCACATTATCTTTAATTTATTCAAATTCTAATCTCTATCTAAAAAAAAAAACACACACACATTCTATAAAAATGGTTTCAATTCGTTTTATCACAATTGTTCGTTTTATCGCAATTGTCATCATTTACATGATCAGAAAAGACCAGAAAGCTGATCACAATTATTTTCGCTAGTGAAAATGTCAAATATTTTAGGGCTATATTTTTCTAATGCAAGCCACTGTGCGACGCGTCGGTCATCGTCGTGTGTGTCTCATCAACTAAAAGCACAATAATATCTCGGCGTCCAAGTTGATGATGGCCCATTTGCCGATCAACAAGTTGAAAACTGCCGCCTCACTCCAACCCGGTGGCAGAGAGCGGAAGATCTGTCCATCAACTGCGCACGCCAGCCAAAGCTCATCTAGAGCGTATGACGCCATCAACTTACTAAACGGTAGCTACTGGGCAAATTGTTTGGCCCGATAAGCTTGTAAACCATGTTTGCCCGCAGATTATGCGATTAGGAACTGTTCGGCTTGCGTTTCGCGTTTAATGTAGCCGCCGTTAAATGGTCGCGGGTCTTTCTTTCTTTCTTTCCACTTTCCGGCTTACACAGCACACATATGTATGTATGTATGTGTATGTACAGTGTGTACTTGTATAAATATATATGTACGTATATATTTTAATTCATATGGTGATAAAAGCTTGTTGCCTATCGCCGGCATTGAAATTACGAGTATTACGTAGTCGCCGACTGAACTTTGGACACGCACTTAAATTGTTGCTGTTTTCTTTTCTTTTCTGTTTCTATTTTCATTTTCTCACTCACTACCCACTCGGTCAGTGTAATGTCCGGTCGACTTGCCCGCTCCTCGGTCTCGGCAGGGTAAGTGGGGCAGGTGGGGTAAGTGGGACAAAGTTGAAGCTACGCTGAGTGCAACTGAAGCGGAACAGAGCTGTGGGGAGGCATTGGGTTGGGACTGTAGAGAGAAGCTCTAATTAAGCCTGCATTTAAAATTGGGTATTTTCATGTAAAAAGAAATAATAAAATGTAACATTTGTATACACACGTCTAGGCTAGTGACGACAGCACACCTCAGGTCATTTACATACATATGTACTACAAGTATATATACTTACTTATATATGTACGCGTATAGAGCTGTTTGTGAGCATTACTCGGCCGGCTTTGAAAACATTTTCATTGAGTCCATCCACTCTACACTCAACAAATTTTCGTGGGCTGTACTTTACCCTTATATTTAATCTATTAGTTAACCCATCAAATAGTCGACTTTATTAATCAATCACAAATCTAAATAAATGATAATGACGTTATGAGTTTCAAAAATAATTACTAGTGGTTTGAATTAAATCCAAGTCAGGCACATTTTTTCTTAATCACCTAAAAACTGAAACTTATTTGTGAAATTTTATAGCTTAACTTTTTTGTGCAATTTTATAGCCTTTATTAATGTCCCAAGCTTAAAAGTATGTTATTTTGGAGTCTAAAACACTTGATTGTATTTTAAGCCGACTTTCTAATTATATTTTAATATAATATTAAAACAGCACATCTTTCGTCTCGGCACAGTTTGTAGAATGAATTAGACTTGTTGGTGATTGGACAGTCGTGGTTTCCTCATGCAGGCTTCAGTTAAAGATTAAATTGATCAAATGGCTGATTATACATACATATGTATCTATGGTCTCTGCAACCCCATCTAAGAATTGGTTCGAAAATGCAGCCATCCCTTGCGCCTGAAGCAAATGAAAGCCTCTCTTGCTTAATCCCTATTAGACTTTTAAAGATTATCCGGATTTATTTTGAAATTGGTTGGGTTAGATTCGGATTCTCATCTCTACAATTGAAGAAATCATTAGATGAGATGCAAGCCTGGCGGCCTGTAAATAGCCCCACCACCATTAATTCTTAGATAGCTTATAAGAAAAGAACATCTTAATGAGAGTCTGAGTCTTAATGAGTCTGAAATATTAATTAAATAACAAGCAATCCAAGATCTCAGAAAATACAAAGACAAGAGTTTAGAAATATGTATTAAATACATACATATGTGTGTAGTATCTAGGGGGCTGTATATTTTTCAGGTAATTTCTTGAAAATCCCCATTGTCAACATATTATTCATGTACGAACATATCTTGTTTATTTATTGCATATATTGAAGCCTTTTCACTTAAGCCCCTTCATTGCATAACTAACTGTGTGGAGTGATAAGTGTATGTACTATATCTATATATATATACTATATATGTACTATATCTATACATATGTATGTACATATATGTAGAAATTGTGTCATAATCCTCAACTCCCTCCCTAGTTTTATTTATTGTCCTCAGCTCTCTCAGGCACCCTTGATTTCTTGCTCTCTTCTGTTTTTTCCAATAAAGGGCAATTATTGGAACTGGTAGAGCGCGCTTCGAGCAAGTTATTTGAAAGTGCATACATATGCATATAAATGGGTATTACACCTGTACTGGCGTTGGTAAAGACAAAGCGAAGACAACAACAACAATAGGAATAACGACAACGGACTCTGGACACACGAGCTGCGCTGCTGATGACTGGACGGGCGGACGACTCGAAAAACAATTGAAAATTCCGCAAACGCAGCAAACGGCAGCTTTGTGCTTTTTGTTGTTCTTATTTTCGTTGGCTGGCTTATCGCACTAACAGTTGCTAAACGCACTCATACATAGTACATAGATATGTATGTATGTATGCACATTACATATACATACACGTATATTGATAGTGCAGGGAGTACAAGTATATAAATAAATAAGTATTGTCATGTATAGAAAGACCGGCGATAAGATAGAGTGAGCAATGGAATTTCGTATGCTTCGAAATTTAGGCAGTCTTACGGTTTTTCGTTTTATGCCCTAGTGTGGTTCGATGTGTGGAGCTGCAGCTTGGGCCAGCCACCTGGGTGTGCATCATTCACACCTCCACCGCTGACTGGCATTTGACGACGAAACTACTGCAATCTTTGTACTTTGCACGCATCGAGGCTGCAATGCGATACTTACGTCTCAGCCGACCATTAATGATGTCACACCGATTAGGCAGAGGTACGATGGGACCAATTGCTAGAAAAAATAAGTGTTAAAAAGAGACTGTGTGTGTATACATTAAAAAATAAACAATTTATATAAATATTTTTTTTTACAAAAATAATTAATTCACTAAAAACGATATTTGAAAATTAGATGTTTTAATTCTAAGAACTTCGTTTGGCATTTTCAAAACTAATAAACCTAGCATTAATTTCCCCTTATCTGTTAATGTATGGTTTGTTTATGGATTTGTTTTTTAAAAACAGATACCCATTTCGAATGGACAACATTAATTGCTTTCGGAAATTAATTGCTTTCTGAAACTTGCCTATTTTTTAATCAAAATCAAATGTTCTTTCCCTTTCCTTCCCTTACTTTTAGATAGTAATTTTTATCGCCAAGTAACTTTCTTACTATGGCTTTTAATACAAAGCCGTATTATGCTGATATTAATGAATTAAAATATAATTTTTTGGGTTTGTTCATGAGAGCTATTTCCACCGTTCTTGTTTAAAATGGTATGCATTTGTTTAGTCAATTATATATTAATAGTTTTACAGCATTCAAGTTTTTCCAATATTTTTTAAATATTTATTTATTTATTCTTTGACATTCCAGTGCTATAATTTCAGAATTTACAACTATATGCCCCGATAGTTATTTAGGTGGAAATAAATTAATCGAAATAGTGCAAAATAATGCAAAAATGCTTGCGTATTGCAATTTTAAAACATGTTTAGTTCGTTAAATTTTAACATTCAAAATTTTAAAACGAAGTCGACCAGCTTTTATCTAGTCAACTGATTAAGTAGACGTTATGGCCCACTGTGCGCTAAAATTTGCCGCTCAGCTGCTCGCTGCTGTTCGTGGGTTTAACTGAAGCGACCGTTGCCTCTGCTCATTCACTCCTTGTAAGTCGCGTTGGACGGTCACGGGCGGCATAACGGCACATCAGAGAAAGAGCAGCGATTCGCACACTTACACACACACACACACAGACACTCAGAGGCCGCCATGAACAAATATGCATTTTCGATCGTCTGCCTGTTGGCCGCACTCGGAGCGGTATTCTTGGAGACTCAGGCAAGTCCAGCCGGTGGTTCGGTCAACATGAGCCAGTTGGATGGTCTCAAGTCACAGTTCCTGCCTCCGGAATATCGCAACACAAACATCAGTATAGGTGAGTGCCGATGACATAACCAAGTAACCAAGCAACTTTATTCCACACTCCTCACTCCACGAACCTTTCAGAGGACATCAAACGCATCTATAGGGAGAAGTGCAAGAAGGTGAGCGGCGTCGAAAACTCCACACTGTATCGGGAGATCGAGAAGGGTGCTGAAAAGCTGAGCGTGTGTCTCTCATCGCTGGCCAATCTGACGGCGCTGCAGGCTGAGATGGATGCGGCACGTCCCATTGGCGAGCTGGACACCGTGTTCAGCAAGTATTGCAAGAAGGCGCCGGAGGCGGAGGCGTGTGTGCGAGAGTTCAGCGCCCTCCTACAGCCATGCCTTACCAAGGAGGAGCAACAGCAGCAGACGGTGATGATGCGCATTGGTGCCACACTGCTCGGCTTCGCCTGCACCCGTGGTGGGGATCAGTTGGCGTTGTTTGTGGCCGAGCAGGGTCCCGAGTGCCTGGAGGCGAACAAGGAGGCTATTAGCCACTGTCTGAACAGATCGTTCCATCAGTATCTGCCCAAGGATGGCAGCGTGCCCGATCTGCTCAGCCGCCCAGAATTGCTCTTCTCCCCCACCCATTGTGTGGATCTGCAGAGCTTTGAGGGCTGTGTGGTGCACCATCTGGAGCAGTGCACGGAAATAACGCCCGCCAACATTGTGCAGTCGGTGTTCCGGGTCGTGAAGAATGAAACCAATTGCCAGGCCTGGATAAATGCCCGCGCCAACGAGCGTCCAGTCCTGCTGGCAGCCTCTGGGAACAGCACTGGCGGTGGTGCCGCAAGCCTGGCCAGCACGCTGCTCGGCACAGTAGCCCTGGCGCTGGGCGCGATTATATTGCGAGTGTAGACAGTGGTCAACGGTCATAAATGATGAAGCAGCTATCGTAGGTTCGATAAAATGTTTATAGTATTTCGTTCATATATAGTATGTATAGTTGTTTTTTTTTTTTTTGTTTTTTCTTGAGATAAGACCAAGGTCCCTTGCCTTAGTGATATGCATAGAGCGGCGGCATTTCTGTGTGTTTTTTTTTTGTTTGTTTTATTATTGTAGCTAATGAACAAATTGAATATTGTGCTGTACACCTGTAGTTACAACTCGTCAATTTATTACTGCGAATACGAAAATAAAGAAAGATAACCCAACTCAGGAACAGAGCTTTTCCAACCCTGCCTTATCAGCTACAGTCAAATTTAGCAGCACGTCATGCCCCACTTAAAAGTTGAGAGCCACTTTCGATACTCCATTTCGATATTCTATATCACACATTAAAGTAAAAATTCACAAAAAACTTTATAGCTTCTGAAGATACTTATTCTGTTATATGATGGTTAAACATATTGACTTCATTAATCAATCAGTATTGCAAGATACTGAGGGAAACTTTCTGAAGATATAGTATGTATTTTTCAATTACTGATAATTGCTTAAATTGAATTTTCCAAGCTTCATCCAATCCAAACAATCAATCAACCCTTATTCTTTCGGGCATGAGAACCACACTCTGAAGCTAAAGCTCATCAATATACATACATATATATTATATTTACTGTTAGTTTTGGACTCAATTAATCAACTGAATCAATCAATAAATAAAATGATTTTTTGTTTTATTTATAAATAATTTGTGCTTCTAATACTTCGTAGATGTACAGAGAAATTATTCAACAGACGTGCTGGCTTTCCTACTATCTACTATCTACTATCAGGCATTGCGAGTTTTCTATTCTTGGAGCATTGCAAAATGGATTGGCTTCCGATTCTCTTGGATCGTGCACTTTCTTAGAAATTTCTCTGACTATATGTGTACCTATACGAAGTACATGTAAGTATGTTTTGGGGCTGATAGTGCCCGGCCAGTTGCTCATTATCTGAAAGCTGTGACGAAAGCTCTATTGAATGCGTCAGAGACGATGAATGACTCGACAAATAGCGGCGTGCTCAGCATTGAGTCAGTCGAGCCCCATAGATAATTCCGTTCTTGACAGTTGTGGATGTCGACAGGGAATCGCAGATGTGTTCAACGAATATCAAAAGAGCCGTCTGCTAACAACTAGAGTCAATAATCGCACCCACCCAAGCAGCCTTAACTATCACTATATGGATTGAACAATCGTGTTGCATACTTTTGCTCCGATCTGTCGCGGCACAGTGGGGCATGCGCGTAGTTCCGCGTGCAAGAAAGAAAACTAAAGAAACAATACGATTCATTTTTCCTCCAATCCTTCTCTTATATTTCGCAACATATTTTCTGAAATGTGAAAACGTTGTTTTCCTGTTTGTGGGAGAGAGCGATTATGAATTTATTCAATCGCTCAATCAATCGATTTGGTGCGAGATTTATTCGTTACGATATAATTTCGGTACAATATTTTAGTTTTTGGGATCCCATTTCCATTTCCATGAAACATTTCAAAACAAATTTTGAATCTGCATGGATTTTCTCTCTGTGTATATTTAAGTAGAAACAATTGAAACCTTTACTTAGCTGATATGACATTTGAGCGCGATTAAGAATTGATTGCGCGAGCTTGCAGTATTTGGTAATCTGAAATGCTTATAACGTAAGTTCAGTGAAATATTTTAGTATACGAAAATGCAGTATCAGCGGCGTATCCGTCATAAGTGGGCAAAATATGTTCAATTCAATATCGTTTCGTAGTGGATTTGAAATAAACAACCTCAAAACCACAAACTATTTTATAATAAACGTGATATCTAGAAAGAAGGGCAATAATTTAATATTGCTTAACAATTATCTGTTAGTTCCAATTAGTTCGATAAAAACAATATATTTATTTTGAACCGCTAATACTATAGATAAGATAGGTATGTTAAGTGCGTTTAATACATGTACATGTTTAGTAACTTTATAATATAATATTTGTAATGAAGAAGAATATTAAAAACTTTTTGAAGTATTATCATGCCTGCTACAGTTAGATCACACTTTAGCACTTGGAGAGCACAACTCAAATACCCATTAGGTGATTCAACACATTATATTATATCATCATCTCATCATAATGAAATCTACTATGCTTTTTTATGACAAATGCTGTTATAGTTACATCAGATTTTAACATTTGGAGAGCAAAGCTCAAAACACCCATATCATCTCAAATCATCTCAAATCATCTCATATCATCTTATATCATCTCATATCATCTCATGTCAACCTCTTATCACACCTACATGTATTCATGTATTCCCTTTCTAGACTATAGGCAATTGAATTGAATATTAACCGATTTTGTATTTTTGAGAATTACTCATTAATAAAACTGAACAGCAAAAATGGTATCAGTGCTATAATCGTGTATGTAAACAAAAGCATAAAAGCGATTTGAACTAAATGGTAGGCGATAAGATTATACCAGTCGATTTGTTTTTTAGCTTATTTCTCTGAAATCAAGCTAATGGCCATTGGATAGTGGCAGGACAATATATTGTATTGTGGTGCGATGAACAATGCGATTTATAAAATAGTAACAAGTAATTCTTTAAATGATAATTCATCGAGTACCTTAAGCTTAGTTATGCATTAACTTACCGGTTAATTTAAGGAACTGATTAGGAAATGTGTATAAATAATAATATTATTATATAATAAAAAAAAATAATAATAAATAGCTTTGGGACTTTGGACCTTTCTCAGCTCTGCGCGATTTGGGACTCCTCTTCCACTTCCTCCTCCATTTTCTCCTGCTCCGCTTCCTCCTCCACCAGTTCGTGCAAAGCCTTCTGCTCTTCCAGCTCCATTTGCTCGTTCGCATCTTCCATATGCAGCCACACATACTCGACTTGCTGCCGTAGCTTCGTGGCATATTTCCAGACACTGCGATCTTCGACCAGGTTGTCCATCGTGTAATTATTGTCCGGCTCCCGATAATGCTGCATATGTGCCAGCTCTGTTTCCATTAGCCGCGTCCGACACACCGGTGGCAGCCACTTGAGGGTGTAGTGATTGTGCAGCGCCACTGAGTAGCGCGTGTTGTGAAAACACTTCGTGGCCCGGCCCGGCAGCGAGTAGTTGGCCAGTCGCATGGTGTGCTGGAGCACGTACAGCTCATCATCGGCTTCCAGTTGCTCGTGATTGTGCGGTTCGGGTACGACATTCGTGAAGTAGGCGTTGAAGAAGCACATCTCGGCATAGCCGTCGGCGCATTTGGCGCTCGGCGGATTCAGTGCACCCGTGACCACATCGTGCCAGTCTCGCTGCTTACCCAGTGGCACGATCACCTCATCCACATCGACGTTGAGTATGTAATCGTGACGGTACATGTTACGATAGAAGCAGTCGTTGTAGGGTATCAGCTCGTTCAGACGCTTCACCTTAACCCGCTCTTGCAGCAGCATGTGCTGATAGTGGCGCAGTCGGGGCATTCCATTGGCCATCGTGATGGGGCGTAGCTGGAGGTAGCCCGTGCGCTGGTAGTAGTCTAGGACGCGTTGCACCTTCGGATGTACATCGTACATGTAGGCGTAGATGCGTGAGGCGCCGAACAGGCGTTGCAACTCGAACCACTCGATGAGACGCTCGGATAGATCGATGTAGGGAAAGTCGAAGCCCTTGACGCAGACCCCAAATCTGAGCTTGTCGCCAGAAGGGGGAGGAGTGGCCGTTGTACTCGCTGGCTGCTCGTAATGCACTCGCAGGGAGTTCACGGCCTGATCGCAGGGTTGCCTAACCAATGACACCGTTCGAGGTATGGCAGCCGTTTTCTCGGGCAGCGGGCAGCTTATCAGATGCGGATAGTTAAGGTGTGGTGTATGGTCCCAGCTGTAGTGCCACACGCTCACAAACTCACTCACCTCGACAATCGTTGGGCGACGATTATTATCGTACCAGAGTTGGCAATAGGTACGCGGAAAAGCATCGCCGATTTGATCCGCCGTGCCCAGCACACGGACCACAGCTTCTTTGACCGCCACCCGATTGTCGAGGTAGGCGGCGAAGAGCCGAAAGGTGACATTGGCATTGAGAAAGGTCTGCCAGTATATGTTGTGGAGCTGCAGCTCCAGCGGATCGGGATAGCGTGCACAGGTGCCGTTCAGCCTTAAGTGATTTGGCTTGGCCTGTAGATACCAAAAGGAATAGTCCACCTCGGGCAGCTCCTGCTCCAGCTGTTGCACCAGCTCCTTATCCATAGGCTCTTGCGGTGGCGTCGTTGTATGCGGGGGTTGCCGCAACCTTGTCCTTGTGGCATGCGAGACGTCAGTCAGTTGCGTCTGCAAGGACTGTCCATCCCGTTGCACTGTCCCCAGCACGAGCAGCACAACAAACAACGCTCCAAGCACCAACAACGTCAGTCGGACAAAGCCACCTCGCATCGACATGTTTCGGCGTCGTACTGAGCACTCTGCGTGCCAAATTAATTTGATCGGCCACCTTCTCACGTAATCGCACCGTTACCCCAAAGCTCTGAAGGTGGAGACGAGAAGTGATTTTGTTCCTCCGCTTTTCATTCTGGGTGCGTCTGCTTATCGCGCATTAATTGAAGCATAAATCACAGGGATGTTGGATTTTTTTGACTACAGGATATTTCTGACCTGCACTTGCTCCTCTCTAAGTGGCTTCTCTCTTTTTTTTTTTTATATTAATAAAAGCCCAGTCTGGATACTTCTACAAACGAGGGGATGCGGTTTAACCCATAATAGTAAAGAGAAATTATAAGAAATTTCAACCCAATCAGATACATAAAATTAATTGAAAAATTATGAAAAAAATCACCCAAATATGATAAGCTCCACGATGCGATAAAATTAGTTACTAGTAGCTACTGGTTAGTTATATTGGGTAAGCAATTACCCATTCAAGCTGCTGAGCCGGGTGGTTTCCAATAAGTTTGAAGAAGATGCTAGGTTTGTGTAGATTGAGGCTTTTAGATTATAAGCCAAATTGTTATTAAATATATAAATAGAGTTTAAATAGAGTCTTGGGTAAGCAACCAGTAACCACTCCCTAGTTCGGTGCTTGTTCGTCGGAACGTTGGGTGTTTTCTGATAACTAACGACCGTCGTTTTATCTACGTTTGGTGTTTTTATTTTTTATGGAAATGGTCGGCATGGGGCATACCTTATCAGTATGTGTTGCTCATTACCAACTTGAGAGCGAGCAGTGTCAAGTGTCCATTACCAGACTCACTTCTTACATTACTGATTATACAATAACAACAACAACGACTGCCTAACAGCAGCAACAGCTGAACATTCCCATATACAAATACATTTCACTTAATTTAAATGTAATTAATGTATACATAAACTTCGCTCATAAAACTGTCTAGCCTTATCCCAATTTTGTGCGTTTCCAAAATGATAAAAGTAATAATAGAACAGATATAACTTATGCCGTGAAGAGCAGCGCAATAGTATCCAATGATAACATTTATGGCTAACGTCGACGAGGCGGCTTATTGAGGGATTTTAAACTTTATAGCCTGCCAGATAGTTCCTAAAGAGAGCTGATTGTACCTTGCACTTCATTCCATTATATTATAACCAATCCCATGTAAGCTTAGCTGTGCTTTTTGTGGTTACGGGAACGCCTTTAAGTATGCAGCAAAAGCGCTGAACACACGCTGTGTTTGCAGATGTGCAGATGGAAAGCTATGATCGTAACTATGATCGTACATACTATATGTATGCTCTGATCGCTATGGAAGTTGGCTTGTCAGCTAATCCCGTTCGGGATAATTGACGGACAGGCAATCGAGTTGCATTTCGAGCAGTGGACCGATCGAAGAAGGCATGAATAATGACAATAACTGAACAGATTGGCATTTGTGTAACATATCAGACACTACACACAATACGAAACATTTCTCAATTAATATTATTTTCAATAACAACAACACACAAACAAACAGACCCGGCGGTCCTCCCAAAAAAATAAAAAAAAATAAAACATGGCTCGACTCTCAGCGCTCGGCATGGCCATCACTGTGCACTCGGTTTTGGGCATTTCGTACTACTTCTTGCTCGGAAAGTGCTCGCCGGCGCCTCTGCTGGGCAGTTGGCTGTTCGTCGCCTGCATTGTGGCCATCCTGCAGGCCGTTCACATCGTTCCCCAATGGAGCCCCAACTCATCCATCCTGTTCGAGCTGCTCATCGAGACGACGATCTGCTGCCTGACACTGGACTTAATGCTCACCAAGCTCTGGTGCCGCATAGAGAGCTTATGCCATTGCGCCATTGTGGGCGTGCTTCAGGCCTACGTCACCGAGGAGCAGACCTTTGCCGCCTGCGAGTACTGGCTGTTGGGTACGACGACCACCGTCATTGCCAGCTGCCTGCTGTGGTTCACCTTGTGGGCCACCGCACTACCCACCAAAATGCGCGTCACCTACGACGAATGGCGGGAGCGAATCTCGCGCTCCTTCCAGCGAAATCTGACATATCTGGTATTTGGACCGGTTGAGGGCGGCATGCCACGTGTTGAGCAAAACGATGCAAGTGCCATAAGCTTCGCGGAATGAGGTGGACTTCTGGAAACTGAAAATCTAAAATTCAAGTAGCTGAAAGGAAATAAAAATTTATTAATTAACTCATCGATGTGTCTATCAATTGCACAAACACTTGTGGGCAGTTAGTGGGATCGATCTGGCTCAGTAAATCAAAACACAACTGAGACTCGCATGCTGAGAGACAATTTGAATTTAGTCCGCATTCTTTGATCACAGCACTTAATGATCGATCAAATATGACCACTTATATCGGAATATAATCTATATAGTATACATAGAGTTCTCACCAATGCCGTTACAGCTTACGATTACATTCTATACAGCTGGAGTTTTTAATAATAGCCGCTAATAGTCTCAAATTTTATCCATTTACTAGTACCTTGCACCCTTTGGCATCACTATTCAATTATAATTCGTTCGCTTAGAGATATACACATGGGAGTAGCGAAGCATAGGGCAGCTGCCCCTCCCTAAGTTATATGTTTACACCTTAAGCATTCTTGTCTCTCAATAATCTCTTAATTATTAATTACCAATTATTGCTTGAGGCGACTTTTCTGAATACTCCTAGAACTGCTCCTAGATCGGGAAATATTTGAGCAATTAAATTTCTATTCAATATTAAACTATAATCATGGCTAATGAACGGTGGTGTGGGACCATCTGAAACTATCATTAAAACATCTGCTTCTTATTAAGTAGCTACCGTTGCTTGGCGATGACTTATCCAAGTAAACACACATATTTCCAGCACGTTTTAAAATAAATCCTGAGTCTGATCTGCCCGCCTTTAAATAGCCCGTAAAGCCTGCATCACTGCAACATTCCAGAACTCCCTTATCCTTGGGACTGTTGTAAATGGCTCTTTTTATGGTTCCACAGATATATGGAAGAACTTTTTTAAGCTCTATGGTGTTGGACTCTCTAGACTCCTTGAAAAAAATCGTATGGTGTAGATCTTGTCCGTACACCTCCCTTTAAATCAAGCCAATTAGGGTTTCCAAAAACAACATAAGCAATATATTATTTTCTCTTTCACTCTTTCCATCTTAATTTGAAGCATAAAGTTCCAAAAAGGGCGTTATGATAATATTAATAGACCAAGTCATAGCAGCCGGAATCTATACCAAAAAATACTTACTTTAATCGGCGATAGTTCGTGATGTAGCAATAGTATCTCCTTAATATAACTAACCCTGTTTCTGACTATAGCTTCCGTACATAAGGCACTTATATTTGTTTATTTATTTCATTATGGAGCTGTGTACTTTGAAGCTGCTAGTTTTCTTTTTTAACATAAATATAAATAAATGAGAACACTTCCATTTACAACCAAGTTCGTTTCGCGATCCCTATAGAACATTGGTTATCCAAATTGTTCTGTTATTTCTGAAAGTGATGTGGATATATATATATTTCAGATTAATTGACATCAATTAGGAATCAGTGGTGTGCATCTATATCTTAAAACTAAATCACTTGCAGAAAATACAACATAGATTAATTTAACCGAACTTCTAGTCCCTCAAGCGGACTGGAAAGTCTAGAACTCAGGTGGGCAGGCTCGAAGATGTTATAATTTCCGATTTTGACTGGGACTAGGAGCACAGGGAACGAGATTTTCCGAACTCGATTCGGATCTTGACTTTCAAGAGATAATTGTATGCGACTGGGAACTGTGAAGGTCTCAATTTTATTCGAATTGCTGCCATTGTACCAATCGCCGATGATTACAATTAAATGCGAGCTGGAAAAACATTTTGCAAAGCGTTAGCCTGAAACCCGTTCGCTCGCCGTCCGTACCAACGACAATGCGGAAAACTGTGAGGCTGTGGCGGCTAATTATAGACCGCCCCTCGGCGCGCTCGGAAGACGGAACCAAACGAAAATAAAAGCAAACAAACAACAACATGAGCAGCAACAAGAAATGCATTGCAAAAAAGGAGTTCGTTTTAAACTTGAACTTGAAACATGGCCAAAACAGTGCACATGCAACACATTGGTTGTGTACGTGTCTCTCTCTCTGTGTGTGTGTGTGTGTGTGTGTGTGTGTGTATGTGTGTGTGTGTAACAAATGTGTACATATTACTTGCTAAAGAATTGGCTAAATTGTTTTGGTTTCCACGCCAACGCCGACGACACGCAAAGCGGTTTGGCTTTTTTGTTGCATTTGTTGCAAAGCATTTTCTTGCTCTTTATTTTGTACATTTTCTGCATTTTACTTTTAATGGCAATTGAGGAAAATTGCCAGCTGCCTGCCTGTCTGCCTGTCTGCCTCCCCACCTGCCCGCCTAGCTGTTTAGCTGTTTAGCCGCCTGGCTAACTGCCTGGTTGGCCATCTTGTATAAAAGCCACTCTGCAAATGTTTGTGGCGTTAATCACACCGCGTCGCTTGTCAAGCGCAAAAGTGCAAGTGAATTTCAAAATAAAGCGCAACGGGCGCTCACAGTCTTTATAAGCAAATATACAAGTAAAAAATCGACCAGCAACACCAGCAGCGATCACAACAATATTTGCAACAGCAACAACATCACCATCACCAACAATAAGCAATAAGCAAACGTTTGCAAAGGTGTTGTACATCTTTATTATTTTGTTTACATTTTTTTTCCTGTCTTCTGTTATTGTTTTTGCCCCAAAAATTTGCATTTACTTTGACGCCTCAAATGCTTAAAATGCAAACAAAAAGTTAAAGTTTACACAGAAATCAAAACCCAAGAAGTGAAAGTGAACTCCAACTGTCAGCTGCCATTATTTAAATAACACTTACATGTATTAGATGGTAACTCGACTGTGCCGTGTCTGACGCAGGAGGGAGAGATGTTTGCAAAAAATTAATAGATCGACATTTCAATTTCCAATTTGAAACCATTAAATGAACATAAAATGGAGAATTTATGATTATTTCGCAGATCTCTTTTTTTTGGAAATTCCTGCAACGTTCAATTTATAAATGTGTTTGTAGTGATTAAAATTACGGAATTTCCTCCAATGTCCGACCTATGCACGTCTATTATTTGATGCTAGAGTACAACACATTCCAGATATTATTAACATTATTTGTGAGCACTGCTTTGTGATTCTCTAATCAAGAGCTTCATCAGATATTTTCGACTTACGTTTTAGTTTCAATATACATTATAATATTTATGTCGCAGCGTTCAAACCAGAATAAACAAAATGTAGATCCTATTTAGTTCATAATCTTCTAAGCTTTTCTCCAACTTAGATGCTTGAAGCAGCTTTTATTTATTAGAATTTCAATGACTATTTCATATCTGCACTGATTTTGCCATTCAGTTGGCAGTCTTTTTCGGTTTCAACTTAAAAGCTATGCTAATCCTATAGATTAATTTAAGGATTCTTAAGGAAAACAGATTTCTTTCCATAAAGTATTATATCATAAATATGTTTTCAGTTTTCCGTCCATCCAAACTTGGGTTAGATTAGTTTAATAGATGGGCGCTAGATGGCGTCCAATTGGTGAATTGATGAAGTAATGACTAAGAAGACCTCGAAACCACTTTTCTTCTGCTTCTCTAAGCAACCTCTAAAGATATACTTTAAAACGATGCGGCCTCATCGTTTACTTTTGTTACTCTAAATATTTCGCCATAGGAAGCAGCTTTGCTTTAATTTCGGCGTCCATTCGGACAGACCCTCCTCCTACCGCTGCCATTACTAAACACGAATTTTAAACTAGCACCCATTCATTTATATCAATTGCAATGCCAAATAAACATCAATAACCTGTCGCCTGCATCTGCAACACTCTGCTTCGTCCACAGATGCTGTCCGTAAGCCGTCTTGGAGCGAAGACCCACCATCGGCAGCAACGGTTGTTGCAACAACTGCTTGCGGAGCTACTTTTACTGTCGCTGCTCGGCGCCGTAGCGCACGCCACGCCCGTGTCTAGTCCCGAGATCGCCAACAAAGCCGCACAATCGCCCAATAGTTTGCAACAGCAACAGCAGCAGCAACAACAGCAGCAGCAACTACAACAACAACTGCAACAACAACAATTGCAGCAGGCGAAGCAAACTGCGCAGGCACAGGACGCTCATCTGAACTCGCTCAGCGTCTATGCGACCAACTACGAGAGCCTGGCATCGGCTCAGGCCCAGGTGCAGCCAACACCCCAGGAGCCCGGCTTCAAGCCCTCCTACAAGTTACCAGAAATGGAGACAAACTTCACGCCCATGCAGAGCAGCTCGCTAGCAGCGGCAGCTGCGAATGCCGCCAACCTGCCCAGCACTCCGATGCTGATGCAGTATCTGCCCTCGCAGCCCTTGCATGATGGCAGTGGCACTATCCAGTATCTGCAGCTGATTCCCACACGCCCCATCATCGTGCCCATCAGTCCCTATCTGTCCGCGCATACTCAGACGCCGGCACTTAACCCGAACGTGGCTAGCTCCACGGACTTTGCAAGCCGTCCGTCCGCGATGCTGACGGCTCTGCCGGCCAATACTGGGGTTACGGGCTTACACTATGCCACGGCTGGGGGTCTGCACGGCTATGCCGCTGCTATGGCGCCCGCCTATCGAAGCAGCTACCGCATTAATCGGGAGACCAAGGACAAACACTATCCAGCGACCTTCACCCTCAATCTGAACGAGTATTTGCCAATAGCGGGACATCATGATTCGACGATCGCGGCCTCGCATCCACAGCCACAGGTGTATTTGAGGAGCAGGTCGTGAGAACCGAACAGTGAGAGAGAGAGAGAGATGGAGAGAGAGAGAGAGAGGCGTACAGATAGCAGCGCAGCAAACCAAAGCCATGCAAATAAGTCAAGTTCGTTGCCTAAGTCTTCCGTTTTTGCAGGCCTATTTGTTAAGCTCTGTATGTTGTTGTACTCGTAACCATGTTTGTTTATTTCTATTGTTGTTTTTGTCACTTTAATAAATCCATGCCACATATTATTTAACACACACACACGAAACACATACTTATTTTTTGGTATACCCGTATGCCTATGGAAAGAAATTCGCAATGCAACTGTTATGGCCTCCACATAACAAAACTTGACGCTAATTGCTTCAACAAAAACAGGGGACCAAGCAGACAGACAGATAGATAGACTGTCAACAAGGTCGTTCGTACGCAGAATGCATTTCCATTGTCTGAGACACTCCGACAGCACTTTGTGTGAAAGTGAAAATTGTATGCCCAGCCCAGAGCAGACCAGAAACGAAAAACAGAAACGAAATGAAACAAAAAAAAAAAAAAAAAAGATTACACATTGAAGCGGAGGCTCAACCTTGAAGTTGGAGCTTGCTCGCTCCATTCATCAGTCTAATTGTCACATTTTGACAAATATATTAGACACTGGACGCTTTCGTTATTCGGTATTCGTTATTACTCAATCACGAGCAGAGCCAAAGCTCATTTCACTTTGGCCGCAACGCACGCCACATTAAGTAGAGCAAATACGAAAAATTGATCGGCATTACATCCATTGGCAACGGCATTAATATCCACAGCCACATCGCCACATCGCCACATCTCCCCATCGACTACACATTTCTTGCCACAATTTACTTTCAACCTTTTAACGTTGCCGGCATACACGATGACGATGGCGATGGCGATGACGACGACATGTGGTCACTGCCTCGCGAGTCGCGACGCCCTGCGGCGCTCTTTTGAGCAAGTGATGCCGCAGTCCCAGATGCAGACGCAGGCCCTGGGATAGCTGCCAGTAAGTCCCTTGTAATGCTGTCGAAACAGTTTGGATGTTTGTGGCGGGCAGACGATTAGCCGCAATTGGCCTAAGTGCGGCGCACATATCGGTCCACTTTTTTTTACCTCTCGTTTGATTTGTTTGTAGGTTGGTCGGCATGTTGCTCGTATTTATGCTTTTTGGGGCGGAAGTGAGAGGTTATCGATGCGCGTTCAAAACGTTTTCAATTAATTTCAATGCATGGGAGCTCTACAAAGATGATCTTGCTGGTCACCGTAAGGCAGGTGCACTTAAATATACATCTAAAGGAAGCGGGATAACTGAGCATTGCCCAGAATTTTCAAATCCTGTACAAGAATATTTTAGCAGTAATAGTTAATAGCTTTTAAATCAAAACTGACTAATTATTTCACAAATTCAAGAAAAGTACTACTAATTTTACTATCTGCTAAATAATAAATCATTTTTTGAAAACTAAGTATCTTTATGTCTCTGTATCCCATATTTTTTATAAATATTAGACTTTAATAATGATAAAACCTTTTGAATGATGTTATATTTTATTTTTGTCAAGAGTTTCTTCTTTTGAATACTAGTCTTATATTTCAGAAAATTAACTGTTTTTTTTACCAATTATATATAATTGCCAAAGTGGACCTGTTTTTAAATGACGAATAAATAAATGAACAATCTGTAAGTCGTTTATTCAATGGTTTGAATAATTCTTTAGAATAGTTGGTAGCTCCTAATCATATAGTAAGATAAAATTGACAAATCTGCTTCTGCGACCAAGAAAGTAAAATTGTTGCAAATGCTGGATCTTAAATTGTTTAGAGAATGTTGAAGTTAAAGCTGCCAAAGAAATAAGTTTGTAATATAATTCGATTATCGTAAGTACAAGTATAACAAAAAAGTATTCTAAAAAAGATTCCCAAACTAAAAATAAGACATGCATTATGCATTGTTTCTTCATTAAAATGTCGTGAAATTGGCACAGAAGTAGTTCATTTATCGCTTAGTCAGGCCTTTCTAATTCAGCATTTATTCTCCAGTTCTTCTTCTTCTTCTTTTTATCCGCTACCGTAAGTGTAATCGATTAATATATTAGTATTTCGTTACTAGATGTTCATCATTTAGAATATTCCAAAATATTGAGCATTTGTTTTTTGATTTATGAAGAACAAAACGTGTTAGTTTCAATTCAAACATTTGTGAAGATGATTTTTTCAAATAACCTTCAAGTATTTTTAATATAGTATACTATAGAAATATTTAGTATTTAAAGCGCAGTTTCAGAATACCCACGAATTGCATTTCATTCACAAATACTTAAGAAAATCACAATTAAATATAAAATTTAAATTATACCTTTAAATGAAGTATTTTAATATAAAAGTTCATCTTTGCGAATGAAATTTGTTAATGGAAAATAAATTTATGTTTTTAAGTTAAGGCATCATCAGAAGCAATTAAGTTCCTCGTAATATTCATGTAGATATTTGCACGAACGCTTAGAAGTTTCGTGCCGAGTTATTTTACTTTGAATTTCCAACAGTTGCGTTTTTTTTCCGTTTAAGTATACCCTGCAGTCCTTATAGAAGCTATTTCCAATTGCCCAGTTGGTTCTGCCCCGCCAGTCTAATAGGCAGATTGAATTCTACAAAAAAATCCACAATTCTCGCTTGCTTAATGAGATTCCTATCTGCTATCCCCAACATAATGCTTAGCAAGAATAATAAAGTCCATGATTGAATTTGTAGGGCATGCAAATAGTGGACTGTCTGCTTTCCCAAATTTTGCGAATACACTTCACTTGTTACTGTAATTTTATTCGAACAAGACAGAAGAAGAAAGGAGAAGAAGAGACGAGACTTGTTAGTACTTAGGGCGTAAATTAGCTTTTTGGCTCGATTGGATTTGCTGTTAATTCGCAGTTGTCTCACTGAAGTGATTTAAACGGTTGGATCTCTTTCTTGTTTTTGAAAAGGGTGTTGGCATTTACTTTCATTTTCGCTTAATTACACAAAGTCTGGGCTGCTTTTGTTTTGTCTCCACCCTGGCCAAGTGCCCCAGTGAGGCACGCGACACCCCAGCTGGCAACAGCAACATCAACAGCAACATCAGCAACAATAACAACAACTGTGGCGCTCATCTGCAGCAAGCTTAGCTGGCCAGCGAGCATTCCCATTCAATGGATCGTCCACTTTTGTTCACTTTGAGAACTGCTTGGCGGCTTTGGAGCACGCTTGGTAGGTCGCCGGCGCCAGAGTCGACGTCGCGTCGCGTCGCGTTGCGTCGCTGCCCCCATGGAGCCCACTTGGTATAAAATGCTGGTCCATGCTTTGGACTGTCGCAGTCGTTTCGCTCGCTGATCGGCATACGTTCGGGTCTTATTTTTTAAATTTTTAATTTTTTTTCTTTCCGCTTCGACATCATTTTGTTTACTGTGACTTGCGGTGTAGTTGTTGTAGTTGTTTTTAGTGCTTTAAGCGCTCTTCAAGTGCCGGTGAATGTTGTTTGTGCTGAGCCTAAGCTGCGAAAGGAAGTATTTGTGCATACCACTCGTATTTACTCAGCATCCCAAAGACCGAAAGACCGAAAAACGAAGCAATAAAGTGTGCATTTAAAGTTGCAAGTGAAGAGCACCATAAGTGCGTTGCGAAACCCAGATCCCCATAAAAATGGTGCGTATTATCCTGTTGCACAATTAAAACTTAATTGTCATGCAGAAACCCACAAAAAGCGATTGCACTTCCAGCTGCAGCTTGAAGAGCAGAAGCGGAGGCGACAGCGATTGGTGGGCGATAGCTGTTGAATAAATTGCGCATAATAACCATAATCTTATGCTGTGCAAGAAATAAATTATAATGGAACAACGAAAAGTGATTGTCGTACAAAAGGTGGTTAACGAATGGCACCAATTGTTGTCTCTGGAAGTGTTTTGAAGCACTCTATAGTAAATGGCCCTTTCAATGTTCTTAAATGGCCAGTCTACAAATAACTTCATAGCTCCACCTTAAAATGTCTTCTGAGCAATTGTGATTATTTTTCTTAACTGTTCCCCCATCCCAGGTTAAGCTTTTCGCAAGGGATAATTTTTTTTTTTTTTTATTGTCCATTTAAAAACAATTTTGTGGAATGTGTTTCGCGTAAAAATATCATTACAACAAACGATTAAAACAAGCAAGTGTTTCGCTTTAGTTGCATTTCGTAGCCACCTTGTTATATATATTTTTTGGCCTTTTACTTCTGGCTGTTCTCCAAAAATTTCTCAGTATATCAGATATATAAGCAAGACAGTTGCGTTCACTTAACAAATACAAATTTCTTTTAAATTGCTTTGAAAGTAAAATTTTGAAGACACCCGAAATGTATGATGGGAATAGCTGTATTCAGAGTCACGCCCCATTCAGATTTAAATAACGATTAAGGATTACTAAATACCTCAACTAATTCAATAGGCCTACATTCAAGTTATTAATTGTAAAGTTTTAAAGCTGGAATTTAGCTCGAAAATATTGTTAGAATTTTACATCCTGGCTCTAGAAGCTGAAGCTTGCATTTTAAATTTTTAAGCAATAAAGCTTAAAATTAAAAACAAAATCTAATGATACCTATGTTTTTTTGTTAAGATATCATTTCTTCTTTGAGTTACCTTTAAAAAGCCATTGATGTGGAATTCAATTATTAACATTAATTTTGGACATAAATTAAGCTAAATAGATTTATGATATGTCTGATCGGCTTTATTCTGGAATATTTTATGTAATGATATAAAGAGAATACAAAAAATAGGCATCGGTAGTACACAACTGATACATAAAAAATCAGTCCATTTAATTAAATTTTTTTTTTACAAGTAAAGGATTTATAAGTTTTTTATAAAGCTTTAACTTGAGGTGAACACATTTTCGATCAACTCCAAGTTTGATTTATTGTTATGAAGTTATAGGAATTCTTAGAGAATTGGCTGAGCAATATTTCCAGCCTACACGCGAATGGTCAAATCAATTGTTACCTTTTAATGTGAAGCGTTTCCATTCACATTCCTTTTTGTTTGGTAAATAAACAAATTGTTGGACTTTTGCAAAGTCCGTTAATTGTTCAGCTCACTTATTTCCATTGCAATTCCGTTATTTATTTGAAATATTGAACAATCTCTTGTGGCAAAGAGTTCTCTTAGTGGGTATACGCGCTCAATTCTCTAGGCCTTTCAATCGCCACAATGACACTCGAAGCGCACAGAAGCTGCTCGCTGCTCAGCATAATGGTGGTCCGACAATGTCCGATGACAGCTTATGCATATTTATTGATTGATTGACATCGACAAGTGCATGCAACTGTACGTGGGGCTTGTTGAAGAAGTGTTGCTGTCAAGTTCGTGCCTTGAGTCTTTTGTGTGAGCACACAAAAGAGTCGCACAATTTTCGGTCACTCGAGGGCTGAGGGCAGGGTTGACTGAGACTGCAATTTTCCTTGTCGTTGTCATTGGCATCATTAGCTCGACTGACCCAGCTAATCGTTGACGGCATTAATTAGAGGCTAAGGCGCCTACCTAACGATGGCCAATGTTGACGACCGACGGACGACGCACTGCTTCAGTTTGTGCCAAAATTGCAACTCGTTTTTAGTGGTTGTGGCATCATCAGTGGCGCTTGCTAGCGATGTGTGTTTATGTGTGTATGTGTTGCATAAAACGCAGTTTGACCGAAATAAGATGATGAAGAAGAAGAAGCAGAAGCCGAGTAAAAAATGCTGCCGCTGTTGCGTACGAATCTAAACCGACTGCAGTTTTCGTTACGAATTTTTAGTTTTATTTCGTTATTTTTTCACTCATTTTTTATTTTTCTTGCGCTCATGCGAATATTTTTCGGCTGCAATGATGTTGCAATTGCAACTGTGCTGGTGATGTTGGTTTTTGGTGGCGTGACAAATGGCCGTTAGCTTATTGGCTTTTTAGAAAGGCTTATCAGAGTCCAAGTCTAAGTCTGAGCTTGGCCTTGTGCTCTTTGTGGAGAGCCATTCAGCCACCCACTGGCACACACACTCCCACACACAATTGTGCATAACGAAGCCATCTGAATGGGTTTTCTATTAGCATTTCAATGTTGCAAATTTTACGCTCATTTACCGCTTTCCAATCAAATAGCGAACGAAGCATGAAACCAACAACAAATAAGTATTACCTGCTCGCATTAGGCCAGATGAATGACTTCGTTTTGAGCAGTCGCCAGCATTCGACTTGCTCTTTATTTGTTTTTATTTTCCGCAAATTCACTTGCCAGCAATTTCACAGAAAATTTGTCTCGCCAAGCATTTAATTGTGGCGAGCGGCGGCGAACAAATGGCAAACAAATCCAAATCCAAATGCCATGCCGCGGCGTGCCAAGCCATGCCATGAAAATTATACAAATTTTGGTTTAATGAAAACTCAATTAAACGCATCGCTCGTTCCGACCACAGTCAGAGTCAGAGTCACTGTCGCATTCGCATTTGCAGAGTTCCAAGCTTGGCCCAAAGGGGCGTGCCAGGCGAAAGGCAGCTGCGCAAAAATAATAAAATGGCAAAATAAAATTAAACGACAAACCTTTCACCATCAGCATGACCATAGCCGTAACATAACAGTAAACTAGTTTGCATCACTTGTTCGGCCAATGGCGGTATCGGTGTCGGTGGCAGTGGCAGCCGCACCTGTAGCCGGGCACACATTTTTTGGCTGCATCATTCATCGTCCCAGCTAGCTGGCTGATTGCAGGTGTCGTTTCACATTGCGCATACGCCATGTGTTGCGCATTCTTGTTCAATCCCATGAGCCTAGCATAAGACATGTCTGTCTCTGCCTCTTTTAATTACTAATCCAGCTGGTTACTTTTTGGCAAACGATCGAATCGGTCCACAACAGCTTATCGGATAAACAGCATTTATTCAGGGTATCCTTGATTGGTGGGATGGACATATTTGTACTAGTATTACCACGTTCTATTAATATAAGCCACACTATATTTTGTTATTTTACGATTAGAATTGTTTATCGTACTACTTATATTCGCACTGTTCAGGTAAAATAGCTGCCTAGTTGGAAAGAAAATGTAATGGATCGATTTATTGAAATCGTAATATGAGATTAAAGATCCGCAACTGGTCTAGGAAGTAGTGGAAGTTAACGCAACTAAATAAATCAAATCACTGACAAGTATATGTATATTTGTATAATTCAACTTTTATGGTTGCCATAAATTATAGATGGCTGATTAATTGCGGTGCAAGATTTACTTCTTGCCTTACATTTTTTGTATACTTCGTTTTGGGTATACTATATGTATACAATATTTCAGAAATATATAGTACGTATGTATGCGAGATAGTGCCATCTGTTAGCGACACGGGTAATATTAATAAACTGATATTCCTACCAGGTGTCCTATCGTTCAAAAAGTTAAATTTACATCGAACCTTGTATATCAATCGAACTGCTACCCCATTGCTCCTATTAGGGCTATGATATAAAGTATTTCTATTTACACAAAAAATATGCCAAATATCCGCCAGAAACGCTATCTTTGAACCGGATTAATGTTTCACAGGCACTTTCAGGAAGCTGTGTAGCTAGCATAATCATTTTTTGTTCTCTCTTCAGCAGCCATCGCTCTCGCAGCTGCTGCTCTTTGCTCTGCTGTTAATGTTGCCCGCGGCCAGGCCGGCGCTGCGGGTAACGACGCAATACGATGATGACAGCACTCCGAATCAGCTGCGACTGGAGGATCTGGAGCGCGAGCAGGAAGCTCATGCGACGCAACTGGATTTGAACCGCCCGCCCACACTGCCCACACACTACGAATGGCGGCCGAGTGCCGCGCCCAGTGTGCCACCCAGCTATGTGCAGGATGCGGCGCGGCTGGAGCGTGTGCGGCAACTGCAGTTGCAGCACCAACAGCTGAGTGGCGGCTATCAGTTACAGCTGTCGGACGCGTATTTGTTGTTATCGCCGTTTGGCGCTACAAGTGGCATGTAAGTCTTTCAGGTAGCTTTAAGAGCTTAAGAAGCTTGCCAAAGCTTTGGTGAGTTTTTGAAAGCGACGAAAGCTTGGTACGTCAAATAAATCCGTTGGCTTGCGAAGCTGCGCCTTAAGTTGAGCTTTGAAAGCTTACGGCCTCACCAGTGCCTTAAATTGCGATTGCAAAAAAAGCTTCAAGTGTCTTTCTTCTACTGATGTTTCTGGTGAACCCAGAACAGATGTACTACAAGTATACTTGTTTGTATACATACAAAAAGATTGTAACCATGATTTAAAAAGATATAAACATAGGTGACCAAGGATTTTACAAATAAGAAAAGAGTATTCTGTTATATTGGACAATCAGTGTACCGTGTACCGGTTATCAGCCTGTCTTTGATATATGCTTCATCACTGAAATCTATCCTATATGTACGTAGACTGCACACATTCGGATCGTATTTTCTTGGTAAAACATAATTTCCATCTACGATCCCATACTTAAATGGCCCGCCGTTTTATTCTGTTGACACTTTGCGACATGCCGGACCGTCAGGGTCATATTCAGGACGTGGCTGGCCGATTGTCCCAATTCTTGAACGTTGATTTGGACGAGGATATTATCAGCTTTGTGCGCTCTGTCCTAGACGGTTGTGTGCAGGACAACATTGCCATTAACTTAGAGGGAGGAGTCTACAAAGCCAATATAACTCCGAGCGATCTGGAGCGACTGCTCAAAGAACCAAATGAATCAAATGGGTCTGCGAACAATGAGGGCACTGAGCCGACCCAATAGGCGTTCGATCGGGTCCCTCATAAATAGCAATGCGAGTTTTATTAAATTTGTTGTTAAGCGTTCAAATAAAAAAAGTAAAGCCGGCAGAGTATTGATTTCATTTTGCCATTTGCAAACTAGTGGCGAAGCTACATCTCAGTTTTGTGCTAACTCTTCCTATGAATCTTTCCCCACCTAAGTTGTTCATTGTACTTTATTACCATCGCAAATAAGTGTTGTATTGGCTTAATTGATTTTTAAATGGACTGCGGTACAGGTGCGATTATTCCCATTTGATCGGCTCTGCTAGGTGGGTTTCCAGACTTTGGAAGTGTTCGAATAATTATAATTGGACAAAAAAGAGACCGCAGTTAAATTGACAGACGAAATTGCAGCTCGTTCTCCCGCTGGTGCAATGGGAGATCGGTGGGTGGCTAGACGACTAGTTGGTTGGGTGGTTGGGCGGTGCTTAACCCACTGAGAGTTTGGCTCTAATTTGTCAATTGAATTGCCTGAAAATGAGCTCAAATTGCTCATCGCTCTTTGCCCTTAACGGTGTTTACGCTAATTCCGTATAATTTTGGTCGCTTGTGAACCGCCGGGTGCTTGTCTGATTGGGTGCTTGGGTGGGTGTTTTGGGTGGCTGGGTGTTGAAATGCTGCGCTCAACATGCGGGCGGCCTGCTAAAAGCAAAAAAACCTCCCGGGCGAACTCAAATTACACCCAAGAGCCGCCAAGTTGCTCACGATCGTCCGTTGATGCTGATCGCCTGGAGCCGTTGGCTTCCGACAAATGACAACGACGCGTCGGTGCCTGGTAAACGAAATTGCCATAATAAATAACGACAACAACAGCAATAGAAACACAAGAGTTAGCGATTAGATAAGAGCAGTTCGTTAAACGCTATTCTCTCTTACCATCTTTTGCAGCACACGACCCGCGCCCACACCGCCCACCTCCACTACGCTGCTGAAGCCCATTGTGCCCTATGAGGTTACTGGCGCCCATTACCTGGGCAACAATGGACTGGAAGAGCATCCTACAGCACCTTCGGCAGCACCGCCACCGCCACCACCACCACCTTCGCCATCAGCATTGCCGCTGCATCCGCCTCTACATCTGCGCCTGCCCTATTCGACGGCAACGACACTGCTGCGCCGTCCAATACCACCCAGCTCTGTGGCGCCACCGCGCCAACTGTTTGTGCAGTCCAAACAGTTCGCCTATGCGCCACCACACCAACGCAATTATGCGTCCGGTCCGCGCATCCCACTGCCCTACCCGCCATCTTTTATTAGCATCACCACCCGCAGACCCAACGCACATGCGTCTATTTATGCTAAGCCGTTCCGCCCCTCACAGCCGGATCCCACGCCGGATTTGTTTGCTGAACGTGCGTCGAAGTCGCTGCTCGACTCCTACATACCCAGTTGGGAGGTGGTGCGTCTTCTACAGCAGCACAGACTGGCCCGCATCCCAGGTGTTCCAGGAGGCACCCAACAGCACACGCTCGCCTACCCGCTACGTCTCTTCAAACGCGACTCCCTGCAGCCACGACACATCGTAAAGAAATCACTAGCAGGGGCACAGTAAGTGAGATGACGAGCATCTAATGGAAGGACGATGGTAAAGAGGTGATGCGGAGTTAATAGCGAAAGTGACGATTAGCTTTTAGTCTATGGCATTTACTTTTTAATTGTTTTTTTTTGTATTTAAAGTTTTGTTTAAATATATATGTACGTTTTATTTATTGTAACTTAAATTAAAGTAAAATACTCTCTTTCGACCAAATCTACGGGACACCGAAAGTTGGCACTAGTCTACAATATTGGCCAAGAGAACGAGACAGAAAAGGAATTCTGAAAAAATAATACTATCGCCTAGAGACAAGCTCGACATCCCTTTCTCTTAATAATATTAACTGACTAGATGACCCAAAATCGTACTTGTAAAACTACAAAAGAGGTGATAAAACTTTAACTTTACCGAACTTCAAACAACCTGCATGGAAAGTTTGGTAATTATACCTATTATACTTTGCGAGATGTTTCCGATCATACAGACAGACAAAGAGACAAGTGATGCGACAGACATGTGCAGATCGACATAGCTTCAAGATTTTATAGAAGTATTTTCCCAATGGATGTAGCCAGATATTTATATTATTTTAATATACTCGTATATTTAATTTTTAAATTTGTTTTTATTTGATTCGTCAGCAACAGTAATAATTGCTAGTACCCTTCCTTGCTTCCCCACCGTTCATATTTTGTATATCAGCTGAAGCAGTAATCACATTACCGAGCTTAGTATTAGTGTTCATAGCGCCTCCATGTGCTGCAGTTCTTTGTTCCTGGCACATATAATAGTTATGGTATATTCGGTTGTGGATGAACATGCAAATAAACTTACTGTTTCTTTTTCCAGTAATTCAATATATCACAAATTTCGTATTGAATACTTTGGTGTAGTTTGTTTCCAGATGGCTTTTGGCACGTTTTTCTGTGTAAGTCTGTAAGACTATCGCATACATAAGCTTGTTTTTAGTACGAGGATGGACTCTTTCAAAAAACGTACCAAAAATTATTTTGTTGGCATTTGAAGACCTGAGGCCAATTGGTGTAATCGGTGTATTATTTACTTGTTTATGGGCACCAAAAGCTATCATCTGTGTCATTTGATTTCTATTCCTTCGTCGTTTTAAAGATATCATTTTCGCGAAAATGTCGGCGTAATGCCCGCGACTGGCAACGAATAATGCCTACGACCATTTCCCCAAAATCTTTCCGGGGCTTTTTTAAAACGAACGGGGCTGCAGGCGGCTCTGCATCCCAATCTTCACACACAACTTCTGGAAAGTTTGGGGGATGCTCTGGGGCCTTTGCTTCCTTTACTGGCTGTGGTTGTGGCTCTGGCGACTTGCTGGCAGGCGGAATATTTTCTGCTACCACCTCCGATGGGGTTGCAGAATTTAGGGCAACCTGGATATATCCCAGCAACAGTTCGATCTTAAACATGCGACAGTTTATTATTCCATGTATAACTCACCCAGTTCGGGTTTGCAGGACACTTTTGAATGTGATGCCACAGTCGATAGCGGATAACCTGATGTATGTCAATAAAAGGACACGTGACAAATAAGCTTTTCCTTTGAGAATTCTTGTTTTCCATTTTCACCGTTAATATTAAAAATTTTTTTTAACTAATCACAGCCCTATTTTTTAGAGACAATCAGATTCTAGCTGTCAGGCAATAATGATTTTTGACAGTTAGAACAGACCAGCAAAAGAAATCATTAAACTGCCTGGTGCAACCGAGATAGCAATAGCGTTACACAATCAAGCAGAGTTGCAGCCAACTTTGGTTATTCTAGCTTTTATAGTTTCTCAGATCCTTGCGTTCATCCAGACGGACGGACGGACAGACGGACAGACGGACGGACGGACGGACATGTCTAGATCGATTTCTCTCGCCATGCTGATTCAGAATATATATACTTTATGGGGTCGGAGATGCTTCCTTCTGCATGTTACATTCTTTGCACAAACCTAATATACCCTTTTTACCCTGCGGGTACAGGGTATACTTGTAAAAGAGCATCGGCACAAGCCTCATAAGTAATCGTGTTTATTAAATGTGCTTCTGCGAGCTGCCAGCAAATATTTAACAACCAATATCGTTATAAAAAAAATTGCGCTAATATGTAGTACTTGAAATTTCAATAAACCTTGAGAATAAAATCAGTTATTATTACCATGACCAGCACGCCCATCGGCAAACATCAATCACAAATTGAAATTACCAGCTGAATGGGCCAATTTTTAGGAACTTACTATAAGCTTGAAAGTTTGATAACCAACCAAGTGTTTTTAGGTCTAGAAAAAGTATGGATTGATTTCGCCATTGCGTAAAAAAATACTGTGAAGCGCATTATTGATATATTTTTAGTTCGTTTCGAACTTGATTTTTTTTAAATTTACAACTAAAACTATATTAAGACTTTCACTCATATCGTACAAAATAAACTTTAAAATGTTATAAAATGTGCTTAATCTGTTTGTGAGCCGTGCGACCAATTTGTGTGAAATCTCTCACCAATTATGTATGCCAATACCTTTGTTTATTTTGTTATTGTCTTAGATTCGTTTTTTTTACAAAACTGTAGATTGAAGTACGCTATCTGAACGCTACTACATTTCTTTAGCTTTATTTTTCGCTTTTTCTTTTCCAATCGAACAATTTGTCGCCATGATGATTTTAAATACTATACTCGTATCTGTATGTATGTATGTATGTATTTTCGGATATGTACATATTGACTGATAAATAATGCCTCTATGTGCTGAAATACAAAGCACTTTTTCCTGAAGACGAGCCATTTGCTCACATAATCAGCCGCCCCATAGTGGTGGCACATGTGGAAACAAGGCAAAGCCGGCAGCAGAAAAACTGATGCTGTGGATTTTTGTCAATGAGGAGCTACAACGCTGATGTAATCGTGGCCATAAACCAAACAGCCAAACAGCCAAACAGCCAAACAGTCAGCCAGCCGGCAATAACAAACAATTACGTTCAAATGGACGGCGGACTAAACCATAAAACCAAAAACCCACAGAGGCAACAATGCCTGCAAATGCAACAGCGGCGCTTGCAGAAGAAGAGGCTTGCAATCAAAGTTGCATCTTCGTTGCCACTCATGGCGATCGCTTGGCTCCCGACTCTACCTGAAATTATGATTTGTGTTGCATTGGCGTGGCGTGCTCTCCAGTTTGTGTGTGTGTGTGTGTGTGTCAGTTTTGCCCGTCCCCGTGCCACAAAAGCAACACTATCGCGTACATATTTTGCAAAATTTATGCAAGTAGGAAGCGTTTGTGCCTTGAAGATGCTGCTACCCAGTGAAGCCAGTCGTTTGTTTTGGCCCAGACTTGACTCAACGACTTTTTAGCCCGCTCATGTCTGTTAATGAAGTTGCCACCAGCAAGCTGGCAGCAGGCAGCAGGCAGCACTGAAGGCCTAGTTGTTGCATTGTCTAGCGGTTTGTTTGTCATCAATTAAATATACAGCAAGTCGGACCAACAGCCAACAGCATCATCATCTCCATCTTCATCATCATCCTCATCATTGCCATTATCATATGCAGTTGGCACCTAAGAGCGCGTATGTGAAGGTGACTCTGTCTTGCCTTTGGGTTAAAGGGTGTAATTACGTCGTGGTTTCTTGCACGCCGTTCCGGTAAACAGCGAACACATGCCAGACTGACTGAATGAATGCATACAAAGGGATAAGGATAGGTGAAGGGGCTGTGCCTCTACAATTCGCCGCATTATTGTTCCCCAAAAACACACTACCTTCTCTTTACCGTGCGCTAATGATGGGTAGGAAGTCGTTAACTCTGTTTAATTGCTCCCAATACGATTGCCAACAAGGCCATAACAAATGTGAAATACTTAATACTTACTTCCAAAAAAGAAAAGTTCTTTGCAGCTCATTTCGTTTCCCGTAAAATATATTTTTGGACGCTAATAAAGACTTTCTCAGGCGTGTTTTCGATTCCGATTTCGAAAAAATTCAAAATTATAGGTCAGGGCCAAGCTTTTCAAAATTAGGTCCATTTTGTACGTCCATAAGTTTATTTCATGTATGTATATGTCTTTCGCAATTAATCAAATATAAATGGAGTTGGCAAATGTCCGAATTGTTCGGATTTAAGAATTAAGTAACTAGGCCTTAGCACCATAATTCCATTCTAATGGCTTGTATTATTTTCATTCCGATAGATTAGTTTCTCAATTAAGTTACGCCTGTAATGCTTGTTGTTTTAAAGTTTGTGAATAATTTGTGGAGCTTATTCAAGAAATATGTTCTAATGGATGGTAGTTTCTCTATTAGTGAGAAGTTGTAACTTAAATTATTTGCCACCATAAGATGTCTGAATTCCAATAGATGAGTTTCCACTGCGGCTTTCCTAATTAAATTACTTTCATAATGTTCGTTGTCTTCAAGACCTTGAGCATTCGTCAAGCGATTTCAGGTAACCTTAAACCTACTTTAAAACAACAACTGAGCATAATCGTTTTCGTTTTAGTTTCAGCTTTTTTTGTTTCCTTCTGCATCAGAAAGGGAAATTGTAGTTTTTTATGCGCTTTTGCCGCTCAACTCTTTTGTCACTTAATGCCATGCTTTTGTTTTAAGGCTTCTCTGCAACAATTGTTGTTGCGCATTTTCACGCACGATTTGCGCATTTAAACAACTTTTTTGTTATTTTTTTTTTTTTTGTTTTTTGTTGTTTATTTTTGAGACATTATGGGCTTGTACAAATTTCTGACGAAGTGAACCGGACTGGACATTGGTCGCTAATCGTGACACATTATGGAGCAGCAGGCGTCTATTGCTATTGATGGAAGGCATGAGAAATAGAGAAGAGGCATATCAAAACGCTCACAAGAGCTCCTTGTGTTTAGCGAGTCGATTGAGCATTGTGTGAGGGTTTTAATGGCTATTAAAAAGCCATAGTTATTTGTGTTGGAGTTGGACTCGTATTTGAAGTTCCTTGTTTTATAAAAACTGATTAAATCTGAGGCGAAGCCGTAGACTCAGCATTCGGCGAGGGCAGGTGAACGTCTCAGGGTCAGCATCAAGCAGGTTGTGTCGTCAAAGAAGAAGGCCGTTGTGCTGACCAGCACATGAAGTTCCTCTCCAATTGCGACAGATTCGTAAGTCGTTGAGCAACAGTCTCCGAGTCTGACAAACTAAGAGGTTTCCTTTCCTTGATCTGTACTTTCATCGCATTCCCCGACATACGAGTATACGGCCACATCTTCTGGTAGCCACTGTGTGTTTAAAATGAACTTCCAAACTATTTGGTGGATATCAAAATTTTATGACTACCACTTAGCCAAGAGCTAAGCATTGGCAGTTGGTTCGGTGCTATCAATATCTGATCAAATGTGTAGCAATGCTTTCAATTCCATGCAAATGCCGGCCCTGTCGCAAAGCAAAAGTCATTTCAATGCATTGGCTATTCGGCTATTTGGACCCAGAGCTGACCTTCCATAGAACATTGGTCAAAGCATTGTGGGATGGCGGCCACTTGTTGTTGCTTCATCGACATCGACATCGGCAACTGCAACGCCGCGGCCATATGAGTGTTAATCATACATACTCGTATATATTGTACTACTCGTATGCTGCATAATGGCAAAAAGTCACCTTCGAGCCGAAGCTGCGACGGCAAGTCGAATAAATTCAAATATGCGTCAAATCGATTGTTTTCATTGCTGGTCGCGCGATTTGTCTACAATGCAACCGTAGACAAATATTATTATTATTATTATTTTTCTATTATTTTGCGTCTCCGCCGCGGGCTAAAAGGCCCACGTTAACGCTAATGTTAACCTTCTGCCTGTCCATCGACACATTGAATCGTTGCCAATGATTGACAGGCATTATTATTATTAGCAGTATTAATACATATACATACATACATATATTTTCATTATTATTGTTTGTATACCAAAGTGTTGCTGCCGTTTCATTCGGCCCATCGGGCCATCTGCCGATCTTCATTTATGTCTGTCTGCCTACCCTTTTGGCTTTGATATGACACAGCAATCAATGCAATTATTATAATAAATAATAAACATGCAGCCAGACATCCCACAGTGGTCTCAATCTGATCCAATTCAATGAAAGTCGCCTAGAAAAGTTCCAAATCATATTTCTGATCGTGTTGTTAATATACATATATATCTGAGTCAGTCCACACGGCCATTCGACTGCTCTCTTAATTGTAATGCTGTAGCTTATGCAGAATAACTTAAATATACTTCGCCTTTTTCCGCCTTACTCTCTCGTTTTATCCTCTAATTTTTTCTACTTGATGCCGTCTTCGTGCCATACAGGAAGTGTAGTCTAAGCTGAACCACTTGTGTGCACTATTTGGCTGATTAATTCAACCTGTCCTATGTACTATTTATCTAGTTATCGCAGTCTAGTTAAGCAAATTGGACCTTGGCCTATCATTTCCAAATTAAAGGCGGTCCAAGGCACGAGTGCCGGCGCGCTTCCTCAAGATATGCGTTCGTTTGGACCCAATTAAATTAATTTTCTGGTCAATAAACTGTTTACGTAGTTCGTTACTATAAATACAGCAGACGAAGTATTGCGTAGGTACGAGCATTAATGAAAAATCAAAGGCATACATTTAAAAAGCCAAACGAACAACAGATACGTGGATTGCAGATTAGACTTACCACAGGGATTCCAGATAAGTAAATATTTTCATTTGGTTGGTCAGCAAAATAATTAAATTGAAACATGTAACGCATACTCGATCAATAAGAGATATGAATATAGTTGGTAATTAACTTATAATTATGAGTACATATGTAAATATTAACACTATATTACTTGAAGTAACTCTATATAACTATTTATTAAACATGAACAATATCAGTTAATTTGTAATTTATATATGTATATAGTATAATAACTCATAACTGTCTGGCATATCGCGATCGAAAGTTATTGTAAGGAATTATTTTTAATTCAGCTTTAACGTAATTTTAACCTTTTTTGCACAATTTTCAACTTTATTTGATTCTTAGTAACAAAAACACATGAATATTTTTAAGCTTTTAATTCTATTATATTTCCAAAATCATATTTTAAAGTAGGTTTTTTTGGCGAAATATTTGTATACCTTTTTTTAGCTTGATTGAAGTTTCGGACCACTGTAATTTATGCATGTGAGTAATATTGTTTTATTATTGAGGCCTGACCCAGTGTCCGTCTGCTGGATGATCAGCTGCCTGACAAGTGAGCGGGGGCTGCACTATATCGAATTTCGAGCAATACTTGATATTGGTCTGCCTCGTTTTTGTCGTCTTCGTTGCATGCAAACAAAAGGCTTAAGGCACGAACTTGTCTTGCCTTTCGACTGCCGTCCAAACCATTGAATGCAGAGTTGGGTTGATTCCAAGGGCGTAGGCAGCTTTTACCAAAGTAGGGGCGCCAAAAAATTAAAATTTTGATTAAATAATGCACGATGCATTTAAAAAATAATTTATGCATATGATCAATAAAAAAACTTCAACAAATCCTACTCAGTTCCATTCTAAGGCGAAATAGTGCGTTCTAATAATGAACGTGTGGTCGACTTTGTATGGAACAATTTTTATAGGGGGACAATGCCCCCCTTTCCCCCCTGCCTACGCCCTTGATTGATTCGGTTCCAGCTTGTTACAATGATCGGATCTTCAAAAGGAACTATGTATGTAAGTAGGTTTCTCTAATAGATATATCCTTTAAAATATTCTTAATTGTAAATGAATTCATTGGTCGGTGATTAGAAGATGTCGCGAAAACAGAAAATCTATGTATGTACATACATATGTGTGTTTAAGTTTAAATGAAGTTTAAGAATGCAAACTAAAAAGCAATAAAAGAAAGAATGCACCATGGAGCAACTGAAAATTATTAAATGCGATTAGTTCGTTGCACGCAAAAGAAACCAAATTCGCAAAGTGAATTTAATTTCCAAACTATAATTGGCGAACCATCATACATACTTACACACATACATACACACATTACATGCTGACAAGTTTTCAGCAATGCTGCGTGCAGCGATGACGGCGATTGTCGCTTTGCGATTGCGATTGCGTTTGCACATTTATTTTTTTCTATTAACTTTATCGTTATCGCGCCCTATAATGATCGCTGTTGGGGTTGTTGTTGTTGTTGTAACTGGCACTTTATTTTGACAAACTAGATTACACAAACCAAGGCGGCAACAAAAAGCGAATAGCTGTCAGAGCTCGTTGCTGTTGTTGTTGTTATTATTATTTCTGTATCTGCAGCTGCTACTGTCGCTGCTGCTGCCGGCGTTGTGTTATGCCATTTCTCTTCTCTTTTGCTTTTGTGTTGTTTTCCAACCAGCGGCATCAGCAAGTGTGCGGTAGGAAGGAAGGGCGCAGTCATGTGACCTGCCGACGCATCGTCTCAGGCCATAGCGACAACTTAATGCGCCAATTAAAGTTCCACTATTTTGACTAGGTACCGACAAGACTCACGGCTCTCCCCCTCCCCAATCTCTATAGGGCGTTGCCAACTCCATACGGCGAGCCAGCAGCCGCTGACTGCAATTGTTTGTATGTAAATTTTATATTTTGTCTTCGTCGATTGGCTTGTCACATTTGTTTGTGACAGGCGTGCGGCATCTGCGGTCGCCTTTGTGCAAGCGACAAGAAAGACAGTGAAATAATAACAATAATAATCGTAAAATGTATTCACATAAAATGAAAGGGTCGACGAAGTTGGCAAAAGTTGCATCACTTTTATGACTTTGAACTTGAACTGAAAATAGAAACGGTGCGTTTTCAAAAGGAATTCAATAATGGAAATTGTCATTCGATATCACCAATGGAGGGGGTGCATAAATTGGAAAGGCAACCAGTTAAATACATAGACTGATGGATTTTACTTAGATATGCGGAGAATGCCTGCCTGGGAATGAGACTGATGTGAAAATGCTGATGCCATATGATGATTGCCGCCCATTTGCTGAACAACAATACTTCCATAAATTCCGCTTTTATTGATGGTACATATGTATTTGAAGATTATTTGGCCTCTTCTGGAAGAATATAAAAACTAAGCTCCTACACAACATCAGAATTTAAGACCATGAATGATTTTATAATGTTTAAATATGATCCTTTGAAAAACAAACAATGCTATATAAAATACTTTGTATATCATTCTATGCCAAAACATAAATTAAGTCATTTAATTCTCACAATATTATTATTTATTGTTCAATATCTATTGTATTGCTTTCCTCTCTTAGCTTTTAGAGCGCGTAATAAACATTTTAAGCAGCTTATAAATCCAGAAACGACGAAATATCATGTTTGGTTTTTATTATAGTAGAAGACAATTGAAAATCAAAATTCAGACAATTTTTAAGTTCTGTTGTGAGTTGACTTCCCCTGTGCCTCTCAAACTTTATACATCATCTTGACAACTTAGGCATAACTTTTTGAATAGATTTAAGAATTTAACTCATATCGTACCGATTAAAAACATCAGAATTTGTAAAATTATTTATTAAACTACATACTTTTTACCATTCCAATTATTTCTTCAGATTTCAAGTAATTATATTTATTTAGTTCCTTTAATAACGCTTAACTGCATTTAACTTTTTCACTTACCTCCGACAATATGTAAATATATACCCGTGTGTACAGCTATTTAAAACTATCCAGATAAAGACCAAAACTGTTGGAACGACTTGAGGTAAGGAAAAGGGCCCACAAGGAAAATGCGCATGCTAAATTAGTTGTGGTTGTGGTTGTTGCTCTTATCTTAATAAAAAACAAATCTGGCGATTTGTTTATTATTGCAACAATGCTGATGCTGGCAACCTACACCTTCAGCCAGACACAGTCACCAACACACACTCACTGTCTGGCTTTGTCATTGCGAGCTTGGGAGCTCGTCTCCTTCAGCCCTGTGCCCTCCCGTCTCTCGTCTCGTCTCCACTCTCGTCTCAACTCGACTCGACTCGACTTGAAGCTCGTTTCGCACGCTCGTGCGCTTGACTGACTGACTGGCCAAGTAACTTGCTGCAACATGAAGACAGCGAAGACAACGAAGACAGTTCCAGCCATAGCCATAGTGTAAGCGCCCCAACCTCTGTCGCAGCTTCAAATTCAGCTCGACAGAGCTCCGGAGCTGGGCCATAAAAACCAAGCGCGGCGCCAGCGCCATCCACAGTTAAGCGCGCGACTTTTGAACGTTCGCATCGTGGCTTTTCGCATTTAACTTACTCCGATATTTTTTTCCATACTTGTATGCAGGCATACATACATATATAGTATACTTTTTTTTCAATAACTAATAAGTGTAACTGTGCATTCAATCGCTAAGCGATCTACAAGTATATAGTGAGAAAATACAAACCCTCGCCCTCAAGTTCTATTTGCCGCTATATACACGAGTATATCATATATATGTGTGAAAATCGATCTCAATGAGCATTGTCTGAGTGCAAACGGAAATCGGCGAACGGAGACTATAAGCAACGAAAGCAAGAAAATGAGATTAGCATTGATTTTGGTATGTAACAACACTCGTAATATTCTCGGGAATCATTTAAAAGCACTTTATTAATTTCAAAAATGTGCGATAATAACTTCTCGGACTCATTATTAAAACTCAATAACAGTTATCTTTATCATTAAAAAAAATATATTATAAAAACATCTCTTGATCATTATAAATGGATAGACCCTTTCATTTATGTTTGCACCTTTTTTTCACATTTGTGTAATTTTTAATTAAAAATGTATGTGCTTTAAAGATAATGAAATAAATGAGCGACAAGGTTTTTAAGTAGACTTGAAACTTCAGAGGTGATTTCAATCTTTAAAATCTATCAAATGAACACTCTAGGAAGCCTCTGATGCTTATGTTCTGTCTTTTTAATGTTTTTAACTTTAGATGACAGCTTTAGATGATTACCAAGCTGTGTTTGGGTGTTTATTTAAGGTGATCACTTAGAAGTCGAGTTGAGATGATAACGATAGACGACTCTTTTAGATGATGGCATTATACGATAAGACTAGATGATGTCCTTAGTTGAGCATTTCAAATATTACCCCCCTTCTATATCGATGATGATGACGCAAAAGTAGATTTTGAGATACCACCTTACAAAATTTATTTGAATGCAATAGGCGAACTAGCATCAAAAACAGTCAACAACAAACTGTTGACGTTCCACTTTTCCACTTTAAACTCGGTCCTGCCACGCTCGCTGGTGTCGATGCAATCTTAGTCTAGGGCCTTTGCCTCTTTAGCTCAGCTGGGCTCAGTTGAGTTGAGTTGAGTTGAGTTAGGTTGGGTTGATCAGTAGGATCAGTTGTCGGTACGGACCTTGTACGCTCCATTTGGCAACAGTTCGACAAAACCGTCCCGCACACCCATGACCAGAACATCCTCGACAAACTTTAAGTAGCGCTCGTCGCAGGCAATTTGCAAACGGCGTGTCATCTCGTCGGCAATGTCCTTGATGGTCGCCTCCATGCCGGGCATCTCGACCAGCACCAGACGTACAAACCAGGCAACGCGGCTCGACATGTTAGCGGATAGTTTTGATATTTGGAATTTAGGAATATTTGTCTGGGAAATAATCGTTGAAAATTTACTAATCTCAATATCGAAAGCAAAACAATAAATGAAGTTTGTTGCTGGCCGCCTACGCTCTGTACAAATGGCGTCTATTTCAAGCACCCAACTCCCACCACCCACCAACCACACAGCCACCTTGCCGTCCGCCACCCAGCCACGCCTTCAGCCACCGCGCTGCGTTTCCTTTTTCCTCGTCAGACTTCGACTTCGAATCCAAGTCCGCGACCGTCATCGTCAATGGCTGGCAAATTAATTTGCATCTTACTCGCCCAGCCGGCCCGGTGAGATGAATATATTTGAAGATTGTTGTTGCTGTTATTGGTGCTTTTTTCTTTTCTTTCCCCAAGTCGGTTTTCCAAGCGGGCTGGCAGGCAGGCACGTAATAGTTGGAGCTTAGAAAGCGCATACAGTGGGAGTGTTGGCTCTCGGCTGTTGCCATAACATGTTAACCAACAAATGGCAACAACAACAGCAACAAACACTTCGGAGCCGGTCCCAACTTAGTTCAGTGCTCCTTCAGCTGATGGCACCCGCTCGACTTGTGTACTTGTATGTGTGGTGGCTGTGACTGTGGCTATGGCTTTGCCTGTGGTTGTGGTTGCGGCTGCTGCGGTTTCTTTTTTCTTCATCATTTAAAATTTGTTGTGTATTTTCGGGCACATAAAAGCCAACCAGGCATAGTGTGTGTATGTGTTGGCCATTTGCTTGCATTTTCTTTCTGCCAAATAATAAGAAGAAAAAGAAAAAAAAACAGCCGAATGGCAGCTGAGAGAAAAACTTCCTGTAAAAGTCGCTGGCACTTTATTTTATTGCAATGTGCAAGAATTTGTCGAAACTGTCAATTGTTGCGAGATGATGTGATGTAAGTGATAAAATGTTTGTGGCATTAGGCAGCAAAAATAGCATTTATGCCCGACAACTCTTATATGGGACCCACAAGAATTCCCAATTGTGCCGCCAGTACTCGTTTATCGTATAAGTCTCAATCAAAAGAATGAAGAATAATCGCATAAGCTGCATAGTACAAATGTAAAATAATTTAATTCTCTATATCGATTTTAATGTCAATTCGTTGCAGAAGAATTGTTCTCTACTTAAATTAAGGGTAAAGTTTTAATTTCGAAAAGTTTCAAAAAGAAATTTGAACACTTTGCTTAGAATGCTTCCTAATAACAATGCTCTAACCAATTCGAGTTAACACGTTTTGGGCACCACTGACAAAGGGGCGCTAAAATGTCTAAAATATTAGCTGAAGCACCGGGATGAATAGTTTATTTGATAAGCATTCGAAAGTCCAATTATTAAACTTATAGGGGAAGGATAAAAATGTTGATATACACATATTCTGCGTATTCATAAAAGACATCTTCGGCTAAAATGTACGATTTACGAATATTTCAGAAATAGGCGTATTTGGAGCTATTTAAAGTGTCTCTCTGATATCTCTAATTGAATTATTATTATTTATTACTAGTATCCGACTAATTGGTATTAAGTTATGTATTATTATTTCATCTAATTTGATAATTGATAACTGTAAGCTGATATTAGAAATCATCGATAAAACCTGAAAAATCTTGTCTCAGCTTCCTTGATATTTGAGTCCTTATCTTAATTGATGTCTTAAGAGCATTATAAGCGCTCAGCCACAACACACGACAATGCAATGCGCAACGCTAATCGCCTGTCCTGACGGCACTTGCCAGCGTACTAATAACTTTATATAACGATCGAGCTGCACATAAAACCACAAGCAGACAGCTGGTCATACAATCACACAATCAGACAAACAGACAAACAGGCGGACAGACAGTCATTCAGTGGCCAGCCATCCGCATTGCTGCGAAACGAGTTCTCATTGGAAGGATGGTGGGTGGACGGGGTGGCGGGGTGGCGGGGTTAGGCATTTGCGTAAATAAATGTGCAGTGTGCCGGGACTGGTGGGGGATCGGGTGCGTCTTGGCAAGCCATAACTAGCTGTTAACTAGCTAATAACTACGATCTATGCATTTTCTAACTGCCAGCCAATTAGCGAGCGAAGAAAAATGATTTTGGTGCAACGTTTGATGTTGGTCTGCGATATGTTCGGAATTATAATCTTGCATTCAGTTTTGAAGACGTTGAAGAGATCGGGCTTTTGATGGCTTGCGTTGGCGTTGGACATTACTCGTATTATGAGCATGTAGTTGAAACATTTTTATTTGCTTTCTGACTCACTGATTTCCTTCATATTCAAGCTATAACTCAAATTCATGTTCATTTTCAAGCTTAGGCTAGTAAGCTGAACAAAAATGTTTTATATTTTATTTTGGATAAAGTGAGTAACAGTAGGAGCTCCATAGAAACTAGAGAACTACTAGAAAGAAATACTTAGTAAGATATAACATGGAGCATTTGTTTAGTTATTTATAGCATGACATTAGCGACCCAAAGCTTTCGAGGCTCTCCAGTGAAAGTACTTTTTAAATTATCCTGAAAAATCAATACGATTAGTTGAAAAAAAAATCAATAAAAATAAATAATAAAGTGCTTCATAAGACATCTTTTTCAAGCGATTGTTGAAAATCTAAAACAATCCTGAACTTGTGCTCTCTATATTTAACGCAAACAAGACAGAAAGCAGACTATATTGGCGTTCTAATATGATCTTCAAACTTTAACTTAAAAATGCTTCATTGGGCATATTTTTGAAGCGACTATTACAATAAATTATAGAAAGTATATCGACAATCTAAAATAAACTTAGAAGAATACCCTTTCACTGTCTTCAGTCGTCAGCTTTAGCTGAAGACGTTCATATCAAAGGACAGACGGGCAGATTATACTGGTTCGGCTCATTAATAAATTAATTAATAGATAATATTTAATTTTAGTAAGTCTTACAACTTAAGATAAAGCGCACACAATTGCTAAGACATTAGTCAGACTGTAAGTATTCTACACTAAAATAATAGCTATTATGCGAATGTGCTAATCATCTGCATACCTGACCATAAATTTAGTTTTTACAAATTTGAAACGGTTTCAAAAATTAAGTATTCGCCTAACCATCTAGATGGGTTATGCACATTTAATAATTTAAGTCAGATTACGCTTATTTTGTTTATGTTCGGTAATATTTTAAAAATAGCATTTGCAAATGCTATTAAAAATTAACGTTGCAAGAAAAAGAGAAAGAATATTAATGGGAATTTAAAAAAAATGGCAACCTATAAATGCCGCCTATTTATATTAAACTGCCGTTGCTCTTAAGGTAAACATGCAACATTTCAATGTGGGTTAAACATGCTGTTGTTTTTTGTTTTTTTATATATTGTTGTTGTGGTTGTGATTGCTGTTTGTTATTCATAACAATTGGCAACTACAGAAGAGTGTGTATTTAATTTTAATTTTAATTTGATTGTTATGTTTTTTAGTGTTGCATCATTCGATGATTATCTGCGCACAGACAGCGGCAGCAGCAGCAGCAGTAACGGTAAACCTATAGCTACAACTTACAACAACAGCAGCAAAACAAAATGTGCCAGCTGACTCCAATTTTCACGCGTGGCGCGCGATGAGCGCCACCGGCAAATATTTTCTTGTTGTTATTGTTGTTGTTGCTGCTGCTGCTGATATTGTCTCTGACAAAAAAAAAAGCAAACCCATGTCTGCTAATGAACGCGAGAAAGTCAATTAGGGGCTACTGGAGAGTGAATAGTGCTGCCAATTTGGCTTTACTTTTTACCGCCAGATCTGGCTGGCTTTAAACGATGTTACATTTGTACAAGTAATGATTTAACACCAGTCCAAAAAACAGGGAAAATATGATGTCTTTAGTGAAACTAAATTAATTTTAAATATTGCTACATTTAGACATTTTGATTATTCTACATGTTGGTATGTATTCATTCCATTTTTCATTAATTCACAAAATTTAGTTAACAACAAAGACTACAGGTTATAAAACCTTATCAACTGAAATATATATAAAGTGTGTTTTAACAGTTTATGAGTGAATCATGAACATCTTTTTAATAATCCACATTTGTCTAAAGTCTGTAAACATGTTTGTTCACTAGAAAAAGGATTTTATTTTATTATTTTAATTATCAGTCTTTATTTTATTCGCTCGACTGTAACAAGCCCGCTTGTTTTAGCTTGTTTTTGTCCTTTTCCAGCTATTTCGAATACGCTAGAGTTGGAGCAAGTTGAAGGCAATAGGTGGACGGTGTTGAGGGGGACGGGCTCAGTTAATAATGTTCTGCCTGAAGTGCGTGTAATTTTTCTTTGCGAGCACTTGGCTTTCCATAACTTCATATTTCTATATTTGTCGGCTATTCTGCGAAGTGAAAGGCGAAAGCAAGCGCTGAAACAATTTCAGGCAGTTTAATGAAATTATAACATGAAATTGTTGCTGCTTGCCACAGATAAATCAATTTGAACACAGACACACACACACACACACACACACACATGGATATAGTGGCCAACAAAAAGCTAACATCGCAATATAACAAGTGCAGACAATATTATATAATCCAGCAACAACAACCACAACAGCAGCAGCAAAGATCACATTAAAAAAATTCGCATGCAAGCGAAGCCAAGCGCGGCACTATTGAGTCCCCTCCCCTGACTCCCCCTCCCTCCACAATCCTACCAACAACTCCACAACATAGTTACGCACAACAACACATTTGACAGCAAAAATTATTTTCGTAAGTTTTTTTGTTGTTGTTTGGTTTTCTTATTGTCAACGCACGTTGGGTTGAGAGGCCGAATCCAGTCAGATAATATTCTCTTTTAAAATTAATTCCATCCATAAATTGAATCTGACTTCAATTATTAATTTGTACTTTCTAGTTTAATAAGAGGATTTTTATGAATTAATGCATTTATTAATAACTTGACAACAAATCTTTTCGTAGGAAATTTCGACTTAACTTTTTTTCTATTAATACTAAAGCTACACACACTTAGTCTCTGTTGCAATTTCGTTTCATAACAAGAAAGCTTCAAGATAACGGAAGAACCTGTTTCGGAAACTGTGATCATTATAAACTAGATATGGAAATGTTAGCTCATAGTATCCAATTTGTAATTGCACGTCTTTCCTATTTAAATCCTGTTATCTTCTTTCTCTCTCTCTCTCTCTCTCTCTCTTTCTGTGGAAGCACTGATGGCAATAAATATGCTGATAATGAATTAGATATGAATATCCTTTCCTATTTAAACCCTTCTCTCTCTCTTTCCCCACTTGTCACAGCTTCCTTCTTGGCTTACATATATTTCAAATATATTGAAAATATATCCAAAATATTTCGATTTCTTCCATAAACACACACTTCCCATAAAAGTGCTTATGGTATTCAGAAATGTTTCCACTGTGCAGCGGCACAGCTGTGGACAAGATATTGTTTTTATTAATTTAATTTGAAGGAGTCCGTGCAGCACGTTGACGCAAGTTCGCAGCAAACTCTTCCTGCTTGCAACAGCAGCGTGCTGCGCCCGACACGACAGACAAACGGACAGACACAGAGAGACACTAACAACAACGGCGACGACGACAACGCACATTTCTTGCCGCCATTAAAATGTCTTGACACACTGTGCCAGTTTCGTGGCACAGTCCACGATGCGGTAATTGAGTGACAAAATGCAATTAAAAGTTAACTATCTGCTAGATAGTTTGTGGTGTTGGCAGCGGATACTTACTCGTATATATAGTATGTATGTGCACGTACATACAAGCACATACATATGTTCGCGTTGTCATTTATGCAAAATAGGTTGGGAGGTGTTGAAATTGTCTCTCCAGCAAGTTGTGGTCAACCACACGTTGGTCAACAAACAAGGTACGGTTACGGGACATTTCTGAAATTATTTATTTACAGTAAATAGAAACTGAACCATATGTGAAAACTATTCAGTTAGCAGTGCTGATAAGCTATGAATATGTTTGACTGTATGAACGCCTCGATCTTGGATACTATACGAGCTATAGTCAACAAATTTGTGAGCTGCTTTCTGCCAACATTTATGTATGCAAATTGATTTTATTTTATATACAACCTATTATTTTGCTAGTATAGAAGCCTATTACTTTTTTATTACTTACCTCTTAGATAAATTCAATTTTATTTAAATTGTTTGCACACATTCCAATTTATTATTGCAAAATAAGCAAATTGCCTTCAAAGTTATGCCAATTTATAATAATTGTACGTAATTTTTATTTCTAAATAAAGGCACGCAAATAAAAAACTTTAAACTATTTATCTAACAGATAATCAATACAAGTTGTTTTTTAGAAAGAATGGATATAAAATATAAAATGGACATTATGAATACCGCTCATTAAATAATTAACGAATGAAATAGTGTTAATTTGTCATATACATAGTATCGTTATTTAATTAATTTGTTTTATGGTTACGTTTCAACACATCTATCTCTTTTATCGGGCTATTGCGGCAAGAAGTGTCGCACTGTCATTGTATCTGTTTTCAATACCAATACCAACACCAATACTATTACCATTACTATTACCATTACAATAAATCCTCCTTCACACGCGGCTCAAACTTCAAACTCATTCATGCCGCCAACTCGCAGAGACATCGACTTGGACTTCGACATATGCATGATAATGGCAAATGTACATAAAGCCTTTTTTGAATGCCCCCTGCTTCGAAAGTGCATTATTAGTGGGACTGTTAGTGGTTGTTTGCAATTCAAAGCGTTGGCCTTTTTATTGATATTTTATGGTCGTAGTTTATGTGGATCGTCGCCTTTCAGCGCCACAAGCACAACAAAAACCAAAACTAAAACCATAAGCAAAAGCAAAAGCAGCGCGCAAACAAAAAGCTTTGGCGCAACCAATTTTCGATTGTCTAGTCACCTTGAGTTCAAAGCCAACGAGCCAGAGGAAAGAAGGCACAACAAAAGTGCCTGCAACCCAAAATTCACAGATAAGATATGCAAAGGTAAATGCCACAAACCACCTTAACCTCTCCCTCCCAATCTATTCCATTTGCAGTGCACACTGAGCGCAGCGCTTTGCTTAGCCACTGGGCTGTCCGACGGCTCCAATACGAAGACAGCTGGCGGCTATCCGAAGAAGGTGACGACACTGAAGAAACGACCAACGAAGACGCCCAGCACCCCCCCGGCCTTGGCCACCACAGCCAGCGCTAACAAGCCGAGCAAGCCACGCGTCAAGATTGCCACACGTGCCCCCTCCACAGCGACAGCGACAGCGACAAACCCCACAACAACGCCATCGGCAACCACCAAAGGCGGCAAAAAGTTGCCCCCAAAGTTGACAAACGGTCCCCCTCAGCTTGCAGAGACTTTTAAGAATCTACCAGCCGACGATCTGGAGTTCATCAAGGAGCTGGACAAGCAGTTCAAGCTCCACGGCGATAAGATCAAGATCAAGGTCGAGCGCGAGAATGTGACGAGCAGCAAGAACAGCAAACGCACCATCGATGGCGAACTTGGGTGAGTATCTAGTATCTAGGTTCTAGTAAGTATTGCAATGTTGGAAAAGATTTTCTTCAGCATCTGTTACTCTCAAGCAAAATAAAAAAATAAAAAACAATGTCGAAAGAATTATACTTAGAATTTGCTTACCAAAATATCAACTTTAATTCATCATTATCAGGAGTCGCGAACTACATATTATGTTTCTCTAAAATTTATTTTAAATAGACTCCTCTTTTTTCATCCTTTTTTCAACATTTTTATAAACCAATAAGTAGTTCATACAAAAGCTTTTTCCAAACCATATAGGTTTCTATTGATTGACAAGCTTTCAAAATTAATTATCTTTTAATAGCACCAAGTGCATATAACTTTTCATATGCATTAGATACTAAGTATAAAGAACTGTAATTGTGCATAAAGGGGGAGTTACTCCTATCTATTATAAGGTTTATATCTTCCTTATTATATCTTACTATATTATTTGCTTTAAAGCTACGGACAGACATGCAAATAATTTGAACACACATTGTTTTCTAATTTAAAACAAACGCTTTCAAAAGTAAATGCAAGCTAAGTTTGTTGTAGCAGAAAAGTATATATACTATATATCTGGTTTCATTTGAAAAAATTATATGCACGAATTACTTGAGGAATTCGTAAAATTTGCTGGCAAACTATCTGCCTGTCTGAACAGCAAAGATGTGCGTTTTGTACTCGTAGATAGTTTCGTACATTGCCATTAAAATGCATACAAGTATCCAAACAGAATCGAACTAATCATTGCTTTCTTACAGCTATGGCTATGCGCATCCCGGCTATGATTATCCGGCGCCCAAATTTATGTTCTACCCGTACTCTCAACACGATATACCCGCCACAGAAGCACCCGCTCCATATGCCTCCTACGCACCCGCCGGCTTCGAGCACACGCAAGTTACGAGTGTAACGATTGAACCCTCTTACTCCTACGAGCTAAAGCCACAGACCAGCTACGAAACGCAGCCGGCACAACAGCAACAGCACCACCACCAGCACCACCACCAACAGCAGCAGCTGGAAGAGCAGCCGGAGCAGCCACAAATCGATCTGCCGCATACTCATGATGGCAGCGCTGATAGTGCTGGCTACCAGGAGCCTGTCATTGTCCTTCGCATCCCGGGACCGGCAAAATATGCGGCACATTTGCAAACGCTGCTGCAGCAATATCTGGAAATCCGAGCTGCTCAGTATCTGCGTCTGCTTCAGGAAGCCGATCTGCGCAAACAGCAGCTACATCAACAGCATCAACAACATCAGCAACACCAACAACAGCCGGTGGAAACCTATGGTCCACCAGAAACGCACGAGCAGGCTCACTATAATCCGGAAGTTAGCTATGCCCACCAGTTGGCGCCCACACCAGCACCCGTACAATATGCGGCCATCGATGAGGTCTATCAGAGCTACAAGGGACGGCATCACCAGCAACAGCAACAGCAGCAGCAGCAGCAGCAGCAGCAGCAACAAGCACAATACGAGCAGCCGGAGGCCTACTATAGTCCACCTACGGCCTATCAACACCAGACGCAATTCTACTACGCACAGCCGGCGGTGCAGCAATCCGGCTATGAGAATGCCTATCAGCCGCAACTCTATCTGATTGCCATGGCTCCACAGCCACAGACACAGTATGGTGAGCCACAGGAAGCGTCACAGCAGCAACCACCCATCTATGTGCCCGAGGCGGAGCATGCAGAGGCCCCGGCACCGGAACAAGTTGCTGTCGAGAATCCGCATGCCCAACACGAATTGCCCATTACAGAGAACAATCCCCGACCCACCCACACTAAGGTCATCTTTGCGACACAGGGTGGTGGTGGCGCGGGCGTTGGTGGCGCAGACTATGCAGCTAATATGTATACCCTCCCCTCCATTAGACCTTACGAACGACATGCGCCCACCTCAGCGGCTGACCATCAACAGCATTATCCACAACAACAGGGCGCGGAAAGCACAGATGTGGCAGCGACAAGCGCAGCTGGACACGATTACCAGGCACCTAGTGCACCGGCAGCCAATACAGATGAAGCCAGTGGTGAGACCGATGCAGATGCCGTAGCCATCACGCCGCCCCCCTACAACTATCATGCACATAGCTTGAAGATGGCCCGCATGCACCAGGGCCAGCCGGCCAAGCGTGATGCAGTGGGGCCCGCGGAAACGGAGACTGGTGCAGAGCAGCGATTGCAACAGATACGGGAGTTTGTGCGCGAAAAACTTGGCGCCGAAATGGGATCCGCGGTGGAGTACAAGACGACGCAGCTGCTCGAGGGATAACCGATTGCTCGAGCTTATACATTTTAGTTATAAGAGTTGCCTCTCGTTTTGTGTTTTGTGTGCTGTTGTTGTTGTTGTTGTTTTTGGCTGAAATTGTTACTGCCTCCCATTGTTATTTATTTGTTTATAAATTTTCGTTTTGTATTTTTGCGTCTAATCATCATTCCATATCAAATTTCTTCTCCTTATTCATCTCATAATATGCAAATCAAAATGAATGTCTTTCCTCTGTGTGTGCTATTTTTCAATTATTATTATTTTAATAATGCACCAACAGCAACAAAGTGTGTTAAATATGTGCAATAATTAGCTTATAATGATGTGCTTCTGAATTTACATATTTTAATAAAGAAGAAAAAACAAAAATATATACAGAAAACAAAAAATTGAAGAGTAAATTGCGTTTAAAATCGATGCCTAAAAGTATGCAACACCTTTCATCCACCTCATTCGTTCACACATACGACAACTCAACGCGCAAGCAACATAGCCAGACAGTCTGCACCGGCAGGACTAAGCAGCAAGCGAGGCTTCATTTAATGCAGAATAGCAAAGCTTCAGTTTGTCCTTAGTTGAAACTTGAACCGGAATGAGTTAATAAAACAAGCCAAGGCCTTGTCGCGTCTATTCTGCCTCAAGTTTTTAGTTCGAACATTTCACACATTATACATTACACAAATATACATACGTATGTATATATACATATATACTCTTTTGTGTATATGAAAAGTAAAAATTGCAATGCTTACACAATTGCCAACTTGCGTAATCGCCACAAACATTATCATATTTATTCGCCTTGCGGAAATCACGCATTAAAACCAAACCAACAACACTAAAAACAATACGCATGAGATTAGAGAAACACAAAAAATACATATAAATATATATCATTGGCGGCCAGCTATTCACAAGCATATTTAATTTGAATTTTTTAGGTGTTAAACGCCAAAAATCCATAAATATAAGCACATATACACACACATATATAAAATGCAATATATAGTACATATACGAGCTAACAACAAAGTAACACGCGCAGCTAGGCCAGCCACAATAACAAAAACAAATACTTGTACATATAGACGATTGCAGTAAAAGAAATGAAAAGTTAACTAACAAATCGCCGTTGAACATGAGGCGTATCTTTGTTTTGTTGTTGCCTTTGCAACTACTTTTGGAGATTGAAAGTCAATGGCTTTAATGAGTTGCCAATAAATTTAACTTGTATATTTTATGCACCCTCATAAAATACCATTAAACGATCGCCATAAAATGAAGCCACAAATCTGCTAAGTGCAAGCAGATAATTTTATTTAAATTTGAAAGCATTTACCCGCACTTTGGCATGCCCTACAGCCTAAATTGGGGAAAGCATAATAGTCAGTTAAAGCTGATTGCCAACTAGTATGTATATTGACTTTTACAAGTACTCTCCCAGATAAATGCAGAGAAACAATATACAAAACACGTTTTTTACAAGATATAATTTAAAGGAATTCCCCACGATTCTGTTGGGAAGAAGAACACCACACAAGTTTTCCATTAAAAGCAAACAAATAACAAACAGGCGGAAAAAACGAATTAACCAAATGAACACGTACAAGGATCTTGTTTAACGTTTTATCCCGGTATTTTAAAGATCACTTTTCAACGGCAAATTTTATTTCAGAAATAGTTAGAGAAATTTCGATGGAATGGATGAAAACCAGTATCATTTCTAAAAGCTTGCTGGCTTTTTGTAAGCAGCTATAAAAACTGTTCAAGGAACTGAAGACTTTGGAATAATTTTCCATAATTTGACAAACTGAAAAGCGTTTCCCTCTTTTTTTCGTCTACATTTTCTTTTGCGGGTAATGCATTATTTTGCATTATTCAGAAAAATTTACGTAATTCTATGCAAATAATTAACATAATCAGCTGCTGTTCGCAATTTACGGCAAATTGTGCCAATTTTTTGTGTTTTTTTTTGTTTTTTTTGTTTCTATAACTTTGTTGGATATGTGTGGCGAGTGCTGCGTCTGCCGGCAACTTGCAGCCCGGCAATGCAACTTTCAATTGAAATTAAACATAAAGTATGCAACAGCGGCGGCCACAACAACATCAGCAACAGCGTTGACAACTTCCGCACACTCTTTTATAATGAGTTGGATTGCTCGATATGCATCTGTAAGATATATTTGCCGTGCCTCGTTTTCATGTCAAGTTGGGGTTTTTGCAGCTTTTATTTTTTGTACGTTTCCACCAGCGTGTGTTTTGTTTTTATTGCTCGTATTATTGGTCGACAGTCGGGGCTTTGTCTTAGCAGTTCCCTGCGCTTTTGGACAACCGTTTACATACCAACACGCTCGCTCGTCTTTCGGTTTGGCGGCTTGGCGGCTTGGCGGACGAGGCGCTGACATTTCCAAGAGCCGCAGGTTTTTCTGCAACGCTTTCTGGGCCGCTCCCAAAGTCAATTAGACAGCAGCTTAGTGCTCGAAAACGAAAGTCTTTTTATGTGTGTGTGTGTGTGTGTATGTAAATGACAAATTACTGTCAGCCATAGCGTCATCGGTGATGTTGCATTTGTTGCAATCGCCGCACCGGTGGCCACCTGAACGCATAAAACACGAAAATGACGGCCACAAATGACAATTGTTTATTGTTGTCACGCGGCCAGCCAAGGGTTGTGGGCTGCAGAAAAGGGGATTAGGATGGGGGATATGCCAATGGAGTGTGGGTGACAATGGGTGTGACCGCATATGTGGAATCAATGCCAAGTTTTTAATCCGCCAAAGCAACCGAAGCAGAAGCAGAGACAGAAGACAAAGACAAAGTCGAAGCCAACATACTCTGCAAACTTGTTCTAACAATTGGTTTCATTGAGAAAAAAGATACCTTAAATTCTCTCACAATATGAAATATAAATATCATCTATTTATGTAATCTGAATAGGTATTTCAATCCGTATTCTGATTTAATAAAAACAAAGCCCCCCTCCGTTGCCAAAAAAAAAGAAAACTATAGAATACCTCTAATTTGTTTTATTTCAATTTTTGATTACCAATTTTTATTTATTTTTATTTACATATTTAAACAACTTTCCAAATACAGGAAATGCTTTTAATGCAGATGTCAGATTTAATTATAGTACAGACAAGGAATGTTAGCAATCAAATTTCCATGTAACATCTATCTCACTATATAATTTTTGTAAAGCTTTTCAAATGATAGTGCCCTTCTAGTAAACTACCTATATAGCACAGACTAAATCTGATAAATAAATATATATAAATTCAAATGAAAGCTACAGATTAACTTTTCATCTTAGAAATTACATTAGTCGCATACCGTTCTAAAGGCTTAAGTATTTATTTAAAACGAAGCCCGAAAATTGGGAAAATATTTCTTCAAATTGGAAAAAAGGATTTCCGAGTTCGTTTTTTACATATATAGAAGGAGCCTTAATCGTCTGGTTTTGTAAGGATAACTAGTTATGCGGCCAACTACTAGTACAAGCGCTAACTCACAAAAAAGTTCAAGCTTCCCCACAATTAGAAGATAACTTGCCATAAAAAACTACTCAGTATACTTACTTAATTTGATATTATAATAAAGTTAGTTATTTTACAATAATCTGTATCTCGGTTTTAGTTTATCATATTTTTATACGATATTATTAGAGAGCCTATGTCTATGCCTATGTTATCATCACGATAATCAAGCGTCATAACGTCAATAAAACACAATTAATTTCTGAAAATATCGCACTGTCGACTTCTTGGCTATAGAAAAACGATGGAAAACGCTTTAAAATGTTGGCATCGAGTACGATATGTTTGGGGTCTTTGATCACATTGGCCATTAACAATTGCAACAATTACACATGTGATCGTTTGTCGAGTCGCCAACTCGTTTCCCCCAACCCCTCAATACAACAACTGCCATTATAAAGAAGATGAACAACTTTCAACGTCCGAAATGTTGCAACAAGCCAAACAATGAAAAAAGTCAAATGTGCGAGCGGCTGAATCGGGGGAACAGTGGACATTGGATGGGTGAGGAGAGTGAGGAGATATGAGAAAGAGAGTTCAAAGCACTGTCTTTGTAATGTCAACATAAATGGGATTATATATTGTGGCATCATACACGCAGTTCCGGACGCCCTCACATCCTCAGAGATCGGAGCACTTAGGCAGCATCCAAAAGAAAATAATCACCATTATGGACTAAATGTTGCAACAATGCATCCATAAAACACAAAAACACACTCGCAAAAACAAATTAAAATCTTCGGTCGTGAAGGGGAGCGGTAACCAACGTAACAATTTCCAACTAAACGCCTCAATTGGAACGTTGCCGCAGCCGTTGCAGGTTGCAGCTGCACAATGGATGTTTTTGGAGGAGCAAACGATCAGAAATATTATCTATTTAAATAACTTTGTAACCACTTCACGTCTCTGAAAGTATCATTTTAAAATGTATATTTGAATTATGTTATGCCTAATGCCGGAGTTGTAATCATCAGATAAAGATCGCACCGAAATCTGAATTTAAAATCTAGTTCTTATAGAATGCAATCGAACTAAACTAATTTTGTGGGAAAAGGCTTAATTATGGCCCATTTAAAACGATTTTATTTACTGGTCCAATACTCTCTCTCCCTCGAATAAAGGTGAAACAATCGATTCAGAATATTTTATATTTTAAAAAGAATTGATTAACTGACAAGGCTTCTTTACTCTGATCAAAATTTTGGTATAATTTGCTGAGAAAATGACAAGTCGTTTCAGGACATTTTCTGGACTGTGGCATTAAATGCCTTTGATTGCTGTCTGTTGTAGCTGTTTTCCATTAATATGTTTAATTTGTTTTATAATAGGTGGATAAATGTGGAGCGAAGAAAGTGTTGAAAAGCCATTACCTCACATTTATTGTATATACTTTGTATAATAAACAAATTCAACGAAATTCAAATTCGATTACATCTTAATAATCGAATTTCACGAAACAGTTGCATGCAACTATTCCCTCGTGGAAATACAACACAAATTACATAACAACTTCAGGAGGGAACTTGGGAGCCCCTTCGTGCAATCCGGACTTGCTACTTGTATCTCAAATATTTCTGTTCTGCCCACTGTCTGCCGTCCGCATGCTGTTAACCGTTTTTAGCAGCTGCTTGTAGTTGCTATTGTTGTTGTAGTCGCTGCTGGCTGCTTGCTGCTTTTGGCCATATAACGCGAATGCGGCGCAAGGTTGTTGATCTTCACATTGTGTGACGGCTGGCTCAGCCTTGCTAGCTTATTTAGTTTATAATGTTGAGAAATGCCTTGCAGCATGGCTGATTATTTCATAAATACACACATATGTACATAATAGTCCTTAGAATAACAAGTTTGAGAAGCGAACTAACCTGTCAGTCTTCCATTACTAGTGAGATGAGACTAGGATCTGCAAAGGTTGCTGCTGTTCCTGCCTCCACTCTCAGCGAAATGCTTCTTTAGTTGAAACACAATTAATTAGCTAGACAATTTATATAGCCATCATAAGGCTCATTAATCAAAATCAGCAAAAGCAATTTTCAAAGCACGCCTCCTGCGCTAGACTCGTAAAATCGAAATTGAAATCGGGCAGCTGTAACTTTTACTGCGCAATTCCATTTGTTGTGGCCACAACTGTAGCGCACAAAATCGTATCGTAGACATACTTACGAGTATATGCACATTATAGCCAGACTCCAGCACGAGCTTGGCAGAGAGCTGAGAAAGGCTGAAAAAAGCTGCGACGCGTCCACTGCGTCCGATAAAAATCATAATAAATTTTCTGCATTTTTTTGTTGCTACTTGGTTTCGGACTTGCCAGTTGTTAATTAATATGCACTTAATCAGTGACCATGAAGTGACTTAAGGCTTTGTGCGCTTCTCTGGCCAATATGTTTGCCTGCTGATGCGTTAGCCAAGCCATTGTTGCTGTTGCGGTGGCGGTGTCGGTTGGGATTGGGGTTTTGCGGCTGCAACGGTCATACATTAATGCTTGGCTAATTGGCATAAGCACATACACATCGCCACAGTCCTAGCCCAAACGGATGAACTGTGCCGGGCACCAAAGACATATCCAATTTCGATTTCTGGGCCAATCTAAACCTTTTCCTTGTGATATCAGCAAACGAACCATTTAGAATGCTACAACATTAATTTATGTATAATAAGATCTGGCTTATAATTTTCCAAGTAAAATATTTATTGAACCCCTTATGAGACTGAGTATAATAAATTAAAAATAGTTGAAACAAAAATATTTATACATATGAACAAAATAAATATTTTTAATAAAAACAATATGTTTAATACTATAATACAAAAGCCATATGGACAAATTTAATATATGATATGGAGAGATCAGCTGCTATAGTTTGCTTTAAAATAGGACTACTCAAGTGTGCCTGAGGGATATGTACGTTGTGTAATTAATAAAATGGCGTCATTCTTTTCCGTGAAAACTGTAAAAAATTGAGCCAATAATCTATATTCCTTTTTAAGTTTTCATATAAAATACAACACAAAACTGGCACTTAACTTTGATCCTGTTTCTATGCAATTGAAGTCGATTAGTTTAAATAACGATCCTTGCGTATACGCCATACTTTTTCCTATTAATCGCCTTAAAAACCAATCCCAAACAACGTGTGCTCAAATTATAATAATTATATGATAATATGACAATGAAGCCGTTCCAGGCCGACATTCATTGAACTGCATCTTTCTCTCGATTACATTTAGTTTATGGCTTAATTGACCACCCCAAATGGTGGTCGTCAACCGATGCCGAAAAAAAAATGAAATCGAAAACCAAAAAACCCGTTGTCGTTGCCGTTTTCATTTGGCGATTTAATTTGTTTAGATTATTGTCATCTCTTGTAGCGCCTCCAAATGGCTGCAACATGTCGCATCATACATACATACATGAATGTATGTACATATGTAAGAGCATCGTTAAAAAATGAATGACAAATAAAAAGCCATCTTACAATTGCAAAATTAAATGAACAGCTGTTGGCACCAGCTGTAGCTGTCCTTCACTCAGTGTGTCACACATGGCGCATATGTCATCGTTGACCAGCCCACGATGAAAAATGTCAGGCAATGCGTGAAATGGACGACAGTGCACCGATTGTCAAGCACTGCAAATAACTGTCCATCAGCTGGTGTCGCCGACCAAGAAAATCGTCCGGACAATTGCCAACATCTCTCTATCTCTCTCCCTCTCTCTCTCTCTTTCGTTCTCCCACTTTCCTTCTCGCTTTCACAGATGGAGCATTTTTAATATATTTGTATGAGTGTGTGTGGTGTGTGTGTAGATGTGTGATAATTCGCGCGTTTTCTTTGGCCGGCACATTCGCATAAATTTTCCGCTGCTGCCGTAAACAGCGCAGGCGCAAGCGTTTTATTATAAAAGCCACATGCCACACACTCTTCGCACACAATTCAAATCCAGACACAGACGCGAAATGATGTGCATAATACGGCAACAGCCCCCCGGGCTCACCCTGAGCCGTTGCCTCCACCTCTGCCTCTCGGCCTTGCTACTTGTAAGTAATCGAAAGCAGGCAAAGGACATGGAGCATAGTGTTATATTTTTTTTGTTACTTTTTTGTTATGTGAATGTGAAATCAAAAGTGCTATGCAGTTGTGATTTAAAGAACAATGAGTCAGCAAAATGTGTAATTACAGTGAAGAATATAAACGGCTATGATTAGCCGCCAGCCAATGGTGTTGATAAACTTTATTCAAAAGAAACTTTACAATAAATTGAATACATTTTTCAAAAATATGAAATACTACATTCATACAACGTGCAAAAAGAATCAGGCTTATAGCCCCTCTAGTTTGAATCACATTTTTCTGTTCGAAATTTACTTTCACTTTCTTACAATATATTTCAATACGCATCGGTATCATTCAATTTCTATTTAACGTGAAATAGCAAAACTATAGATATAATTGTTTAAAACAAAAAAGAAAGCCAATGTGTCTGTTCAGTCTTGTCGATGGGTAGGATAATCCTGATTAGTGCTTTATCATTCGAATTTTATTTCTGAGTACCTCTTTTGGAATAAGGGGTTTCATATTGAATACTTTATTTGAAACTTTCTCGAAATTTGTGAGCTTCATATAGTATTTGAAGAACTGAATTGATTTTGCAGAGCCGGACCTATATAGTATGTATGTGTATTTTATACAAAACTGCATGACAGCATTTTAAAATATAGTTATCAAGAAAATTAAAACAATGAAAAAAGATATAAGCAAGATAGTCCTTCTTATCCAAACCAAGGCAAAATTCTAAATCGTAAATAAATATTTCTAAAAATTACAATGCTAACTGCATAATTATCATGATCTATATTATTATTATGATCTATAGGTCATATAGTACTTCTTGGCCAATGTGTATCTCACATACTTACTTATATTTCTGATATGATATAGGCACTAATATATGTAGGTTCGGAATATGGGCTCCGCATAAATTTCTTTAATTTGTTAAGTTCTATATTCAATTCTCTGTTCAGCGTGCTCCATACGAGCATCGATAGAAATACTTCATAAAGGTTTTGAAAGTTCAGTGTCGTGGCATTGGCATCCAAAGCGTTAAGCAGATGCAGATGATATGCCAAAAATGGGAATGGGCGACCCTTTAGCTTGTGGGCTTGCATGCAACTGAGTGACAAGTTAATGTTGCAGTTGCAACTTTAAATTCAGCTGCTCAATAATTACGCTGCCAGCTGTCAAGTGATCTGCACATTTGATGCAATGCATCGGCTTTTCAAAGCCAAGTTGCGTGCCACAAACATTTCATGTTTATGTTTTATAACGGGCGAAAATGTTGCAAAGCACATTGTGTGAATGAACTTGCAACGGACGCGCGGCTTGGCGCAAGGGGCGCTGGGGGGCGGTGTGGGGCGTCGCCTGCGCCAACTCAATCATAAGAAATTACACAAAACGCCGGCAGCGACGGAGACCGAGACGGCAATTGTGGCTACAGTGGCGTCTATTGGCAAGTTGCCCGCGCTCTAAAAGCGAAAGTGAATTTGTTAACTTTAATTAGTTTAATTACAACAACAACAACAATCTTAACTAAAGAAAATTGCCAACTAAACGTATGCTTTACAAGTACATTTATTTATGTTGAATGCATAAGCTTCAATTATCGGGCAGTGCGAGAGCCACACTGAGGGAGACATCGAGTAATTGCCTCTTAATTGCATAATATTGCAGGCAGCTCGTCCTGATTGACTAATTAAGTGACTGACTCCCCTTGACCCACCTTTCCTTTCCTTCCAGTGCACGCTACTCTCCGCCAGCTCGGCTCAGTCGCTACCACGTTCTGGCGGCAGTCGCCGAAGACCAGGGCAAGCAGGCACTTCGGCCATCGAGGAGGTCAGCGAGAAGGCCAGTGTGCCGGACCAGTTGGCAATGGCAGCCGGCCGAGCAGAGGGACGCAACTACCAGAGACGGGGACTGGGCTCCAGGCCAAAGGATGTGACCACTGGTAAGTGTGGTAGCGCTGAAATGAATGAGCAATGGTTGCATAAATACTATATAGTAGTTGTATGCTTGAAAGTGCTTAACTTTGTTATGATTTAACGTTATTTAAATTTAAATCAGTTGAACGCGAACGATCATTAATGTTATTCCGCAGCTGATTTTGAGTTTTAATAGAACGACCATTTTAAAAAGCGGACCAATTCATTATAATGCTGATAAAGCATTTCAATATACCGAAGTAAGATCTTAGACCTTATCTTAGTTTGAAATTTAAATCAGCCCCTGTGTTTGTTTGGCTTAAAGGTTTAACAACCTTTTGAATCAACAGCCGCTCGGTTCTACAGCTCTTCGGAATAGCAGAGCCGAATAAAGAAGAATGCGTAAATGTTTTATTAGGTTACCGAAAAAAAGGGAAACAATTGGACCTATCCTATATACGAGTATTTGCTTTAGACCGTGCAATATTTAAGAGCTTGGTACTTCTACAAAATATTTAAATACTTTTGTGTCTATACCAATTGAATTGTTGCAGAATAATGAGTCGACTCTAACAATTGGGGAGTATTATACCGTCCAGTTACTCTACAAACTATTTAAGGCCGCTTATATTGATTTTCTCTATTCCATTTATGCAATGACTTTCTAGTTGTTGTTATTCTATTACTTAAAGATCTGTAACAATGCTCCCTATTGTACAATTTGAAGGAAAGTTAGAGAGTTGTGGGGCTACAGCTGCAGCGCATAGTTAGCTTTATCCGAGAATAAGTCAGTCATATATACATACATATAGTATACATATATTGTAATTTCTCTTCTCGCCCTCTCAAACGCCAAACACCAGACTACAGTTATGGCCAGCTGGAGATGAATCTGATACGGCCCGATAGTGAGACCCCGAGGCAGCATGCAAAAATCAGCGCCCACTACAGCAGTAGTCTGAGCACAAACACCGGCTCAACTACAACCATGAGCGGAGAAACGACGGCACTAGAGGATTCACAGTCGGCGGCTGAGTACGTGGCCAATGCCATGAAGATGGCTTATGGTGCACGACTTAAGGAGCCCATACGAATAGCACCCATAACTGAGCGCGCCTACATCGAGGAACAGCAGCAGCATCAACAACAGCAACAGCAGCAGCAGCAACAGCAGCAGCAGCAGCAGCAGCAAGAACAGCAACAGCAGCAAGAACAGCAACAGCAACAAGAACTTCAGCAACGAGAAGCAGCAGCGGCGGCAGCAATCACGGAGGAGGAGCAAGTCAAACAGCGGGAGGCGCAGCTTGAGGCACAAATTCAGGCTGAATTGCAAGCCCAGCTCGCTCAACAAGCGCTCATGTTGGCCCAAGAACAGCAGCAAACTATGGAGTCAGCCAGTACTCCCTCCCAGCCATCGCCAGCACCCGTATATGAGAAGGACCGTTCCTACGATATCTACGGTGGCTCCCAAAACGCCGCAAGTGGATCGGACGTTGAGCGACTATATCGCACCAAGTATTTCTATCCACAACAGCAGCCGCAACTCTATCGCAATCTCGAGCACGAGGCCGAGGAGAAGGTGCGTGTGTCGGCCTCCACTGAAATACCCAAGTCGGAGATAATGAAACAGATCGAGAAATCGGTCATTAAGTACATGCAGGAGCTGCAGGCAGAGGGCAAGATCATCACGACGCAGCAGGAAACGCAGCCACAAACCAAGACTTACTACAAACTGCTACCTTTACCCCTGGCCAGTGGCGGCAGCGGCAGCAGTGGGAGCAGCAATAATGGTGGTGGTAGTGGCAGCAGTTCGAGCGAGGAGAAGCGCTATTCCAGCACCACGGTACGGCCAAAATACAGCAATGTGGGCGTCAGCTATCATGGAAACTCTGCTGGGACTGTTGGTGGTGGTGGTGGCGGCTCCGGTGGCTTACGATATCAGCCACCACCCGCACACTCACACTCACATCATCTGCAGCAGTCGAAGCAGTCGAACCATCAGTCGGCAAAGCAACAGCGCTATCAGTCGGAGACAGAGACCGCCTACCAGGCACCCGAACTAACGGCCGATGCACTGGCGCCCAATGTGGAGTTCATCTACAAAATCAAGACGCGAGCACCACTGCAAACTGCCACGGTGAAGACCGTCTCCAAGCCATACACACTGCCACTGAAGAGCAGCGCCCATGCGGAGCACTTCGATCACAATGCGGCACTGAAGAACATCGAGGAGTTCGATCTATCGCATGTGGTCACAACACCGGAACAAGATGAACGCCTGCTGGGACCCGCGACGAACAAGCCACACAAACTTTATTTCAATTCAGAGATTTATCACGACATCAACTCGCTGCCCTACAAGCCGGAGAAGCTGCGTGGCGGTGGTGGTGCTGGTGGACCCGAATACAGGCACAAGCTGAAGGCAGCCGCTGAACTGCATCCGGACTACAAGGGCTATACGGGTTACTTTGCTGAGCCAGCACCCAACCCGAGCTCAATGGAATCGGACAAGCAGCTGCCAAGTGCTGTGGGCGGCGAAATGGGCGGCACCGGTGGCCCCGACGATGGCTACCCACTCCACAATCCGTACCAGTATGTGCTTAAAAAGGAACCGCTGCCGAACAAGTACGACGATCCACATGTCGAAAATTGGGGCGAACAGCCGCTGCGTCTAGTGGTGCCCAAGCCAGGCGGTGTCTATAAGAATGGCGGTGGTTCTGTGGGCTCCAGCAGCATGGAGTACGACAGCTATAGCCCAAAGTTTAACCACAATCCGGAGGGATATGGCTACCAGCACACCTACAAGACGCAGCTTATACGTGGTGTCGGTACTCCATCCAATAAACGTGGCAAGCGGGGCGGTGGCGCCCATCCTGCTGCTACAACAGGCGGGAACGTGACTGGCAAAAAGACCGTACGTGGCGGCAAAGGCAAGCTAGCCAAGGATCTGGAGGCCAGTCTTTCGTTGCGACCGCCCCCAAAGAAATAGTCTCTCATAGTTTATTATATGCAAAATTTTGTTGTTGTTTTTTTTCGTTCACCTACCTTTAGAGTGTGTATTATGTGTAATTATTTATTTTATGGCCAGTTGCTACCCGGGGGCAGTCGTTAGGTTAGTCAATTGGCAACTGCGGTGCGCGAGCTATTTGTTACCCAATGCTAGCAAAGTTGTATGTAAGTCTACAAAGTAATCAACCGATGTAAATGAGTTAACAAATTAATAAAGTCAAGATATCAATGAGCCCGTCTCGTATTCCTTATCTGGTACCCATTGGCACCCCCCTGAGCCCGAGCAGTAACTAGTGTGGGCTAAGTTTGGTTTCTCTAGGCTTGATCCAATCCGAGCTAACTAGAAATGCACGGATAACTTGAAATGTGTCTCACATCATTAACAATTCTAGCCGCTTCAATATTTAAGTGAACAATTGATATGTAAGCAATTCGTTCTAAGCAACAAAAATGAATATGTAACAAAACTATTATGTCAAGCATTTAAAACCGTAAGGTGTATTTGCGCTCTCTAAACGAATTTAAATTCAAAAGAACTGTTCAGGAATTGTGAATAGCAAGGGCGTAGGCAGCTTTTACCAAAGGGGGGCCCAAACAATTAAAATTTTGATTAAATAATGCACGATGCATTTAAAAAATAACTTATGCATATGATCAATGAAAAAACCTCAACAAATCCACTCAAACTCCATTTTAAGGCGAAATAGTGCGCCATAATAATGAACGTGTGGTCGACTTTATATGGCAAAAATTTTTGTAGGGGGGCAAAGGCCTCCCTGCCCCCCTGGCTACACCCTTGGTGAATAGGTAGCTCTGATACTGAAAGAGTTATCATTCAGAGGCTTAGGCGATTCAAAACGATGTCAGAGTTAACCTTTAATAGTTAGGTTCATATTAAATACTTCCTCTAAAGTTCATCCATAAATGTTTGTTGGAAATACATGTATGTAGCTCACTTAACATCCGTCGAGGGATATCGATTCCACTGAATATTACCTAAAGTCTTTCAATTTGAATAATGTGGAAAATTGCCATTCAAGCCGAGACATTTAAAATGAATTTGTAATGAATTTGTATATAATAAGTAGTTAAACTGAAAATTCCAGCATGGAAATCAACCAACACATCTTTCAAATGAATGTAAAAAACATTTGGTGTGAAAGCACCCACAGTTTAGAAGCAACTTAGGCTGGGATTCCAACCTCGCTTTCCAGGCTTTTACTTTTAAATCTTTCATCATTAGCAATCTGTAGGACTGTACTAGGTGTAGTTTTTCTTAACATGCTGCTTATTGGCAATGTGGACTCCTCTGCCCACTTAAATCGTCGTGGCTTTTCTGTTCCTTGTAGAACAACAATAAATTAGCATATTCATTTTTGGATTTTTAAAAGCAGTTCTTCATAACCAACACTCCGAAAATCTCTGACCACTTACGGCTATTAGTCGGGGCCTAGCTTGCCGGACTGACAATAAAATTTTCCCTCCACCGGGCATGAGATTTGTCCATTGTTTTTGACCTAATAATAATACAAAATAAAGCTACAACACTTGAAAGAAAAGCAACTTCATTGATCTACTTGTTATGATTAGCGGTAGTATTTTCATCTTAATGTACAGTACGAACTTGAACAAACATGCTGACAACCATTTTAAAGAACCAGTACGGTATTTCAGGTCTGGGGTTTTTGCTTCAACGAAAACGTTACAAATGATTCGTCCTAATCGATTAGACTTGAATTATATTAAAAAAAATTATTTCAATTCGTAATCAAATGCGTGTTTTCGAATACATTTTTGAGAAATATTTCCAATAATTATACTTATGAATTTATCTTAAGCTAATCACATAGCAATCAAAAATGATCAAATTTTCTATAAAAAAAAATAATAAAAGTTGTCAATCCTTGGGGAAGGCAATATTATACTAAGTATTCGGCACATAATGTTACTGTTGCCAAGAACTTAATGGAAGCTTTTATAAGATCCTCAAAAAGTCACAATTAATTGTAGAAATATTCTATGCAAAATGTTTTTATTTAACAACGAAAATGCAACAAAAAAAAAAGAAGAAACTTAAGCGACACTACAGACTCGGATGGAGAGTCTCACTCGAGACAAATGAAAAACCATTACAAGTAATTTGGCAGTTGGGAGACAAAAGCCCCACACACCACTTAGACCTATTCATGGTGCGCATAGTGCTCGTAATGCTCTGCATGATGCACCGGCTCCTCATAGTGGCCGTGCTCGTGCAGATGCGACTCGCTATGTTGCTCCAGAACGAGTCCATGGTTGTGGTTGTGTTCCGTCTTGGGGTGGAGAACCTTTAGCTTTTGCTTTGTGCCTCCAATTTCAATGGGCTTCTTTACCAGATGCTGATCCTCTTTCTTGATGTAGACGGGCACGGCATGGTAGTGGTGGAACTTGACACTCTGATGTGAAGTGGCGTGCTTGTGATCGACCTCGTGATGCAGTTCGGTCTCCTCGTGTTCCGGCTCGTATTTAGCGTGCTCCTCATGCTCGTATTCCTGATGGTCGTACTCGTGAATTTTAAGAGCGTTGCTCATCGCCAACAAGGCCAGGCAGGGCAGCTGTAAAGTAAAAAGCATAGTTTTTTAAATTCGCTGCAACACAAAAATGTAAATAAATGGCGTGACTTTGAATAATAGGATTCATCGAATCCATAAACAAGTTATATGCAGGATTTGTATAAATGTATTTATTATGTATCCTATATCATCATCCTTATGCCTGCTTCAAATCCACAATATTTCCTTTATACTTTTGTTATACTTGTATATTGGCCTGCACATTTCGATCTTTATGATATATTTTTTGTTGATTTTTACGTATAATTTGTTTTCTCTTTTAATTCAGCTATAGTTGTCTTTTATACTTTATATATCATTATTTTTGTTTATTTTAAATTAATCAAATATTTTTAATTTCTTTTTATTCATTATTTTATTTTCCCCAACGATTGATTTATTTATTTTGCTTTTTTTCATTTCTAATGCTTACAACAAACTTCAGCATATTTTGGCTTTGGCAATAATTCACAGGTCGGTATTTAGGAAAACAAAAAATAAAGAATAGCTTTTTTAGATGCGTTTGGAAACCGTTACACGTATTTAAGCACAGAAGCCAAAATGTTATTTGTTTTGTGCGCTTCGCGGTTTGGAACGTTGTTGCAGCTTGGCGATTGGGAGCTGAATGTGGCCAATCGTTTGGGACCAGATTCGATTTATACCCGAAAAGCCCGAAAACTGAATGCCTCACGAGATGTGTGGCGAGTGCAAAGAAAGGCTGAAAAAGAAACAAAAAACATGTGATGGGACGCGGGATAGGGGGCTGGAAATGTGAAATGTGCAAAGGCGCACGGCAACTACTACAACCTCATACGTGTGTGACGATAAAGCGGCAACGAACTTCAAAACGGCAACTAGCCAGTCAACAAGCCCACTAGTGTGGCATATATGAGAAGTTGTCGTGGCGGTTATTTATGACGTTGTTACAATTGTTTGGAAAATGGCAGCGCACACATTCACAGTCACTCACACATAGGCACATATACACGCATGTTGCGTGCTGCACTCGTACAATTAAAAATTATTACGTATACGCAAGGCTTGTGGCAGCGCTTTTCCTCAGCTTAAACCCGTTGTCAATCAATGTGGCAGTTGGCAGGCGGCCTCAAACAACAAAGGGGGGAGGGGCAATGCCACAGCCCACTACACAACTGCACAACCGGTCGGACAGAGAGGTAGAGATAGCAAATATGTGAAGCAAGTGCAAGGTAATTGAACATGAACATGCATAACGGCACTTTCAAGTAACAGCCAAAAACCAAACAAATCACATTTATACAGATAGCACTCTACTATCTGATTAGCTTAAAATTGAACAGTTTATGCGCATTAAATGCGCGATATACCGATTGACAAGATCCCGCAGAGCTTTTCTGGTTTTCCGGTTCGGCAATCCACTTTATAGTTGCCCGAAAAGATCTTCCGGTTTCTTCAATGTTGGCAACAAGTTTGGCGTCATCAGCATCTTTAAACCTAATCCCCCCTCCACTCCTCTCCCCTATCCATCACTTTCCAATTAGTTACATATGTATATGTATATATTTTTCTTTTTTCTTTATTTTCTATGATGATAACGTCAACTGATAAGCTGGTGTGATATTGGCCAACGCCTTCTTTTTTTTTGGCAATATGCCCGCAATAATTGGCATAAAATAGGTGATGCTTCCGCATTTCGTCTGTCAAAGTGACGCCGCCGACAACGTCGCGCCTATCAAAATAGTATGGCATGGAGAAATAAAAGAAAATATACATATAAAGAAAATTATGAGTTGGCAGCCGAAAATCTATAACGGGTTGCGTGTGCTGCACGCAAATGCTGCAAGTTTGTTGCTCAAGTCATTGCTGATGGATTGCCAGCTAGACAAGCGCTCTAATTACGTCTAGTGAAGGGCCTCCCCGATTTATGTAAGCACTTGCAATATGCTGCTGCATTATAGAGGTGCTGTGGTGGGGGGGCCGTACAGGGCAGTTCAGTGAAAGGTTAACCAAATATCTTGCATTCCTCTATCTCTACACTTACATGTATGTATGTATGTATTTGCGAATATATGATTTGCTAATTGTTTATGAGCTTTTAAACGGCATGCGATTAAATTAGTTTCCTCGTGCTCCAATTTATATTCAAAATGGGCAAAAATTAAAACGTTATACGATTAGATAATCGCCAGTTGGTGTAAGTGAACGGCAAAGTTGGTCAGGAAGCCGAAATTGCCATGCATGCAAAGGAAAATATGCAAATTACGACATTTTTACCAAAAATATATATCAATGGCATCAAAAACGAATTCGTCGGCAGCCACAAACAGAGCTTGGTAGCTCCTTAAACATTGCAAATGTCGTCGAAATCAAAGGCATTTTATTGGGTTAGTAGTATAGTCTGGCCTGATTGCAAAAGCAATAGCAACAGCAATCCACACACATAATCAAATTCAACGTAAAAGTAAAAGTAAGCCACTTTCTCACAGAGCGCGAAATTTGCATAACGTGCAACTGACATGTGCGCGCCAACGACTTTTATCTGTCATGTTTGCATTACTCTTTGTGCAGACCAATTTGAATTATTAATTTGTTATAATAAAAATGTGTTAGTATAAATCGGCTTGTATAATACGGCTTATGTACAGGCAGGAAGTAATGTGTAGATTTAAAACACAAACTTAAAATGTAAAAATACAACCCTATATTTTAATTGGCTGCAATAACATTCGATGTATCGATAAATATTGGGATCGTTGGCACGTAGGTGATGAACGTATATTTGACAAGTACAAGAAGAAGCAGATGAAGATGGTTGCCGGCAGCTATGTATGTGCAATATACGTCAAAAGACTTAAGAAGGTAATTGTGCATTACAATATCGTATTTTGGGAAATAATAATACTAAATTCTAAGCAAACACTGCCTGCACAGCAGACGTATTCTAAAGTATTTTAGTCGATGCCAACTAAACAGCTGTACGCAAACACATAGTCCCGTTATAATACGCTTTGTCAAAAAAGCCCTGCGTTTACCAGAATCTTCCGTAACCACAAGAGCAACGAAAAAGAAACATGCACTGGCTTACATTAAAGGTGTTGGAACCGCCGCTTCAAGATGACACCGAATACAATATTATACAGAAATTGCTGTGCCCTCAAAATATAATGTAAGAGCTAGAATTGATACATGCATATGTATATTTACATACATATGTATATGTATGTGCATGCATACATACATATGTAAATACATACATACATATGTGCGCATATGGATTTTGTGGATTTTAATCGTCATTCATTATTATTTCAGAGAGACTGAATTAATTTTACTCATGTTTGAAAAAGAAACTACATCTTTTTTTGAAAAACGGAAAGGGATTTCAAAAGATTTACTGATCTCTGCGAACAAACCTCAAAACGGTACAAACTCTTTTGGGGTATGAAATGCATAAATTACGATACGCATGTACACAAGTTAACTATTGTTTATTTAGGTATTGCAATACCTTAATAAAATCATATACCGTGCCCCATTTGATACTAATTGGCTTGCGGAGGCGATTTTGGCACGCAGCATCCATAACATACGCCAGAAGAATGTTAATGTAAGTAGGATGAAAGTTGTCAAATTATTCTCTGATTTTCTAATATCTTCACATTGTTCTCTTAGTTTAGCCATAGCGATTTATTATATTACAAAACGCTTTATCCTAACGGCGTGACTGCCCAAGAAAAAGTATTGGTTCAGACGCTTTTATGCTTGACTTTTTACGCAAAGAAAGACATGAATGGGGCGCGGGTTAACTTACAAGAACTATCAGATTTATTGAGTAAGTAATATTTCAATATTCCAAAAGTTGAATTTTTGACACAGTTATTACAGCGCGTCTGCCCAAGACTATGTGGGATATAAATCCTGGTAAGCGATTTCCATGCTTATCATATGATTCACCCGCAATGATTTTTTTACAAATTGTAGAGATGCAGAAATATTTCGATCAATTGGACAAAATTAAGAAAGAAGTAAATCAAAACACAAATACTGTAACTTTGAAAATCAAACCAAAAAATAATATCGAAGTGCCGTTCAATGGTTTTAAACTGTCCAAGGAAATTCCATGGGCCTCAAATGCGTGCGATTATGTGTAGGTGCTATTTCAAACACATTTTAATAAAATGTATGTAAATGTTGTTATATTTATTCTACAGCTCAGCGAGTACTGAACAGCGCACTGGAGTGTATGCCCGAGTTCCGATACCAAAAAATGAAGCTGTCGTATCGGAAGATCCAGCTTTTTTCCAATACAGCGTACCCTTCACTAATTGTGAACTTTGCGGGATTCATCAGGCGTTGTTATATACATGCCCTGGTTGCCGATATAAAACATATTGCTCCGAAAACTGCATTTCAGCCGATAAAGAAGAACACCGAAATGAATGCTACCTATACAAAATTGGCATTATACCTGTTCTAGAAGCAACTCAATTATATCGTTTCTTTGTGCAGGCCGCAAAACTGTTGTTTAATACAACATTCAAAAAAAAGGGACATCTAAGGTAAATGTTTTTAGTAGAATGATTGGGTAAAACATCACTTACTAAATGCTTTTTATCACAAATAGAAAATTTATAAATTCGCAGTCTGCGTGGAACTTTATTGTTAAAAATGCAAAGACCGATGAAAACTCTATAATAGTCGAGTTCTTGGTAACCAAGCCAAATTACAATCTACTTACGCCAGCAAAGTGGTGGGAAATAATCTCAACCGCTTTTCGTCTTGCGGTTTTCATGCATAAAAGTTCATTTGCAAATATATTTGACTTTGGAGAAATTGGACTTGGAAAACTGGACTGCATACATCTTATAGCAGCGATCCTACTCCGTTTGAATGGCCACATTACCCTCAATTCCATTCGAACCGAATTGCGTTATAATATATCGCAAACCCTGGAATGTGAGACTGACTCACCTGAAGTCGTACATAACACCAATTCAAAGGCAGGTGTTGAACGCATAACTACCGATGCTTTTGAATATTATAAAATTATTCCGCAATTCGAATTTGTACAAATTTATAAAGAGCACGAGAAACTTGTCATGGAGGGTAAACTTTTTCCCGCTGAGCGCACTTTCAATATCAATGAGAGCAAACCGATTTACAGATGGCAGGATAGCCCGCTAGCCGAATACACGCTGAAGATAATGCAATTATGTTTGAATTCAAATGAAATTAAATCGGCTAATGATATAATAAATGTTAGTAATACATCTGTGGAATCATGCAAGGAAGTTCTATATCTGAACACCTCGAAGCGTTGCGAGCTGATTGCCAAGTTTGTTAACACATTCCAAACATTTCTTGATGAGTACTTTATAAAATTGGCCGGTCTTGAGGGCGGATATTTACGTCAAGAACGGACTGCGCTATGTTCTACGCTGAAGAAGTTTAACCATTCATGCGCAGCTAACGTTCAAGTCCGGTTAGCTATTTTTAACCTAATACGATTCAAAATTGTAATAATATTTTTTTTCAGCGCACTGACTAATGGACAATACATTGCAACTACCAACCAAAAAATAAACGTCGGTGACGAACTCACTTTGAGCCATGATGTAAACATTTGGCAACATAATCGTAGTCAGCGTCGGTCCTATTTTGAAAACTTGGGAACTACGTGTAGATGCACCGCATGCGCGCTTCCAGAATGCCTAGAGCCAACGGTAAGCGATTCTGAGCGAAACACAACAATTCACTCATCCATTCGCTTTAGAACATTCGTGCCAGTTTGTATTGTAATTGCTCAAATCAACGTGATAAAATAACTCCATTAATGGGCGAGTGTCCGAAATGCCACACAAAATATGCTGAACTTTTGCAGGAAAAAACGAATTTCATCGACCACATTCAAGATGAAATACGCGAGAGAGAGTCTGGTCATGAAAGTAAGTATTTAATTGGTTCCAATCGGTAAATGTTAAAAGTAACCTAAGAATGTGAATATTTCAATAACGTAACCCTTTCCCATCCATTTAACAGCAACTGTTCGCCAATTGGTAGTTTTGTATGGAACTTACAACTTCTATGTCAACGATTTCTTTGCTGAGTTCCACGAAGCGCGTATACGCAGTGCTCTAAAGCTATCAAAATTCCTAGCATCTCAAGGTATGCATTATACGTAGTTTTCAAACCTTCTCTTTAAAAAAAATTAATTTCTTTATACTACAGGATTCTTGCAACATGCCTCTGATACGATTCTAATGATAGACTACGAGTATAGTTTTTTAGTAGATGCTACACTTGCCAATAGTTTCTTCTTCGAGATTTTTGAAGTAATTAAAGCCATTCTGGAAGGTTTCATTCGCGATGTGTAAGTAACAGACAAAAGGTAAATCCTCGACTTTTTAATGTCTATTTAACATTTAAGCCCAAACCTAATGGAGATAGATGTGTCCCACCTACATATGCTAATGGCAATGGCATCTAAATTACTAAAAGACAAACACATGCATTTGGATGCGTACTTGAACAAAGACAAACGTTTTAACATTTTGCAAGGATATTTTACCGACTACCAAAAATGGCTGAGTGCTATCAATTTACATTTTTTTATGCCAAATAATATGCGTGCTTTGCTATCAAAATAGATGCACCCATGTTATAAAAAGTCTTTTTGGGGTTTGTTTTACATATAAAATATGTAATAGAAATGGTTTCTGTGTTAGAGAATTTAAGGAACTCCCAGAAACCAAATTTTTACCATTTGACTGATACATTTTTTGTAATGCTAATACATGTTGAAATTTTTAATAAACTTCAAATATTGCATTTTGTTTCCTTATATAAAAATGTAACACACTTGTAAACACATTTAATGTTCATCTGACAAAGAATGGTAATGCGTCCACGAATTGAAATTTTACAAAGGGCGGGGATGCAATTTGTTGTGCTGGTCTCATCTCTAGTTGTCAGTAATCGATTACACACTAGCCAATTTCACCAGCTCTAGAAGTAGCGAATTAAAGAATCGATTGCAACAACTCTTTTCGTAAACAAATGAAAATATTCGTGTGAGGTATTTAACCAGTTACTCGAACAGCAGGTAGATGATGAACAGCAACAACCCGGCTGTTGCCTCACGGTTCGCAGTGATGTGTCGTGCTTGCATGCGCTGCGATTCGCCTACAGAGCCCTTACAATTGCACTCCATCCACGCCTACGTAAGAGTAAACAATGTAACGGACACATATACTGTAGTGCAGTTAATTGAGAGCTTGGCGCCCACACTGCAAGTCAAGTCGGATGATGGGCTACCACAGCGAATTTGCCCCGATTGCCTGACCAGGCTGCTGGACCTGCGACAGTTCCGACAAATGTGTCTTAAATCCGACAGACGAATGCGTACGCTTGAAAGCGAGACTGTGATGATGCCCACGAATCTTATCGAGGCTATCGCTCAGAAGACTGAAGATGTGCTTCAAACGGAACTGGTGGAAGATCTTGGTGCATTAATAGAATACGACGACGAATTGCGTGTTAAAGCAGAGTATGGGACTATCATCAATACTGTGGCAAGAGAAGAGCCCGACACTGATGTGGATGTAGAAGGAACCGAAATGTTGGAGTTCAGTGCCAATGATTTGTTTGTTTACGAACCAAAGAACGAAGAGCAGTGTTTTGATCACAGTTATATAGAAGTGGAGGCACAGGTGACTCTTTACAAAGATTACAGCGATATTGAGAATTCCGACGAATTGGAAGTTTACGAACTAAATACGGCCGAATGCAATCAAAAAAAGTAAATATGCAGCACAGTCCACAGATCAATGGTAATATTTAAGCTTGTATATTTTTTTTATTTATCAGACAGACGCCAAATAGGATTCCAAACAAGAAGTTCATTGACATAACTCGCCAATACCAGTTGCATGACGAAAGTCGTCCCTTTCAGTGTTCCCAATGCAACTACCGGTTCGCCTCTTTGGTTAGTTTGAAAAGGCACGAGACGAAATGTCTTTGCGGCCACTTTATAAGTAATTCCCGTGAAAAGTGTGACCTGCTGTTGCCAAACGCGGAGGCGTTGTTTACTCATAAGCCGGTCTATCATAGTAAACAGGACCTTGAATGCAACCCTATCAAGTTTAGCTGTGATGATTGCGAAAAGACATTCGAAAACCCTGCTTTACTAACCTCACATCGTCGCTTCCATGGAACAAAGAAACTAATAATGCCGGCGGTGGCCACGTCGGATAAAACTCAACTATATGAGTGTCAGTTTTGCAAACAAAGTAAGTTATTGCTGCATGCCATCGACTAGTTTATCTTTCACTAGCTTCGTTCACTAGCATATCTTACTCTGTCCTCACTGAAGGATCACATACGCACACATATGCGCGAGCAGTCAATTCTCTGTCCTGAGTGCGGAAAGGCGTTCAGCACTACCAGCAATATGAAACAGCATTTAAAACGACACTCGGGTGTCATGCGCTATGAGTGTCCAAAATGTCCGCGTCGCTTTCCCTGCCGCAGCGATTTGTGTTCGCACAAATCACAGGTCCACGATGAGCCCAGATACGAATGCAATTTATGTAATGGCCGTTTTACCAAACCCTATCAACTAAAGAAACACATGATGTATCACACGGGGGAACGCCCGCACAAGTGTGACTTCTGCGAAAAGCGGTAAGTAGAGAGCAGCTTTCCCAATTATTGAATTAAAAAAATGCCCTTCCGCTCTGCAGCTTTGTTTGTTTAAATCACATGCATCGCCATCGGCGGACTCACACCGGCGAAAAGCCATATAAGTGCAAATATTGCGAGCGCGCCTTTGCCCAAAGTAATGACCTGATCAAACATTTGCGTTTCCATGTGGGCGAAAATGTCTATAACTGCGAGCTATGCCCGCGCTCGTTTCGCTTGGCCAGCGAGTTGCGCCTTCACTTTGCCGGCCATAAGAATGAATGAGACTATGAAGCGGGTTAGTTTGAAAAGCGTGTTCCTATTAAATTAAAGCAATCAAAGAAGAAGATGGCTGAATGTGACCAACAAAGATACATATGTATGTATGTATGTACATATATATTTATGTTTATACATAAACATAACATAAACATAAACAAATCAAATTGTCATCTAATTAGAACATTTTGATAATTTATTCCTAAAGCCACATGACAAATAAATTATATAATAAAATTATTTAAAAGAAATAAAGGTATTAAACGTATTTTATAATTCGAGGGGAAGCATCGATACTAAAATCACCTATCTATTATGACATATATACATACGTACATTGTAACGGCAAAATGCCTATCGACCAGCTATCGATAAATAAGCACGGGCACTGGCGCGTATATATGAAATGTAACTGTAAATGGTGTCTCCATATTGGCTGTGAGTTATAATTTGGCACATCATGAATTTAGGCGACGAAAACCTTAAATGCATTCGCGTACTGGGTCAAGGATCATTTGGCCGTGCCTTCCTATGCATTTTACGGGAAGGACGGCATGAGCGCAAGGTTTGTGTGAAGCGTATCATTGTGCGTAATCCCAAAGTTGAGATGGCGCTTATCAAAGAAGAGGTAAGTCTATTGTCACACAAATCTCGTATCTCAAATAAAGCCGTGGACAGATTTATATCATTTCACAGCTACGGCATCCGCACATTGTGCAATTCATACGCTCCTTCATGCACGCTGGCACTGTAAACATTGTAATGGAATATGTGCCGAACGGCACAATTCGCGACGTTATACAAAGTGCGCCTGGAAACGTAGACAAAAAACGCCTATTAAAATACTTTTGTGACATGATCATAGGCCTGGAATATCTGCATATACGTCATGTAATTCATCGCGACATAAAGCCAGAAAATATGCTGCTCGATGAAAACGATCGTGTGAAGTTCGCCGATTTTGGCATATCAGCTGTCCATGTACCGTCCAAGAAGCATCAGCCATTGGGCACGCCGCTCTACATGGCGCCCGAGATCATGTGTGGCGGCAAAATTGATTTTAAATCGGACATCTGGTCACTGGGGTTGGTGTTGTATGAATTATGTGTGGGTCGCAATCCATTTGTGACGTTGCTCTCGGACGGCGCCAAATCCTTTGAGCATGTGCACAAAGTTGTGCGTCTGCTGACGAAGCCCAATCTTAACTGTCAGCTAATGCTTCAACGTTACGATCCCGTTTGGGCTCGCATCTGTCAGCTAATGGTGGTGTACGAGCAGGAGCGCCGCATTTGTCTGCCGGATTTGCTGTGCCAGGATCCATGCATTACTCTAGCCGTTTACGAGCAGTATTTCAATTATAAGTAAGATTTCAACGGCTGGTCCTTGACATTAGCGACATAAAATTTACCAACTGTTTGTGTTCTTTATGTGGATGGACTATAGTGCATCCAAGAGTCAATGTGAAAAATTTGTAGCATGTGATTACGTAAAAATGTATGTTCGTGGTGCTTGTGTGCTCCAAGATAATCTTAAGTTAATCAAACATTTTTATGTACCTTTTTTTTTATTGTATACTAATGTAATCCGTATCAAGAATAAAAATAAAAAAAAAACAAATTTATATACTCCTTCCGGCTGTTGCTCTACAGCTTCTGTTGCTGCTTGATCTTGCGCTTCAAACTATTCACCAGCAAATTGTTTTCCAATTGCTGCTTGGACCGCTTTGGTAGCTGCGCCGTCGATACTTCGTCACATTCCAATTGCTTTTGACGTCGCTTCAACTTCTCGCCTATGATCTGTTGCATACCCTTGGTGCCCTTGAAGTGGGAGTCTGTGGGATCGATGTTGTATTCGTGTGATTTATAGACAGCCGTAAAACGTGAGTCGTCCAGATTAAGACGGAAATTATCGTCCAGCTCCTTGCTGGCCACACCACCTCCCTTGGCCTTCTTCAGCTGCTTGCGTCGTTTGCGTTTTGTGTTGCTCTCGTTCTCGGTTTTCAGGATTTTAGTCAAACTGAAGTGCTGCTTCTTTGCGCCGGCCACTGATTCGTGATCATCGCTATCGTCGAGTAGTAGTGCTAACTCCTGCTGCTGTCGCCTTTCCTCGTCCCCTTCGGCTTCATTCAATTGACTATGCTTGTTCTTCTTGTTCTTTAATTTCTTTGCCGCCTTCGGTGGCTCATAGTCACCATTGGCGAATTCATCAGCAAAGTACGCATCATTCATGTCAATGCCGTCGGGTATTGAGTCGTCGTCGCTATCATTGGCCGCAGCGAGATCAACACCACGTGCTTCGAGCTGCTTGCGTCTACGCTGCTCTTTACGCAGCTTATTCTTCTCACTGCGTTTCTGCATCACCTTTTCGATGGGCGTTAGCTGTGATTTACTGCTTGCTTCTGCCTCATTTTCATCTTCAGATCCCTGCTGGCTGTTTTCGGGTGCATCGATGTTCCACGACATTTCCATCTCGTATTTTTGTTCCTTGGATTTAGCCTCCTGTTCATTGATTTCGGCCAGCAAACCTTTATACATTTCAATGCGCTCCTTCTGCTTAGCATGCTTTAGCGGTTGCGTTTTGGACTGTGCCGCTGGCTTTGCATCTGGCCCCTCCTCCTCAGACTCTTCCTCTGTGCTGTAAGCAACAATCTGGCGTAGTTCCTTGTCGTTAAGCTGGTCAACCTTGCCACTGGATAGCTTGTCACCCAGCTCCCGCCGATCCATTGCAGTTTCGTCCCAGGTCAGATCGACTTTGGCCTGCTGGAGGGCTGTCGTAGTGAACTGTCTAGGTTTGTAGCTATTCGCGTCGGGCAGCTCCGTGCATATGTCTCGTGGCGTATCATTATCGAATGTTGTATCGTCGGGTATGAAGCGCAAATCGACACGCGTAGCCGAGCTCTCGTACTCAATGCCATCGCACTCCTTGTACACTTTATCAGCGGTCGCCACACTGTCACATTCCACAACGGCATAATAGTAACGCAATCGGTTTAGCTGATACTGACGAAGCTTCTCCATGTGGTAATCGTCGCCCTCCTCGGCATCACTGTCCTGCTCCTGCACAAGCTCCTCGTCCGAATCCTCACCGATGTTTTCCTGTTTTAAATTGGGTTATTAAAGGGAAAGGTCTAGATCTGAGTTCCTGTTTTGCTTACCTGTGCTTTGGTTGAGGTATCCTTCCCCAGGCCCACCAGCTCTGTTGGGCCGTGTACTTCTTCCTCGGCCATACGAGCCTTGCCGTACTCCGAGGGATATATTTTAACACTTCGAATTGTGCCACCAGGCGGAAGAAAAGAACTAAATAAAACTAGCAAATCCTGTGCGCGTATGCGATCCCAGTCCATGTTGCAAACGGCCAATCGTCGCGTTGACTCTTCAGTGGTTTCCGCATCATTGTCCAATTCGCCCCACACATGATCGATTTGCAGCTCGGGTCCATCGGCATCTTCTTCGTCGCTACTCTCCTCACCAGTCGATGAGTCTGTCACTAGGCAACCCTCGCCGCGTGCATAGTCAATGTCAGGGTTGGTTAAACGTTCCCGCAGTGTCGTCGGTTCATCATCATCAACGTCTTCTATATCGCTTTTGTGTATGTCATTCTCATCGCGTGCAATGGCCAACTCTTCCTGGCGGCGCTCCTGCTGCTCTTCGTCCTCGCTGCTGCTTTCTTTTACATCAGTCTTTCCAGCTTGAGAATTATCATCGCCGTCAGATTCGCTGCTGCCATCAAGCTCATAGAATTTTCGCAAATCTTCCGCGTTGCTTTTATTGACAGGTCTACCATATTTGTCCACTGTGTACTTCACTTTGAACTTCTCATCATTAAACATGCCTTGGAAGCGTTTATCAATCTTGACTTTGCGCTGCACCTTAGGGACGCCTCTAAAGCGCGGATCCGCCAACAAGTGTTGAAAACGCTCATCTTTCCAAATACCATTGTCGGCGGTCTTCTCTATAGTTTGTGCTTGCTGTGATGTCGACGGATGCTCGACCCCCTCGACCTGTGCCGGCTTTTTGGCCATTTTGATATCACAATAACAAGTTAAACAAATCCAACTCAAAAAACTTGAACACGTGCGATTAAATAGTCAGATCAGAAGTAGTGTTGCCACATGAGCGGTATGGAAGGTGCAGTCCACTGAATGTGTTAAAAAAGCTGCAGGCTGACAGAAAGTCTAATAGTTCTTCATATTCACATACTTTAATGCAAATGTATCCATAATTTTGTATACAAAAATAATTGCAAATTCTTTAAATATGCACAAGTATGGCACCCCTGACATGCTGTTATGGTTATCGGCAATTTGTGATCGACTCGACAAGAAGTCGTGAGAACCACAACATAGGTATCGATGACAACCAGCGCGGATTTTATATATGAAAATTGCGTTTATTTAACATAACGCGTATTTGCCAAGTGCATTTTCATTCTCGACTATCATTAAAAGTCTATAATGACGCATGCAGCTGCGTTAATGAGCCGTATGTGAACTAAAGTGCTTCTGCTGAACTCCTGCTGTTGTTGTTTTGGTTGTTTGCTTGCGTGGTATTGGATAAACAAGTGTACAAAAAATTATAATAATACAAAACCAACAACAACAACAAAAACGAATCAGTCTACGCCGTGATTAGCAATCACCTGTGAGTCGTCACCTGTGCGCGGTATCAAACAATAGATCAGCAAAAGCCGATGAACAACCACTGACGTTGAAAACGACGACATTTACGACGGCGGTGGTGCGACGGTGACGGACGGTGGGCAACACCAACGCAGCGAAGAGAAAGACGGAGGCGAAGAGTATGAGTAATAGCGTTGAAAGCAACGGCGGCGCAAGACGCACCGTCGATTGGCAGCGCTTTGGACTTGGTGGCGATGACGAGGGTGAGGTCACTGTGGCAAACTTTCGCCAGCGCAACAACAACAATACAGGCGGCTTTGTCGATCTGGGTAATGAATACACCTACGCGGCTGGCGGTCATCATGCATCCGGAGCCAATGAGATCTTTGCTGGCGAACAGGGCGACAAGCCATGGTACGTGTACAGCAGCAGCTATTGATAGTAAAATAACGATTTTGATAACTCTCTGATGACGCACTTGCCAACTGAACTCCGTTTTTCCAACTCTGTCAACAGGTGGCGCTCCAACTTTTTCATATCTCAGCCGGTGCTTTTTGGCACCTGGGATGGTGTGTTCACATCCTGCCTTATCAATGTATTCGGCGTTATTGTGTTTCTCCGCTCTGGGTGGATTGTGGCCCAGGCAGGTATCATTAATGCCGTACTCATAATCTTCTGCACGGTTGTAATTGCGCTGGTCAGCGTGCTCTCGGCCATCGGGATCTGTGAGCGATGCCGCGTGGAGAGTGGCGGTGTTTATTTCCTTATAGCACACACGCTGGGCTCCCGTTTTGGGGGTGCCCTAGGTCTGCTTTATTGCTTTGGTCAGGCTGTCGGGTGTGCGCTAAATGTTATGGGTTTTGGGGAATCCATGGCAGGCCTTGTCGGACTTGCGGGCAACAAGTGGGCCATTCGAGGATTTGCAACGGCTGCTGTGCTGCTTCTGGGCTGCATTAATGTCGCCGGAGTTAAGTGGGTCATTAAGTTACAATTCATTTTGCTAATGATTCTGCTGATATCCGCGTTGGATTTCATGGTTGGGAGCTTTGTGGGCGAAGATCCGGGTAAGTGAGGGCGTGCAGGACCGTTCAACTATGCTTTGGGTAATGTCTACTTTTTTGTTTATTACAGATAATGGCTTTACAGGCTGGGTCAGCAGCAATTTTCTGGATAATCTTTGGCCCAACTATGAAAATGGGTATTCTTGGTTTCGCGTCTTTGGCGTCTTCTTCCCCACCGTCACTGGCGTCTTGTCGGGTATTAATATGAGCGGCGACTTGCGTGCGCCATCTACAGATATTCCGAATGGCACATTGGCCGCCTTTGGAACCTCGTAAGCAATCAATCGCGTAATCAGATGAACAAATTTAACTAAATAGATACCACTTTCAGCACCTTTTTGTATTTGGTATTCGTGCTATTTTTAGGCGCCACGTGCCAACGTGGAGTGCTTCTTAATGACTTCCTAATCTCGGTGAAGGTCTCGGCTATTCACTTTCTGCTGCTCGCTGGCATATACGTGTCTAGCATGTCCTCGTGCCTGGGTGCCATGTACGGCACACCACGTGTTCTGCAAAGCATAGCCAAAGAGAGTGTTATACCGGGCATCGATGCTCTGGGCAAGGGTGTAAGTAGCAAAAGAATAACACTAATTTCCTATAATTATCCTCTCTCTTGCTTGCTTGCAGCGTGGACCCAACAAGGTGCCATTGTATGCAATGGCTGTTGTGGCTATAGTTACGGTATCATTCATCATTGTGGGTGACATAAATTTTTTGGCGCCTATTGTGACAATGCCTTTCCTGATGACCTATGCTTGCATAGACTACTCCTATTTTGCTTTGGCCCAAACTTTTGATATACAGGAGCAGCGCGAGGAACGTTTCCGCATACAGGCCTCAAGTCCAAGCTATGAGACCCGTCGCTATGGCAGCGTTTCGGATGCAGGCAATGACTTGGACCTGCTGTTCCCGGATCGCGTGCGCCACAAAAATCTCCAGAGTCCACAGAATTCACCACTACATCAAACGGCACCCTTGCCGACAGTCACACGTGTGCCTTCCGAACCGTTGGAGCATAATGCTGAGGCGCCAACAACATCTGCACAAGGCCAAGGGCTACCAGATTCCACCGCCCTGGCTATAGATGGCACCAATACGCAAACACCACCAGCCCACGACAGCGGCGAAGTGGAAGATGAGAACGAACCCATTGCGCCCATTCGTCCGCCCATTCATTCCAAAACGAAAAACTGGTATTCTGGTTTCTGCAATCGTTGGGCATCGCTATTAGGTGTAAGTGTATAATGATAATATAATAATTCAAACTGTTCACAGAATTTGTTTTTTAGGCGCTGACTAAGTTGTTAGTGATGTTGCTGGTCAATTGGTATTATGCATTGACCTGCTTCCTGGTGGTCTTCATTGTCTGGTTCTATGTAGGAACAGCCAATCCCGCTGTCAAGCCTGGACTAACGGCAGAGTTCAACTTTTTCGCTTGGCTCAAAAGTGTCATTTTCAGATGTTTCGGGTAAGCATTATTATTGGCTTCACGGAGAGTATTTCTTAATGTGTTTTCTATAGGAAGCGGATGCATGAGTACGAGCAAATTGTAGTGACACCTTCCTGTCCGGGCGTGGATCTGTCGCCCACCCAGCTCAATGATGAGAATGAAGATTTTCATCCGCGTCCCAACTATCATCATTCGTCGGTGATCGAAGGTCGCCTGATTGATGATATATAGGGCGGAAATCTGGGTAAATGCCGAGTGTGCGGCTGTGGAAAGCAATATTTTTCAGTGCATTTTCTAAATATTAAATTATATATATATATATTATAACTATAGTATATATATATATATAAATATATAAGTGTATGTAAGCATATCCTACATAGGTGCTTGTGTGTGGAAGCCTAGGCATTGTAGGCACATAATGTTTAGTCCACAATAGACACATGCTAACAATTCTGCGTTTTGGGGCACGCACAGACACCAAAGCACACTACCTTTATAACCCATCTTCCCCTCGTCCTCTGCATTATCAACCTCCCATACTCACTTTAGCCCGCGCACAGTGCAGTTTTAGCTAAAAGCGTTAAAAGCTAAACTAAAAAAAAAAAAAAAAAAATTAATTTTATAAACTAATTTATTAGATTTTAATTTAAAAATTGCTTTTAATGTGTTCCTTTTTGTCGGTTAATTTTTTTTCCTAATTAAGTGTGTAATTTTTTAATGTAATTGAGAGCCTGTAAATTTGTTGCTAATAGGTATGTTTCCGTAAGTTTTGTATCGTCTCAAAGCACACACAGCATATTTGAGGAAACATATGTGATACTGAGATAATAAGTAAACAACCAAAACACAAAACAAATTTGAAATTGGCGCGTTTGCGTTTAACACACACACACTTTCATACAATGTTGAAAAAACAAAAGAACATGTGAGTTTAATTTATATAACACATTGTTTACTTTGAATATAAAGAATACAATAGATACACATACAAATTTACTTAATAATTATTAACAATGAAAATATGAATATGTTTGATTAACAAGACGGCAAAAAACAACAAAAAAAACCACGGCAACTAAATACGCAGAAGGAGCCAGCCCGCCCTTTTTATAAGAAATATGTATTGAACTGCAACTACACATAATTATTAAACAAAAGCTACATCTACTAATTGTACCAAATATCAACAATATTCGCAAATATACAAATATCCCATATTGTTTAATTAAATAGATACACACATATACACAAAATACTTGGCAATGCGCGTAATATTTTGAAAATATACAAAGCGTTTTACTTTTGTATGTAGCATAAATTAATCATAGTTATACAAAAACAAAGTCTAACATGTAAACAAATTAAACTAAATGAAATTTATATATATACTATATATGTGTACGTACATCATAACAAAAGAATAAAATCTGTATTTAAACAAACCAATTGTTTGACTTTGGGAATGAACTAACGGCTAATTACCGGGACAATCGATAGCTCGATAATAGAGAATTTAACCATTTGTAATTTTCATGGCTAAGCTTTCATTCAGCTAAAATAAATCATTTGGTAAATAAGACTGGGCATCAATTAAAATACTAAACAAAATGCAAATAAATAAAACTGTTATTAAGCCAAATTTCATTGTGTACAATTATCAAACTGAGAAGTGTACAACAATCGATCACAATGGATGTGTGTTTCTATAATATTGTGGGCACATTGATATTGTTCATAAATCTTCAGTTCCCTTTTTTGTATTTATGTACATCCAACATAAAATTCTTTACGCACGTTGCTAAAATAAAACTTAGCTTTATTTATTTACACAACTTCGGCAGCCCTGGCATCAGCTGTAGAGCTCTGGCCGAACAGCTGTGTGCTCTAACCTCAAACACACCGACTTACCAACTGGTGGAGGCGGCCTGCGTGCAAAGCAATACACAATTGTACCAATTTGCTACAAAAACACTGCATTTACAGCTACATGAGGATATTCTAGTCGAACGGAACATTCATTTATGACATGAACAACCTAATGCGTAGAGCACAGCAAGTACAATATTGGCGTAAATATTGCATAAAACAATGCGCAACGAAAACAGCGACTGGATCCGAATTTGGGGCTATTCCAGCATCCAACAGTAACACATACTGCAATCTTTGAAACAGCCTATATGAGCTTTGTCTGTTCATTTCAGCCAGGCCCAACTATGACGATTTCATTGGCAAGCGCCAGCAGCAGGCACAGCGCAGCATTCTCGTTCAAGTGAGCTCTGAGAAATCTTACCCAGAATTGTATAACTACTGCAGCAGTTTCGGGAGCATCATCAACGCCCAACATTACTGCGTACGACATGACGATGACCTACACTATATTCTGCTGGAGTATGCGAGTGCCGGAGAGGCTTCAGCTGCCATCGATGCAGGCGCCTACAGTGCCGAGCTGAGCGGCGTGCCAGTGCGTTCTCCATTTTTGTGGTTCAGAGCTGCAGCAGCAGGAGGGAAACGAAGCGCTAAGTTGGCTGCAGCTTCGGCCACGTCGCAGCCACTACTTCCACTGGACGGCACTAGGCAGCTGGATAGTGGGCTTTTGCATTCATTGCTGCGTGGCGCTGGAAATATTGAGGAGCAGGTCTTGTTGTTGCATAAGCACACCCAGCTGAACGATCTGGGCGTGCGTATGCGTTTTCTGGCCGCACTGCAGGTACAACAGGCCGTCTCCGGCATGTTTCCCGAAGCGCAGGCGCAACCCTTTGGGTCTTCAGTGAATGGCTTTGGGAAAATGGGCTGTGATTTGGATTTAATTTTGCGTTTCGACCGCGAGCCCATCCCGAGTAATGCGCCTGCGGGAGAACCCTCGCGTCTTATTTACCACACCAAGGAAAATCTAAGCAATGGTCGCTCGCAGACGCAACGCCAAATGGAGTGCATTGGAGACATGTTGCATTTGTTTTTGCCTGGCGTCTGCCATGTGCGTCGCATCCTGCAAGCCCGTGTCCCTATCATCAAGTATCATCATGACCATTTGGATCTGGAGGTAGATCTCTCGATGAGTAATCTGTGAGTATGACATAACTCATTTCTCATTTAGGAAACAAAAATTACCGATAAGTTTTTTATTTGTTACGTTCTCTTGCGAAACGTCGCAGTTTTTAATAGTATTTTATTTTATTGTACTTATTGTTCGAAATGGAAACTTAATCAAATATTAAGGATATGGAAAAAGGCAACGCGTCGCCGTCATTGCCGTCGTCGTTCATACTGCTACTTGTCCTGTTAACTTAGCTTACTAAATGGCTCCAAAATGCTCCGTCCGCTCAATGCCTATAATTACTGGCTTCCTCCTCCTCCTTCTTAACGGCCTGAACCAGTATAAAACTCATGACAGCGCAAATGACATTGAGTAGAGCCAGCGACATGGCCAGCGCCACAATCCAAGAAGTCTTGGTTTCAAAGAACCAAGTCAGCTCATCCACACATCCATTGAAAAAGGCATTGCCACTAACAGTGTCGCGACATGAACTGGGCAACGGCTGCCGCAGGTCCAAATAGTCCCACGGCCCAGTAGCGCCACAACAGCCAATGTTTTCCTGTATCATGGTCAGAACATAGTTTGAATATGTGTACTCCGATGAGGCCACAAAGCGGTACAGCGAATCCTTCAACAGCGGCTGCAAGCTCGAGTGCATTGTGCTGAATTCTAGCAAAACAGCCGATCCAACTGTTCCAACAATGAACCCAAACACTTGTGTTCCAATAAAAACGAACAATGCCAGAGTATTCTCCATCAGCGCACTGAGACAGCCCAGAAAGCTGACTGCCATCATAATGATGCTGATGCCAATGAGCACGTAGACGCCAATGTAGAAAGACTGGGCCTCCAGGATACGCAACCAGTCATTGAAACCAGGCTCGGCGCGCAGCCAGACGGTCAAGGCGAAAAGGGCTGTGGCCAGCATCCAAGCGACAATGTTGAAGCAGAACAGCGTGTACTTGACACAGCCGATTTGCTTCTCTAGTTTCTCATCGGAGGCAGCGTAACCGATTCCCATTTTCAAAGACTGTTGGGAAGAAATTTATTGGAACGAAAAAAAAGAGAGTTCTATTTGAATTAGATTGCCTTTATTCTACGGTTCCGTGATATACTCTTATACTCTCAGCCCCTCTGCGTACTCTTAACCCCAACTACGTTCTGTCTTGCAATTAGGAAATATCACGTATTATTTAATTGTTTCATTCCACGAAACCAGTCGTTGTCTCGTTTTTTTTTTAAATATCTATTACGATCCTTCTTCATTCTTTCCGCCCATTTGAGTCACCTGTAAAGCTTTTTTCTCGCCAACACATTTATTAATCACGACCCTCAATGCTTTGGCTTTTATAATTTACTCATAAGGCCTCCACCCAAACAACCCACCGACCGACCCACCAACTTGTTCTTATCAGCGTTGTGTTTAGCAAATAGTGTTATCAAGTGTAGGCTTCTTACTACTACATGATTAATACAACTTCCATTGCAACACCCATTGAAAAATTATCCATGTGGTTTCCTTTCCGAAGACACCTGCAAACCATTTATGGACCTCGCACCCACGTCTGTGGTATTCTCTGGCTCTACACAAAAATATAAATATGTTTTTGTATTTAGGAATACTAATAATAAAAATATTACATCCACTTATATTTTTCCATAACACACACCTTTTTAAACTAATTCTGGCCTTCTGACGCTCTCCAATGACATTCTTATCTTCCACACAACTTAACTTGAATTGTAAAAATAATACGTGTAATATTTCAATAACTAAACATTTTTACTTTATACAATTTAAAGCCGTTAAAGTTTTTAAATGTTTTCTTAAGCCACGCCCCGTAATTTCCGTCTTCCTTTTTGTTTCTTCACTTATATAAGTAAATTTTTTACATGTAGGCTTGACATTTTACTTAATTGCTTTAATTTTTCATTATTTAAAATTCAATCACCTTTTAATGAATCGCAAAACAAACAAAAAAAAATAATTTTTTAACCGTTATATTGTCGTTTTGGACAACGTAGCTCCGTTGGGTTCGTTCGTTCAAATCGTTTTGTCTAGTTTGGAAAACCTCGAGAGCTAGCAAACTGAACGATCGCTGGAAACAACAAAACTTTTACTATATGTGTTAGTGGCTATGATGACAACATTAAAGGCGTACAGTTTAACGGGTCGTAAATGGTACAGAGAGCCGCAGATAAGATATGAAAAGCTCTTCCAGAGCATTGGCTCAGATAAGATAAGTTGGGAACGACAAAAAGCGAAAAACTGTAGCAGGTAGTATGACAGGTGCGATTGCTAAATTACATGTAAATACGCGTATGTGGTTGAAATCGCTTTTCCATTCTCTCTCTCTCTCTCTCTCTCGCTATCTCTCCGTTTCGTGGGCCCCATTATCTTTCGATTGGGGCATTGCGCAGGTGAATCAGTTTTAAAGCTGGCATGCCAATGCTTATGATTCACAGGTCGAGTTATTCATGGAAGGCACTGATAAGACAAGATGTTGCACTTATATCCGGTGTGGTGTGGTCAGTTCCCTAAATGGGCCACCCCCTTGCCCTATAATCGGCGACTTGACAAACCCAAGGGTGCTTCTATCTTTCCTAATCCAACGCAATGGGAAACTGTAGACTTTAAGCGTTTACGCATTTCTCTCACTTGTTGGAGCATTTCAATATAATTATTTTCTTTCATTACAGCACCGGCTTCTACATGTCCGAGCTGCTTTACATGTTTGGGGAGCTGGATCCCCGTGTCCGTCCCCTCACCTTCAGTATACGTAGATGGGCGCAGGCCAGTGGCCTCACAAATCCATCTCCAGGTCGTTGGATCAGCAACTTTTCGCTCACATGCTTGGTCATGTATTTTCTGCAGCAGCTTCGCCAGCCCATACTGCCCGGAATCAACGCGCTGGTGAAGTGCGCCAGCGCCGAGGACGTGCGCATAACAGAAGATGGCATTAACTGCACCTTCGGACGGAACTTTGAACAGATTGGCTTCCGGAGTCGCAATACGAGCAACCTCAGTGAACTGCTGTTGCAGTTCTTCGAGTTCTACTCGCAATTTGACTTCCACAATCGTGCCATCTCCCTAAACGAGGCACGGGCGCTGGCCAAGCCCGATCACTCGGCGATGTACATTGTGAATCCGTTGGAACAGGTTCTGAATGTTAGCAAGAACGTGAGTCTGGAGGAGTGCGAGCGGCTTCGCATCGAGGTACGCAATGCTGCCTGGTTGCTCGAGTCGGAGGTAGAGAATACCACGTTGTCCGAGAGTGAACGCCAAGAGACGGCCTGGGGTCTGCTCAATCTGTTCAAGAATCCCGAGAAGGCCATTATACGGCCGAACATGTTCTTCAAGCCGCGCATGGTCGAGGTGAGCGACCTCTTCGACAAATCCCAGACGATTGACCCACCCATCACCTACAAAAACACGACGGTCCGACAGCAGATCCAAAGCATCAAGACGGCCACTCGCAACGAGCTGAAGCAGCTACGATCTTCCACTTCCACCACCACTTCGACGGCGACGACAGCTGCGGCAGTAACAGCAGCGTCAACGTCCAGCAACAAGGGAAAACGGAGCAGATGAGGGCCATTGGAGGTCCTTGCTGCCTGTGTGTCTGTATGTAAATAAATTGTAGAGGTGGTTCCGGATCTAGGAACTTATTTTTGACTAGCGCCAGCACATCAATTTAGTTATTCCTAATTGTTGTTCATAATTGTTAAGCGTTGCACATCCGATTGCAACTTACTTATGTAGTCTATATTTTTATAATAGTTATGTTTAGGTTTGTCACGGCTCTGCAATATGTTAGGGAGTTTCTCTATTTCAAGTATTGTAAGCTGTATTTTTCAAAAAAAAAAAGAAATTAAACCAAAAAATGCATTAATTAATTAGTTGCTTAATATGCACATGGAAGATTAAGTGAAATGGAAAGAATCGCCTTCTACTCATTCGTTTTATAGAAAAGCGACACAGCTATTAAAAGCTACTTCTAAAACAAATGGAGCTCAACATTCTCTTCAAAGCAGTTTTAGAAATACTTTATAATGAGGGAACCTTGAGAAAAAAATGTTTTTAATTTGAGATCAATTGAGGTGACAAGTTTGAGTTTTATAATTTAAAAAACATCCATATTTTCGTTGAGTGCGAAAAATTAACTTGAGAAACCACACATTTTTTAAAAATCCCAGAGAAAGCTGCAGAAACTGGGAAATAAAATTTGAATTATGTAATCCCTCTTTATTGTTTTTTGTTTTGAAAATTTCTTTGGAAACACTAGAGGCTGACTTACATAAATAATATCAATTACATCAGAGTTTATTTTCTTCATCTAATAGGACAGAAAATCGCCTGCAATAAAAACAATTACCAGGGAATTTGATTATTCTATTCAATTTCGAGATATCCTTTGCAATCGGACTCAATTCACAATTCAATTTATTTCAGTTGACATATAATTATATTTGTGTTTTTTGTTTTAAATATATTTGCCGCAAAGTCTTCTCTCTAACAATGCGCCTTTGTTGCGTGAGATGCGGACCTTATGATAAGAAAAGGCGCATTCGAAATTTAAATATACATAGACAATAGAAAAAGAGAACAGGTTGTACAATAATTGCGTTACATTTTTAACTAGTTTCGTTTTTCGTCTTCTCCTCCCTCTCTTTTCCCTCTTTTCATTTTAAATGTGGTTGATCAGCACGCAATTTTATTTAACATACATTATTAATATACATTTATGTATATATTTATAACGCTATATAAATGTCTCAGTATTTGTTTTCTTTTCTTATCCATCTTTCCGTTTGTTCCAATTTATTTGATATACATTGACATACTGTGTTTATGCATGTAATTATAAATGTTGATTCTTCCGCTTGAGTTCTTTTAGTTTACAAAATGTTGTACAATTACATAATCGGTATGTCGCATTTCTGATGTATCAGTTAGTGGTTGCTTGTTTCTCTATACATGTTGTGGACTTTTTAATGTACATAACTAATTACTGGCTTATGCATTTAGGTATTTATGTATTATGTATGTAAATCACGTATTGCATACAAAATTGCATATGTATCATTTGTTTGTGTCTGTCTTCTTTCTTTTTCCCTTTCGCTTAATTGTTATTGTTGCTTTTTGTGTATGTGTGTGTGTGTTTGTCGCAATGCGTTTGCTTGAAGGAAAGCATAAAATAAAAATAGCAATAATAAAAAGTTGGATTACATTACTAATTAACATTTAGGGAATAGTGCCCTAGATGGTAGGTACAAAAAAGTTTGCCATTTGCCAAAGGTTGACAATTTTCAGAGGACAAAGAACAGAAAATAGTTGGTACACAGTGCAGTTTTAAATCTTAAATATTTATAAATAAAAAATAATAATAAAAAAAACACATATTGGGGTTCTTTTGTATGTATCAACTTATTAATTGGCAGAGACAGTGGCGACGGCACACAACAACTCAGGCTACAACTCCAGCGGCGGCAATTCCTAAACAACAATTTCAACAGCAGGCGGTCGGACTCATCTGAACCACAGTTTAAGGCGTAGGGCGTCCACGCCATTGAGATAGTAACGAAATAGTCGCTTATCACGCACAAAGCCCAAATTTTCGTACAAACGCAGCGCCGGCTCATTGCGCATTTCCGTTTCTAGCACCACTTCGTCAGCATTGTCCGCCAGCATGGCCTGCAAAAATAAAGGGCTCAATATTCTTAACAATAAAGTAATCAATTAGTATACACACTGAATATTTCTCAAGCAATATAATATATAAGTAATTTACACTTTTGACCAATTAGAACTGAATTTCATTAAACTTCTTTAGCAAGACGAAATTATTAACAAATATGCGCATTATTCAGAGCTTTTAGAAAACTTTTTACAACGCCCGCGCGCATATTAGAAATGTAATTTTGGTAGAAGCATGTGTCATGTAATCGGGCCGATTTCACTCCAACTTCAATACTAACCTCGATGGCCTTCGTGACGAGCGTGGTGCCGATTTTGAGCTTACGATACTCCTTTCGCACCGCCAACATGGCTATATAGCCGCGACGCACATTCATATGCATGTCCAGCTTGCATACAATAGCGCCGACATACTGATTCTCGTGCGCAGCTAGGAAACATAAATTTGGCCAATTGTATATAAAGTAGCGATAAGTGTATATTGAATATGGTTCGGAAAGCTCGGCCTGTATTAGGCGCATGATGTCCTGCAGAAGATGTTGTTTGAGAGTATTATAAATTAAATAATATTTATGGTTAATTGTCTTAGTCTTACATGCATCTGATGTTCAGCTTCGAATTCCTTGTAGACAATTTCGTCAGCTGCAATAGCAAGCGGGGACGATTCCATAGCAGTCGATGGCGTCTCAGTGGCCTGGCTTGTGGGTGGTGATGGTGTTGTAGTGAGTGGCTCCTGTTTGGCTCTGGCAGCTGCTGCCGCTGCTGATGTGGTGGGCGTGTCATCCGATGTGATGCTCCCCGTCGCTGTTGTCGCCTTCGCTGTTGTCTTTGTGGTTGTTGCTGTGGTTGTTTGTGTATTGGCAGTGCTCTTACTTGTGGCTGTAGTCGCTGTGCTTCTTACTGGTGTGGCAGCGGCAGTTGCTGATGCTTCCGATTCTACTTCTGATGACCCTGATACGGCTGGTGTTGCTGTTGTTCGGTTATGGCAGTTTTGCTCGTGGCTTGACTTGGCGGCTTGTTTGTTATTGTTTTTCGCCTTGCCGTGGCTGCTTTTGCTATTGTTGTTGTTTTTGCTGATTTTACTTAAATCATTGTTGTTGTGATTGTTTCGGTTGCTGCTACTGCAAATGTTGTTGTTATTATTGTTGTTGTTAATGTGATTGTTATTGCTGGAAGCACTTTTATTGCCATGCCCATTCATTTGCACAGTCGCTGTTGTGGCAGGAGCTGAAACGGATGCAGGCTTGGATGCAGCAGTTGCAGTTACAACAGAAGCCTCAGCACTGTTCCCATGTCCGTTGCATAGGTGCAATTGCTGCATTGCGCCATCCAGGGCTACAATCTTTGCCGCATCGCTGTCATGGCCATTGGGCTGCTCATCTTCATCTCCTCGGCCATCTTCAACGATAGATTTACGTTGTTGTTGTTGCTGCTGCTGTTGGTGTTGCTGTTTCTTCTTGTTTCTGTACTTCTTTTTGGAGGACGATGAGGATGTGCCACTCGCTGCTACTGCCACCGTATCCGTATCTGCCATGGCTGTGCAAGTTGCTTCCTTTACAAGAGAGTAGGAACAATGATTATTAGCTTCAACACTTTTAATACACCCACAATCAGATGCACGTGTGTGTGTACTGAAGAGAGGGTCACGGCATCCTTACCTGCACCTCCTATAGCCACTGCTGGTGCTTCTGCCAAGATATGCGTCTTTCCCTTTTATATTTCGATCAACCCTATTGTAAATGTCTTTGATTAAACTGTAGAACCAGCAACTTAAGAAAAAATTCACTTTTATTTCTGATTATATTTCACACACTCGCGGTGTCAGCAAGCAGCGCACACACCAGCAGACACACACACACATGCACACAACAGCCGTCTTCCGCACTTTTGTTCCGTATACGGTGTGGTTTTTCTTTGCTTTATTCGCATGCGTTCGAACCTACGCAAGACACACAAATTTATATATAAATGTATGTATGTATATGTATGCTCGTATACATATACATATGTACCTACATACACATGTAGGTATGTGCAAGCTATATATGCATGCTAAATTATGTAAAAAAAATTGTATTTTAAACCCGCAGATTGTGAATATATCTGGGGCTTGGAGTGATATTGCGTGCTAGCTTTTCTTTTCTTGGTTTTTCTGTTTTTCGTTTTTAGGTCGCACAGCGAGCAAATTCAGTTTCTTCTACTGCTATGAATAAAATCACACACACACGGACCCACCAACACAAGCACGCAAATCAGCTGTCAACCACGGCCAGTGTGCCTGTTAGTGAGCAGATGGCATTTACCAGCACTGCGCAAAAGTGAATGTCAATTACCAGCACGTCTTCTGCATTAAATCATCGCTACCTGAATTTCTGGCAACGCCAAGACGAGAAAGAATAGCTTTTTAACTGGAGGGCTTTGAATGGTATTTTTAACTTTCAATAGACATTTTAAATCTGGGATTTTGGTAAGGATGTGATAAAGCTTTGATCTAAAATATGTATAAATAACGTGTAGTTGCTATATGCAGAATAAATGAGAAGCTAGTTTTGCTGAAATCATTTAAAGCAAACCATTAAAAAAAGCCTGCCTACGATTACCTGCTATCAACAGTTTTTTTGTTGCTATCGAGCATGAAAATGCACAAAAAGAAGCTCAAAATGGGAAGCGCATAAAAACCATAGCATACACGTTTGATCTTCGAGTTCGTAGGTAGCCCTGAATATTGTTACTATCGTCTGTTTAGATATACATAATGCAAAACTAAAAAAAAAAAAAACAAAAACAATAGGTTTCAAAACATGTTTTATTTATTTTATTACGATGATCGACCTGTGGGATCGACAAATTTTGAAAAATATGTGGGTATATGCGAAGAAATACAATTTATTGGAAGCTTAAGCAATTTCTCAGACAATAGAAAATTTGTTGAGAGTAGCGAGTAGAGAATAAATTCTCTTCAAAACTCTGCAGGTCCTAAAGACTCTAATAAGAAGGTTTTCCCAAATTAGGGGCAACATTTCCCGAAATAATATATATATTTTTTTATTTTGAACGCAATCAATATTTTATTGAAATTTTCGTTAAATTCAACTCAAATCATTTTTGAGTGTATTTTAAAGCGTTTATATTGTAACAACAATTCTTAGAATGATCCACATTTTTTCTCGATGCACAACGCTCGGTGAGAGATGAAAAGAAATTCAAAGGCGGTCAAGTTTTATTATTTATTTTAGTTGCGTTTGGTTTGAATTAAGTGCTGAGCTTAAGTTGCTGCTCCGCGCTGAGCGCGTTGTGTTTGGTTGCTTCCTGCTTGAGCTGCTCTCGAGCCAATTGACGACTGTTCGAATGCTCGAATATTTGGCTAGTGGTTGCTAGCTCCTTTGAGCCGAGTTGCGTGCGGTTGTGTTTCAAATTATCTCAACCTGTTGTTGTAGTAGCTGGATTATGTAATCGACGCACGAGCTGCCGCTGAAGCTGCGTCTTAAGCGATTTTCATGCCATTTCAATATTGATGCCAAAACGAAACAAAGTTATAAAAAAAATAAATTAAGGCAAAATAGTAGTTGGCCTTTCACTTGGTCGACAGTAACAGGCTGAGCAGCGAGCCATGCCTATGCACTTGACGGCTTCGCTTCTGCATACTCTGCATTAACACTGAGCAGCGGTTAAGGTTACACGCCAGATCAGTAGTACAACAGCACATCAGTAGCTCCACCCGCTCCTCTTTGCGCTACCAAAACCACTTAATAACAATTAACAATTCGCTACGGCATTGATTGGCTTTAATGCGCCCACAAATTAGTTGACAGTCCAACAAATCAAAAAATCATAAAAACTCGCACATCACATGCAATAAAATGCTTTATGCTCTGCCTCCGTCTCTTTGGCATCGCTTTTCTTTGGTTTTCTTTGCTTTGACATCATTTCATTGTCACCTCATACAAAAGACTTGGGCAACGAACTTGGCATTGTAAAACGCTTGAAGTTACAGTTGCGGCATTAGGCGCGCTTATTGTCGGAAATAGAGCAATGCAACCCACACACACACATACATACTGTATAGGTTTGGCATAAGAAATGATGCAAGAAGTAAAGCGCAACAAATTGTAGCAGTTGAGAATTCAAATTAGACTAATTGCCCCGCCTTCCCAATTACGTGCTAAATTAGTCAACTTTTGATTGCTGTTACCACACACATACAGTTTTGTCGATTGAATAATTTGGTTTCTGGAATTTGCATACATATGTTACAACAGCAACATGAGCAACAACAACAACAACAAGAAGCTATACTCGAATTTTGTTTGTTGTCTGTTTCACTTTTATGACAAATAACCAACCAAACCAAAAACAACAAAATTAGCAAAGCAAACAGCAAATAAAGCCATGTGGAGAAAGTGAATGGCCGCGCCACAAAAAGGCACATACACATGCATACATACATACATACATTCATACGTAGTATATGAATATGTCCATGCAGATCGCTTGAACAAGCAGAAAGAAGAAGCGTCTCTGAGGCTGCAACCCGCTTATCACCACCGCTTAAGCGACCCTCCAGCACAATTTTTGCAAATATCCGTACATGAATACGTAAATATATACATATACGAGTACATAGTATGTTTGTTTGCTTGTACGTATGTGTTACTCTCCATGTCCATGCTAGGGACGAAACTCAATACATACACACACTTACAGTCGACACAAACAATTAAGATCCGGACTGTTTAGTAATTATTTGGATGGAAAGTATTGGCCATCAAGAATTTGTAGACAAAAGTTGACAATTGATTCAATGTTGAAAATGAATTCTAAATTATAACATTTACGTAATTTGCTATTATAATGTACAAGTATCTTATTTCCATCATTGGGGCTTGTTCTGTTTAGAGCAACAGATTTCTTCGATCATTCAAAATTTTTAAAAAGACATCCGCCACAAATTGTAAGAATAGAAATATCTTAAATATAATGTTTGCTTTACTTGATACTTTGATCTTTATTTTGCATTTTGTGAGTCCAAAGAGTCAAAAATCTTGAACTACAGTGCAGGATTGTAGCAGGAAAGGCATCCTTCTATCTTCCAATACTATTCCATGTCACGTGAACAAAACAGCTCGAATTTGAGGGATTATACGTATACTCGTATGCATTATTTGGAGTGATTGTAGGGAACTCATTTTTAAAAATTGAATGCAAATACGTACATATATATGAAAAGTTTACTGAAAATATCTTTGTAGCAATAATTTAATGATACTTATTTAAAATTAACACCAACTGTTGGCAAATTGAAAACAGCATGATGAAGAATAATAGCTTTTTTATAGTTCCGCAGGAGGTAGGAGCTTAGATTTCTTTGCGATTTATGACCCAATAGGCATTTAATGCACAGCTGAATGACTTGGTAGACGTGAACTTAATTGCTGGTTTTCCGACACATGATTTTCATTAGTTTTCGACCTCGCTCGTTGACATGGCTCATTGGCTTAGACTGTGCCAAAGCAATTTGCATTTTGGTGCGCACATTTATGGCACGATGTGTACGAGTATGTATGAATTATGTTTGTGCTAAATTTACCAACATAGGTGTGCTGTACTATTGACTGGCCAGTCATGTAGTCGTTGCTCCTCAATCGTCACTCGCCGGCGCCTTTGTCATTTAAACGCCAAGTGTTGCAATTCATGTGCAAAGTCAAAGCGCAAGCGCAACAAGCATTTCGGAAAAACCAGGCAAGCAAACAGGCACATAGACAGACAGACAGACAGTCTCAGCTGCACGCACTCAGCACACGGCACACAGAGAGACATTTAAGCATTTAACACGGCTGAGAAGCGCGTTTTAAATTTGCCGCGTCAGCATCAAATTGTGTCACATGCTGTCTCGCAAAAGGCCAACAGCGACACAGTCACTGGCTCGTTGGCTAAAAGGCAACTAAGCCAAAGACAAACAATTACTATTGCTATTGCCATTGCCTTTGTTGCTGCTCTAGCTATCATCGTTGTTAAGGTAATGTGCAACGTTTTTCTGTAACAAATTGTTGCCAAAATTATTTGAATTATTTCGAGCACAATAAACAAAACAACATGTGAAATTCAAATTGGCATTGCGCAGAACGTCACTTCATCAACATTATGGCTAGAATGGAAACTACTCAGCGCAGAGTTCATAAATTCAAATACGAATTAGAGAGTAATCTAAACATTATATAAACTCGTATTGGCATGGGTTTAGGGACGAGAATGTAAAACGCTGTTAACAAATTTCAGTTATGAATGGCGATCAACTAAGCTTATAATTGAAATCATTTAACAATTGAATTTGGAAGGAAAAACTGACAACAGCCGCCCTTAAGTCCCAAGACAAGTTGAAGATGTTGGTGGAAATACTATATATATTTTATCAATCAAAGAAGAAAGAGTTAATTTTTTTATAACCCGGCCGGTGCATAAATAATTGGACTCTTGTCTAGAAGCAAACGATTGAGGCAAGCTGCTGCAATCAACACATTCAATCCACCAATTAATCAATCAATCAAAGTGCGTTGAAAAATCAAATTAAAGCGCCTCAGAAAAACTCAACGCATTGATGTCTTGATGGATAGATCGTTTTTATAGCGACGCGGCGGTCCAGTGCAATGCAATGGAATGCCTCCAGAAACAAACAAACATGCATCAAATGTAGAGCGTGTAATGGTAATGTGAGTGGCGTTTATATATGTTCGTATGCATATCGGACGACTCATTATGCAACAAAAGCGAAGCAACAACGTAACAAAAAAATCAAAATGAAAATCAATTCAGATTTCAGTCGATGGTTTTGATTGAGGCGCTCACAACAAATCAAATGCGTCCCAAGATGCGTTTCATAAAATATGAAGAAGTGGCCCAGACAGTGAGAGATAAAGGCAGACAGCGAAAAAGAGGAAGAGGTGGGGAGAGAGAGAGAAAGAGGGAGAGAGCGGGAACCGCGAAAGCTTCACTTGATTAACTGTTAGGCGAAAGAAGAGGCTACAAGAAAGTAGAAAAGCAAACACATCAAGGCAACAATAATGCATTTGATTGACAATCTCCGATAGATAAACCTGCTGGCTTGTTCACAAATCTTTAGAATGTAGCCACGATCTGAGCTGATGGGGGAGCGGCAAGAGGACGGCTTAGACAGCGATAGAGCAGACGCTCATGGCTCGCAGGTGCAGTTGGTCAAGGCAAGCGACCCAGTGCCATAATAATCATAAACACTATAATACCAAAAACAAAGGCAGATTGTGATAGAAACAATAACAATTACAACAACGACCAGAGAAAAACTATGTATCTTGAGGTCCAACGAATCTGTAACACTCTTCATATTGTGAAAACGTTTGATTCTTTGCTCTGATGGCTATTAAGGCAACGAAGTTCGATTCTTTTGGATGTAAATGATATTTCCATTCAAACGATGAAATACTTGTACCATCGAAAGAATCGTATCTAGTCTGAGACTTTGTTTTGTAAATGAGATGTAAATGATATTTCCATTCAAGCGATTAAATACCTCCGAAAAAACTCAAACATTCCCCCTAAACATAAAGTTATGCTGCGGTTGTTCATTTTGTCTTAAAGATTACAAAACTGATTCTATTACTAATTCTGTTTGTACCCTGCGTTGCTCTAAAAATTATTAAAATTTTATCATAATTGCTTAAATTTATGTTTATCTTAAAACCCAAAATAATAAACATTTCCTTCAAACACTATTCTTATACATATGTCTAGGAGATCATTAGATGCATGATGGATTCAACGAACGGAATGACAGGCCTTAGTAAAGAATTTTTTGATCAGTTGTTTTCAAACAATTATTGGGAGCAGTTCTTTATGTCGATGTGAAAGTCTTGGAGCTCCTTTATGTTGGGTCTTTTTATTGAATATACTTGTATATACATACGTACAGGCCACACAAAATGGTGATCCCTTCTTGAATTTATAGAAAACTTGATATTTGCTTGATTTATTAAACCCATTATTTTTGAAGTTTCTCTTAAGTTTTTTATTGTTGTAAGCTAGGATAGTGCTAAACCAATAAATAATCAGCTATAATACCATATTCAAGAGCGTAGTGATCACATACAAGTATGTATAGTAGCCGTCCATATCGTGTGTGATGCAAACTTTTGCGACAAAGGCAAAATACACGCTTGTAAAGGGTAGACCCGATGCCGACAACAGCCTTAGTTTGTCTGAACTTAGGACAGCGCCAATTAATTTGCTACGCATATGATAAATGCCTTAAGTTCAGAATCTGCTTTAACTCTCCCCTCCCTCCCCCTCGCACACCCCACCAAGCTGCGCTTGCAGACGTTGCGTTCGATGCCGCTTTTGGAGCGCTTTGCCCGAACCGCTCTCTTTCGAAATGCGCGCACGCGCACGCGCACTCAACGCATTACAGTTAAGCGACTGCGACGGCAACGGTGGCGGCAACAGCGACAGCGACTGAGGCGACAACAGGCTGGAACGTTCAGTACAATTCGAACGCTCATTGAAAATGGTCTGAAAGTCGCGCATGCGCCAAGTCTCGTTGTCGTAAAGCAGCCCCAATAACAACAACACCACCAGACGGCAGTTGAAAAGTCGAAAAATATCAATTTTGAATACTTGCCCGTTTCCAGTCGCTTGTGCCAATAATATACACACACACATATATATATTGTTGTTGTTATCGCTTGGTTCGGTTCGGTTCGGATCGATATTGTGTTGTGTTTTGGTTTAGTTTAATTTTTTTGTCTGTGTTTTTTTTTTTTGCCACCGAAAGTTAAACGCCTTCAAAGTTGTGAAAAAGATTGCGGCTGTGCTGTAAAATTCGACCATCGAACGTGCCGAGCCAGCGGCCAGCGAGCCGAGCTTGAAAATGTAATTGGAAATCGTTTGTCTATTTATTAAATCATGAAAGGCAACAATTGGTTTCACAATTCTCCAAGATCTAGTTAAGGCTACAAATTTTAAAATAAAGATCAAAATAACAAATAACTAAGAGCACGAACTTCGCATTTTATTGCAGGCATTATACTAAGATGACCTTGAAAGGTGTTGTTTGCAAGGTTATTAAGGAAGACTATTTTAGCAGGTGATTGTAGCAAAGTATTGGAGGTGAAGGAAAGTTTTATAGTTGACTAAAAACAATCAAAGTTGATGTTGAACTGAGAAAGATTGGATATGATGATTCAGAAGGATGATGCTGCTGACCTTGCAGAATTGAAAAAATGATTGAGGTGGTGAAAGAAGAAAGTGCATGAAAAACGTCGATCCAAGATGACAGAATAAATAAGCTTAATATAGGAAAAGAAAAGCTTAGTTGACCTTGCAATTTGTCAATTGCAAGTTAAGTGAGGAAGATGATTGCAAAAGATGATAGAAGAAAATGATTGAGAATTAATAAAGGCCAAACAAATGCAAAGTAGATAAGGATATGATTGTAGGTAATTGAAGCAGATATTTGAGGGTAATTGAATCAATTAATATATATCAATATATCAACGTGGGTTGCAAAGATTCAAAAGCATTATTGAAGAAATTGCCAGAAAAAGGTATTGTCAGAACTATTAGAGGCATTGCTGAATACTTTTATTATCATTGTTAAAAACGAAAGACATAACAATTTCTTCAACTATTATATTGGACACCTTACTGAGAGCAGAACTTCATCATTTCTTAACAACTGTTAAGGCAAACAAATACAAATATAATACATTTCACGAATCAGGTCTTAAAATACACCAAACCTACGAGTATATAGGTCCCAAGAAAAGTTTTGAATTTGCGTAATTCTTTAGAAGAATGTTTTACGGGCTTTGTGCGCATTAAATAAATGAAACTTATATTCGACAATTTTAATTCTCAAGGCACGGACATAACTAAATAATAAAATATAAATGATTTTGGAAAAAAGGGAAATTAACGATTAATTCAAAAAGCTTAGTAGATGAAGCAAGAAAAACACATGCATCAAAAGATTGTCAACAAGTGTACAACTTAAATATACTCTACTAAAATAAAGAAACTAAATGCAAATCAAACAATTAATTGTTGCAAAGCAATACTGGCGTCATTAAATGAAATTGCAGAATAAAAAACAACTTTGTCGTTAAATAGAAACAATACGATGAAACGCAAATTTGTGCAAGGAAAAACCACACCCAGTGCTTGTATGGTCATAAAAAAAAAGTATGGACAGATAAAACCCCATAAAAATGTTGCTTGACACTAAACAGTTGTTTAATAAAAAATACAAAAAACTTAAGTCCAACAACAGTAAATGACAATGCAAATGTGTTATTTGTGACTGAAAAACAACGACAATAAAACAATAACAAAACATGTCGCAATTTCTGCATAAAACATAAATTTATTATGAAAATCACAAAGTGTTCAAGAAGCAGTAGAGGAAGAACAACAAAAACAAGCATTTAAGTAAACAAGAGTGCGGCAAGATAAGTTGTTAAGCGCATGTGAAATGGTTTGCTTAACTTGTTTGTTGTTTTTGTTGCTGTCGTTGTTGTTGTTGTTGTAGTTGTTTTTTTTTTTTTGGGTGGCACAGGTGAAAGTGTTAATAAAAACAAAATTAAGAGAGAAAAAAAGATCAAGCAAAAAGAAATGAACGATACAGCAGTCGGCCAAAACTTTAAATGTAATGCAATAACAATAATTAAGTGTTATGAGTATTTTTGCAAAACAAAACCAAACAAAATAAAACAAAACAAAGGTCTGCACGCTGAAGCGGTAAAAGTTGTGCGGAGCTGAACAAAATAATGACAACAAATCAATAAACGACAAAAACAACAACAACAAAATGAGGCAGCCGGTAAAGACAATTTACCAAAAGCAGCAGTTGGCCAAGTTTGCTGCTCGATTGTCGAGCTCGGTTCGGGCTCTCGGTCTCCTTTCCTGTCCGCCCAAAAACAACATTCACATTCACTGCTTGTCATATGCAGACGGCGCTGATGGCTGCTGCAGCCGCAGTGGCAGTGGCAGCGGCAGCCACTTGGCTTAAATAGAATTTAGGTGCAACAGCAAGCAGTTGCGAATTCGCCATTAGTCGAAAGCCTGTTGGCCGTCGCAACGTCGCAACCTGACTTTTGATTAAAGACCCGGCCCAAAGCTAGGCGACAGACCGCAAACAGCAGACATCAGACAACAGACAACAGGCAGCTCGGCAATTGGCAATTTGTGGCTGGAATTGCAGTCTGGTAGATCAGGAAAATCAAAAATAGCAACAACAACAAAAAACTGCACACACTGTGAAAAGCAAAGTGAAACATACAAAAACAGTTGAAACAAAAAACAACTACAAAATTTGTAACAAGTTGCAGTAAAAGTGGTGCGTACAGCAACCACTCTCTCTCTCTCTCTCTCTCTCTCTCCCTCTTCCTCAACTACACTCTCTCTCTTTCCTTCTCTCTGATGGTGGTTTTTGCGGCTACTTTTAGCAAATTTTTAGCCGCAACTAATGAAGTGTGGCAGATGATTTTTACCTGTCGCTGACTAATTGACAAAGTGAGAGCCGCTCACGGCGCTTTCTCATCGAGACGGTTTCGTGGACGTGCCGGAAATGACCGACAATGGCTGCTATTGACAGTTCGAATGCACGTGACCTTCGGCAGGCTGCCAACCATACATATATACTTGCATACATATAGAAAAATATATATATATAGTATATATGTACATATATTTATACCTGCCTCTAATATGCCCAACATTCGTGGCTAGTTCGTGCCTTAAGTCTTTTGTATGCAGCTCCACAATTTGTATGAACGCAGCAATGAGACCTTTTTTGTAAAGCTGCTTCAAATGAAAATATTTTTGTGGTCTTTATTTCTTTATAGCCACATTTGGAGCTGAAAGTTTCAATATACACACATACTCGTATGTACACTTTTTTTTATTTTTCTCATACGATATATTTAGTGCGAAAGGACTAACAGTTTTTTCGTTATAAACTCTCAATTTCCATTCACAGCTGAAGCAGTTTTTTTTTTAGAATTTCTTATCCATCTTGCAAGTCTAATTAGCTGTTAAATTTTACTCCGAAGTACAAGTATGTTAGCTATTTAGTGTGAAAGGACTTACCTGAGTCTGCAGTGCCTTCTTTATTATCTGCGCTCGCATTTCATTATGGATTCTCAATTCTTAATCATCATTGCTGGTCATTTATTCTGCGGTTTTTCTTTAATTTAAACAAGCTCTTCTAATCTTAAGCTGCTCAAATGAATTTCTAGTCGTAGGCTGTTTCAACTATACCATTTCTGTTCCCTAAGTTGCAGCCATTAAACATCTATGTATTAAGCAGGAAATCCTTATTGGCACCAATAAATAATTCTATGAAATAAGATGCTGAAGGTTGGAGTGCATTTTCCACCTCAACCAACTGACTGTAAGTTCTGTGTAGCAGAAGCCAACAAAGAGCAAAGTCAAGTTCAAGTCTGTTTTAGCGGGGTTTCTTTCGAAAATAGGCCTTTCTTTTCCAAATTGGGGATACCTCTATTATTGGTAAATTTCTAAATTGTTCAAAAAAACTCACTGCCCAGAAATGTAAAAGTTGTAAGCAAAAATTCCAAATAACGCGTAAGTAATTTTTTGATAAAAGAGCGATTCAGAGGAGTTTCAAGAAAAACAAACCTTTTGCTAAGCAAAAAACCTTCAGAGTTTCTTGCTGTGTTCCAATATGGGTATTATAATCGCATAATTGTATAGTAATATTGCTAAGAGACAAAGCCATTTCATTTTTATTAAATGTAGTTAACAAATTAAACTCTCAAATCAACGTTTTCTTATGGCTCGAACAAACAAGATATATTGATTTAGTGAGCAGAGATTCAGCAGTTCCTTAAGAGTTCTTTGTAACCATAAGTTGAATTTAAAATAAAAACTATTTGGTATATTTCTGTCTTTCCTACATTTCTAGTGAAAATGAGTTCTCTCTGTAACAAATATCTCGTTGTCATCGCCACGATATCGCGTAGACTCGGCTTTGATCTTCTATATTTGCATTTAATAACCCTAAACCTTTGTCTATTTCCATATAGCGCTCACTTGCATATTCCAAATTAATTTCGATTTCAACTCAACCTTCAAAACGTTTTCGTTCAGCCCTTTCTGTCGGTCCATCCACCGTTATGGCTGTCATACCATAAATTGTGTTTAGTTAACGATTCTGGCAACTGTGTCGGCCACTTTCTTTCCACAGAAACCAAACAAGCAATGTGGCCATAACTTGCCAGCTTTTATGATCCGTTCAAAATCCCAAAAAGTGAACTACGACAAAGTTTTAGTTTTGCTCGTTCATTTGGTATTAAGCTTTGTTTAATAAAAAAAAACAGCCCCCGTTTTGAAGGTCAGGCACATTACAGAGTCTTTTGGCCAAAGTACTTGACGCTTTCGATTAACTAAACTAATGGAGCGCCTGCTCGCCGGGTTCACAGTTTTTCACGAGCTGTCAGATGGAAAAAGCAACGGCCACTTTAGACAATGGACACAAAATAAACATAAACAAAAACAAAGGCAACAAAAAAAATAAACAATGCCCCAAGTCAATTGTCTACGTAATGAGACGAAATTGGGCGACGTTTTTGTTGCTTGTTACCCGCTGGTTGTTGTTTTTATTGCGATTGCTTTTATTTTTGTTAGCAAGAGGTCAAGTCACTTGGCTCGCTACCACACAAAGGTTCAGGGTTAACATCATTGCAGTGAATGGATTTGAATTGAGTTTGTGGCATAATGTCAGACAGCTACATAATTAGAATACTTATGTTGATTTGCTTTGGAATGTTTGGACTTGCCTTGAATTCCGGCAAATTGTCGATCATAACTACCTTTTTTGATCAAGCCAATTGACCAGAATATGGCAAATCTCT